CTCTATATAGAGAAAGCATTATTAATTAGCTCTCGTTAAATAAGAAGTAGAAATCTTCTACTTTAGATAGTAGTTTAGAGCCTAACTATAGCTAGGCTTTTTTCTATTCTTGCAGCGCTAAAGTTATAGCATATATGCTTATAATATAAAATAGGCTCTTATAGGTCTAAGATTAGGCTACTTTTTCTATTTTACAAATTATTACTGTAGTAGTAATTATTATTATCTAGAGGCTAATGCTTCTTCTAGAGAAAGTCTATACTATTATTCTCTTAGCTTTCTAAATAGTAACTTCTTCTTATTCTATATCTAGCATAACGCTCTTCTGTTTAAACTATAGCTAACCTAGAATTATATCTTATTAGAGGTCTAGTACTATATAAGCAATGAGATAGAATTGCTATCTATTAATATTATATCTAAGAAAAGCAACTTAGAAAATAGTAGTAGCAGTATTGCTATAAGCTGCCTAAGAGAGCTGCTAAGATAGAATTTTAAGAGTATAAGCTTAGAGTCTTTGCTATAACTAGTTGCTAATAGCACTAAAGCATTTGTAGCTAGAATCTAATAAAGCATCTATATATATTAATCTATTTAATAAGAGAGAAAGTAAGATTAGAGCACTATCTAGATAATCTAATATATCTTATTAGATGCTTACTATATCTTTCTTTTTTGCTACTAGCCTTTATACTAGGTATAGAGCAGAGGCTGCTAGTTTTTTAAGTTATCTATAGAACTATCTAAATTAGCTGCTAACGCTAAAACTGCTAAGATCCTTACTATATTAGAGTAGTTCTAAGTAAAGTAACTATGCTCTCTATAGCATATGCAATCTCTATTATTATGCCTTGCCTAAAAGAGCTTCTTAGAGATCTAGTTCTTAATTAGTTTTAAGCCTGCATCTTTACTCTGCTAGGTCTAACTAGATACCTTAGATTTTCTACTTATACTTACTATAGCTACTATAACTATTTTAATATTATTATCTTTATCCTTTACTAAATAATATAAAGATATTTATATATTCTAGTTCTAGTCCTCTAAGACTGCTATCTTAAGGTTAATAGCAATAGATTAGTATTTATAAACCTCTATATTATAATTAGACTAAGATATACCTCTATGCAAAGCAACTTAGCGTAAGGTTAGATTTAAGAAATACTAAAGCCTATTAAGTTTCTATTTGCTATTCTAAAGAGCTCTGCTATACTAAATTAGAAGAGACTTAAAATATAAGAAGAAATTGCTAAAAAGCTCTTTCTTACTCTAATAGAGGCTATCTAGTATAGCCTATGCTTATTTCTTATTATAGGTGTTGCTATAGTAGAATGTAAGATATTCTATAAATAAAACTAGATTCTAAGCGCTGTTACTTCTCTCTAACTTATAGTAGAGAGCTACTTTCTTCTAAACTTTTGCTAAGAGATTAGCCTAGATAAACGCGTATTAGTTCTAATAGTCTCTAATAAAGTTTAAGTTAACTATAAGCTTATATATAATAGTAATATGCTAAGCGCTAAAGGTAGCTTTATCTTCTAAGTATAAGTCTTCTACTAGAAGCAGTTTACGCTAAATTAGCGCTTATTTAGTTGCAGAGCAGATAGAGGTATTCTCTACTTCTCTAACGTTAGAAGTTGCTATAGTTAGAACTAGAGTTATTATAGAAGTAGAATAGGCAGTGCTTAGTATAGCTATTAGAGCAGATAAAAGATCTAGAGAGTTATTAAGGTATGCTATAAAGTTCTATAGCGCAGTATTAATAGAGCTAAGTTAAGTTTTAAAGATATTTAAGCAGGCCTCTGTCTAAATAAGATAAGCCTAAGAGTTATAATTAGAACTCTGCTCTTTAGGTTCTAAGTTAGATTAAGAGTCTATTTAGGTGCTTTTAAAGTTTAGTTACGTATTAGTATAAGGAAGAAATATAATTATTATAGGCTAGCTTATAAGAATAGAATTTATATAGTATTAAGTAAAGTTATATTTCTTATTAAGAAGGTCTCTGTTTACTGCCTATATATATTCTTCTTACTAACTAATTAGGCTTAAGGCGCTAACAGAAAAGTCTCTAAGTATAGGCGCAGCCTATACCTTAACATAGATTATATATAATAAAACAGTTCTAAGGTAAAATTAGCATTTTACTTACTTATATTTAATAAAAAAATATATTATATTATTTAATTAGAGCTCTAGAGCTTTAGCGAGAATTTTTCTTAGCAAGGAACATTAAACTTAAAACTTCAAAGCCTTGCATCTCTACGAATACTAGGCCACAAGTGTAGGTAATTTTTAGCTCATTTTAAAGAGAAAAACTTGCTCTATATTTTAAATTTTTAGTCTATATTACGTAATCATCCTCCTAGCTAGGTAGAGCGATTCGATCGTTTTGACGTTAATTTAACAGTTTTGACTGTTCTGACAGATTCAACGATTTAACAGATTTTTACTTTTTCTAACGTATATTAGGTATAAGCTTAGAGAGCTTATAGAGCATTTTAAAGCCTTTATCTTAGCTTTAGAGAAGAACTATTAGAGAGACGTATTAAAAGTATTTCTTAAATAATATAATGCTCTCTACCTAACGCTCTACCTTATAATAGTAGAGGCTTTTAAGAAGAAGTATATAGTAAAGTTATTCTACTTAATAAAGCTACTAATAAGAAGAAAATAGATCTAATAGAAGCTTCTATGCTGCTAGAGTAACTTTATAAGCGTAGGTTTTATAGAAGATAAGTTTAATAGCATTATAGAGAACGTATAGTAGAATAGTAATAATAATTTAGTTCTATAAGAGAGTAAGAATATTAAGAATTAAGATTAAAAATAATAAGTAATTTATTTAGATTGCAGCGCTACTACCTTAGCGTTAGTATACTAGCTATATAGAGCTATAATAGCTAGCAAGCTATTATAAGAGCTCTAATAAGTAGTAGTAAGAGTTATCTATTTTACTATAGTAAATATATATATTTTATAACTAAAATAGCTACTTTTTACTGCTCTATATCTCTAATATAGCCTAAGCTTACTTTTAAGCGCTTTTAACTCTGCTTTATATTATAGTTTCTAGAACGCTAGAGCTTAAGTAAGCATATAAGCTACTATTATAAACTTTAGAGCTTAGTATTAAGAAAACTTAGAAGTTTTCTTTACCTAAAAATACTCTTAAATAACGCTCTAATAACTATTCGACGCCTATAGAAGTCTCTTAGTTATCTTATAATAGTTCTGCTATAGAAGGTCTATAATTCTCTCTCTTATCTTATTTATTTTACTATTAGAATAGCTAGAATTATTTACTAACTTCTCTTTTAGTATCTCTTCTTTCTTTCTATTACTATCTTTAAAGCTCTCTGCGTTCTTCTCTACTAAGTAGAACTTATTAATAAAGTTATAGACTATAATAAGAGCATAGATAAGCTTAACTTATACTATAATTAAGAACTTATATAGTTAATTAAATATTCTCTAGTGCTACTTAAAGATACTAAAATAACGCTTTATAACGTTATAGAGACTAGAATAATAGTAGTTAAATAACTTATACTTATTCTACAGCGCATAAGTAATCTAACTAATCTCTTATAAATAATAGTATATATCTTTATATAGAGAGAGCAAAAAGTTCTTATTTATATACCTAGCGTTAGCTAAGTAGTAGCAACTCTTAGGTGCTTTAAAATCTTACTTTATAGTATCTTTAAGAACTCTTCTATTATATACAGAGCTCTCTTACTTAGTAAGAATATAGATAAAGTTTATCTTAAAGTCTATAACTGCTAATATATTCTAAGAGAGATTACTATACTAATTGCAGAAGTACTTCTACTACTTAGCTAGCATATATAGCAGAAAGTATAAGCTATCTAGTGCTCTAATATAGTTCTTAAACGCTAGCTAGCGCCTAGAATTATCTTAAATTATAGCTAAGATCTTACCTAAAGCAGGTTTTATAACCTTAGAGTATAGGCCTACTAGGATACCTAGAACTTTATAGAAGTAACTTAAAAAAGTAAGTAAAATGCTATAATTAATAAGTACTTTTATACTTACTCTAATATAGTTATAAGTAATTACTTATAGCAATAATAAGTATTTCTTTATAATAAGCTAGTACTGCAAATATATAGAAAAATAAGTAACTTTTTCTCTACTAATATATAGGCTCTATAAATGCTATAATTGCTTAAATATTATGCTAGCGCTTAAAATACTAGCTTATAGAGTTAGGTCTCTATAAAAAGCTACTGCTTATTACTTAAGTAGATAGTAACTTAGTATACTCTATAATAGCTATTCTTCTTATGCCTTTATATGCTAGATAGTAGAGTATATAAGATATTAGCTAAGGCTATAGTTACTATAATACTAGCTATTAGCTTAGCTACTATAAAAGTAACTAGTTTCTGCAGCTTTATACTTATTTAGTAAGTAAGATTACGTATTAAAATAGAGTAAAATAAGCAAAATAAGATTTTAAAATAACTTTTTAAAAATAGAGACTCTATTTTACTTAAAGGAGTAAATTATAAGTATAATAAGCACTAAACTAAGATGTAATCCTTAGTAGCAATGCTAATAAAATAGCATCTCTAGAACTACTAGCAAAAACCCTGTTTTACTAAACATAGGCTCTATCTTATCTCTATTTTCAAAACGGAGCCTAATTAGGATGAAACGGCCGGCAAAAACGGAGTAACCGAACAGGCCCGAATCCTTTATCGACATAAGATACGCTAACATTGTTTGCCGCGCAAGTCCGGGCGAAGAACACTAGCAGAAGGGCAGGGCTAGGCGTTGCGTGCCTCCCCCGTGATAGGGAGGTGTGACTCTTGACTGGATTTTAGCTGTATAAGAGCACTACCTGCTTCTCACCTGCACTGGCACACGCGCTCCCAACTCACAGAACATAAAGCCGACGGGCCGCCGCGACATTCTTTGATCTTGCATCAACCTTCGTTCATCTTTCACAGTAGTTCTCCCACACAACTTCAGCAATGGCACCTATTGCTATCACACCGCCCGTCGAGGAAATTGAGACCCTCTCACACCTCACAGAACAGGGAATCTCAGATGCCCTCAACAAGACTGCCCCATCACAACTCAAGTCGGCGTCAATGGTCGACAATGTCACCTCTACCCCACCATCAGGGCCGCAAACAAAAGCTGAGCCAGCTGTTGAGACCACTCTCGCTCAATTGGATGCCTCCAAGATCCAATGCACATACACAACCGCACCCCGCACAGTACCTGCAGTAGGATCAGCAGAGATGGCTTCACAAAAAGTCTGCTCCGACCACATGATCCAGGCCCAATGGAACTCAGAGGAAGGCTGGGCCGCACCAACTCTCCAACCCTACGGCCCTCTCTCCCTCGCCCCCACAGCATCGTGTCTGCACTACGCAACCGAATGCTTCGAAGGCATGAAGCTCTACCGCGGCCACGACGGCAAACTACGCCTGTTCCGCCCCAACCTCAACTGCAACCGCATGCTCATGTCCACCAACCGCATTGCCCTCCCCGCCTTCCCACCCGCAGAACTGCTCAAGCTCATCATTAAGCTCTGCGCCACCGACGGCGCGAAATGGCTCCCCAAAGACCGCCCAGGCCAATTCCTCTACATCCGCCCCACGATGATCGCATCCGACCCCGCGCTGGGCGTCGAGCGCCCCAAGGAAGCCCTCCTCTTCGTCATTCTGTGCTGCTTCGCGCCCATGGGCAACATGAACGGCGGCATCAAGCTGCTCGCCTCGCAAGACGACATGTGCCGCGCCTGGCCCGGCGGCTTCGGGTACGCCAAAGTCGGCGCAAACTACGGGCCTAGTCTGGTTGCGCAGGGCGAGGCGAGGAAGCAAGGTTACCACCAGATTCTCTGGCTGTTCGGCGACGATTGCACGATTACTGAGGCTGGCGCGAGTAACTTCTTCATCGTGTGGAGGACCAAGGAGGGCGGGCTGCAGCTTGTTACTGCGGACTTGAACGAGAAGATTGTCCTGGATGGCGTGACGCGTCGGTCTATCCTCGAGCTTGCAAGGGCGAAACTGACCGCTGAACAAGAGGGGCTGGAGAAATTGGAGATTGTGGAGCGCAAGTTCAACATCTTCGATATCGTTGAGGCATCCAAGGAGGGCCGCATTGTCGAGGCTTTCGCGGCGGGTACCGCGTGGTTTGTGGCGCCTATCTCACAGATTCACTTCCGTGGTCAGGATATTGAGATTCCGATGAAGAAGGGTGAGATTGGCGAGTATGCGGATGCTTTCAGGACGTGGCTCCAGGGCATCATGTGGGGAAGTGATGGTATGGAGAGCCATGAGTGGGGACACGTTGTCGAGGAGGCATAGAGATTGAAAGCTGGATGAGATTTCATCCCGATGGACATGTCTTTCACATTCGCATGGAGGATCTTTGATGACATTAGGGGCGTTCTTCAACTTCCAAAAAGCGAGGCGGAAAACTGATTTATGACATTTTCACTACCACGGCAATAACGTAGACTGAACGATTAGACACAATTTTCTCATCCATCATCACCATTGTAATGTGTAGCCACACGTAGCGAAGATATTGACACGCCATCACAATCAAACATGTATAATATGTATATTCATCCCCCAACATTAGATATAACACACCCCTCTCCCACCATCTAAAACAGTCCAATAGCTCCCAACAGCGCAACAACAGCCGCACCCGCCGGTGCCATCTTCTCCGCACCACCAGCAAAGCTACTCGGCGTAGCACTCGGCGCCGCACTCTCAGTACTTCCACCAGTCTTGCTCGCGCTCGTTGCCGAAGTCATAGCATGGCTCTGGGTGGCCGCAACGCTGGCAACCGACGCCATGGAGGCCGAAGCAGCGGCGCGCAGGGGAGCCGCGGCGCCGCAGTACGAGGTGACGGTGTTGGCGACAGGCGGCTTCTCGTTGCTGTTCGGGCAGTTGTTGTAGCAGACGAGCACGTCGGTGTACACGTCGCACAGGCAGATGAAGTCGTTGCCTTTCTTGTTGCACGCGTCGATGCGCGCTTGGTAACCTTCGACGCAGGCGTCGACGATGCTGGGGGTGGGTTAGTGGTTGGTTGGATCGCGTAGCATATGCATGAAGGATGGAAGGATGAGTATCCTGGTTTGGTGGCTGAAGGAGCATTTATACATACTTCTGAGCATCGCACTTGTCCTGCGCGGCGACGAGGCCGATGGTGGCAGCGAGGGCCAGGATGGAGGTAGCGAAACGCATATTGATGGATTTGACTGTCGAGGGATATATACGGTTGTCCAGAGATTCGAATTAAATAAGATATAGAGGTAGTAGTAGTAGTAAAAACGACAGTGAAGTGTTTCGAGTAGCAACCCAGCAAGCGAGTGATATGGGATGAACAACTACGAGAAGAAAGATGAAGAACCGTTGGACGAGCGACAGAAGAAATGCAAAACACACGGGAGAAAGCTATGATTTATTCGTTGCCCGGCGCCAATGCAGCTTGCCTCCCTTCTTCCCCCAGAAAAGGAAGACGAGCCAAAACACTCCCAGACCATTCCGTCCTGCTGCTAACGGAGATGAGGTTAGATGGAGCCTCTCGGGACCCGCAATTCCTCCTAGCGGGCCCGTTCTAGTCGCCTAATTTTAGGGATGTGCGATGCACTTCGATGCGCTTTGGGTTCACGGTGGGTCGTGTTTTGGTCCATCGGGAAGACCTGCTGCATTGCATTATCGTGCAGCTGGCTGCGGTGAGTTGGGGCCACGCAATGCTGTTGCACGAAAAGGCACGAACATCGACACTGGCGAGCAAAGCAACAGATAGGGGTGGGTTAATTGGGTGGAGCACCCGGCGGTGATAGACACAGGGGTTCGTCTGTCTGGCTCCCGAGGTGTGCTAGGATTGCCAAGCGAGCCTCTCTTCGGCGCTTGGTGTTCCTTTCGGCGATTAAAGTTCGCGATATATTGGCATGGGATGGACGGCCGTCTTCCTCATTCGAAGACTCTATGAAACTGTGCATTTATTTGACCGCTGACAGCGCCGGTGGCCATGCATTTTTCAACTTAAAACGCTGCCTGGTCTCTACTGATCGCATCATGATGGCGAATTGAGAGGGCAAAATCCGATGGGAATGCGGAAATTTTTGATCGACATGCATCCGTGTCCCGCAATCTCGCTGTTACTTCACTTAAAGCCACGGTTAAAGCATGTTGAAGACGGAATGCACGTCTTTTGCCGTTCGCTGGACAACATAGTTCGACACTCGAATACACGCCGATAAGCTTTGGTGGTCGTCGTTGGACGGGAAACGTCTTGCGATTACATTTCATATATACAAAACGCTGACACTCTTGCTCCGCTTAGAATCGCGCCTCGACCTTTTGCTCAGTGTCACCCAGCGCCCATTCACTCCTCGCCTTCTTGCTTCGCACAGAGTCAACCTGCTGCTTTGTGAAGCCCTTTGCTTGTGTGGCTGGGTTGTAGCCGAGACCAGTCACCTTACCGACCTGCTCGTCAGACAGATCAGTCGCCGCGCTGCCATCAGCACGCTTGTATACTGTGCACACGACAGCGCCACCGAGACCGAGGTTGTGTTGCAGAGCGACCTTGGTGTCCTTGACTGAGCGGTTGTTGGCCCAGCCACGTAGGTGCCAGACAAGTTCGGAGCACTGTGCGAGACCGGTAGCTCCGAGTGGGTGGCCCTTGGAGATGAGACCTCCAGAGGGGTTGATGACGACCTTGCCGCCGTAGGTGATTCCGCCCTTGCGGATGAACTCATGAGCCTTGCCTCGGGGTGCAAGACCGAGAGCCTCAATGGTGACCATCTCGTTTGCTGAGAAGCAGTCATGTAGCTCGCAGACCTTGACGTCGTCGGGCGAGGTGTTGGCCTCAGCAAGTGCTTCCCTCGCAGCAAGTTCGCTCATGCTGTATCCAACAAGCTCAATCGCACTGCGGTTGAACAGGTTTGGTGTGTCGGTAGCGAGACGCTGACCAGCGATCAGGATGGCCTGGTCCTTGAGGTCTGGTCGCTTGTCGAGGAACTCTTGGGAGACAAGGACAACGGCGGCGGCACCGTCGGATGTAGGGCAGCATTGAAGCTTTGTGAGGGGCTCGTGGATCATGGTGGACTTGACGACCTGCTCGAGGGTGTACTCGTCCTGGAACTGCGAGTAGGGGTTCTTCTTTGAGTGGGCGTGGTTGATGCGAGCAATCTCGGCAAAGTCTTCGAGCTTGGAGCCGTATCTGAGGGGTGGTTGTTAGTATGTCTGATCTGATATGGGGACGACTTGCGGTCTACTCACTTCTCCATGTGTTCCCGACCAGCATTGCCAAATAGCTGAGCGGCACCTGGCGAGTTGGTGACGCCCCTCGTCTCCTTCATCATCAAGTTGGTCGTGCTTGTTGGGTTCGATCGGTCCTGGAAGAAGCTCTGCAGACTACCTGGGAACATCTTCTCGAAACCGACGACCAGCACGCAGTCTGCGGCACCGTGCGCAATCATGTTTCGTCCCATGTACAGACCGGTACTGCCTGTTGAGCAGTTGTTGTTGACATTGTACACCGGGATACCAGTCATGCCGAACTGGTAGAAGACGCGCTGACCGCATGTTGAGTCGCCGTAGCAGTAGCATGCGACGCCCTGGTCGACCTCATCGTAGTTGATGTGCGCGTCGAGCATGGCCTTGACACCAGCCTCGAAGCCGAGCTCGGGGTAGTCCACCTTGCCGCGAGGCTTGATGAACTTGGTCATGCCCACGCCGAGGACGTAGACGGGCTGCTTCTTGCCAACCATGATGACGTTTGTGAGGTTACGGATGTGGTGTACGGGTGGATGATCAGGAATGCAGCTCAGTGAAGAGATGCAATTATCAAAAAGTAAGGTAGTAGGATATACAAGTGTCTTGCACCTGACAGAGGCGCAATGTCTGGGGTAATAAGGCGTGGAGCTCGACGGTTAACCGTCAATCCCCACCTCCGCAACACGTTCGGTCGCGCGTGCCATGCCGAGGTCCCTTCTTTTTTGGGACGCGGCAGACCATAGCCGAACAATGTCGACCACCTGCATATGAATCGACAGACCGACAAGCGCAATCACTTTCATGTGTCTAGTCAGTCTAGCTTATTATATTGCATCCATAAGATCGTCCGAGCTTAAGCTCGTGCGAGTTGAGTTACCGACGACATCGCGCTGACACACGACTGTCTAGTCAGGTCTCACAAACGATGACTGTCATCCGCGGAATCAGACCCTCCAAAATCTGTGCAAGGCTGATGGTTTCAAGTTCCATGTTTCTCCGTCTCGTGTGGTAAGTTATTGAATTAAGTTTTGATGTGTACACACACTGCTCTTGCTGTAGAAGTACGGTTCATACGTCACTGTCGGTTATACGAAGACGGCCCGGCTATAAGTCCGACGAACTCCAGCTTTCCCAACATCGAAGCTTCGGCAGATGCTTCGTGTACTTGTGTGAGCATGCTTCCTTTGGATACAATAGCTCTGCATCTGCAACTGGGCTTACATGCAAACATCATCATGGTTGTGTGGTAAAGAAAGCTAGCAGACGTGGCACATTCGCAATTTAAGCTTTACATACATCTCAATCCACCATAGTCGTGCTCTACCTTCGTCCCTCGAAACTCCTCACAGACGCAAAAAAGAGTCCAGACGTTACTGGAAAGCATAGTATGGGAAAGTCCGTCACAAAGTTTGATGAGCACGTGCCTCAGCTTTGCCTCCTTCCAAAACCTCAGGGTATAATATCGTAGTACGAATAAGCTCGTATTTACCATCGGCAGCAATGCCAGGTTGCATCCGATAGAAAAGAGATATGGAACGCCATCGACACACTCTGAGATCAGGCCGGAGTAATGCAATGCCGACAAATAGTGCGTCTGGCAGGCCCGCGGGAGAGAAAAAGCTATGTATCCTTGTCCTGTCAGAGTGTAAACATGAAATAGTGAACACCCAGATCGAGAGCGAAGCGCCTGAGCGTGGTCTTTACCTACCTTGTTTAGGAATGGCGGCTCGTGTCTGTGTAAGTCGGCCCGCAGATAATTTGTCCGCCTGTAGGCTGTCACTCTCACGGGGCATGAGGCTTTCAGCGACATCCTGGAAGGTGAGCAAACAGTGCCTCGATCGTGCTGGTTGTGGGTTAGCTGCGACTTAGGGGATGTATATATAAGGGACCTCAGGCCTCTTTTCTTCACCACAGAACAAGTCTTCTATTCAAACTATCACTTACGATCTCCGCCTCTTCTCAAAGCCATCATGCGTCTCCCGCTCCTCCTCTCTCTCATCGTTGGCGTAGCCATCGCCGCCCCTCTCGATACCCCTGCCAATGCCGAACTAGTAGCAAGACAGAAATACCCAATTCATCAGGTATCCGAGATATGCTGCTCTAAAGATCATCTAGCGGAGAGGTTCTTCTGCGCTTGGTCGTATCCTGCCACTGGATGCAATCCGTGCCCCTCAGATATCGTGTGTTATGAAGTGTCTGTATGGATGGAGAGTTTCGCTAACGTTTGTAGCCTATATGCACAAAGCCTTGAAGGATGGGTTGACTCATGTTAGCTGGTGGAATTGATGTACGGCCTCGAGCAGGCAGTTTCAAACGGGCCGGCAGTAGATTGCCGCACCTTGAGAAGTGCGAGGAACTAGTGCGAGTTCGGACGGGATTGGCTCGACGTAAGAAATACGAAATGGAGATAGAATAGGAAGCGATTGCATGTTCTATCAAAACGCTGTTTCAGTGACTCAGTGACATTGCACAGCTGCTTTCTGCATGATAGAGAAAGGGGTACCCATGTGGTCACCAAAGCGGGGGTGGGAGATGGTGCTGACCGAAAGTACAATCTGGGAATACGAGAGACCTGAGGGCGGAGTGTATCAACTTATGACCAGGAGACTGTCTGGGCGTCTACCTGGTCAGTGAGGCTGCACTAATCATGGTGTTCGGGTACAGTGGACAGCTTGTAAGCACCCGCCACGTTCGCTGCTGGGTTCATAGTGCGCGACCAGGTCTGACCGAAACTATATTCTAACTTGCCCAATAGCACGTGTCAACGCCGCTAGACGAGAAAGGCGAACGAGCAATGCAGATGTATCAGTTCGGATACTAGTCCTGCTTACCATATCGTTAGTATAGCTAGTGCATATCTGCCAGTGAGGCATGACGTCTGCTTTATCGCTGCGGCGGCGAGGACAACTGTATGGATGCGTCGATTAATTGAGGCTGCTACTGGAATATAAAATTCTGGTCACAGCGGAGACTCCTTTTTCTCGTGCATAGGAGATGTCTGTATTGGAAAGAGGAACAAGTCCGATATCTGCATGAAGACAGGAGACAAGGGGCCGGCACGAAATTCGAGGCAAGTCTGCTGAAATGATTCCTGTAGACTTTCCTACGCGGTACGAGTCATATTCGATGGCGTTTGATATGCTTCGATGTGCAGCGATAAGAAGGTGGGTGGGATGCGGATATCTCCTAGGGCTGAGGTTGAGTCTCGAAGCATGCGAACCGTCGATCAGTTTCGATGCCATTCTTAGCTTACCGGTCGCCGATATCTTGGCAGTGGTGGGTTCGTCATCCAGACGGAAAGCACGAGCGCACCCCTCCCCAGCCACGCGCAATACCTTCTACGATAGCAGTTTGGTGTTTCTTGTTCTCTGTTGCTTTCATGTCCTAGTTGCGGTAATAGCGCGCCTGCTCTCTGCATTCACTGTACAACACGACGGGCCCCGGCGAATATCACCGAACCCATCACTTCTGCGCAGACTTCAGTGCATCCGCCCGTTGCAGCGCCGCAGCGGACTCCCTTCACTTCTGTGTATCATATTCTTGCATGCGCTTCAAGTTGCGACACATCTTACTGCGACCGCTTGCGGCCCGTATCAAACAAGTGCCGTCATCGAGGACGTGCTTTGTTTCATAACCAGCTCGGCATCAGCGACATCGATCTCCCTGTACCGGCCCAACACACTCGCGCGACACCTCGACGCAATAAATAGCAGGCACCGCTACCATGTCTCTTACCGACTCCGAAGTCGAGATGGTCAGCTCGCAGCTCCAGCGCGAGACGGACGACATACCAGAGGAGCCCGACATGAACCTCTCAGATGACGCCGGACACGGCCAGTATTATGAGCCTCCACCGCGGATTGCCGCTCGCTTTCACAGATACTCGAACAATCGCCGCAAGTCTTCGGCCGCGTCTTCGCGCCGAAATTCATTGTCTTCAACACACTCGCACGCCTCAAGCCGCTCGTACCGCAACAGCTGCCAGAGCCACCACATCGCCCAGCATCTCCGCCGCGCATCCATACTCGAGACCCGAAAAGCGAGACTGGCCGAACGCGCTGCACATGCCGAACAGGTCCGGCTCCGTGCCGCCTTGGCCAAAGCAGCGCCACGCGCCTCGAACAGCGAAGACAGGGCGTTGGCAGCAAAGGTGGCGCGCGAACGTCACCTCGCCCAGGTCGCGGCTGCGTGCGCTGAAGAAGTTAGAAGGGCCAAAAAGGTCGCCGAAGACATGAAGGAGCGCAAGGCCGCAGAAGAGCGACGATATCGCGTTGAAATGGAGGAGAAGCTCGCAGACGCGGAGAAGAGACGACTCGAGCTGTACAAGCGCAGTCCCCGCAGACCCAGGACCGCCAGTTCGCCTCCAGTAGACCCGAAGCGAGGGGCCGCCGACCGACCCGTGGTCACGTCGGAAGATGCCGCGAAGAGGATACAGTCCGCCTGGCGAGCAAGGACGAGGAAGAACATTGTCGATGCATGGATGGAGCTTGGCCTGTCGATTGACAAGATTCAGGAGACCAGTTTTGAGGACATCACAGAGTTGCTAGCAGATGAGAAGGTGCTCAGAACGACCGAGAAGATCATGACTGTCTTTGTGCTTCTCCCAGACCAGGATCCCGTCTCTCGAAGCACAGCTGTGCGCACATTTCTCTCGGCCTACTTAATTTTGGGACACCCGGCCCAAGTCCTCAGCCGAGACGGCGAACAGGAGCAAGACCTGATCACCAAGGCCAAGGACCTCATTATATCCTTCGAGTCTGCACTAGGAAAGCTTACCCCTTTCAACTACTACACTCCCTCGCCCACGCGGACAGAGACGGTTCTTCTTTCCCATGGCGCATTTACGAACGCTTTCAACAACTGGAAGGCTCGTGATTGTTCGGCCCTAGTCGAAACCATGGTCGCTTCTTTCATTAGTCTTGACGAGATCTGGCAGAGTGTCAAGGATGCGACTGTCGACGAGGTCGCGAACGAATATAGGAATGGAATTCGTGATAACCAGACCATCCTACTGAGCAGGATCAAGAAGTTGGCCGGACCCGACAAGGCCTTGATTCTGATCAGGAAGGCTATTCGTGAAAGTCGCAGGGCCAGGCCAAAGAAGAAGCTCGTCGGCGAGAACATACGGCCCCGAGTTGCTATAGACGCCACGCCAGATTCCCCAATCTCTGGTGATAGTGCAGCTATGCAAGCTGAAGCTGCGTCAGAGCTCGCCGCTTCTGTGGGAAGCCTTCAGCCCCCATCCGCGGAAGGACATCAGGCCCAGTCGTTGTCAAAGGTCTTTACAGTTGTACCGGACAACCGCGTTCTTGTACATGAGCTCTCCATCGACAAGGAGTACCGCATCGATGCTTCACCAACCGCAGATCTCAGGGACGCACTCAATCGCGAGCTCTGCAACGCTATGCTCAAAGGCTTTCAAGAGGGCGATAGCACCAACTGGACTGTCGCCATGGCCGAAAATATCCGTGGCAAGCTCTTGCGCTTGCTCAAGGCTGGAAACTCCATGCATACCCTGATTTCCGAGACCTTGGATCCCGAATTGATCAGCAGGCAATGCAACCAAGGCTTGTTCTCGTATGGAAAGTTCTTTGGCTTTATTGCTACCATACTCCCGAAGCTTTGCGCTCCTTTCCGTGATGTGCAGGTCCAGGCTCTCGCAGAGGAGCTTCAGGAAGAGGGGGAGTTGGCGGAGATGGTCGAGAAGCTCTTCAAACTTCTCCACGTCATTGACTTGCTGTCCCTGGATTACTCAAACTTCCTCTTGATGAACGCCGCACCCACTCTGATCAAGGAGGCTACTGGGTATGAACAGCGCATGTTCGCGCAAGATTTGGAGGAGGGCAAGATCGAACTAGACCGCACAAAGCGATGGTGGCGAAGTGCCGCCGTCAGCATGCACACTGAAGCTGATCGACGAGACCCATGGAACCAGAACAACTCCATCAACCGACCAACTGCCCACAAAATCTACGCTCGGGGTCTTGTTGATCTTGCAATTGCCACGCCACCGCTTCGTGACTCCGAGCTTCCTGAGACCCTTGAGCTAGACCGTGCCCGCATCTCGCGTATTCGTGAAGAGGCACTACGCATCACGATCATTGGAGGCATATTGCTCACAGTGAAGAACCTGCTCAAGCGGGATGTCAGATCGCCATGGAAGCCACAAGCCAACAGAATGTGGGATGTGCTGAAGGACGGCTACATGAAGGACCCGACCACTCCAGCAAAAATCTCGTCTCTGCTGGAGTCGTCGCATAACATGCCTGCCACGACACGCGCGCAGCTGTCTTCCACCATCACTCGCTTGCTAACACAAGCTGAATCTGGCAAACTATCTGACCCCGTCCTCAAGGTTCTCTTCCAGCGCTTGAAGACGCACATCTTCAACCGCGTCTCAGCTAGCAGCTCCGGCGAGCGCGTCAAGGCCGCAAGCACCGCCACCGAAGGACTTGCGACAACCGGTCTTCCGGAGTTTGTCTCCCAGGTCGCAGAAATCTGCGATCAACTCAGCAAAGTCAGCGACGTCGATCGCAAGACACACGGCAAGTGGTACGAAGAAATCGCCGAGGAATTGGAGAACGGTGGTGCTTTGGAAGGCGAGGACCTGACGCGCTCATCCAGCGCGGAGTCTGCGTCGACATCTTCGTGATGAAGATTGGTTCTATTTCTTATTTGCGCTTGTACGGGGTCTTTCGGTTTTGGATACTCAACATGCTAATGGTTGCTTTGCGTCTTCTCCCCATTTCTGAGGAGTTCTTTGGGGCGGGCAGGCATCATTCGGTCATTTTCAGCAAGGCGTTGGGTGGTGACATGGGCATTCATTGCGCATTCATTTTTTAATGAGCATATGGTCATCATTAGGATGGCGTGGGAGAGCAATATATGACTGGCTGAGCCAGGATTTCTTCATGAATTCCTGCGTGTTCCTTTGCCCTTGAAGTTTTGATCCAAATCCATTACTGACTGGTCATTGATTGCCGCCTGAGGGGGTTCAGGGACGCTCTTTGATGGACTTGCAAAGGAGCAACTCATCCTGTTGGACGTCAGAGGTATGCTTAAATGTAAGTCAAACTACTTACGTTGGTCAACCGCCTCGGGGCCGACAAGACGAAGCACTTTGTCTCCTTACCAGTTTCCCTATTGGTCTCCGACTTCTTCTAGCAAGACATTAGAGACGTCTGGCCGATGTAGTCTTTGGAAAACCTACTTTGAGCTCGAACTTATCATTGCCGAATTTTTCAATGCACATCGTCCTCAATTTATCCTCGTTGAAGTATTTGTTTGGGATCACCTGAGTCACTCTTTCCGTCATTTTTACAGTATCGGGAGATCTTTTTGTTGCAAATGATAACGACTTTCGTCTGGTTTTGTACATCAGAAAAGAGTATGCACAATTGCACGGCATTTTATCGCATCACAGCTGTGGCATCCAAGAAATAAATTTTCATGGTCATTCATGTACGAACGCATGTTGCCGACGGAAGTCTGCAGGCCAGGATGCGACAGAGAGTTCGTCTGTTCTCAGCGACTGGCCGACAAATAGTTTGCGTCTCCATTCATCCAATCAGATGCATCCAATTTCCCCATCCGTTCGTCACGAAGCGGTCCGGTGAGCATCTCGTGCGACTGTGCTCCGCCCCATGTCCCACGAAATGACTCCTCTTCTCAACGACTTTTGTGTTGTCTCTTCAACAACACATTTGAACGCGACAAACGAAAATGACAGCAAGCGCTGACTTCTTGCGGACGCTGTATGCGCAGCCAAACTCTGTCACAGAGGAATTCTACGAGCGTGGTGTGGGATCTGTATTTGACAAAGAAGACGATGATCTGAGGCTGGAATGTTGGTGTTGGTCTGGTTTGACGCTGCGCGAGTACACCCGGATTAAACAGGCTTCAGTACAACATGTCCAATCTCCGCGAAAGGCACGTCTTACTAATTTATAGCAGGCCATAGCAAGTTGTCAAGTCATTGACGATGCCGTGCTCGAGACTGCACAAGTTGTGAAAAGTGATACAGAATTCAACAAAGCCGTTTCGCCCAGTCTCAGTATTATCGATCTGGACGTCAACAAGTTAGCTAGATTTATTCAGGCACGTCAAAGCCATAATGCAAATTGAACTGCAGCTGACTGCTGTAGGTAACGAGTCGGCAATTTAGGATTTTGTAGGACCGTATCATTCCTTTGATGTCTGTGCTGATGGTCTGTAGTTTCATTCGACAAGACGATTCTCACAGTCGCCTCCAGATCTCGAAAGAGGTGTTTGCAGTACTTGCTGGAGAATTGCAGTTGTACCCGCAACTTCGGGAGTTTCTTGTCGATTTTAAATGGAAATTGCGAGAGACCGAGGTTGGTCCACCTCGTATTAATTTTCGACCACTCTCGTCGTCGCCGTCACAAATGCAAGACACGAGTGCAGGTTTTGGTACTTTTGATACTACTCCCTAGTACTGTCGAGCATTGATCTAATATCTCTTAGAATGCGCCTACATTGTCCGATTCATAGAGTTCACCAATCGAGAGGGGGAATTTCCTTGGTCCCTTCGACAGTACGTTGTCTACCACAAGTACTCACCTGAAGAAGCCACCCACCCGTCAACTTGGATGCTATTTGGATCTTCTCAACGCACGGAATCATGCATAAAACGATACTCCGCCAGTGGCAAAGATATGATTTCTGGTAATCCGTTCGAGCTCCATGTCCTTTTTCTGGACATCGCCATCGCGTCATGGAGGCCGTATCTCATCGAATTTCACGATGCCATAGCAGATCTAGTAAGACAGCTCGGCACAAATGTTACAAAAAGCTAATGAGTAACTAGTCGGAGAAAGCCTTCATCATGGAGATTGGGAAAGGTGATTCTTTTGAGCAGGCGTACACTGTTGACGTACAAGACTACCAAAGTCTCAAAGAAATTGAGGATCGCGGTTCAGATGTGCTGTTGTGCCTAGACTCCACACTGGACACGGTCACAACCATTCGCGAGCGGTACACAAGTTACCCCTTAGCACGTGACGGCCTGAAGCAAGAGGACATACGCACACAAGACGAGATGTTGTTTGCGCTAGAGGAGCAGCGAAAGTCAATCCAATACTCACGCAAAAAAGTTGAAGCACTCCTTTCAAAGGCGGAACATACTCGCGCTCTTGTAAGCCAGAATCTGGAGACTCTGTGCAAAGCTTACTTCTGTAGATATCGTCTCTTCTTGATCGTCTGAATGGTCACAATCTCGACCAGCAGATGGTTGCTCTTCAAAGCCTTCAGCGGCAAGCGCAGGACGAGAACGCCATTATGCGAGAGCTGGCAGAGCAAGGCAGTCGTGACTCTGCCAGCGTGCGTATCCTGACTATACTGACACTCATCTACCTACCATGCACAGTAGTCTCGGTAAGATTCGCGCTGCCACACATGTACTCGCGGTACTGACGCATCCGTAGAGTTTTTACTCCACGCAATTCGTGGACAAGGACAAGTCAGCTGACGGCCAAATGAAAATGAAGTATGCTGACAACGCCTGGCTTTTCTTTGCTGTTTCCATCCCACTCACTTTTTTCACAATTATGGTCTGGTACAGCTGGGCAAACTCTAGGGCGCTCTACCGTGCTGTGGTGTTGAAGCATGATGAGGGCACGGCCAAGATTAGGAAGCGTGTCAAGAGCTTCAACTTTCTCGGGAAATCTTCAGGTCTTCCCCGTTGAGGCCTAGTTGAGGTAGAAAGGGCAGGATGCATTTGTCAGTTGCGAGCAAAGATTAATTGATTTATATGACCCAACGCATAGATTTGCAAAGCTCCCCATTCTCCGCCCGCTCTTACCTGTCACTGGGCGTATACGTCTATTGCCATCCAGCAGCCTGACAGCATCATCTGGCACCAGAGATGGTTGTCATAATCACGACGACGAAGACAGAGGCATCTGGCGTGTACACGTGCTCACATAGTTTGCCAGTGTCAAGCTGATGAAGAAGTATTAATTCCACACCTTTAAAGATGTGAGAAGTTCGCCAGACAGTCTCTCTTATCTTGTCAATCCATAGCCTTGATCATCAGGTTGAGTACCACAGCTCGTATGCCTTTCACTGTCCCAGAAAACTCAAAAGCGCTAGCAGCATGCCAAACGCATCTCAAAACGCATCTAAAAAACAACTTGAAGGAACGGTCTTTCTTAGGTACTCAGCAAGTCTACATCCGCGATCGGATCTTCATCGACGAAGTCTCAGCAAAGGGAACCATCCTAACGGTCATTAACAATGATGCGACTCTCAGCATGCACAGTCCAACAAAGAAGAAGAAGCTTGCCGCCGAAATTCATAGCAAAGGACTAAGGATGTTTGTCATTTGCGCTCATGGTAAAGTTCGCATGGAGTGCCTGCGTTTAATGCTTCAGAAAGGCTTCACAGACAAAAGCCTTCCACTCAAAGAGTTCCGTCTCGGGAACAAATACTTTGAACATGACTTCAAAAAATTCATCGAAAGTCAATCCATCATTGACATCATTGACATCAGTGTACCAGCTTGGTCGGCCTTGACCCCAGGATCCTTCGTGGGCAACATCGTCGCAACGGATGAGCCACTACCAATGCAGTCGGAAGCATATTGTGGCGAAGGAGCAGCCGCTATAGTATGGACCTGCAGGTTCGACACGATGCACCAGGACAATTTCAAAGCAGGTAACACGAGTATCGCGGACAAAACACTTAGCCACCGCCTGGCTGTGAAGGTGTTCTCAGATCATGTTCAAGCTAATCGAGAGCGGTCCTTTGTGGACTTTCTTGAGATGAACCAAATACAGCACGAACACGTTGTCAAGTTTCATTTTGGGTTTGAATACAGAGGCAAGTATCATCTCGCCAGTCAGCTCGCTGAGCAGTGCTTAACAGATCGATTCGCGAAAACAGAGTCCAATATCCATGACCGTCCCTGGCTTCGACTGCAGATCACCGGTCTCGTAGACGCGCTGAAGACCATTCATGGACCGACAAACGGTACGACCGCCTTCCACCATGATATCAAACCAGAAAATATACTGGTATTCGGCAAAGATGATGGGTACAAGCTCAAACTCGCAGATTTTGGTGCTGCAGGCTTCGACCACAATTACACTCCGGGCGTCAGAAGTCGCAAAACCCACGCACAAGGAGATAGCTATCTTCCACCCGAGTATATTAATGATCAGCGGACTTCCCGACCCCACGATGTGTGGTCCCTAGGATGCGTCCTCGTTGAGCTTTGCGTCTGGTATTTCCACGGCTGGGTCCCCAACGGACTTCTCCAACTCAAGAATGACATCACGGAAGCGAAAAACAACCACAGATTATGCTGGTTCATCGAAACACCTTTGAGTGATGAAGAACTACAATCCGGAGTAGTAGCTGTATCGCCAAGACCATTGGTTCTTGTCGATGCAGTGCTCCGAAAACTGGAGGCGTTGAGAGAGCAGAATACTAACATGAGCAAAGTGGTCGATGTCCTGTCCAAAATGCTTAATATCGATCCTGTTTCACGCATCACGGCCGCTAGAGCTTTCGCAGAGCTCAATGCTATCCCAGTGGATTGGGAAGCATGAGTATACCCCATAGGCGTGGAACATGGAGGTAAGATCTCGTTGGAGAAGGAGTCATGAACTTTGTGGATTTTGGGAGGTAAAGTGTCTTGCATTCCTTTTTGTTCTGGTCATTGCGCAGTAAATTGGTAGTTAAGGTTTGTTTTGTCAATTTCTGTTTAGCTGTCGTCTTCTAATAGTTCATTTCTTTACATCATATCTCCTAGCGTCTTTCCGAGTGATGCTTTTAGGTGAGACACTTGTGCAACAAGTCCAGATACTCGTTTGATGACACGCCTCTGCTTGATACAAGGCTCTAAAGTCTGTCGAAATAACCAAGTCCAAGATTTAGGTAGCTAAGGTGATCCAGGTGATATCGTGTGCATAATCAATGCACAGCATTCAGCTTGACCAAGACAGACTTAGAGCATGCTCATGATGCTGAACCAAACCACGTCTTGCATTCATGGCTCATGAGTGGTACATGACCAAGACAAGTGTCATACGATAATTTTTTGTTTGTTTGTGCAGGCAGGACGACTAGTATAGAAATGGAGTACTCCATCCCAGAAAACTAAGGTGTGATCAATTACATTGGATCATTGCAAATCATGATCTCTGAACCGCAGGAAAAGCTCGCCTCCTTACTGACGGGATTCCAGAAATCGATCAGCAACAGAACTCAGACGACAGCCTGGTTTGGAACTTCATCAGCATTTATTCCGGTGCATACACGAGATTCAGTCTGAGATGCGCGGTACGTTTCATGAAGTCTAGCTCAACATGAACTTATTCGCCTTCCCAAGTGCGGGAGCAGTCGCCAGAACAAGCAATTAAAGTCTCTCTTTCGCTATCAACTCTCTCAACTACCTGAAAACCAGTAGGGCGGCAAAAGATCTTCTTCAAGCTCTACATCGAATGAAGGTCAAGCACTCGGACCTTCTGACAAGCTACACCGGTTTTCAGATAGCGGATACCTTCTACATCATCTTCGAACGCCCTGAATGTGATCTCCGAGGCTTCATGAGTGGAGGTAGGGATAAACACTCATGTATGACAGCAAAGTGGCTTATGCAACAGCTGATTGGTCTTGCCGGTGCCCTCCGAGCTGTTCACGACTCTCAACTAAACAAACATGGTATTGGTCCCCATGGTGTCAAGCCGACCAGTATCTTGGTAACCAAAGATAATTCTGGCCACGTCTTAAAGCTCACTAACTGGAGTTGTGCAAAGGCCGATTGCATCGTCGCTGGCGCGACTCACAAAACCTTGCAGGGAACGACACTACATACCATCCGCCAGAGTATAATGCAGTCCCAGGTGGAAGACTCAGCAAATTTTCACGGCCTCACGATATCTGGTCACTTGCTTATCTGTATCTGGAGCTGCTTGTCTGGTTTTCTGGAGGTAAGGAAGGGCTAGCAGTCTTTGCTAGGGTGAGGTCCGAAGACAAAGAGAGAGATGCGCACTTGAGCAACAGCTATCACCAGAAGTATCAGATCAAAAGGGCCGTTCTAAACGAGATGCATGATTGGCGCCTTAAAGAGAGGAAGTGGTTTTACATGCTGAAGTCGACCCTCGTGTAGCGACCCAGAGGTAGCGAGGTGGTTGACATGATCCAAGTCTATGGTTCGTATTCGGCTTTCATAGCCGATGTGGAGGAGGAGGAGGAGGTCCAGGAGGCGCCGGACGCTGCCCGAGACCAACTTGAACAACCGGCATCAAATGAGGGCTTTTAAACCGAACCAGAGCGCGAGGAGAGGAAGAAGACAAATGCTATTTAGGCATCTATGATCGCAGCTGCCAGAGAGTTGGCCAAAAAAGCTGCAGCTACCAAGCCTCAAAACGACGGCTATCTCACGGGTGATAACTGGGGCTCCAGCGAAAGGTCAGACGAAGATGTTGAATCGTTGGAGGACGAGGATGAAGGTGAGAGTAATGAGATGGCTGAAGGAGGAGAAGGTGGTGTAGGCGAAGAAGCGGAAGTAGTGAGCTAGAATGAGGAGGAGGTTATATTGTACCATATGGTAGTTTGTTCATACCTCCACGCACTGGATAAATACGACAATGTGACGTATGGATTTGTGACTAATCCTTCACTTGTTGCATTTCTTAGTCTTACTTCATGTCTTCGCCTTCGAAACCGGCTGTGAGCAATCCACGAAGCATATGAGAGGATCAAGCTTCTAAGTCACTTCCCCATCCTCGTGATATTCCTCATACATCGTGTGAACATATTCGTCGACAAATAGCAAACATGAGTGCCTCCATGAAACTACAGGGTTCTGGAAGATTTTGTCCGTGATAGTTAAGACTGAAAATACCGAGCACCTGTAGGGTTGAACGCTTCTACAACATGCCCAACTTCCTCCCTGATCTTCCACAAGACCGTACTATGCGCACTCTCTATGTGCGAGAAATCATCAACTCGCGATGCGAGAACTACAGTTTTGGCGAAACATCTATGGCCTTTCTCCCATACTTTTACATATCCGAGATTGCCCATGATCTGATCATTGATCAGATCGTTTCTACTGACATGTCTGGACACGGACTCTCACGAGAGGACTCCAATGTACTGAAGCATATGCTTCAGACCAAGGCTGTGAGATCCTTTGCTATTTACTTATATTGTGGCATGTCATGGGACGCTCTCGTTGAGCTTTTAAAAGCCATAAAGCACTCCGACGACGCACTTCCCCTGATTACCCGCCCCACCGACATGTCAGTGGAATATTTCGAGCGTTTCAAAAAAGATCAGTATCTCTTTCTCGCGCCTTTATTTTTCGAAGGACGATTCGATCTCGAGCTGAACGAAAAGACACCCATCCCAATCAGCTTTTCAGAAGAAGACTGTCTAGGCACCGGTGCAGAGGGCCAAGTCTACGAGGCTACAATCGACCCTGACCACGCGAAAATCCCGGACCTGATCGAACCATTCGCCCTCAAGAAGATCACAAGAGAAGGAACCGCCCTCCATGAGATGGCCGTCCTCGGAATTCTCGCAACCTCCCCTGTCGCAGCACACCCGCACGTAGCCAAAGTCCACGCAGGTTTCACATTCGATGGGAACAGCTACGTGATCGCAGAAAAGGTGTACTGCGATCTCGACAAATTCATGCGGAAGAATCGAGAAGGCGCCCAATCTGATCTCACTCGGGAGTGGTTCCTGCACCAACTCCGCGGCCTCGCCAACGCATTTGCGACCATCCACACAGCCGTCCCCGGCTACCGCGTACACCACGGCGACCTTCGGATAGACAGCATACTTGTCCGGGAAAGGAATTCCAGAGACGCAAGATCTTACGTATACACTCTAGTGATCAACGACTAGGGTCTTGCCGATGCGCTACCACTCGAAAACACAAACACCGCTGACGCTGCATCCTCGTCGAAGTCCCGGAATACTGATGTGGAAGACTTGGTTATGGTATTTTTTAGCTTGATTGTCTGGTACACGCAGGGCTTTGGAGCTGTAAAAGCCCTTGACAGGGAAATAAGCTCCAGTCGATTCAACACCGTTGAGCAGATATGTGGCAGACATTTGGACGAGCTTACGAGAAGAGACAATCAAGTCTAGGCGAGGCAGATAAGTGTTATACGTGGGATGTTGGCGACTGAAGAGGATAGGTGGACCGCTGCTGAGGTTTGCGAAGCTGTTTGATGTTGGGCGCGGCAGCGCAATGCAGGAGCCAATGTAGCTTTGGAGCTATTCCGTACGTTAAATAGGGTTCGAATTGTGCCTCACGAAATACAACTCGAAGTTGCCTTGGGAAAGATCCGAATAATAAGATCGGACAAAATCACTAATCAATGGCCGCAGACGGCTGACGGACGATATCTAATCGTAATCAATGGGCTCTACACGCTGATAGCCACTTCAAGCTTCAAAATTGGCTACAAACATGCCTAGGTGTTGTGCGCCGCACTTGATTTTGCGAAGCATGGTACCCTGGCTTTTGTGTGTATCCGCAACCTACTTTAAAAAGCTCTTTGAAAAGGTGTACCAGGACCTCATCGAACGATAAACATGGATGGAGATTAGCTCGACTGCCACGATGGATCATGATTTAAACTTTGGACGGACGAAGATGGACCTTCTAGTTCACGTCGAATGCAGTGTTCTCCCGAACCGACATATATGTTGCGGAGATACTGCTGACACAAGCTTCTGCAATCAACAAACCTTCATATTAAAGCGATGTACATGCTCTGATTTTGGTGTTTGCGTGAGAAAAGCCTCAGTCTCTCGGGCATACGTATCTCGTATTTCCACATCGTTCCTACAGCCCAGCAAGTCAGTTGCAGTGGCATTGGCATTAATTTCAAAGCCTACGTTGCAGGTATGATTGTGAAAGATGTCGAAGGCTACCCGCTGACTTGTACGAAAGGGAAGCGGTTGGGCAACACTGTCAGTGCCTGCTAATACCCGAAAATGAAGCTATTGCTTACGATGACAGACAGCTGCTGGCTCCTCTTCTGGCAGTGCTGTAGGCGTTGCAGCTGGTTTCGCACCATTCGCTATTGGAACCGAATTTGATCCATCGCTTGTTCAACCTGCTGACGAGCTGCATTATACTCCATGAAGGCCACTATCGGTGCTATTCAGAAGATGCGCACCCCCCCTGATTCAGCTGTTCTAAGAATATCTATGACGAACAATGATGTACCTGATGATATCATAAGCGGGCAGCCTTTTTAGAGGTTAGAATTATATGGTTCAGTCTAAAAGTGACATCTGTCAACGGCTATCTAGGCCCTTATTAGCATCTGTAAGGAAATCCGCCAATAGGAGCATACGGAGGTGTCCTGCTCGTTGTATGGTTAAGCTGGAGAGGGGGTGCACACATTCTGAATACGATAATATTGGGGCCGTTGATATCTCTGGTTCACAATCAGATGGGAATAGGTTCGCTAGCGTTGGTGGCATGACTAATTGTACAGCAGATCTGGCTATATTAATGTCCACTCTTCTCCCAGATCAGAACTTATTTGGGATCGTACTTGCAGCGGCTCAGGTAGCAGGCAGCTTTGCAAAGGGCGGGAGTCAGCTGTTCCTGATAAGCTATGAAGAGGGATTGACAATACTTTGATAGCGGTACCCTATGCGTACAATTTGAGTCCTGCTAAACCCCACCACTAAAAATTCTCCAAATCCCCCTTCATCACCTTCTTCTCCTCCCCACCCACAAGCTCATACATAACCCACCCACTCAGCCCCCTCACCGAATCCAACTTCTCCACCCCATCCTTATCCTTCTCCCCACTCCTCTCCACCCCAATACCCAAACTCCCCGCCACCATCTTCGTCTTATACTCCACCCCGTTATCAATCACCGTAACCGGCACGCTCGCAAATCCCGTCGGGATGCGTTCCGTGTCGACGCAAGCATACCACACCCCATCAATCTGTAGCCTTGGCCCACAGATATTGTTTTTTTCGACGGGGGTGTACGGGTCAGAGAAAGCGGGTGAATTGCGGTAGTACATAGACACCCCTTCGGAGTCCCAGAAACAGAATGCTGTGAGCCAACCGGAGAGGTAACTCTGGCCGGATCCAGCGGAGTGGTGGACGATTGAGCTCCAGAAGGTCTTTACTTCAGACGACATTTCGGGATCGAAACTAGCCACGAATCTGCGCATGATGGGGCGCAGGAGGGATGCCCAGTCTTTTGCTTCGGGGCCGAGGTCGTCCAGTTTGTCGAGGCGCTGGAGGATGTCTTCGTAGTCGGCGCGTTGGCCGAGGAGGGTTATGGTGGGTATGCCACACATGATATCCATGACGTAGTGGAAGTATGCTTGTAAGCTGCCCATCATGAGGACGGCGGCGGTTGTGCGGTCGTGGACGGTGGTGGTGCTGAATGCGGGCATGATCCAGTCTCTGAGGTTGGGGTCGTTCACATTCTCTTGGATTAAGCCAGTCATTCGACGGGCGAGAGCGCCTATGTCGACACTTTCAATGGTTCCGACTGCTGTGACCTTAAGTTCCTTCTGACCCTCGTGCGCAACGAAGTGTGAGCGGAGGTCTTCGGCGTGGGCGTTGATATAGAAGTTCAGTTGGGAGAGGATGGCGAACCAGATATCATCGGGTCGAATGGTGAGGTGGTGATGGCTGCTGTAAGCGTCCCAGACTGCGTATATGAAAGCGTTGGTAGAAGGTGTGATGTGGGCATTGTGAAACGTAGAAGGGGATAGAGAGGACTGAATGATACCCGCGCAGTCAAGAGCTTCGGTGTAGCATGACTCTTTAAACAAGCCTTCTGGAGAGGTTGCACTGGGCTTGTTCCAGTTCTCCGAAGCGTTGTCTGTGACTCTGAATGTGACAGGCATGATGAACGACGCCAGATAAAGAGATTTGAGTGATAGTGAAATGTGTGTTGTGAAGTCTAGTCTCTCAATGATGAGGAAGATGTTCAGGCAACGCCAGGTTGTAGAGAAGCAACTTTCGGCAGATATGTATATGCGTGCCCTCTGAAGGTTGCCTAGACTTTGTGCGGGGTGACTGTGCCGCCATCGTGAGTCGTTGATCGACATGGATATAATGTGATGCGCGCAACCATAAGAGACTTCGAGCGAAGAAGCCCTGCAGATCCGTGCTATGTTGAACATGAAATATCTACATAAATCGTACAGTAATCAGTACTTATAGAGCATGCTCAGGCATGCGCCGGCGCCGATGTCCCTTCTGGCACGACCGTTGACTGTGGGGTGTTCGGTATACTGCCTTGTCCAGCCAGCTCTTCCACTGCCATGTCGTACTCTCCGGCACTCATGTCACTACCCTCGCCCTCAGGAGCCTCGTCCGACTGACCGCTGAACATCTGTGCACGCATTGCCTGCTCATCTTCGATCTGCACGTTCGCCCATCGCTTCCAAGCCTCCCAGCTCTTGTCTTCGAGTTCCATACCAATCTCCAGCGGGCCCTTGCCGAAGTATGCGCCTACATATTGCGCCTCTTCCTTGGCGATGCGCGCCCGGATTTCATTTCGATGTCGGTGGGCGTAGAACTCTTGTCGTGCAGCGTCGTAGGCAGAGGCTTTTGAGAGGTTTCTGTGCTTCATGAGCCACATTTGGCGTTGGACGACACTGCTATATATCAGCCTGGCACTCCTGAGAAATCCAATTCGTGAACCATTACCTCTCTCCATCTAATTGCTTCCCTGGCTGCACAATCTTGCTCCAATCGTATTTCTTTGCGTCGTTCCCGCTATCTTCCACTATCAACCTCGGCCTCGCCAGCTCCCACGGGTGGTCGCCAAAGAAGTCTGACCGCAGCTTGTCTTCGGCATATGTGATGGGGAGTGGTTTGAACAGCTTGCTAGCTTTCCGTGCGTGTCGGACTTTTGGTGCGCGGAGAATTGGACGTGCGAGCGTCTCGCCCGGCGGGATATTGCCGACTACCTCATACCACTGGGGCAGGTTGGGGTTGCGTTTCGAGTCGAAGAGTGCTTTCGCCGTCTGGCGCACGCGGAGTGGGCGGAAGTCGTAGCGGCCCATGATGTCTTGTTGCAGTCGTTATCGCACCATCAAGTCTTTGATTACGACAACCCGCAGGGCAAGGACAACGGGGGAAGGCGCAATGGATGTGGTTGTCGCTGCCCGACTTGCCTGCGCGAAAACCGCGGAGGTCGTTGCCAAGACATTCCCGAAAGCTAGCAACCCCAAGAATTTATCGCGATAGCCCCGAGCCGCCTCCTTGCCCGCCATCGCACCGCTGAAGCCCTTCGATGGGTCTGTCCTGATCAATTGCGATCGCCCGAACCAATGGAACTCAGCCGAAGCAGAGTTTACTGACACGATGCTCGACCTCCCATGTCCCTCCTCCGCACCCTCGATCGGACCTCCGCAGTCTCGAATACCAATGCACGACCATTTCTCACCTTCCTGTGCCCAGCACTCCAAAACAAGAAGAGCAGACGCAGCTTCAGCAAAAGTGCTGTGAGCAACTCTCCACGAGCGCCTCGGTCTGGAGAGCACGTGGAGGCTTTCTTCATCCAGGCATTGGTGCGGGCCGGGACGCATCGCGGCCATGTGAAGCAGCTCTCGACATTGCGCGAGATACTTCCATACACCCCGCACAAATTTGGGACACGGCGGAAGAGCACTTGGCAGAGTCAAGACAGCCAGGAGGCGAAGTCGGAGGGAAAGCCCAAGAGGTCAGGTCCCATCAAGAAAATCAGACAGTTCGCGAAAAGTGAGCTAGAGGCGCTGGTGGACTACTATGGCATCGAAGTCGATACACGGCCCGAACAGGACCCTCCAGACGAAGAAGGGTCGCTCGTATGGAACGTGGGAAACGACCACGAACCATGGCCACTACAAAACAGAACAGATGGACGGTACATAAAACGCATTGAGAAACTGCTGGAAGACGACGAGTCCTCGCATGACAAAATCTTCAAGACGTACAAGATGCTTCCGTCGCCGGGTGTTGTGTATATGACACAGGAAACCATACGTGGGCTGCTGCACCACATGTCCATTGTCGAACGTCCTACGCCCCTCGCCATGCAGCGTTTCTTGTCTATCCTCGACGACATGAAGAATGCACATATACACATCACACGATCAGAGTGGACATCTGCCATCTATCTGACTGGCAGGGCCATGGGCGCCGTATCTACTGACGACCTGCAATCTGCGCTGCATCTCTGGCGCGACATGGAGCACAGGGCCGGCGTCAAGGGCGGTTTCGTAACGCTAAATGTGCTTTTTGACATCTCCGTCAAGGCAGGAAAATATCAGCTCGCAGAGACGTTTCTGCAAGAGCTCAAGAAGCGCAAGCTTCCGCTTCATCGCCACTTTCGAGTCTCGAAGATCTACTACCACGGCATCATGCAGAACGGCAATGGAGTACGCGACACCTACCAGGATCTTGTAAAGGCGGGGGACATCGTTGACACAGTCGTCCTGAACGCCGTCATCGCTGCTCTCATACGTGCTGGTGAACCTGGCGCCGCTGAGCACGTCTTCGAACGGATGAAACGTCTGCACTCAGGTAGGTCTGTCGCAGCACCTGGCCACAAGTTCTTCAACCGCACGTGGCGCGATCGCAGAGCTCTGGGTCTTCATCTGACGCACGAGGCCCGTGAGTACAAGAGAATCAACGATGAAGACGCACTCAAAGAACTCCAAGACTACGCACCCGTCGCGCCCAACTCCAGAACGTATGCTTTGCTGATACGGCACCAAGCGGGGGTCGCTGGCGATATTGATCGTGTATATGACCTGATGCAGGAGATGCGCTACAACTCTGTACCGCTCGAAGGCACTGTGTTCATCACAATCTTTCATGGCTTCAACAAGTTCGGCGGCATACGCTATTCGGAGTGGACGCGCAACAAGCTCGAGAACATATGGGCGCAGTATCTCAAAGCGCTACAGGACGGCCTCGAGTGCACATGGATCTCAACCATCGCAGTCATTGCTGCATTGAAGGCATTCGCAAAGTGTGCAGATCTGGACCGGACGATGCAGGTCTGGGACGAGATCCGCAAGATGTGGCAGCCCAACGAAGAAGAGCTGGAGAAAGTGCTGAAGATGTTACGGAAGCTTTTCCCTCTACGCGATGGTTTCTTCGATACCCAGCGGCCGATGACTTGAGGATCATAGTATAGATTTATATATACGCTCGCATTGTTTGCAAAATATGCTCACAGCTTCGCCCCCTTCGCCTTCTCCGCCTGCTTGTGTATCTTCAACGCCTCCCTCACGCCTAGATCAATAAGGACATCTTCCGAACCCCCAGGAACCACAAAACTCGGCACCGCGCGATAGAAACTCTCAATCCTCGCCCCTTGCCCCGTCTTCGTCAATCCCAGCCCACCCATGATCTTCAAACACTCCTCCGCGACATATTTACAAACCATCCCGCTCTCCACTTTCAGCAGCGCCGTCGTGCCCCCCAACAACCGCGCACCATCCGCGTCACTCAGCTTCTCCAGCTCATAGATGATCTGCTCCGCCCATGCCTGCAGACTCTCAACCTGGCGCCCCATGTTTCCAAACTTGTTGCGCACAACAGGTTGCTCGATAAGCGTCTTGTCAAACGCCTCGCGCTTGATCGCCCACTGCCACGCATCATGCAGCGCGATGCGACAGCCGCGGATGGCTTGGAACGCGATCCACAGCCGCTCGTGGTTGAAGTTGACCATGGTTTGCTTGAAGCCCTCGCCTTCCTTGCCGATGAGGAATTCCACGGGGACGTACACGTCTTCAAACGTCACGTACGTGGTTGCGCTCAGTGGGCCAGCGATGACGTCCAGTTTACGGGTTTTCAGGCCCGAGGCGCGCGGGATGAGCAGCATGGAGATGCCGGATGCGCCAGGGCCGCCGGTGCGCACGGCGGTCATGAAATAATCGCTAAACATACCGTTTGTGATCCATTTCTTTGTGCCGTTGACCACATAGTGTTTCCCATCCGCCGTCTTCTCTGCGGTAGTTTTGATATTGCGCACGTCTGAGCCCGCATCCGGCTCCGTCACCGCCAGACAGATCCTCTTCTCGCCCGACAGTATCTCGGGGAATATCTTGTCCTGCAGATTCTGGCTTGCGAATTTCAAGAGGGGTGGAGCGCCGACTACGAGTCCGATGAATATTGACGCCAGCCCGCCCGCGCGGATCAATTCGTCCCACAGGATGAAGTCGTGGAACCCGTCCCATTCCTGCGGCGGGATGTTGCCGATGATGGGGTATTTGGACCATTGTGGAGGGATGGATTTGCCGAAGGCGATGGGAACGAGGAGGCCGGCTTGGGCGCATTTGGTGTAGATTTCGGGGTCGACGCGGCCGGCTTCATTCCAGGCGTCGGTGTGTTGTTCGATGTTCTGGGGAGTGTTAGGGGGTGGTGTGGGATGAGTGGGAGGGTGGATGTACTTCTTCACACCACGTTCGGACGGCGTCGCGGAGTCGGTGGTGGCTCTCTTTGTAGTAGGCAGATGGGCGGCCGGTGTACCTTTGCCTGGTTAGTCGTGGGATTCAAGTGTGTGTAAGTGAATGTATTACCAGGCTGGTTCAGCCCATGGCAGTGAGCTGCCGTATGGTTTCGAGAGTCCGTCTGTCATAGTGTGCTCGTGGTGTGGACCAGATTCCGTCAATTGAGAAGTTCTGACGACAAGTATAGGGTATTATATCGGGAATAGCTTCAAAGAGCATAAGCTCATGCTGATATCGGCTACATGATTTGTAGAGAAGGATCATCGCAGTATGTTGACAAGTCAAGCTCGTGTCGCGCTGGACGGGCCGAGGCTCTTCCCCGCACTCTAGAGCTGTGGGAGCGTCCAGTTTCGGTATCTCTGAATGCGCCTACTGTACCCTCGGATGTACTGTTGATTCGACTTGAAAGTCATCGCGGCTTTGCCCCTTTGGAATTTTTTTTTGTGCTGAGCCTGCTGTCGAAAAATGCACGTCTAGTAGCACACTTCAAGACACGCGTGAGCACGTGTTATGCTTAGCGCATGCGATCTATCCAACCTTGGAAGCCTCGCGTACACAGCAACAATCGTTCGCACAAAAGTCAACCCCTCCACCAAACAAAACAAATGATTCGCCGACCCTGAAATCCTGAGGCACGCATCAAGAACATGTCAAATGTCAGAAATCGGTATTTCGGCCTGCTGCCGACCGCGGTCTCTGTGAGAAGCAGCCTTGTATAGAGGCATATTTACGTAGCGCGGTCTCCACTGTCTGGCCGGTACTGCTCGATTGAATTGTACTCCACTCGTCCAGTTCCGGCAGAATCTCAAGCCGTTACAGCATGTCTCTTGAGTTCGTGTCCGCCACATACATAAGATCTGTGTGGGGCTGAAACGCTTGATCTTTTTTGATGTGGCCCCCCTCCCTCCCCAAGGAAATCGCTCTAAGCTTTTACTACAGGTAGAATGCGCTTTCTTGGGTGATCTCCCATTCAACTGAAACCTGGTAAGCTTGAAGAATACTAAATATTATGTTCGTGAAGCCGGTATGCTGGGCCGCAGGATCTGGAGAACCGCAGAAGCTTCGTAAGACAGAACATCAGGAATCAGAAAGCTCTCTTGGCCACCGCTGTGCTAACCATCAAGACGGTGAAGAGTCTCGTAGTGTCCAATTCAAGGACTCTAGTCGACACACTATACCCGGATCGTGACACCATCATCCAAGTATCCGACACCACTTTGGCTCTACGACATTTCAAATTGAAGTACTCAAAACTCCCTTCGCATTTCCTCAAGAAATATGCTCGCTTGCTGGTTTGGGCCGAGGAGGAGTTGGTCATGGTTTATGAACTCTACGAACTACAGGCACAGCTCGCAAGAATTCCACTAGAAGATTTGGCCACTCTAAGTAGGGGCTCACGATGGCAGGCAAGAGTTGCTGGATCGTACTGTCTGGAATTGAAGAGAACTTGCAAAGAGAAGCAACTGCCGTCGCAGTTGACAGAAAACCTTCTACAGGCCCTTATCAAATTCTGCGCTAATTCCCTAGCAAGAACTCGGGCCGCTGATGCTTTAATATCAGGGTCAGGACAGCGGTTTTTCAAGAAGGATTTTACAATGGAGGATTACGTCGAGATCAAGAACCGACGGGTCTTGAAGAGCGGCGGTCCGCCTAGGAAGTCCAGCGCTTCATGAGCAGCTTCCCTAAAGGAGAGGAGGTTTGGACAACTGTCCGGAAAGCTATTGAAATCAAATAAAGGGAATAGCTTCCTATGGCAAACGGCACAGAGATTTGAAAGCCCAAGTTCCGACGGCAGACTATCTTGTTGAAGACTGGCGTGGTGACGTACTGGCGGCCAGCAGACCGTTGAACGTACACATGTACTAGACAAGCGACAAGCCATTTCCTAACGGTCGCCACACGTCTGAACTAAATTTTTTGGCATGTCCGTCTCAGCACAGCAACATGTTCCATCGACAACATGTCGCCACTCGCGAAGCACGTGGAGCTACCAGATCGGCGGTAGCAGTCAAGCGATGGTCCACAACACTGCCGAGGCGATATCGTGGAGTTGTCTGGACCTGCGTCTGCAAGATCTTGCTAGGCAATCTTCCGCTCGGTACAACTTCCTCGCATGTTCGGCGGCGGAACAGACTCCGGGTACCTCGATGAAAACTTTTACATCGCACCAGAGATTCAGTGTTGATTTTATCTGACTCAAGTCCGGTCATGTATTTCATATGCGTTCACAATGTTATACTAATTGAACGTTCTGCTGAATGCACGGTTGTGTTGATGACAGCAATTTTCAGGCGAACCCACGAAGCAAGAAACAAGCGCGATGCGGCTGTGGGCCTGGATCTCTTATCAGTGATCATGCACTTCAAGATACGATTAAAAACAAATCTTCGCCAGGTACACATTGCCGGTAACCGCGTGCGAACAGCACCACTCTTTCGAATCCTTCGCTTCGTCGCGGCAAGTCATGAAATCACATCCTTCGCGGCCAGAGCGTCGCGCCTGACGGCCGCTTGCCGTTGTGATCAACCTGTTCCGGACCGAAGCAGGTATCATGACAGATATGACCAAGGGTATGCTTAGTTCCTTCCCTGCAAGATCGTCTCCTCAGGATTCCGATACGGTAGATTGCGTTTGCGCTCAGCCATTCTACACAATACGACTCGTACGTTTTGGAACTTGTTCTCTAGCCCTTTCACTGTCATTTCGGGTCACACGGTTTTCCATAAACAGCTTTGCATGGTTCTGGTGCCGTTCTTTGCTTCTTTCAACGCTGTTGTCAATAATGACGGGAAGGCACCTTGTCAGTTTTATGACCTTGGCGATCTAGGGTGGGTTTTGCTCAAACACCGGAAACTTTGAGCATTATGGAAACTGACTTCCTCGGCACGGGGATGATGCTGTCGCCACGATGTGCGACTCCACCTTGTGCCGGAGGAAGTCGTTGAGAGAAGCTCATTGGACAGATAGGATAACTTTCTATGCTTGTGAGCCGCGCCATACCCAGAATGGTCTGCACCCGCTGTCACGGGCATTTTAGTAAGTTTTTAGCGTGGAGATTTGACTCGCATCCGACCTACACCCCGGCCCCAATGCGACAGCTGTGGGCCTTTTCACCAACCTGCGAATGCGAACCCTTCAGAACCCTTCGCTCATGGAAGAGACGGGAACAGGGTATCATGCCGTACGCCTCAACATGCATACCCATGGTTTGATTGCTTAACAGCAGAACAGCCTCTTCTAAAGACGCATCCCTAGGCTTTTCGACGTAGTCTGACGATCCCGGCCAGCCCTTCACATCATGTCGAGCTTCGAGGATATGCTGCTGGCGGCGTTTCTGAACCCTCCAGATCCTAATGAGCCTCTACCACCCGCAAATCGGAAAGGAACAATATATGGGATTGTCATATCGTTTTGTGTACGATTACTTGGTACCACTCCAGATCGATATGCGGTGCTAACAGTCCGAGTAGATCTTGTCATGGATAGCAGTCTTGTTTCGACTTTGGGTCAGATTCAAGGTTGTGCGAGAACCTGGCCTAGACGATCTCTTCGTCCTACTATCGGCTGTATGTTGCACGCTGAGAACAGTTTCGAATGATGATAGCTAATATATGCTACAGACAACTGGCATTGTTGGAACGGCATTTGTTTGCCGGTGTAAGTTGCAGTACAACTTTAAGTGACACTTTCTAACAACACGCAGCCGTTGTACATGGACTGGGTCGACACATGCTCTACATCGGAATGGATCAATTCGAGATGTATCTGAAGGTAGGACGGCAACCCACAGCTCATGCGAAAGCTAACCTTTCCAGACCTTCTATATCGAGCACAGCATATACCTAACGCAATGCGCGCTAATCAAGCTATCCCTTCTTCTACAGTACCTTCGCATCTTCAAATCGGGGATCATGCGATGGGTTTGCATCACACTCATCGCCATCGTTAGTCTCTGGGGTCTTGCCTTTATGTTTGTCGGATGGTTCCCATGCTTTCCTATACGAGGCGCATGGCAGCGGAACATTGGCGCAAAGTGCTATGGGTTTGGTCTCGGAAACGTTAATGAGTTCATCATGATCTTCAAGATCCACTCGTCATCAAATATGGTGCTTGACGTTTTGGTTTTCTTGACGCCAATGGTCATCTTCAGGACGCCTACATTGAAGATCAAGAACTTGGTGGCGATGGCGGGTGTGTTCACATGCGGCGCAATGTAAGTACTCCATGCTGTTGCGATTTTGGTCGATGTACCTGGAGGCGAGTCACTTATTAACACCATGCTCAGTGTTGTTGGGATTTCTATCTGGCGCCTCTACGTGATTTCCAACACACAGGCAGCGACATACCCCTACCTCGACTTCACATGGTGGTCACCCATCATGATCGTCTTATCCTGCCTCGAAATCGATCTCGCCATCATCTGTGCATCGATGCCAATCTTCTGGCCGATCATCGAGAAGTCGCTCGCAGCTATCTTCGTGTCCTACGAAGTCGATGTCACAGAAGAGCGCGTACAAGACGAGTACGGCCTCGCATATGAGCTGGAACACACGAAGAGCGCAGGACAACAAAGCTTGAGGAGTGTCAGTGGAACGTCTATGGAAGGTTTGACCATGACAACGGAGGAAGATACAAATAGAGTACCCAAGTTCTCAGTTGGACGTGATCCACTTGAACAGGATACACGAGCAGTAACAGGCTTCCAGGCCAGCGTTGAGACGAGGCCAAAGCCTAAATGGGAGATATAGGGGTACGAACATTACGCGCACCATGATTAAAAGCCTTATCCGTAGATAGATCACTCGGTGTTGGTCGCAAATGCAACAACCTTCTCACATGATACATACGCTCTCTGCAAATTTGAAGGTACGGTGTCACTAGCGGTTGACCCAGTTCCTCGCCCCGTCATTCACCGGTGCGTGGAACTAGAAAAACAGCAAGCTTGCGCGCAGCTGCATCATACAGTACCGATAAGAAAGCAGCCATATAATCGGAGTACCACGTGTGTCTGTGGCGCCGCGTACAGGTTGCTGGGCTCGTACACAAGGTCGAACTAGCTCGAGCCGTACCACAGCCGCTTCAATTCTCCCCTTCCAGACTCTTCAGACATAGCACCGACTCAACTGACGTCATTGAAGATATCGGAGTCTCGGATGCGTCAACCGAAATCAAGCTTTAGAGCTGCCGCATCTCGGAGCTTTTATCGTGTCGCGTTGATTGAGCAATCGGACCTATCCACGCACCGATGTCGATCATTGCGCGCTGCCAGAGATATTAATACTAGGATGATGTGCCGAGCGCACCCTTGAATTAACAAAGTCAGGCTTGTGCGCTTTGTCCCCCCACTGCGAAAGAGTAGACGAAGAGGGGTTAAAGTTCCGCTATTACGCAAGCTCACAGGAAAGTCGATCACATTACGAGGCCAATGTAGAAGGCTTGAGCGACAGGAGCGATAAGGCTCTTGAAGATTGTCAATTGCCTAATTCGGTTTTCTTGCATCGTTTTCCCTAGCTCCGGGACTTTCGACTGAACGGGCAGCTTTATCGAAGCATACTGCTCATCTGACTGGTATTATCGGTATCACGGTGCGCCACTGCAACTGACACAGAATTTGCAAGAGTCATTCGTTCTCGGTAATGAAGATAGTTACTCCAGGCTTCTCGGATCTTCAGAGAGCTGTAGACTGCGCTATTCGAGGCGACACACGGTAGTAAGGCGCCTGGTGTTGTACTGAAAGCAGTGCCATGGTATTGTCGCATCAGTGCTGCTCGAACACAAGTAGTCAGCGGGTGCGTTTTCGAAGATGCCATATTCAGCATCAAGTCCTCTCGACGGATCTATACCATACTTCTCACCCTGAGGAGGCAGCATCAAAATGGTCACGGTGGTTGATCTTTTGACGCTCATAGTTCGTTGACCATGATGCTCACTCAGTTAGCTACCTGGCTAGCTCTATCCAGCATCCCAACCATGGTCAATTCAATGATATATGGGTTCAGTCAAGTAAGACAGTTGGCTTAGCAAGTAGCCCCAACATTGACTAACATAACGACTCAGATGTCGTCCACCTTGGACTTGGACTGGGAGCCTTGTTTCGACAACTTCACTTGTACAAGGATAGAAGTCCCCTTGGACTACGAAGATATAGCCGCTGGCACAACATATGTATCCTTCATTAAGTGGGCAAGCAATTCGACGACGACCAACTGCACAGCTCAAGATATTCTCCTGAATCCGGGGGGACCAGGAAGCAGTGGCATCAATATGCTTCTACTCAATCTCCCGGCCTTGCTACATGCTCTCGGCACCGAGAACAACTTGGTCGGATTTGATCCACGTGGCGTCAACAACCCCGGACCGGTTCTATCTTGCTTTCTTGATGGTGAACTGGGCACATCAAGGCTTTATCGCGACCTCGATACACCAGTCGACATGCACGATGCGAAATCCTATGGAGAGGTGTTCGCTCGTGCTACAGCCTTTGGGGAATTCTGCACAAATGCTCATTCTGCTGCCAATGACACGGCAAAATACGTTAATACTGTCGCAATTGCCAACGACATGCGACACTACATCGAGCTACTGGCGAAATCAAAGGGCCAAAACGTACAGAACGCGCAACTTTGGTACTATGCACTCTCCTATGGAAGCGTCCTGGGAACTACCTTTGCATCTCTATTCCCAAATCGCGTTGGCAGAATTGCTGTCGATGGTATCGTAGATGGGGAGGATTACTACAACGGCAAATGGTCCGCCAATGTGGCTGATGCAGACTACGCCTTCCGCTACTTCTTCCGAAGATGCCACGAGGTGGGAAAGGACAGGTGTGCATTTTAGGCAGATTCTCCAGATGCGATTGAACATCGGTTTGACAAGATTGCTGCTGACCTGCAAAAAATGCCAATACCAGCGACTCTGGGTACACCACTGGTCATCACTCATACGCATCTGAAGATGGTCGTGGCTAAGGCATCTTACTTCCCACTCGAGTCCTACGTGGAACTTGCCAACATGCTCGTCGAGCTTGAAAAGGGAAACGGCACTGGCGTCGCAGACAATCTGGGGCTCGCCCTCAGATTCAACAGCTGCTCGGTACTCCCGCTCTGGTCTTATCCAGACGCGGAGCCTGAGAAATTCATCGCATGCACGGATGCGAATGGCCGCGCCAACCTGACCTACGAGGGCTTCGTCGTGCGCGCGGACGAATTGATCCGCACGAGCAAGTACCTTGGTGAAGCTTGGGCGGCAGGTACTTCGATCAGTTGTCGCAAGCTCGACATCAGGGCGCCGAAGTCACAGGTCTTGAACGAATACCCGAGTGCCCCGACAACCAGCACTCCTCTGTTGTTCCTCTCGGCTTCGATCGATCCAGTCACGCCCCTGAGAAGTGCCCGAAAGATGACGAATCGGTTCGGAGGGGCGAGGTTGCTGATCCAAGACAGTGTTGGACACACGACGACTGCATCAACATCAGAGTGTACGTATGGGTATCTGAGGAAGTACTTTAGCGATGGTTCGTTGCCTGAGGATGGTACTGTTTGTCCTGTTGACGTTTATCCATTCCGCGATGCGCCAGTCGATTGTCCGCTGATAATTATGGAGAGAGGTCTCTTCGGTATCTCATCGTTTCTGTAACAGCGACTACGTATCGCTTTATGATAGCTAGTATGCGGTTTCACCGTCGCGCGTATACTAAGATCTGAATTTATGGGATCCAAGTGCGCCGAGCCTCAATCTTGAGGCAGAGCATTCGATCGGGGCTCTACATATAGGACTGCTCGGGCTTACGTGTAAGCCTCAGGCCTTATGTGTAAGACTTAGGGCTTATGGGTAAGGCTGAATCGCCTTCACCGTCTGGGCAGTTTCAAGCCTTCGGACAACAATCAAACCCACCACGTGGAATAGCGCTAGTCTATCCGAAACACACAGTCCTAAAGGCATTACACGCTTCGCATGGGTGCCAAGATACGATCGCATAGGGTAAGTTTCGCGTAGCCAATGACGACCAGCATCGCATCGCTAGTGTTGTCGGTTTCATTCTCCGATTCGTTGCATTACCATCCTCACCTTTAACGCGTACTGTTATAAACCGAAACTTCGCGTCTCGAAACACGCGCAACTTGGTCAAGTTAACGGCCGTGTGGTTCCGCTTGTCACCCCACGTGTAAACCACACCACATTGCCGCATCGTAAAAGCCCACATCTGACCGGCGTAAAGCCACCCCGCATTCTCGATGCTAACCAACACTTTGTGGTGCGTCCAAGCCCCTATGTGGATGCCAACCCTCACGTTCGGCGCAATTCACTACAGTAGACAAGGCCGTGCACAGACCGTAACCGTCATAGTCTCGCTATGGTACTCCTCCACAGCGACATGGACTCCGTAATCAAGCAGTCTAGGTCTGACGGTGCTATTCTTATAGTATCTACGTAAGACCAACAGTTCAGTCGTTTTTTTATGCGGTCGCCGTGCGTACATTCTCGCCACATTTTCAACTTTCAGTCCTTTGCGTGACACGACAAGATGCCTGGACTCGTACCCGATGGAATCCAGGTGCCTCCTGGCGTGGATCCAATGAGCTACTATCTGCAACTTCCAGCCATGTCTCCCGCTCAGGCGCACGAAGGAGCGGACATGACGATGACAACCAATGGACCGGATCAAGTGTGGTTCGTCGTCGTTGCGATACTTTGTATCACGATACCGGCTCTATTTCTGTCTTTGAGGGTTTATACAAGGGTGGCAATCGTAGGAGGCTTTGAGTTGGCGGACTGTAAGTACTAGTCGGACTTCAGGCGTGTTCAATTTGCTGACCTGTGTAGACTTCTTATTTTTATCATTTGTAGGTGTATCGAGCGCAGCATGTCAGCGACCACCATCTAAGTAAAGACACAGCCTCTGATCATCGTCGAACTTGTCCTAGGCTATTTCATGATTTACTGGGGTGCCGGCGTCCATCAGTGGCAGGTAACATTGGAGCAACTGTTCAATCAGCTCTACGTAAGTACTCATCCGTGTCTCTGTCGCGATCTGAACTAATATTTCCAGTGGGCGAACCTCGCGCAAGTCGTATATTGCCCGCTCTGTTTCTTGGTGAAGATGGCCATTCTCCTGCAATACCTCAAGATGTTCGCACCTTGTCGCAGTGTAAACAGGTTGATGTTCTTCGGCGCATGGGCAACAATAATAGCGACCTTCGTCGCATATGTCTTCTTCATGTTCTGGACGCTGTTCTACTGCGCGCCGCGGAAAATGATCTGGTTCAAGCTCACCCCCGGCGGGAAGTGCCACGACGTCAACAACATTATTCTTTCCCAGGGCGCTTTCAACATGATCTCCGACATCGTCATTCTCCTTCTACCCTCCGCATCTTTGTGGCGACTGAACGTGCCTTTGTCGAAGAAGATCTTCGTCACTCTCATGTTTGCGACCGGTCTACTGTATGTATACACCTTGTTACTCATGGGCAACACTGACTGTGTGAACAGAGCATGCGTTGCATCTGCCATGCGCATCGTCTTCACCGTGGAAATTGCACCAGTCATTGCCAAGGCAGACGTCTCCCACAATGGCCTCTTCATTGGCCTCTGGACCGAAGCCGAAGCCTCACTTGGCTTCATCATAGCTTGTGCCCTATGCCTACCAAAGCTGATACAGGCAAAAGGAAAGAAAGTACGCATGGCTCTCACTTACGCCTCGGGACCATGGTCGTCAAAACTCAGGAAGAGCGACTCGTGGAATGGACAAAAGAGTACCCAGGTGGACTCAAGATCTTCGAAGCAAGAGGAACTTGGTCGGCCAATGTACTACGAGGAGCGGGAGGAGGTCAAACGGCTCACACAGGCTAAGCTACAGCCTCAAAAGCACCAACATGACCTGTACGTCATACCTAGTACAGCAGGGAGCAGTGTATATGCACCCAGCATCTATTCAGCAAGTCAGTACTCGCTGGGCACCAAGTCGAAGCGTTGGAGTCAGGATGTGGAAAGCATAGACATCGACTTGGGAGTACATGACCGTGCTAATGGATCGCGAGCCATTGAGTCGCGAAGTATGATACGCCTATAGAAATCTAGATAACTTTTGGATAATGAAATTCATGAGCTTGAGCAAGCCTGTTTGTTCTCAGTACTATGTAGAACGCTCTGATTTACTGGGAATACATTGAGGACATTGAGGCTATAAGATCAGCAACTGAATGCTTGCAACATGCCGCTCCTTCACCGCCCCAGTAAGTACAAGTTCGGCGTGGCTTAGCGGTGCCATGGATTCTCAGTGAACGTACATGCACAGTGAGAGTGAGAGCTTCAAGCAAATGCACTAGAAGGTCAGCGAATATGTGGCTGCGCCCTTCCTCCACCTACATCAGAACTAACCCGGATTCGCATCTTCCCACCGCTCGCACTCGGACATGTCGAGGATTTCCAAACTGTCCTCCGGTAATAGCATGGCATCTATAGCTCCGCGCGCCAGGCGAGTAACGTCGCGTCTCGAGCATGTACAATAAAGACTGACGAGGTAATAGCGAAATGGTCGTGTCTGACACCATCATCGTCAGGGTGGGCGATGAGAGAAAGGACTACACCTTACACAAGCGCCTTTTGATCCACCACTCTGAATACTTCCGCGGTGCTCTCTCAGGCAACTTCCGCGAGACGAACGACGGCGTCATCACTCTGGAGGACATAGCCACAGAGTACTTTGACGTATTCGTAGATTGGCTTTACGAGAAGGAGATCCCCAAAATCAAACCTTCGGCTCTTGGAAAGGGTCAGAACTCGACTCTGCTCCGCACATATGTCTTGGCCGACAGATTCATGGTTTTTGGACTCAAGAACGCAATCCTCAAGTTTTTATTCGACATGAACGAGCACGGTAGAATGGTCCCAACCTATGCTACCATCACGTACGCTTTTCAGAACTTGACAGAGCACGATCCGCTTTTGCAGTTCATCGTCGATATGTTTTGTGTCAACAATGCCATAGATTCATGCTCCCCCGAATTCGAAAACACGGACCAATTACGCCAGGTGCCCCAAGAGGCCTTTGCTCGTATATTTGTGAAGATGCGCGCTATCAAGGGCATGGCTAAGGAGGAGAAGAAGCTGAAAAGGAGCGCATACAAAGTCTGAAAATGGGAAAGGTCTGGAGGGGGTTGATAGAGCCGCATTCGGGCTCCGAACGCTGTCAGTGTACACTGCGCCTTTCGGGTTCTTGAACATGTAGGTTGCTGTTGCACGTATGTCAATTTCATCGTAGGCGTCCAACTGGGACAAACGAAAGACACTAGGAACGAAGATTCTCAAAAGTTCGGTTCGAGATGATTGACATGTGATATGAGTTTGCGCAGGTAGATGCACACGTGTGTGCGTAATGCTCTCGGACATTGAGCGTAACACGAGAATGAAGCGTGACGTGAATCGCGGCTACCGGCCGCTTGTCAGCCTTGGCATCGCGCTAAGGGAACCCCGACGCCATTCGTCATTTACCATAAGCAACAATTCATCACCTCCATCAAGTGTCGCTCTTTTGATACTACTCTTCCACAACCCTTGCCAACACTGTCGCATTAGCTTCCAAAGCTAGGCAGCAGCTCTTCAATCAGCTAGCATCACGCGTATCTACTAAAACAACATCACGTACTGTAGCCACAGTAGCCTTGTAAGCTCCGAAGCCCGCGCAAAGCTGTTTCTCGCTTCTGACACACTTTTCAGAGACTTCCTTAGACGAACGCAATCATGTCGGACGTTGAGATCGAGCAGAAGCGAGAGGAGGATGAGCGCCTCGACACCGCAGAGGACCCCAACGAAGAGGTACGATTGATTGTGCGACTGAGCCGCGCAAAGCTCTAGTCAACACGGCGCGTTATGTTACGCTGGCCCTCTAAATGCGGGCTCATCCGTATATACCACAGCAAACAGCTGCTGACAGAGCCATATAGGAAGAGATCTCGGCGATGAGGCGACGCGTACAAGAGATGGAGGAGGAAGCAGCCAAGCTCCGCGAGATGCAACAATCTCTCGACACAGAGCGCCACGAGATGCGCGAAAGCAAAGAAGATGTCGATGCGCGGAGTGTCTTCGTTGGCAACGTCGACTACGGCGCAAGCCCTGAAGAGATTCAGGCACATTTCCAGAGCATTGGCAGCATCAACCGTGTCACCATCCTGCTAGACAAGTTCACAGGTCATCCCAAAGGGTTAGTACAAAGAGGAGGCTTTCTTTGAAGAGTCACGCACAGTCACATGCTTTGACATTCTAATGGCGCATTGCTGCGCGCAGCACCGAGCGCGCAATGAGTCGGAGCAGAAGAGTCATCCAGCTTTGACTCACGCTTTATCTTATCGTCTTTCGCGACCTGGCAAGAGCTTGGCAGAAAGATCGGAACGCTAATGAGCGTATGCAGGTACGCGTATGTGGAGTTCACTGAACCCAGTCTGGTCAACGAAGCGCTAGTGCTCGACAACAGCGTCTTTCGCAGCCGGAATCTGAAGGTAGGCCAAGTCACGATGCCAGCATGGCTAAGATTACTCACACTTTCCCAGGTTGTACCCAAGCGAACCAACCTCCCTGGCATGACACGAGGCGGACGCGGAGGCCCTCGCGGAGGTCGTGGTGGCGGCGGCGGATATGGAGGCCGCGGTGGACCGTACGGTGGACGTGGAGGAGGCGGATACGGCGGTGGTGGCGGCGGCTATGGCCCACCACGAGGAGGTGGTTACCGTGGCGGATACCGCCCAAGAGGAGGGCCCGGATTCCGCCCATACTAGACAAACTCGCAACATGTCACGAACTATGCGACTTCGGTCAAACTTTCAGCACTTTGTGGGTTTGGCGCTGTAGACAAAACTCAGTTTGAGATTGTAACGAAGGACGGGAATCAGTCACTTTCAGTTCAGGTTTCGAGATGTATTAATACGGATATCGGTACGATGGGATCTCAGTCACAATCTTGCTTGAGAATCTGGTCCACTTGATGTGCAATTGGAGGCACATGGAATTAGAATAGTAATCATTTCCTCATTTACGAATGTCTCCTCGCTGTCCAGCCATGATAGGAGAGCAGGTATCATAAATCCCAATCGGTACTTTGCTCAGTATAAAGCAATGCGCCTCTGAACGCCTGGTATGCGCCACGCCGGAGCGTGATCCCTAGCGACACCCCTCAGTCCTCTCGCCGTATGTGCATAGCCATGTCTCGAGCCGTCGCCGCCGCAGCCACGCCCCGACGCCATCTTTCCATGAACACCACGGACGGCGGGCGGGCGAACCCATCGGGGACGACCTCCTCCTCCGGCACGACCACCTAAGGCGCAGGATTCTCCTTCACGATGTTCTTAACCTTCTTTTCGTATGCTGTCCGATCCTTCTTGAACAAATTGAACGCATCGGCCTGCGCAGGCGACTCCGGGTTCGGCTCATCCAGCAGCGACTGAATGCCCAGCAGAATATCCTTGATCGTAATCGCAGGTTTCCACCCCTCTTCCTCATTGAGAATCGAGAGACAAACCGTGCCCGAAGGGTAGACGTTTGGGTGGAACAGTGGGGGTACGAATTTGCCTAAGCAGGTAGTTGTCAGCTTGGTGCGACTGTATTTCAAGAGTGGGAGACGTACACTTGGGTGGCTTGGTAGGGTACTCATCCGGAAACGAGACTTCTAGCTTGAACAGCCCGCCTTCCCAGATTGTCTTTTCTTTGCCGGGTACGCCGCAGTCCCATTTCTTTAGGTCCATCATGCCGTTTGCGCCGCGCATGGGCTTTGCGAAGAAGCCGAAGGGATGGTCGCGTCGCCATTGCTTCCTGGGGTGTGTTAGTGAGCTGTAGGAGTGTGAAGGGTTTTGGCGATATGTACCTCTCCTCGGATAACCGGTTCATACATAGAGTGCCTGACATCTTGGTTGTGGATAAGGCTGATTGCGCCTAGATCCGCAGTGGTTCGAGGGATTGTTGCGCAGCTATTCAAGCGAATGCGAGGTGCGAACGATGGGACGTTGCAGTGAACTGCAGCGCGGAGCAGCGACGTGCTTATATAGTATTGTGGAGGCGCGGTGAAGGTGAGCGAGGAGCAATCACACGATGGTAATACCAGGTGAAGTTGACTTTAGGTGCACGTGACGCAGCATTTATTCGGCAGCCAGCGCGCTGGGATCAAGGCTAGAACCGTCGATGCGGCAGGCGCGAGGGCCCCGCGCTAGTAACTTGCCCCGCTAATCGCTGATGGCTGTTGGCGGGCCGAGGCTGACGGTTGGCCTGCAGGACCTCATGAGTGATTCTCGCTGTGCGTTTGATCTTGTGACTTTCTGACACTTGCCTTTACCAACGAAAAAATCGAAGAAAGGAAGCAAATACGATGGCGGACACGCCAGTGAAGAAGGAAGAGCAGGAACCAGCCAAAGTGGCGGCTGCCACTGCCCCTCCACCCGAAGTCGCATCTGATCCTGAGGAAGATGATCTGTCAGACCTGGACGACGTACTGGACGAATTCGCAAACACAAAGATCGACTCCAAAGCCCCAGCAGCACCCACAGCCAAAGCACAAGATGCGCCCGCATCAGCACCTTCCGCGTCCGGACCAGGCAGGCCAGAAGACATGTCCCCTGGCGCACTCCTAGTGGAAGACGAAGACGCCTTCGCCAAGCAACTTCAGAAAGAGATGGAGCAGCTCCTTGGTCAGGGCGACTTTGGCAAGCAATTCGAGGATATCATGAAGGAGATGAGCCTGGAGACTGGTGCAAATCCCCTAGCCGCAGACCCGCCATCATCCTCGTCAAAAGAGGGCAAAGGAAAAGCAGAATCGTCAGAAAGCGCTGCAAAAGCTGAGAAGAACTTCCAAGAAACCATCAAAAAGACCATGGAGCGCATGCAGAACTCTGGCGATGCTGCCGGGGCTGCCGCTGCTTCATCTAGCCAAGACGACATGTTGGCGCAAATGCTCGCGTCCATGGGCGAGGGAGGTTTCGGCGGCGGTGATGGCGATGACGAGGACTTTAGCAAGATATTGATGGGTATGATGGAGCAGCTGACAAACCGGGAGATCTTGTACGAGCCGATGAAGGAGCTCAACGACAAATTCCCGAAGTGGATGGAGGCGAACAGCACCAAAGTGGAGGCCGATGATCTGAAGCGGTATCAAGAGCAGCAAGTGTTGGTGAAGGAGATCACAGAGAGATTTGAGAGGAAAGGGTATAGCGACAACAATGCAGGTGACAGAGAGTATATCGTAGAAAGGATGCAGAAGGTATGTATTGCTCCTATCTCTGATGGTGATGCTATATTGCAAACGGCTAACGTGATGTAGATGCAAGCTGCTGGTTCGCCGCCACCCGACCTTGTAGGCGATATGAATGCTGCGCAAGAAGTATTGCAGGATATGGACCAAGGATGTCCGACTCAGTAGCTACTTCAGACCCAGGTCTGGTACCCCAGATCTTCCTCAAATACCCAATGTACAAATTCTGTTCTTACACCTTTACCCCACGATGGGTGACGTATATTAAGAAAGCGAGGCTAACTAATCAACCATCGGTCATGTCCATGTCCATCGCTCCTGTGTCTTGGAAGCTCGCACCCATTTGTTGCGATGAATGCTGGTACTGTTGGTCAACTGCACAGTCCATGAACAGCTGGTCGTAGTCTTCATCGTCGCTACCGAAGTGTTGTGACGCCGCGTCATTTTCCTGGTCTTGTTCCTCCATTGCTGCGATCATTTGCTGCAGCTCGTACTCTTCTTGGGCAGCTATGTAGTCCGCCTCGGTCATCTCATGTGTCGATTGAGGCAATGGAGTCGTCCAATCAGGCAAAGGCGCGTCTTCGATGATTTGTTCGACCATGTTGTCATCCTCCTTCGGGGCTTGACGCGCCTTCTCCGCTTCCCAGCGTTTGCGCTCAGAGACGAAGTCTAGTTGTTGGATCTACGTATGATTAGTACAAATTCAGATCGTGGCATTGGAGTTGCGCATACCTGTTCTCCTCGTGCCTCCCACTTCTTGTCCTCGCGTCCATTCTGTACGCGCTTGAAGAACATGTCCCTCCTCCGCTTTGTCGCCGCGTCGCGCGTCTGAATCACGGGATTTGCCTTGTACGCGCGTTGCGGTGTAGGAGATTTCTTGTCGTTCGATTGTGAAGCCATGCTGAAGTCGAATAGGCGTGGCGCGACATTTGCGGATCGTTCCGAGAGTGGTGATGACCTTGGTGGCGTGTACGGCGAATAGTACTGCTGCTGTGGTGGCATGGAGAAAAAGGAGCTTGTGAGCAGCATGTTGTTCGAGTGTGTCGGTGGTGGAGTGGTAACAGTAAGGATTGTTGAGGATGTGAGAGTGTTCGTGGGTTGTTGCGGGCTTTAATGGGGTGGATGAGGTTGGGAGGGAAGGATGATGCGCACTTCGCGAAACGCGTCGGGAAGTCGCGCTAGTACAATCGATAACATCGCGTATCACGTGTACCCTGCAGCCCCCATCAGCGCCTCCCCGGCGACTTGCGCCAACAGCGACGGTACGAATTCCTGCGCTAAGCATCTTCTTGTACCTGTACCAAGAACTTTCCCGAGGTTGTGGACTAGATCAAGTCATATGTTGTGCGAGCCGTGATTAGGACTCAATAGCTCAGTCTAAGTGTGTATACGCGGTCACTGCAAGCCATCCGGTCAAGTATAACCCCGATCGTAGACATGGCCCAAAGCTGCCATGCAGGCTTCGAAACCAGAGATTCCTGGGAGGATGTATTCGAATTCAGGCTAAGGCTCCCGTGACCCATTTCTAGCACTTATTGCACGGCCACCTGCAATCGAACGCATGCTGTGGCATACTTGTCCTGCTCGACATCGAAACTACTCGGGCACCTGCAATCGAATGGACGCTGTGTCGTGCTTGTCATACTTGACATCGAATGTACTTATCCCGTGGGTCTAATAGGCGGTATTTCTGCCCGCTGTGGTGCATACTATGGTAACATCACGTAGTACTCCAAGCGATGTGCATGTCGACATGATTTTCGGATCAGACAAGGTTCAGTAAGAAAAGGCTATATATTTGTAGCATACGCCACGATAACCTTCGCGTTCAAGCTCTTTCGAATCCTTATTCTGGCCCAATCATACTCTAAACATATTCTTCGCTGACAGTAACGTTGCGATTACCTAACGATAACTCGATTTACCCAGCCTGGTCCTCACCTTCGGTGCTCTGATATCAAACCAGTGTCTTCGTCATGACTGACACCAACGAGGCTACTTTGGTCATATGTTTTGGAATCTTTACACTCCTAGCTACACTCGCTGGGCTGCATTACAGAGACTCGCTTTGCTGTCTTTGCTGCCGTGTCCTTTTCAACGTATGGAACCACCGTACGCTAGATGCTGCTCATGATTGACTGTTGCTGATCAATAGCGCAGACGGCGTCGAGGATGTTGAAGCAGCGGCTGGAATGATCCATCGGAGATCCACTGGTCTTTCATTGGAGACAGACCATACTTTCGTCGAGATGCAACCGCATACTACTTTGCTGCTCTACTTTGATTCTTCTATGACTTCACCAGCTGTACCGGTTGGAGCTCGCGATGGCTCATGACATTGGATCCCTGTAGGCAAGGGTATTCGGCGGTACAGGTGCCACGATGGGGACTTTAAGAGCCCACAGCATGGCGACCTCACATTACCATTTCGAACGCTGACATGCCACACGCAATGAAAAGGTCCAATTGCGAAGATATCCCCGGAAATTATGTCTCCACAGGGAATCCGAATCTGTGAAGCGCCGTCGAGTCGCGGTCTCGACACTCACAGTAAGCACGCCCCTCTTGCATCGACATACAATTCGAAGCCTGACATGAACACAGCACCTGAGATAGTGACTCCCTGATAACCCATACTCAGAGATTGTTGGGGAATACATAGCCCTGCGAGCATCGTCTCTGGGAGTGATACCTGTACCAGAAGACCTAGTGAACACTGTGAGCATGGTTTCGGCTTCTCAATCGCGGGAGCTGCTTCAAAATATACGAGATCGGGAGACGCGGCTAGTCACAGTGAGCAGAGCGATACAAAAGATAACATATGGGACGTACTTTGCGTCACTTGCGATGTCACTGAGAAGGTCCTTTGCCGGCAACGTGCTGATGGAATCTGACCTTGGTGATGGCGAAGGGCTATCTGAACTACCCTCATCTCACAAGAACTAGATATATAATCGTAGCTTGAAGAGACCATATCTCCCTAAGAGAATCGAATTTTGCACTCTGCATCATAAGCCTTCAACTGGTCCATTTTCATATCCACCAGCTTTTCCATCTCTTCTTTCGTCTTGTCATCAAGTTCATCAAGCTCATCATGCCCATCCTTGTGAAGTGCAGCCCAATAGACCGCATCTACGTCGAAACTCTTTCTAATGCCGTAGTCGAACCAGAACCTTCCGCTGTCCCAAGAATCGCGCATCAGAACCGAAAGAGGTGGGTCGTTTTGAACTTCTTCCGAGGTCGTCCTCATTTCTACCTGCTCCAAGACTCGTAAAAATTGCTGCATTCGCGGCACATAGCGGGTCACGAACTCTTCCATAGAGTGATGTTCAAGCCACATATCAGGCCCCAGTAGAAGTAGCCACCAAGGTGGGTCGTAGGCGAACTGGGCTGGCATACTGTTTGCGAACTCAAAGTCTAGCACAGCCGTGATACGGAGAGTTTCTGGATCTGCAAGCATGTTGGAGGGTTGGAGGTCATCGCAGTACGGCTTGAAAGGACCAGTGTCATCGAGGCAGTAGCGGGAGACGAGCTGCCTGAACTGACGGCGCGCAATAAACCGCTTTTTAGCATCTTCCCGGCTGTTGGCAAGGTTCCGCTGTGTTCGGAAGTGGACAAGATGCTCGTCAGCATAGAGAGTCGAGATACGCCTTGGCAGACGAAAAGGGAGCTGTCGGAAATCCGCCCGTAGGGTAGCCTGAGGCTACAGTCCTCAGTTCGTTCATGTTGTACGTCAGAGGTCTTCCGCCGGCAGTCCATTCGTTGGAGGATGAATTCTTTGATACCGCACCGATAGTAGAAAAATCTAGATTAGAGAGTTGCAACATGTAATCGGCGAGTTGCTCGTAAAGATATTCCAGTATTTTGTCGTCCACGTCAGTCTTGAGGATTACCTCATCTTGCTCGGTCTACGTTGGCTGCTGTAGAATAGTCGCAAGGGAGATACCATCAACATAATCCATGATCATGAATGGACCTATGTGCTGAGGGCTGTCTCCAGCCGTACCCCAACTGGTTACCTTAGGTATGGGAATTGTGGTCTTCTCACTAAGGAACTGTAAAAAGTGGAACTCGTTTCTAACCTTCTCGTCTTGGAAAGCTGTAGCTGTATATCCGATTGTGTCCTTTCTTCGAAGAAAACATCTGCTTCATCTAGTAAGACGACGCATCCCTGATGTCAATGTAGGAAGTCAGTGGATGTCTCTTATGCACCTCAGACACGGTGACATTCTTACCCATGTACTTCCAATGAACAGTACGGATTCTAGGTATTTCTCTACACCTTCTGCGTCCGTTCCGATGTCGCCGCATGTCACTCTATAGAGTGGTCTCTCAGCGAATTCAGCCACACTCTCCGCAGTAAGTGTCTTGCCTGTCCCTGGACCTCCGTGGAGTAGAATGATCAGGCCTTCTCCTTTGCCGTCCATGAAATCTGTCTTGACGGTCTGCTTCTGTCCAATATGAACACTGATCAACGCTCTAATGAGCTCTTTCTTTTCTTCTTTGAGAACTAGTCGATGGTTAAACGCAGTTTTGTTCCACTGAATATCATGGATGTGCTTCACTAGCAGTCGATCTTTGTTTACTTTAGTGATGAACTCAATTCGCGCATCATATATGCTTACTCCATTTTTTGTTGTGAAATCCATACCCTCGAATGAAAGCTGGCAGAAGGAGAGCGAAAGGCTCCGGAGGAATGTCATTGTTGCCCATTATGTGTTCGTCCAGGTCAGTGCGAGCTTCTGCTGCGCTATCATCTTCGTTTTCGTCTCCTTCTCCGCCTCCGTGCATCAATTTATAAGTCGCAGTATCTATCATGTACCGTAGATTGACCTGCTATCATCAGCAATGTCTTGGAACCTTTCGAAATTAGGAGTGTAATACAATTTGGACTTCCATGCCTTGCAAGGGCACGCCATAGTTAACGAACTTCCTGGAGCGGCAAGCCCAGAAGACCTCCCCTCGATGCTGAAGCTCTTGCTCCATATGTTCATGTGCATGCCTTAGTGGGTATGCATGCAGATCGGTGATAGGGATTGTGTCGCTGTCGGAAGGCCAAGAGATGACCAGGACTACTTCATTCCTGAAGAATTTTCCGTCGAAGTCCCAAGACCAACATCGCAGACGAAGAGCTCCTTCTTTGATATCTGGGCAAGATGTGCAGACATAAGCCCGCGGCTGCCCAGATTCTTGGGTAACGACCACAGCCTCAGGGCGATAGAGCTTGGCCCAATGTTTCCTATTAGTCAATCCACGGTGGAACAGGCCTTCTGCTTCCGCAAATTCGGAACTAAGACGTGCTTCAAGGTACCAAGAAAGATTTCTCATATGCACCAGTTCCGTATTAGCTACTATAGGTAGGGCTGTCTGTCGCACGGTCTGCTCACGAAGTTCTTGATTTCGATAGTAGAGTTCCAGGTATGGGTATACCAGGCTTTTAGGATGTTGCCTGATGCTTAAAGGTTCGTGTTTTTGATCATCTTCTTCGCCTCTGGAGGCTTTTCTCCTGGAAGTTTCGAGAAACATGTCCAGTGCCTGATCTAAGCCTGCCGAGAGTATGAGTTTCTCTGCGCGTGGCGTTGCAGGCTCAGTATCCCGAGGAAGTGTGTAGAAATATGGCCTCGCCTGATGGGCAACAACGCTATCCATATACGGCATGGGCATTCGCTTGAAGCTATCCTTGAACTCATCGTGATGCGCTGAGCAGTCGTACGTCATGTACACGGCAAAGCTGAGGGCAGGGTGGTCCTCAAGATAGCTTTCTAAGTCGTGTAGTGGCTTCTCGCCGTGGAGATGAGTCGTCCGGTTTGAGCGTGCTGGCAAAAGTGGTATGTCGAAGTAATCTGCGCTCGAATCATGGTGTTCGTGGTAAAGATCTTTGCGCGTACATTCCACGCAGTGAACAACAATGTATCCACTTTCTACGATCCCAAGACGTACATTGACTGACTGCGCATCAATTTGACTGCCAGTCGGAGATCGAGGGCTTGTGTCGTCTCTGCATCTTTTCTTATTGATGTGTATGTCCATCATAGCCGATAGCGACAGGGTAAGAGCAGGAATGGAACGATATTGACCTATTTATCTTCGGATGAGACGAGGAAAGAAAGGAATTTACTGGTGTGACAAGGGTCTTCATAGATTAGAGTCGGAAAATCAGCAGGTCTTGCCAAGTAATTCTCCGCTTGTCCAGGCGCCTGTTGCTGTATGTAAGGCTTAGTAACGTATGCAGTTAGCATGCAGCCCGTGTGGCTGTGTACAGGCGTTGCTTTCGTTTCCGAAGGCATGCAAGTTTTTCAGGGCATGTGGCTTTCTTCACTATTCTGAAACAACGACTGGGTATATAGAAACCATGAAGTGCCTCCCGCCTTATCATTTTAGAAAGAAGCAGCCTGTTCAAGCAGGAGATTATGTATGTTAGATGCCAGTACGCTCACATTAAAGCTTTACACAGAGGAAAGTGCTAACTAAAATGAAGCCAAGTTGCTTTTAATGTTAAAAGTTCGTCCGTGCGTAAGAAAGACCGCAATCGCTCTTGCTGAGACCTCTGCATTGAAAAAAATTTAAGGGTGGTATGAGTCTGTCAAATGACCCGCCCGAGCCGTATGGTAACCACTGAGAGCCATGAATTGCGACTTAAAACGCTCCTTGTGCGCCGTTGTATGGTCTTCTGAGATGGTGTAATTGATTGGTTTCTTAGATTCTCGACCCGTGAGCTGTATAGGGTTGTCTATTACTGTTTGTTGCAATGTAGAGTCTCCAAAAAGTGTGGCGAGGCCATAACTCATTTTACCATTCATGAGAGAATCCTCCTCTACGCGAGGCCTCAAATTGGGGGACGGAGCACGACTTGTCTCTGCCTGGTCGTTGGCATTGGCAGGTGGTGGTGGCATCTGTCGTGGTACGTTGAAATCTACTCCACGGGGCGACATATCGGGGTAGAACGAGGGTGGTATACTTGGTGGTTTTGCTGCGGGATCAAATTGCCTAGTGGGTGCTTTCTGCGACCAAAATACATCCTCGCCACCTCGATGAGAATGAATGGACTGTGGCGTCAGTGGTGTGATTGATAATTTTGGAGTCTGCCTGAAACCCAACAAAATCAGGTCTTCATCCATCGTGTCCGAGGGGTAGTCACCAACTGTCTTTAGGTATGGTGTATGTGAATTAGAATCGAGGTGTGGAAGATGGGAACTCTCCAGGGAACGCTCTATGGAATGTTTTGATCTGCCAAAAATATTGGCATCATCCTGGTTCTTTGTGGTAGGCGCGTGTCCCGACTGATGCCGCACGCATTGAGCCTTTGTTGAAAATGAGCTATCGCAATTGGGGGATTTGCACTGGTAGAGCAGCTTATGATAATCTACACCCCTTAGTATATCACGTGACGATATGTAATGGTCGGTCACCTACGGCTTGATCGATGTCTGTGAAGATGCTGAGAGGATGGATACCTTCTTCCACATCCCTTGTATGAACACTCATACCTCCCGCCTGCTCTGTCCGCTAAAGCCAGACGAACGTCGGGTTGGGGCCGTTCACGTGGCACATGCAGGCCGCGAAGATCATCCTCTCCGAATGAGCTTGTCTGTCTTCTCTGCCGTCGATCCAAAACATCAGAAAGTCCGCGATTTCGAGAGATACTGAAAGTGCTGCTATTCTGTTCTCGAAAACCCTTGGATTTTAGTGATAATTTAGGGGCGTTGGGCTTAGCCATTTTGACCTTCTACCAAGACTTTGCTGAGGCTTTAGACCTCGGCTGTTAGCGAACAGAAACCTCCTGGTCTAGACTGACGTGACAGTGCTCTCTTCGACTTGATTGTTGAGAACGGGCCACAAAATTATCCTATTCTCAGCTCCAAAGTGAAGTGAAGGTAATTGATCGAATGCCCGCACAGAGCACGCAAGGTGTAGTATCAGGAGGCGAGAACAGATTGATCAAGGGATCGTATTATGCGGATGGACGAAGCCATACATAAGTCACGACAGAAAGGTAGTGACGGGCGTCTGGGGCTTATGTTGGTTTGCGCTGTCTGCCAAGGTCAGTAGCTGCATGTTGCACAGCCGAGCTCTTGCGCACCTTCCTGAAGTCATTACTGCAGATTTAGACTGGACTCTTGCGCTCACATGGTGCGATAACGCCTTTACTCACCATGTATGGGGCTATGCCCTGGACCTAGATGTTCCTCAATTTTGGTGTCAGCCGATCCACGCGAGGGATATATGGGGGTAGAGTCACAGTCCTAGACATCCGCTCTTCTCATCTTAAGGGCAACAATGGCTTGTGCATTGCAGCACACCAGCTCGTCTCCGCTGTGTGATTTAACCGCGAGCGGTGGAAGCATGTCAACAGAGGCCATCGAAAATCAACTCGCTCGCGATGCCTAGTCAGCTGCGCTTTTCATGCAGGCTGCACAGCCCGGGCGTCCTTCAGTGACTTTTCTACGCCAGTCGTTCGATTCAGCCTCTCTCATGTACCTGGTATGATAATAGTTCAGCAACCTAGAACATAATCATCAAGGAACTTGAACATTCCTGCGATGCTACAGAAGCTGATGCAGTGATGTGCAGATGCAACCCGGATTCTCGTACTTGATTGGACTCGAACACGCTAGACTAACTTCAGCGCGCTATCCCAGCACGAATGTCTATTGTGATTATGCGTGGCCAGCATGCTTCACGACATATTTCAGATCCTTCAAACTCGTAAGCCATACACAAGATATGGCAAAAGTTCTGTCAGTGCTGAATTTGGTAGAAATAGAAATGTAGCGGCAGAAGCTTTTCATAAAGCTATTGAGGGCCTGAAGAAGGAGCTCAGCGTTGCCGATCAGACGCCAGCATGGGCCAATAATCATTCCGATGTTGAAGCGATACTGGGCACTGTGCAACTGGCCAAGGAGAAGTATAACGATGCTTCCAAAGACCACTCCGGAACAAGAGCATGGCTCGAGAAGTTCTCAGGCCGTGTCATGTACTATGGCAAAGTCTTCGACGCCCTTGCGCAGCATCATCCCGAATATGTCGCTCTAGCTTGGGGCGCGGTCAAATTCGTACTCATGGTGAGCTGGCTCTCTTGGCGTATCTGTAGCTTTACACTCTTAGCAGTACTAACATAGCAATCATAGGGTATCATCAACCGCGCAACGCTTGTCCAAAAGCTTGCCCAAGCCTTCGTTGCCATCGGAGACGTGCTCCCCAGAGCTAGCCTCAGCGCCGAACTGTACCAAACAGACTACATGAAGGATGCGCTGTCCAGACTGTACGCCTACATTATGATATTCCTCCACCTGTGCGTCAAGTGGTACAACAGAAGCTCACTCGGTCGACTATGGTCTGCGATAAAATCGCCATTTGAGCTCGACTACCAGGACCTAGTCGACCAAATAAAGGTGTCCTCTGCGGCTGTCGAGGATCTCGCGAACGCGGGAGCGAGAGTGGAGATCCGTGATATTCGAACGATGCAAGATATCTCCCACGCTCGCTTCGTCGAGTTCTACAACAAGCTCATGGATCGACAAGCGAATCTAGAGAACTCGGTATCGCAACTAATGCAAGTCGCAACAACCAGTAAGACAATTACTGAACGGATTAGTGTCGATGTTCGCTGTATTAGCGAGACGACATACCGGCTTGAGTTCCATCATCTTGTTGACTTTCTCGCTCCCATGATACCACCTGAGAAGGCTCTACTCAAAGTGCAATCATTCAGTCGCCGGGACCCAACCAGAAGTCTACCATCTGTCGGGGACCTCAAGATCAAACGGACCTTACACGATTGGGCATCAGCTGATCGGCCCTCCTTGCTTGTAGTGCGAATGGGTCTTCGTGCGCAGAAGCAAGCTCGAGATCTAGCAGCCGATATAATCAAAGGCCTAACTTCGAAGAGCCAGTGCGTCTTTTGGAGCTTGTCGCTGCCATGCCTCTCAGATAGAGAAGGAGAAACCATGGCTAGCGTCTTCAAGGCGCTCATCCACCAGGTTTTGCAGCAGTCTGCCGGACTCTTTGCACAGTTCTCCGAGCAGCTCAATTTGGTCAAGATCCGAAGTGCGCATACAGATAGCGAGTGGGCTGATCTTATCTGCCTGCTGCTTTCAAAGGTTTCACAAGCCTTTCTCGTGTTGGAGACGGAGAGCTTGCATAAGGCTTATCGACACGATCCAGACTGGGTTGACCGCATGGTGCAGCTTTTGCAAAGGATAGTTGACAAGACCGCGACCGCGGGCAACCAGCTGAAAGTCCTTTTGATGGTCTATGGGAAGCCGGTGACCGGGGTTCAAGGCTCATCGAATACCTACGATATGACTGTGACTTCCCTATCACCGCCCATTCCTGTACCTCCACGATCACGGCACGTGTCGCAGCGATCAGGCTTTGCGACAAAGGGGTGGAAGCTCCAAGTTTCAAAGTAACAAGAAAACTGTCAGGTGAGATAGGAATTCTGCAGGTACAAATCCAAGCCAATTGTTGCTATAAATACCGAGAATGAATCAAATATCTTCAAACAAGAGGAGCCATCTCTCTCTTTGTCCCCGAGTCCTTTCCATCGCCTACACCCTGCTCTTCCGGCGCCCATGTCGCATCGTCCCGACTCTTCACCAGCTCATGCACATCCATGCGGAAATCGACAATCTCCCTCCCATTCACCAAATCGTTCTCGTCAGCCCTCTTACCCGCCTGTTCTTCATTTGCCGCTATGCCAGCTTTGACATGTCGATGAATTAATCTCTTCCTCGCGACATCAAAGTCCACATCAACAAACCACCGTTCATCCATCAACTCAGCCGCATCTTTCCATGGCTCTTTATTGAGCGAGCAGTAGTTGCCTTCGAAAATGACGATGCGAACAGACGGTGCTATCGCAATGTCGTTGTCAATGGGGTCCTTGATCGCATGATCGAAGCTGGGGGCGTATAGCGTTTGTGTTTCCGGACATATTGGCTGGCGTAGTTTCTTCACCAGCTTGAAGAAGGATTCACCGTCGAAAGTGAATGCTGCGCCTCTTCGCGCGTGTGCGGTTGTGGGGTCGGGCATGGCGTCGAGTTGGGCACGTGACAAATGGTAGCCGTCCATTGGGATGAATGCGGACAGCGGGTTGCTGTTTGACGTTCCGGGCGATTCTTGTGCATGCTTTTCGTTGAGGCGTTTTGATACTATTGCTGCGAGTGTGGTTTTGCCTGCGCTGAAGTTAGCTCTGTGAGGTACTTAGTTTGTCGCTGAGTCGTACCGGATCCAGGTATGCCAGACAATGCAATGAGCAACCGTTTTGACGCTGGCGCATCTTTGTATTGATCTGTAAACTACGGTCAGCGCCTCTATTTGAAGTTCTCGAGATTGTGTTGTGATACCCCAGACTTTGTTGACTAGACGATCTACCTGTTCCTCCATATTGTTCGAGTATGTTTCCAAAGGAGAGTTACAACAAGTTCCTCTTTAAACAGGATCAATGTTGCGGGCGATCATGATCAGCAGCATCTCATGCGGCTGTCTTGCTTTTGGTAGCCCGCACTGCAGGGTGTGGGGGGCTCGGCACGCTGATGGCCGACACAACACCGCTGACGTCGTTCGTAGCCCTTTTGGAACAACTCCGCGTGGTTACTTTCGCGATTGTGTGTAATTCACATCGTCCATCTTATCGCATTTGCTTGATTCGTACGAGTTGGTCGCCTGAAGCATCAAGTCGCGTCGAGGGATGATGTCAGCGGAGCTTGGGCCAATAGTTGACAGATATGCGGTCAGGGGTATCTTGGTCGTTTCTGCGTATGTTCGAGGTATCTTCCGCGGTAGAAAGCCATGACTATCGGCCAATGTAACAGAAACATGGCCTGACGTTTCGCCTCACCTTAGTCGCTCATTCGTACTGAACCCCATTGCCGGGAGGTTCCGTGTAAAATGCTACTTCCGCCGCCTCTGCTTGCGCTTCTTTGCGCCATTCTTCCTCCAGCGAGCGCCGCCATCGATAGTGCATCCTCGAATAACGCGTCGCTATTATGGGGCCCATATCGTCCGAACCTATATATGGGGATACGTCCCAGGGTCCCGGATAGTCTGATCGCGGGGTTAATGTGGGGAAAGGAGGAGGAGATTGAGAGCAGTATGTGAACGACCCTGTCGATCAAGCTGTTCTAACTTGGACTTAGAACTACGGCACAATGTCGACATTAGTGCTGGCATGGCACGCTATGGCTGGACATCATACGATACACGCGAAGGCGGCACACAAACCATCGAAGACGTACAGAACAAGATCGACATTACGACTGAGTTCATAAAGAAGTCGGAGGGCTCCAGTGCAGGCAATTGGGCACTGAGGATAAGAGGCACGCCTAGGAAAGATGCGCCGGCCGATTTGAAGACGACAGTGGTCTTCTATGTTGGCATGGAATCGTTCGACACATGCACCAAGTGCAAGCTAGAATCGAGTGAGCAGGTTGGAGCGGAAGAAGACACGTCGATCCACGCCGTGAATCTTTGGATGGAACACCCACAGTTAGGCACTGCCAGCATGCACATACCGGCATCTGTGGGAGAGAATGGTCGGCACGAGGCAATGATAGTGAAGTCTATGAATGTCTCGGAAGACAAGCTTTGGCGGGCAAATAGTAAGCTTGTTCTCATCAATGCCCATCCTACTTCTTCCACCTGTGAATACGCGCAAGAATGTTGACTGACCACGTTAATGGAGATAGCTACCTTTCTTGACGCGTTGAAAGATCAAATGAAAGACAAGAAAGAGGACGCCGCTATGGACCCCATGCTGCATAATGAAATCGGCAATGGCAACATGCACTTTGTGCAAATGAATTGTCATGGAAAGTTTGAGGTCAGCGCGATGTGAAGATTCTGTTGCCACTTCTAACAATCGGCAGTTCGACGTTCTGTATTCGAATCATGCTGCAGCGCGCGCTATGACCGGTCAGTGCTTCACTTCCTATCAACCTCCTAAGACTAACATACAACAGCTGCCGAACTCACGAGGAAACTGGAAAGCACTGTAAAGTCTTTCGGAAAGACTTTCGTGCACGTGTTCAACCCAAAGACACCCTTTCGAGACGAGCAGCACCTTGAGTTTGCCGAATACGTCTTGTCAAACCTCTTAGGTGGACTTGGCTACTTTGCTGGTACTAATCAAGTCGATACATCCAAGAAAGCAATCTATGCCGAAACCACTGGCAAATTCTGGGAGAAGTCAGCAGAGGCCAAAAGTCATGCAACGCCAGAAATCAGAGGGCCGTACGAGCTTTTGACACACACACCATCGCGCGCAATGTTTCCACGAGGCTTCTTGTGGGACGAAGGGTACCATCTTTTGCCTGTGCTAGAGTGGGATGCAGATCTAGCCATTGAAGTCGTTCGGAATTGGCTCGCACTCATGGACGACGATGGTTGGATCGCGCGTGAGCAAATCCTAGGCGTGGAAGCCGAATTCGCGACACCGGCAGACTTCATCACACAATTCCCTCACATCGCAAATCCGCCCACCATGTTCCTGGTCATCTCGAAACTCATCGATATGCTCGGCAGCAAGACGAAGTACTACGGCCACGAGTCGTGGTACCTCACCAAGGCCGATGCTGGGAAGACGTTCATCGTCGACGTGTACCCGCTGCTCAAGCGGCACTACGAGTGGTACCGCAAGTCGCAGTCTGGAGACGTTGAAGCTCACTCAGTTCCATCCGCAAACCTCAACGAAGGATACCGATGGCGTGGCCGCACCCCGGAGACAAACTTCGCCAGCGGTCTAGACGACTACCCCCGCGCCGAGCCTCCAGACATCACCGAGCTACACGTCGACGCCCTCTGCTGGGTCGGCGCCATGGCGCGCGTCCTCGAGAAAATCGCCGATTACCTCAACCAAACAGACTCCTTGCCCTACCAGACCCACCTCCGCGGCGTGCAAACCAACCTCGATGCCCTGCACTGGGACGACAAACAATCCATCTACTGCGACGCCGTGGTGCGTGACTCCGCACACTCCCTCGTCTGCCACAAAGGCTACATCTCCCTCTTCCCCTTCATGACAGGCTTCGTGGGCGCCTCGCACCCCCACCTGCCCGCCACGCTCGATCTCCTGCGCGACTCCGCGCACCTGTGGACAGACCACGGCATCCGCAGTCTGAGTCCTGAAAGTCCAAAGTACGGCGTTGGAGATAATTACTGGCGCTCGCCCATCTGGGTCAACATGAACTTCATGATCCTCGAGCAACTGCTCGTCCTCGCGCGCACAGCCGGGCCCGAGCAGCAGCGCTGCAGGGACATATACGTCGAACTGCGCGCTAACATTGTCCACACGGTATACTCTGCGTGGCTGCAGACGGGGTATATTTGGGAGCAATACGACCCCGTCGGCGGGCATGGACAGCGCACGCAGCACTTCACGGGCTGGTCCGCGCTCGTGGTGCAGATCATGGCGATGCCGGATCTAGCGGGCGCGGAGGGGTACAAAGAACGGGTCAAGGGGTATTACGAAGAGGCGAAGAAGACGGCGGTGCAGAATCGGAAGAGCAGTACCGGGTTGGTGGTGGGCGTGGGCATGCTGGTTGTGTTTGTGTATGTTACGAGGAGGAGGTTTATGGGGACGTGGAGGGGATTGAAGAGGAAGCATCGGCGGGTTAGTAGTAATGAGTGATGGATGGATGGGATAATGAGGTGGGGGTTTGGGATGGGGTATGAAGATTTCATGAAATGGATCTTGAAATGATTGAATTTGTTGTGCCAGGTGTGATGTCATATGAGTGCAATTCGTAAGATGGTGAGTATGTTCTCCATGGTGCCTTGATGGTGAAAAGAAGCACTATCCAAGTCAATACCTTAAAAAATCTCAGATCTTCCGCTCAACAACAACGGCCCTTGCCCAAAGCAACCTCTCCCCCAAGCTCGCTATCATGGGAATCGCACACGCCTTTCCCACCGTCAGCACCCCGCCGTCCCCCACAAGTCTCGTCGCACACTTCACCGCAACCTCCACCGCTTCCCTCGACTCCCCATCCGCAGCGTCCCGCTCCGCCGGGAACTTGACCCTGATCAGCACCCTGCGAAATCTGGTATCCCAGGAGGCATCCCAGTGTTTAGCGCAAGCATCTGATTCCTGCGCGAACAGCTCCGCGCTCGTCCACAAATTCCACACAAGCTCGAGACAGCCAGCGTGTAGCATCAGAGGCTGGACGAAAGGCAGAGAGGCGCGGAGCCTCGCTCTTCTAAGAGTTCCGCTGCGGATTGAGGAATATGAGCGCAAGCGGCCTAACAGTGCGGCTTGAACAGATCTGATGTTGCGGAGTCCGCCATGTTCGTGTACTATGGTGTTGTGCATTGTGCTTGGCGTCGTGTTGTGCATTGTGCTTGGCGTCGTGTTGTGACGCCAGCTTGGAGTTCTGAATGTGAGGGTACGTACGAACAGGTCCATTGCTTCGGTTTTTATTTGTTTGCAGGTAAGTAGCCAGGATGGGAAATCGTGTAGTGTTTTGCATGTGGCAATGTCGTCTTTGTAGTCGGCATGGCTCATGTATAGACGGATCTCGCCCAATGTAAGCCGGTAACGCGTTGTAGATTTGCCAAAGGCGTGCGCATAGATCTCGTTCCTGATCTCTGTAGGGAGCTTGAAGAGAGGACTCTGGTTATGTGCTTCTCCAGCTGAGTCATAATTGTCAGAGGCGAGCGGATCGGACATTTGCACCCGTTTCGGGAACGTTGGACCAGGTTTGCTCGTGTTGCAAGGTGAAGTGACTTGCAAAACAGGTGAGAGCACCGTTATAGGAAGTGTGAAGTGCTGATGTGAGAGTAAGGAAGAGGTTCGAATCGACTGGGTATTTTTGGGAGCCAAGACGCTGGCTGTGCAAGCTAGTCAAACGAAGCTAGAAGGGACTGTGAAAGTGAAGAAGCGTGAACTGGTCAACGACCTCAGGAAGGCAAGAATACATGACACGAATCGAATGATCGTAATTATTATCCACGGATGGTCTAGATCTCATGACGTACAGTGATATATACTCCGTAAACACGACTTTCTTTGTGATGAGATGAAGCGAATAGACAACTCAGAGGATAACCAAGTTGGCGCCTCATTACGGTGATAAGCGATTTACTCCCTCCCCTCCATTCCTGATCGGGCCATCTGCCGGCAACTCTTCTAAGGCCCATGTTTCTGCCATGGTGTTAAGCATGCCTTTGCTTATTTCGTGATAAAATTGAACTTGCCAGCCGTTGATGTTGGACCAGCCTACTCACGCCTTTCGCTCAACGGTGACACATCGAATCCATTGTGAACCAATATCTGGATATGCTGTGTACGAATCTTCGCAGGTCACGGTGCCACCGAGGCCAACCAGCCGTGTTGCCAGCATCTCCGCGAGCCGGACGAACTTTGTCGACGCATCTCCCCCATCAGGATTTGTATGCACAACGACATCAATCGACACTTTGCGAAAGCGACCCGTCCAGAATTCGGTCCAGTCCTTAGTCCAAACCCCAGGCTCGTTATCCAGCCACTCCGGCGCAAGAAGATTATATCTGATCCCGCAACTCCCTAGGCAGCCGAAAGAAAGCACACGCTTCTTGCAGTTTGTACGTGAGGTCGATCGGGCGAGGCAGCTTGTCATCTATCCGCGCGTGCTTCACCTGCAGCTCCAGTGACTCGGAAGAAGCTTGTTGTTTCATGCTGACTGGCGTTTCCTATTATTCGTGGTCGCGGAGGTGTTGTGGCGAGATCATGGCTGACGCAGCGTGGATGTGAAGAGCGACAGAGCAATTGAGCAGAAGGTCCTCTTATGCTCATTGGCAAACGGGCGATCCGCACTGTCACCGAATGTAGGTGAAAGGCGGAGGGGTTCGCTAAGCAGCTCGAGGTGATGAGAGCACTATGCGTTTCGTCAGGTAGGTAGTAGAGAGTTGAAATTGTTAAAAAAACATGAGAAGTGATGGGGTAAGGTCATCAGCAAGAACGGAAGGCACCACACTCTCACATTTGAGCCCGGGGAAGGCACGTCAGTCACGTGTCAAAGCCCACCTCTTTCAACTTCAAGATTTACTTGGGAGCATGTGTATTCAAGGTATGCGCCGGGGACGAAGTAAATTGGCAGTTACATCTACCATCATATTTCATGCTTAAAGTACGCATACAATTCTGCGGCCGTAACACGCACGCTTAGTGAGTCTCCCTCTTCCTATCCAGATTCACCTCAAGCCGTTGCTGTTCAGCTCAAATGTGATACACATGAAGTGAAGTGCAACTGCAGTGTTTTTGAGTCGTTAAAGGAAAAGGCGGCCGTTGGTGATGTGGCCGTCGAAAGAAGCATCCTGAACGCCCTGACCAGCGCCATGGTTCGGGTCTCCAAAACAGACCGAGGCCGTCGAGCTGCCATAATAGATACATTTTGGCTTCGAAATTCAAATCGCGCCGACTATGTCAACGTGGGGGTGGATGCAAAGGTTAGGCAGCTGCTGCCGCTATGCCTTGACCTGAGCGTCCTCTGTGTCCGGCACCGGTGTCTCGTTCTCGAACTCTGACGCCGACGTCTCGCGGTGCAGGCTGGTCTCGCGGTGCATGAAGGGGTGCTCCTTGACGGGGCTGCCGACCTTGTTCTCCTGGCCGTTGCTGTTGACCGGAGTCAAGCCATTGGGTGTAGGAGGAGCAATATGGGGGATCTTCTCGGGATTGGGGTGCTCGCGGCCGACCTGGGTGACGCCGACGTCTCCGGCCTTGCCGGCCTTGGAAAGGGCATAGTCGCCGCTGTCGAAGTACTTGCGCTCCTACGATACCATTAGCCGAGAACTGATACACCCGAGCTTGCGACGCACCTTCAGCTTGTTCTGGAGCAGGTCCTTCTTGTTGGGGAGCTTTCCGTAGAGGCGGAACAGCTTGGCCTCATCTGGGGACATCTTCTGTGCATTTTGTCAGTTCTGCGCTGCTCAGGGTCTCTCGCGGCATCCCTGGTGCAGCATCGCAAAAAGTGCGGGAGCTGCGCAGGGGCCGCCGATGACGTACGCTGATGTCCACCTTGTTCTGCTGGTGTGGGTTCATGGTTGCGGTTGCGGTGGTGTGTGTGTTTGCTGCTGCGCGGAGGAGTTCGCAGGGCGGCCGAGTTGTATTTATTCTTTGTTTGGTCGTGACTGGGGCAAAAGGGTCCAGGGCGACAAGTCGTTGGAAACTTGGCTGTCGTTGGCTCGCGCTCTGTCACTTTGGGCAGGGACGCGACAAGGAACAAGGTGCAATTGGTACGTGACCTTCCGGCTTCCACTGCGGGCGATTGGGACGTCGAGCAAGCTTGGGCGTCTTTTGTAGTTGCTGCCTGACAACGCACGACGGCAATGTGTGATGACTCTTTCGTGTGAACGTTGTGTCTTGCGGTGCTGAAACAGTTGCGTGGGTACTGCAAAAGTGCCCCTCTATCAAATATGCGATAAGCCTCGATCGTCCGAGGTTCCAGTACGCTGGGACGCTATGATCTGTCGACGATGGCAGCGACAACTCCTTTTGAGAGGAGCAGCAGTGCTGGAAGTGCGTTCAGTCCGAACTGTTGGAACTGTGCTGATGTGAGGGGTTTGGGACCGATGGAGTCTTCCGTGTCGCTTCCGTAGTGAGGTCGAAGGTGCACTTGACAGCTAAGGAGGGGTATGCAGCAGATGTCTATAAGTACTTGTATGCAGGTTGTGGGTCGACGGCTGCAACTACTAATCCGTGGCGTGTTCAATCACGTTAATTGACTCAGACACACGAGGAATGGGCAGCTGCCGGGGAAGAGGGCACGGCGCTGCTTAAAGCTGTAAATGGTGGTGGCATGCCGACGCTGGATTGTCGTAGCCTTTACCACACTCAGCGCTCTCACAACGTCACACGCACCCTCTATTGGCTGCCATGTACACTAGATCGTCAGGGTCGTCTCAATTCACACACTGCGTCTTCGATCGACCCTGTCCATTGCGTTGTTTGCACGACCCCGTCACTTGAAGCATGCCTCGTAACCTCTCCGCCATCTCCGCCGTGTAACTTCACACGCTGAAGCAGAGCAAGATCCCCGCACCCAGAGACCCAAGCGTGATAGGCTTCAGTTGGTAGATCCGCCTTGCTAGAGACATTCCGGCCAGAGCCTGCTAGACGGACTACGGCATAGTACCCGATTAGCCCTCCACTACTGCAAGGTTTGCGGTTGGTAGGCCTCGTGAGCGCCCGCAAGCGACCTCTTCCAAGAGCTGCCGAAAAGTGAGAACAAAAAATTCCAGGGACTGATTGCGGGGTCTCAGCGTGATTCGCCAATCTCTGACCCAGCGTGCCGCCCTACCACAACAAGAAAGAGGCACACCGGCTGCTCATTCCGTCCTAACTACGCAATGGCGCAAACTGGCAAGACGTTCGTGGTTGAGCACCTCGATCCTGAATTGGAGGCCTGGTCCTCTCTCGAGTACCGCACAATCGCTGCAGAGTCGCACGCTACCGGTGCAAAGTTTCTGCTCTCATCAGTGCCGACGTCTCTGAAGCTACCAGAGAACCTGCAGGGCGCCCAGGGCTTGAACGTCGAGACCAGAGGCATTGAGGAGATATATGCAGACAAGAAGGACAGAGTATGCCTGCTCGACCCTGCAGCAGCCAAGGACCTGAGTCCAGAAGATGGTAATACCTTCGACATCTTCTTGTTTGGTGGCATCCTGGGTGCGTGTATAACACAGCATTTGATATTGTGCCAGGGCTGACCTCGATTCAGGAGATGACCCCCCACGAGGTACGTGCTACAACCTTTGGGACTACCATGCTTTCCCATGGACTGACTTCTCTGGTTGCAGACCGCACTTCTGAGCTGCGCAAAAAAGGGTACCAAGGACGCAGATTGGGCCCAGTACAAATGACTACCGATACTGCTGTCCGCGTGACAAGAATCGTCGTCCAAGATAAAAGTATGCCGGATCATGTCGTCCATTCTTTCTGCGCGGCGTGCTGACTATGCCCAGTACCCGTCGACAAGATCTCGTTCATTGACCATCCGGAGCTCAAGATTAACAAGAACGAGAGCACGGAGATGCCCTTCCGCTATGTGAAGGGCGAGGATGGGCGCCCCATCATGCCTGAGGCAAGAAAACAACATCTACTGTTTCAGCTTGGACCCCGTTTTACTGACATCATACGACAGGGAATGGTGGACCTGATCATCAAAGACTCGGAAAAGAGTCTGGACGACCTCTTATAGAAACACGTTATCCGCCTGACCCTGCCAATGTTCCCGGCACTGAGGCACAGTCAATGCATGCATTATGCCCCTAAGCCACTGTGGCACGCAGTCTTCGACAGCTTTTGAAAAGTGCTGCTTCCGGAAGGTTTGGTCTTTGGTAGCAATTCCAGCAATGGCTCCATGCGACCACGTACGTGGTACTCGCGGGATTTGCGCCACGAACTTGGGTACTGGTAAACGGGCCGAATCGAGCTACGATACCCCAAATGCGTTCAGCTTGTTAGTGACACGTACGCCCATGTAGAAATTCAAAGTCATCATGTCCAATCCCCGGATGGCCATTGCTCTCACCACGGCGGGAAGTCATAATTGCGCCACGTGCCGGGTGACATTCTTGCGACAAGCGACCGTTGTCCCCAAAGCCGCGTAGTCTAAGCATTTTGCCGTGGGCCTCCTGCGTATTAAGGCACAAAATGCAAGCGTGATACATGGCTGAAGCACCTGATTACGATTCAACAGTGTCAGATGGTGCGGGAGGCTAAGATCGCTGGGCAGAGGGGACTTTGAGACGCGGGAGCCCGCCTGCCGAGAGAATGATTGGGCGGTTCCTGCTTCGAGAACGATGCTTGGCGCATCCGAAGAAAGCCCTCAATAGAGCCGTTTTTGTTATGTCGAGTGATAAGTATTAACGTGTCTTGATAGTATTCCCGAATTTTCCGATCTCGACATTCCTCCTCCTCTTCGCCCTCCCTCCTGTGAAACCCGTGCTGCGCCTATCTACCTGAGTGTCTAGCATAGCCCCTGTCAGCCAGATCGCAGTCGAGGCCTCGTCAGCCCGCGCATAAGCCACCTATCCACCTTCCGTACCCCGAGCGTACAGCGAGCGCCTACACGATCGTGCAGCACCGTGTCCTCCGCTGCGCAGTGTAATAATTCTGGTTGTCCCAGTCGTTTGCTGTTCTTCTACCTCACTTCCATGAGATAGCCACTGCGCCCCGGCTCCTTTCCGGCTTTCTATATTCCGAAACCGCGGCATCACCATGCTGCTCACACATACTTCGTCGCGATGGCGGACAGCCGCTGTATGCGCTCTGGCAGCCACCGCCTCGTGGCTACCAAGTGTCCAAGCAGCGGAGAAGACACAGGCGGACTACTTTGTGTCAAGTCTACCGGGCGCGCCGGAAGGGCCATTGTTGAAGATGCATGCAGGGTAAGGCGAAAGCACGGGAGCAGTGACATGCTAATACTAACGCTGCAACAGCCACATAGAAGTTGATGCAGAGCATAACAGCAACCTTTTCTTTTGGCACTACGAAAATCGCCACATTGCAGACCGACAACGGACGGTACTATGGCTGAACGGAGGACCCGGTTGCTCGTCCATGGACGGCGCCATGATGGAGATCGGGCCCTACAGAGTGAAGCACGGTGGTCATCTGGAGTACAACAACGGCTCGTGGGATGAATTCGCAAACATGCTCTTCATCGACCAACCGGTGGGCACGGGATTCAGCTACGTGAACACGGACAGCTACCTCACCGATCTGGACCAAATGGCCGAGCACATGATGATTTTCCTCGAGAAGTGGTTCAAGCTCTTCCCAGAGTACGAGAACGACGATGTGAGTGTTTAGACTACGTGATCCGCGTACATCCACTGACAGTAGTAGTTGTACATTGCTGGTGAATCCTACGCCGGCCAGCACATCCCCTACATCGCACGCGCCATCTTGAACCGCAACAAGAACCAAAACACCGATCCAAAGCCCTGGAACTTGAAGGGCCTCCTTATCGGAAATGGCTGGATCTCACCCGCTGACCAGTACCTTGCGTACCTACCCTTTGCTTACCAGAACGGAATGATCCAAGCCGATAGCGACAGCGCAAAGAGAGTCGAACAGCAACAGTCTATCTGCATACAGAAGCTGCAAGACGGCGGTCACGACAAAGTAGACACGAGCGAGTGCGAGCAGATCATGGTGGCAATTCTGGAGGAGACCAAAGACCGAAAGGCCGACCGGATGAACCAGTGCCTCAATATGTACGATATCCGACTCCGAGACGACTCCTCATGCGGCATGAACTGGCCCCCGGACCTCACTGACGTTACACCTTACCTCCGCCGTCCAGATGTGATCAAGGCTCTGCACATCAACTCCGACAAGAAGACCGGATGGTCCGAGTGCAACGGTGCCGTATCCGGGCATTTCCGTGCGAAGAACAGCGTGCCAACTGTCAAGTTTCTGCCTGAGTTGCTCACCGAGGTCCCGATCCTTTTGTTCTCTGGTGACAAGGATTTCATCTGCAACCACGTAGGAACGGAAGCAATGATTGAGAACATGAGCTGGAACGGCGGAAAGGGTTGGGAGGTTTCTCCTGGTGTGTGGGCGCCTAAGCAAGATTGGACTTTCGAAGGTGAACCCGCTGGTACTTACCAGGAGGTCCGCAACCTCACCTACGTCGTCTTCTACAACTCCAGCCACATGGTGCCTTTCGACTACCCCAAGCGAACTCGGGACATGCTTGACCGCTTCATGAACGTCGACATTAGCGCAATCGGTGGCGACCCTGCGGATAGCCGCATTGATGGCGAGAAGGGCCCGCTCACGAGTGTGGGAGACCACCCGAACTCTACCAAAGCCGAGGAGGACAAGGCGCAACAACTCAAAGAAGCGGAATGGAAGGCATACTACCGCTCCGGCGAGGTTGTGCTTGTCATCCTCATCATTGTTGCATGTCTGTGGGGTGCATTCCTCTGGCGCACTCGGCGTTCAACCAGCCTGTACAAAGGTGTCGATGGCGATGAGGGCCGAGAGTCTCTGCTCACAGGAATGGGCCTCGACAACTTCCGCCGAGGGGCGCGGAGGCATGATGTTGAGGCAGCGGACTTTGACGAGAGGGAGCTCGACGACCTAGATGATGCGCCGAAGAAGCCTGCCAATGGCTACTCGAATGTAAATAGCGAGAAGGAGAGGCAGCCCCATAACGACTCCACGTTCAGTCTGGGGGCGGACAGCGATGACGAGGCTGAGGGTAGCGAGCGAGGCCGGAGAAAGGAACACTCATGATTGTAATAGCAATCATCTCGGACGCATTTGATTACAGGCACTTGGGATTATGGAAGGGACTACCTGGCATAAAAGGCGTTGGGGGCTTCACTATACACCATCACGCTTGAGATATGTAGATTGAGACTATTACATTCTATTACATCCTATTACTTTTTATCCCATCATTTTCAGAGATTTTATCCGGCAGTACCAAAAGGCGTTGTGTACGCTCGATGTAGTCGTGTGCAAGACCCCACAGCACGTGATGGCGTAGTTTAGCGCCACTTCGCTCAGCGCGTCCTCTCGTCTCAAGGCGCGTCATTGTCAGCCACCAAGCCTCCACTTCTCTTCGGCGGCGACCAGATGCTCAACACACGATCATAACACGACTATGCCTGCGTACGTATTCGCGAATAACTATTACGCTTGCGGGCGGATACATTGCGCCTTACTGATTGTGCTGCAGGCCGGGCGACCAATACCATGGCGGCAACGTCACGAACCCGTTCGAGGAACGCGTCGTGAATGGCTTCACAGCGTCTGAAATCGCGACTTTACAGAGCAGGTTAAACAAGCAACTGGGCCCAGAGTACATTTCGACGAGGCCGGGCAATGGTGGCGGCAAGGTTGCGTACTTGGAGGGCAACAAGGCCATAGCACTCGCGAATGAGGTGTTTGGCTTCAACGGCTGGTCCAGCTCACTAGGACAGGTGCAGATCGATTATGTATGTGTTGGTGTGAAAGACACGCATACAATGCTGATAGCAGTAGGTCGACGAGCACCAGAACGGCAAGGTCAGCTTGGGCCTGTCGATAGTAGTGAGGATCACGCTGAAAGATGGCACATACCACGAAGTATGTTCTGAATCACCACAAAAGCAAGAGCCACGCTAATTAGCACCAGGACATTGGCTACGGCTCAATAGAGAACGGCAAAGGCAAAGCAGCATCTTTCGAGAAGGCGAAGAAGGAGGCGGCTACCGACGGACTAAAGCGTTCATTACGCACTTTCGGCAATGTACTCGGCAACTGCTTATACGACAAAGAATACCTCAAGAAGGTCCAGACCATGAAGGTCAAGCCGATCAAGTTTGAGGAGGGGAGCCTGTACAGACATGCAACCTATGCGCCACGACCACAGGAGGAGCAGGCGGTGGTAAAGCACGAACCACAGCGAACACCGATGCGACCAAACCAGGTACTGAGGACGCGTACGGAGCACATTGGCGAGTCATTTGGTGCTGAGTTCGACGACGAGTTCGATGGTAATCTCTTCGATGGCGTCGATGTTACCGAAGGCCATGGTGATGAGTTCTCGTTCGACGCTGGATCAGCACCAGCAGAGTCAGCACCAGCGCCCATGCCGAGAGCAGTCGAAGCAGTAAGGTCAACAAACGGAGCAAATGGAGCCAACGGCGTTCGGTCTGCTCGTACATCACCTATTCGACAAACTGGTCCGCCCCGACAGCCTCCGCCGCGTATGCAGCCAGCAAATGGTATCAACGGTCAAGGTCCACCTCAAAATCGACCAAACCAAGGACCAGGACGGCCATCCCCAGCTGGTCCGATGCAGCGACAGCCTCAAATCCCAGTTCAGCCGCAAAACCAGCAGCGACCTGACCAGAATGGAGGGCGTATGCCTCCACCCAACAGCAACAACAGTGCAAACATGGCCCCCCGACCCCCAGTGCAGCAAAATCAGCAGCCCTCAAACCAACCGCTTCGAAATACTCCTCCAGATGCCCAACATGCGCCTGCTCAACCACGCCCAGCTCCACAAGCACAAGGAGTGACGACGCCATCCGCGAACCCTGCACCTCCCAACGGTCGACCGCCTGTGGGCTTCATTACATCTCGTGCAGCCGAACTACTCCAAAACTCCGACGCTGCCGTTCCTTCAATCGCACACCTCCCCACCTTCAACCCCAACGCCGAATCCCCCGTACCCAAGGACAAGCGCACCCCAGGCATCGACAACAGACGCAGCGCCCCCGTCAAGCGCGAACAAGTCGGCGCACCACCCGCTCCTCCCCCAGCCGCCGAGCCCGCCAACTCCCGCCCTTCACGCCCGTCAAACTTCGTCAACCCCCAGCAAGACATGAATAGGCGCATCGGCATGCCTGGCGCGCCCAGCTACGCCATGAGTCCTAGTGCGAACCGTGGCGCGTATAAACCGCCTACGTTCGCCAATGGTGCTGCGGGTGTTAAGAGGGAGAGGCCGCCGCTGCAGGACGTGAGCAATCAGGGAGCAAATGCTGGAGTCGAGGGTCCGGATGTTAAGAGGCAGAGGGTGGAGGGTGCGACGGGGACTGAGAATGGTGGTCCTGTAGGTAGCTGAGGATGTGAGATGTGAAAGCACGTCGTTTTTATTTTGGCGAACATGGATTGATAGGTATGGGTACGAGGCATGGCGTAAAAAGGGGACTTTCACATCATGGGAGCTGCATTTTTGGGGATCCAACGGGTAGTGAATTTAGCGGTACATTTCTAGACGACTCAAAACACGAATGCAAAAATGGCCATCTTTCGACACTGGATTGCACTGTTTATCCTTGATTCCTTGTACATAACCCTAATGCGCCGAGCCAACCCGTAACGCTAATGCAATTATAACGAAAAAAGCACACTCTAGAGTGAGCAGACTAGTACATCGCGATTCTCCCGTGGCTGCTGCGGAGATCTTGGCCCAGCTCTGTTCCACGGCAGAACAAGAAAGGCCTTGTTGTGGTGTAGGAATATGCCGCTCTCGATAGATTTCATGTGCATATCCGCCTGCGCCTCTTGGAGACTTAGCCAGGGGCAGTTGAATCCCAGCCCCTCGCCAGATGAATATCAGCCCGACCGGCCCGCTGAGGCAGACGACCTCTGATGTCCGTGGTTCTACCTCTTCTTGTTCCCTGGCCTGGGCTTGCACTCATCTCCCACAACGGGGTGCAGTTTGATCTTAATCGGATACTGCGCGTTGTTCCCGCCATAGCCTTTGCTCCAGTCGTAGCTCACCGCGTACGCAAAGATATCACCTGTGCGCGAGAAGGCCGTCGCTGTGATGCTGCCGCCAACCTCTGGGTAGCCTTTGAGACGGTGCTTGGCGTCCTTGTCCCAGAAGTGGAATGTGCCGTCGCTGCCGGCGGTGCTGAAGGTGCCGTGTACCGGGTGGAAGGAGATGGCGTTGACGGAGTAGACTTTGGCGACGTCGCGCTGGGAGGGGTCGGGTTGGCGGTGGCATTTGAAGGAGAAGTTTAGGCTGTGTGGGGAGTTAGTTGTTGTGATTTGTTACGGGGAAGGAGTGTGAGGACGTACCTGGTGTCTTTGTCTTCAACATATTGAATCGCGCAACGGCCTTCGATACTGCCGACTGCGAAGCCGGTCGCGTCGCTGAAGCAGGACACAACGCGCGTCTGCCATTTCAGCGGGCTAGTGATGGACTTGTAGATCTTGGTGGGGTCTTGAAGGTTGATGGTGTGAATGTGACGCTCAGCGGTCGCGACGACGAGGAGCTGGTCCTTGACATCCATGCTGTAGACGCGCTCTTGCGCATCGAGCGTGCCCACAGGCTCGGCGCCCTTCAGGTCCCAGAACTTGACCGTCTTGTCCCATGAGCCGGTCGCGACGTAGTCTTGGCCGCCGGTTTGGAACCAGCGCACGCACTTGATGGCTTCGGCGTGGGCCTTTGCTTGTTGCGCGGGGATGGTGCCGCTGGCGGGGTTGCTGCGGAAGTCGACGATGTTGAGGTGGCCGGTGGAGTCGCCAGCCGCTATGCGCGTGCCGTCCTGTTCATGTTAGTTACTTCATCTCACATACTTCGCATCTGCTGTGCACATACCTTTGACCATCCAAGACCCAGAACATGTCCTTGGCACTCGAACAGGTACTTTCCCTGTGCGCCATTGCCGTTGACTTCGTAGATGTAGACCTTCTTGTCCCAGCTTGCGACGGCGAGCAGGTCGTGTGTAGGCGAGAACTGGAGGTCGGATATGCTGTCAGACGGGAGCTGGCCTGCGGGAATCTCGACGTCCTTGCTAGTGTCGCCGGTGGTAGAGCTTGCAGACGCAGCGGGTTGGGCACCGAACAAGGCCATTGTGTGTGGTGGAGCTTAGGTTGCGGTGGACGAGCAGATGTCGGTAAGGAAGCTCTGCGCGAGCGTGTTGTTATGCCGCGACAGTAGGTTGAGCGCGAAGATTCTCGAACGCAGGTGTTGCGCAGTGTAAGTCGCGACGAGAACGAGCGAGCGATGGCAGGACTATCAATTCGGCAGCGTCACGCAATAAATACTCAGCAGCGCCTCTCGATACTCTTTCACCGTCGTCGCGCTCGCAGCAAAAGAAGTGCAAGCCCGTCCAAGCTTCCAGGCATCCTTGCAGGCACTTGCCAACTGCAGCCTAGCGCCGCCTGCGGCCAAACCTTCCGCCGCTCCGCCGTCCGCTAAAACGACTTTTCCTTTTGATCCCCAGCTTTCTCTCCAACGTTCCTCGCTCAAAGAATCGCAACGAAGCACACAAATAGAGCGCCCTTGGGCGTCTCTTCCTTTCGCTTTGGGAGAAAGTCCCCGGACATCGGTTCTTCATGGACTGCACTTTCAGCAACGAATCGCCATAGAAGCGCGACTTCCTACCGATCACGACACTTCTTCGCTCTCTTTTCCGTTAGTCTCTTCCGAAGCTGCTCTCTCGATGGCGCAGGTGGAGGGGTTGGCACCGGGGCGATGATATGAGCCCGCTGGCTACCTTGCCTGTTGTCTGACAGATCGTCTTGCAAGCGGAGGAGGAGGATGGAGATGTCGAAGTTGCGCCAGGTACGGAGGGTCTTCTCGTCCAGTTTATGGTTATGCGATTGCCATCTGAACGACTCGGTCATACGGGTCGTGTTGGTGGTAACTCAATGGGGCTTATTCTTGAGGCGAGGGACGTTCACCATCGACACAATTTTTCGGATCTGAACACGGCTATCCTAGATAGGGTGTGTATGCTTGGTCGAACAAGCCAGATTCTTTCAGCCATGGGTCTAAATGAGGAGACAAATGAAATAGAGTCAAGCACTGAGACTGTCTGAATCCCAAAGTGGTAGGACGGTCACTGCTGAGCATTTCAAACACAAACTGACAAGACCTCATGGCTTAGATAGTTTATTTCTTCTATCAATTCATGCTATTGTTGCGGCTTATGATTCTTCCTTGTGTGATGTGGTGATCGTGAACATCTTGCTTTAACTTGCTCTTCATGCGTCGCTGCCGACAATGAACTCCTTGACCTCCTTGTACGCCTTGTCCAAGTCATCGTTGACCACAACCTTGTCGTGCGGCGCCTCTCCGCTGTTCGCGAAGTCCATCTCGTTCTTCGCCTGTTTCAGCCTCTTAAGGATAGCCTCCTCCTTGTCCGTCGCGCGACTCCGCAACCGCTGCTCCAAGATCTCCATCGAAGGCGGTGACAAGAACAGGAATCGTGGACGAGGGAACGTGGGGTGGTTTGCGACTTGCTTGACGCCCTGTACTTGAATTAGTATGTGAAAAGGTGATGCACGATAGGGCGGCTGTCTACCTCCATCTCAATATCCAATATACAAATCCTGCCCTTCTCCGCAATGTCGTTGACCGCCTTGATGCTCGTGCCATAGCAGTTGTCGCCAAACTGCGCATGCTCAATGAAGCCCTTCTTGTCCACCAAGTCCTGGAACTCCTCCCTCTTCACAAAGTAGTACTCGCGCCCATCTTCCTCGCCGGCGCGGGGCCCGCGTGTCGTATGCGAAATGCTGAAGCCGAATTTGTCGGGGTATTCTTCGAACAGGCGCTTCAGGATCGTCGACTTGCCCGTGCCGCTGGGCCCGCTGATCACGATGGCGCGGTTCTTCTCCACGGCGGAGGTATCGGTGGGAGCCATGGTGTACGATGAGGTGTGGGAGAATGATCGTGCAGGTATATATAGGCTTGGACAGCGAAGGGAGGGTATGTGAGACGAGTGGTGACTCAACAAGCTTCGTGACTCTTTGACAAGGCTTCTACAACTTCTTGCAAGAGTCAATGGCATCGAGGAAGCATTCCTGTCCGACTTGGATGCGCTGCGGCGTGATTGGCGGTCAAGCTAGGGGTCTTTTGGTGGGGCATGGCGGGACGGACTGGTGACATCGCGTTTTCGTGTTTGTACTGACCTCATCGAGCTTGCGACTGCTTTTCTGTAATTTGCACGAAGCTACATGACGAGGTGAAAAGACGCGCTGAGCGCATACAAAGGAGTGAGGAGCTTCTGACACGACATCATGGTTTGTTCCTTCCATTTTCGTGAAGTTAAGCTGTGCATGCTAATAATTGGTAGTCGAAACAATACCTCACGCTTCACACGGTCGACTCGGCGCATCCAAACGCTGCTGATGTCTTTGCTGTCGCGCCTACAAGTACACAACTGCTCTCGGCTTCAGGCTCGAGTAGCATCAATGTCTACGACACCACAAAGCCCGAGTTCCCTGTCATACAAACATTAGACAAGGCGCACCCACTCGGCATCCACCACCTGGTCACAGCAAGAGAAGACAAGGCGAGGCGAGCTGCGAGTGCTGGCTTCGAAGGCAAAGTCAAGATATGGAGTCAGGGCGAGGATGGAGTGTGGAGTGAAGACGGAGAGATTGTTGGTGGGTACGCCTTGCGCTTTCATTGCGAGCTCATACTGCGACTGTGGCAGAACGCGAGCGCTGACGCATGCTGCAGACCAGAACAAGCCTGGTGAGATATGGGCCATTGCCATCAGCGCAGACGGCCAGTATTTGGCAGGCAGCAGCATCAACGGCAAGGTCAACGTCTGGAGCTTGAACAAAGGCGAAGGCATGCCCAAGATCCGCGAGTACGAGACGAAAGGCAGCTTTGGACTATGTGTCGATCTAGTATGTCAACACTCTGATCAATACCACCCACCCCAGCTATACTAACGCCTCTACAGAGTCGCAACGGTAGCTTCACGGCATCTGGTCACGAGAACGGATCCGTCTACGTCTTCAACAACGAAACCGGTCGCCTTGCACACTCTCTAGCCGGCCTGGTCCATCCAGTCCGCAGCGTGGCATTCTCGCCCGCATCGAAGCTCCTCGCGGCTGGAGGAGATGCAAGAATCATCGCGCTGTACGACGTCACATCCGGCGAACAAGTCGCCAACTTCACAGGACACGGCGGCTGGGTATTGTCTCTAGACTGGAGCGATACGGGCGAGTATCTGTTATCAGGGTATGTTTAACTCAAACTAACATAGTAAAAGCAAACGCTAACCAGAACCTAGCTCGCACGACTCAAAAGCAAAAGTATGGCGCATCGATACGCGGACGTGCGTCGCGACGCATTCTCACGGCGACAAGCCGCTGTGGAGTGCGAAGTGGTTGCCCAAGAACCCGGTCAAGAGCGAGATGTTTGCGCTGGCTGGAGGGAATAACTCTATCGGCTTCTATCGAGAGGCGGCTGGTTGAGTGGGTATGTCCAGATGACGAGATCTAAAAAACCATACAATCTGTACTTCGAGATGGGTAGTACGGACAATGCATGAATGCCGAATGGTAGCTACAAAGATCTAGAGACTCCGCTCACTTGCGGAGACAGGTGAGGTGGGAATGATACCAAAATCCATGCAGTCGAAAACGTCCGGAATTCACGGACGATACACGATAACAAAAAAGCTAGTTCCTTGACAACTCCCGTAAACCGCTTTGACAAAAAGCAGCAATGTTTACAAAAGCAAAAGAGTGTACGTCTTTGGCCCATTATGCTGAGCACTTGGAGCTGCAATCTTGTGCCACATCGCTTCTTCTCAATATCCAGATTTTGTGAAGGGTTTGCTTCCAAGCCAGATAGAACATGCGTTTCAGAAACGCAAGACAAATGTCCTTCCAGCACCAGCTGAGTGAGACTATCTCATTCCATGTCAGACATGTGCAGTTCTAAGACAAACACCGAGAAACGGAGCACATTTATAACTGCCCTTATTCTGGACAGCTGAGTATTCCCATACCACAAGCTTCCCTTCTTCACAAGCTCAAAATGTCCACAACCAATCCTACACCAACGAACCGCCTCGCCACTCCGTCTGCGCAGAGCGAAGAAACCACCAGAGAAGCCGCCATCAGAGCTACATTCAGCATGAATAACGATTCCGACTCTGATCTGAGCGACCCTCCAGACAGCGACGACCTCCACTCTCCCACCGACTCCGACAATCGTGATCAACCCAACAATTCCTCAAACAGTTCTTCCGACTCTGACTCCCCACCCCTCCCGCTTCCCCCCATCTACGCGCACCACATCTCCACCGCCCTCTCCCTGACCGTCTGTCAAGCACATGCCCTCCACGCCTCCATGCAGTCCGAAATGCTCGCGGAGGGTCTACTCGGGGAGATGAGTTTCCGCGCCAGCGTCAAGAAGGTAAGTGCGAGGGTGCTGAAACCTGTATTTAAGAGGGTGAAGGCCGATTTGGGTTTTTTGGCGGAGAAGGAGAAGGAAGTGGGAGCAGGGAGGTTGAAAGAGTTGTTGGTGGCGAGGGCGAGGATTTTGAATCAGAATGAGAAGCATAATCGGTGGATGGTGGAGAATGGGAGGGTGGGGAGGAGGAGGTTGAGGGTAGAGATGACTGGTGCTGGTGCTGCGCAAGACGAAGGTGTTGAGAGTGAGGTTCATGACTCCGACACTGCGAATGGTGAAGAACGGCCTCCTGTCACGACGGCGGTATCGTGGCTGGACATTCAAGGCACCGAGACGCCTGCTCACGAGGACACGCATCGGTACCAGGACCAGGATCAGGTTCAGATTCCCGCTCTAGAGGAAGAGAGAGTCCAAGACAATGCAGAGATCGTCACTCGGACCAGTATCCCTATCTCACTGCTCCTCAGTGGCACTGGCCGAGATAGTGTTGACGACAGAGCTCAACCCAGCACTTCGCATCCCATCCAAGCCAATCCGCCAGTCGTTGCCCAACAGAACACTTCGCATCCCCTCCAACCCAATCCGTCAGTTGTTGCTCGACCTAAACCCCCTCACAACCAACCCATCACACCACCATCCCATCCCACCGCCTTCCTAATCCGCCACACCACCACCCCATACGCCGCAGCCATCCTCTCCACCCCTGACCTCACTCTCACGCGCTTTACCTCCCTCGTATCCGCGCAACTCAGCTTTGATGCTACCGGTCGCATCAGGGCCGTTGTGCCCCGATCACCCCAAGCCGCGCCCGTGAACGTTTTCGTGACGCTCGATAGCGAGGAGACGTGGCGGGCTATGGTAGAGATCTGGGCAGTGTGGAGGAGGGAAGTTGGAGAGGCGGTCGTTGAGTAGGATGGGTGAGTGAGGCAGGCACTGATATAGGTTTGCGGAAGTACATAGTGTAGATTTTTATTTGAAAGAACTGATCGCGAGAACAAGCATGTGTGTATGCTCAACTTGACAAGCACTAGAACTACACATCACCTACCATCTAGAGCTTCATCTCCACAAACGCCTTGCGAAAATCCTCCTTATCCTTCTCCCGCTGCTTCTTCCTCGCAGTCAACTCCTTCTCTTCTTTCTGCAACTCCTTGTGTATCTTCGCATCGCCCTCACTCGTCACATTCAGCGATCTGAGAATCTGCACTGTCGTCCCGTTCTGGTCATAGACGACCAAAAACGCGTCCCTCACCGCCGGCGGCCAATACATATTACGCCTATCCCAATCCCTCCTCCTCCTCACCCACTCGTCTTCCTGGAACCACGCACTCACCCAAGCCATATTTATGCACTTAATACCCACAAGATACTTCTGACTAGAGTTTTCGAGAAACAATTCGCTGCCACGCAGATCACTGGGTTTGAGAAGCGGCCAATTGCGCTTCGCATCGTGTCTCGTCAACGTCTTGCTCAGCTTCGTGGCATCCTGCAGCTCAATCACTGCATCCATCCTGTCTTTCGAATTCGTGTATTCGCGCAATTCAGACAAGATGAGCGTACGTATGCCGTCTATTCCTTGATACCCCAGCATGGGCTGAACCACGCGCCCGATGACTTCGCGCTCCCAGGACAATCCCAACTCAGCATTCCTTTCCCCCTCGTGCCAGACTGGCTCTGGCGTTTTCTCATTGAACCAGAACCAATACGCGTGCGTGATCTCGTGGACGAGCGTGATGGCGAAGAGGAAGTGCACGCGGTAGGTTTCGGTCGGGGTGCAGGATGATATTTTAGAGCGGAAGTAGTCCATGAAAAAAGGGTTCATGACGATCCAGGGGAGTAGGTGACGGCGTCTGTACGTGTCTGTTGAGTACTCGGGTTTGATCCTGGGGCGGTCGGTGTCGCTGAATTCGGCGTGGAAACGCATGGCTTTCTTGGTATTGTATGTCACGCCCCAGGCTTTTTCCTTGCATCTGCGGGGAGCGAATGTGAGCGTGATAACTTCACCGAGCTCTGCGAGGTTTGCCTTGACCTTGGCGATTTCAGCAGCGAGTGTCTGGCTTGATGTAGCTGCGAGGTATGTCGAAACTGGTTTAGTTGTGCTAGGGCTGCGTCTGCCAAACGTTAGCTTTGTGAACCATAGCAAAGGCCAGTCTTCGCTCAAAAAGCGCGAAGCAAGTGCAAGACCGGGATACAGTCCGGAATAGACGTCGCTTGTATATTGATTGGGGCCCGTGGCCCATCGATTCCGGAACATGGGTAAGACTGCGTTTGTCAGTGTAGGCTGTACATTTACGGAATCCCAGCAGCCAGCTTCTCTGATATGCCATTCGAATTCCCCCAGTACGCTAAGCAGGAAACTCTCGACATTGCTCGCCGAAGGCATTTGTATTTTCGATTGTAAGGAGACTGCGGATCGAGAGATGGCCCAAAGGCATTTTATAGGGTAACAGCAAATTCAATGAGTGAGTGACTGAACGCACATGAGCGTGTCATGTGGCTCGTTCTCCCAAGTGACGTGGAAGAAGTGATAAAGTGAGTCATGGCCTCCGTGAAGGAAGACGTTGAGACGTGTAACCGTCCATGAACAGCAGTGATGTCAATCTACCTAGGTAGAGTTGAAGAATAGATGAAGCAGTATACGTTATGAGTGCCACATGGAACACAGCAAGGAGAGAGAAGTCACGTCCACAACGTTTGGCTGGAACAGTGCATAAATCGGGAAGAGTGTTACATTTCTGTTTACTTTTTACTTTTCTATATCAAGCTACTCCCCACATCGCCTTTACCCATACACCTTGGCTGCCACCCAAACGTGACCAGCCGATACAATATCTCCTCCCTTATCCCAGGCAACTTTTGTCGCTCTTGTGCATTGCTAACCTTGACTGTAAGCACACTTCATATGCCTCCAATGACAAGCTCCGCCGGCCTTGCTCTGCAGGCCTTTGTCGTGAAGCAGCACATACCGCGGATTATCCAAATGGCATGGTTTGTCATTGAACATCGTTGCGAGTTGCGGCGGCTTCGTCAAGGAGACCAAGCACGTTCCCCACGTTCGCACACCATTCCGGAGCTTGAAAGTATGGGCTCAGCTCCTTCGGTCCGATTTGGCAGCCGAAGTTGAAACACGAAGGCGTACTCTTTTTCTGCGCCGTCAAGGTTCCCTTCGCATGTGGAAATGTGAAGATGGTGACGAGGAGTTGTTCTTCGGGATCAGCAGGTGTCATGCGGTGCCTCAGAAGAGATTTGATCTTGCGAATAGCGCAGCTCTGGGATGTGACTGCCACTGCAAGTCATAGGTGTACCAGAGAACAATAGTCTAAAAAATGTCGATCAGAAAACCAAGACATGAGTGATGACTAGGCAATGGCAATGTTCGTGTCTGCTTTGCCGATGCCCCAAGTCATCTAATAGTCTTTAGGGGCGCAATAATAGATTCATAAAGAAGCTTGAATATATTCAGGGCCGTAAGATATCTCGTCTAGGTTCTTAGAAGTCTTGAGTATATCTAGGCTATCTCACCCCTTTCTTGTTGGGAGAATGTAAACAGGAATTTTACCGGCGCCTGGTATGATTGTATGTCATGCGTAAACAAGTCTTTATACATTTTATCATCATCAAGGCTGTCAGAGTATGTACTCAGATCTTGCCGAGACCCACACCAGCTTTGACTACCTTGGACACTTGCTTCAAAGGCGTGAGCTTGAATTTGTAAGGCGCTTTCGTAAAGTTTCCCACTTGTGTGATATTGACCGTTGCTTTACCGAAATCGTTCTCTGCGTTGGTATCAGCAAAGTTCAATTCTTGGTTGATTGCATGACTCACTGGCACCAAGGTTTGCGAACCCATCTATCTCAAAGTCGCCGTCAGGTCCAGTGTTAGGGCTGTCCTCCGGGATGACAAGTCCGTATGTGCTCAGGGCTTCCCTGGTCTTGCCTGTAAAGACATTGGCTTCTACCAAGACTTGGTTGTCGCTCCGGCTGTGTATGGCCTGGTAGAGGAAGTCTTCGTACAGGTTGTTGTAGATGTGCTGGTGTCCAAAGCGTCCGGCAGGTCCTCGAGTACCTTCACGCTGCCAGTAGTTGTGATGATAAGTGACGTGAAGGCGACCGAAATCGATGTCCCTGAATTGGTCGTTGTTGCCGACGAGGGAGCTCTTCCAGTGGTCATGGAAGTAATTCCAGGAGATGGTGATCCAGTCACTTGCTCTTACGATGTCACACTGACCGTCATAGAGGTCAAATCCTGCGGCAGGGAAGTTGCCAGACGTAAACTCATTGTGGTCTATCCAGACTCTTTGACTGTTCTGGATGGTGATTCCGTCGTTGCCGACGATGCCGCGAATGCCAAAGTTGCGAATAATGACATTTGTTTGGTTCAAAATTGTCAATCCTGCACCAGTGATCCAAGCACCCTTCCCAGCACCAATCAAAGATTTGTTACTACCGATCCTGGGGCGCGATGTGAAGTTGAAGGTACCCTTTGCGTAAATTATGGTCGGCGAGGAACCATTTATAGCGGCCAGGAACTCGGGTACTGTTGTTACTGTTACAGTCTTGCTACCTTCCTGATCGCCACCAGTCGTTGGACCGACTGGGTTATCTTTGCCATAACCGACCAGGTCAAAGCTAGCACCTGCGGGCGCAGCGGATGCAGCCAGAGCGAATGCGAAGACGGAGAGGATTGAGATCTTCATCTTGAGGGACGAGGACGCAACAGACCTGGATACAATCCTAGTCTACCAGACCTCTGTCACCATTTATACGTGCATTATGACCTTCGAGAAAAACGCCCATTCTCTTGGTCCACAGTGGGCCATCGTGTTAGCATCATGTTAGCATCTAGTTCTTCCGGTAGGCATGCCGGCCCATAACTGAGCTGCATTGCATGCTGAGGCGTATTGCCGCGGCAAGTGCCTGTATTTGTCCATCTTCAACCAGATCTATTACTATCGGATGGATAGAATGTTGCATGCCCAGTAAGTGGCTGAGGTGCTGGTAGATGAATGGTGGAAGATATGCGACCCTGCATGTGGCCAGCAAGAATAGGTAGATCGTCCGCGCTTGGCAGGAGGCGGGGAGATTGGAACCTCGATCCGTGCCGTGCTTGCCTACTTTCGCCTACACCACCGCAATGTCGAATCTGCATATTACAATTTACTTTTCCGGATCTTCGCTGATCACATTGATCAGAGTCTGTCAAACATGCTCCAGGCTTTTACATCCACCGTCTTACCAGCCACGGGCCTTTGTACCATCTGCCCAGCCTGAACAACAACCTCGTGTACGACCTCGGTCAGTGCGAGGCAGTAGCATCGTGGAATTTTCTACCAAACCACAATCGTTTGTTGAATATGACACACCCATATTCGTTGATTGCCGTTTTCAGCTCAATATAACGAGCCACCTTCTTCACCTCATACCAGAGCTTAATTTGAGACAATTTAAGAAGATGAGTACATGAAGTAACTGCCTAGGTGCACATTTTGGCGACTGGAAATCTTGAACCGTAGATCAGATTTTTGTTTCACGCCCTCACCAGTCTTGCGCTTGACAGAATGCCCTGTGTATGGTGTTGCGTCCAATAGCAGCGCAGAAGAATCGTTTCTGCTCAATGAAAGCATGATACTCACTTGGAGTCCGCGGATTTTTCGTTGTAGTCCAAATGACCTTTACTTCTTCTTTTGACGATGCTGCGTGAGGCTGCCTTTACCTGCTTTTGCGTGTCGAGCACACAAGGGTATACCCATCCCTTTTTCGCAGTTTTCATACTCTATCTTCTACACTACCTCGCACTATGGCGACCGAAAATAGTAGCCGTACGGGTACAGCTTGGGCTCCGTAAGCTTTCATGGATGCGCCGCCTATGTTTCAGAGTACTAACGCGGCACAGCGCTTTGATAGGTGTAGCAAAAGTCAGAGTGGTCGAAGCATCAGATACAAAGGACTACTTTATCTCCGAACTACTCCTCGAGAAGCGCACGTCATCCTTTGCTAAGCTGGTCTGCGAAAACACTGGTGATGGTGGCATATTCGAAGTCACCGAGTGTCAAATTACCACTTTCGACATTTTCACCGCCTGGCTCAACGCAGAGCCCGAATGCCTCTTCAGTCCATTGAGCACCAACCCGATTGGCGACAACTTCTGGATTTCCGGCGTGCCGCTTATCCAGCTCCATATATTTGCGGGCGAATACAACATCCCCGAGCTAGCTGATGATGCTCTTCGTCGCTTCACCAGTCTTGTTCATCTCATCGGTGGCAAGACAAAGATACCGCACGTCTTTGCTGTCGACATCTATGTCTTTCCCACCTTGGAAGAAGTTGGCTATGTTTACAGCAACACTTCGGCGGAGTCTCCTCTTCGACCCATCATCGTCAACGCATTCTGTACCACTGATCAGGATTTGGGTTATTTACTCATGGAAGCCCACCGCGAGTTCCTGGTCGACGTCATCATCCATATGCAGGGCATGCAGGACAAATTGAAAGGAGTCATGGGCTTTATAGGCTTGAGCGATGGTAATCCTGAGCGAGGTTGGATTTGGCCAAAAGCCAAGAAGTCCTCTCGAAATGGATGGGGTGTCTGAACTTGTCATACAGCTCTCTAGAAAGCATGCGCTACATCTCAGAGGATACTGGGGCAAAGAACAAATTTTCCATATATGTCACGTTTCTACACGACATTAGGAGGATTGCTGCGGTGAAGAAGCTGCTCTTACCTAGTCGGCTACTGTACAGTCAACGATAATGTTAGGTCAGCTTTACAACTTGACATATGTGATTGCCCGTGGGCCATGCGAGAAGCACGTACACGTCCATGACCATTACTTCCTGTTGAGGCCTGTATGTGTACCCTTCGACCGACTCGAAGGTATAATATTCCCAGAGGTGTTTGTGAGTATGGTGTTCCGCTGGCGAGTGTGAAGATGGTCAGATGAAGTCAACCGACGAGACAAGAGTGTTGATATGCGCAAAGGCCCGCTTCATTGCAGCAGGAGATGCATGCGAACCGTATAACACAAGCGAGGACGTATATTGTGGTATTCTTCCCAATGTCGCTCGAAATCTCTACCCGGATGATGCAGTTGTTGTGTGGAAGGTTGGGCGTCTTCTTCGTCCCTTCCACTGCAAAATTTGGTGAGGTAGCGCTATTAGGTCTTGCGCTCTCACAACAAATACAGAATTTCTTACATACATGTACTTACTGCTAATATGTAGGAAGGGTTTAATATGCAATCAATAATCAAATCAAAATCGCGTCTGACTACAGTTGGCTTCACCGTCACGTTCACACTCACTTCACCTTCACGTTCACCTTCATTATTTAGACGCCTAATCGTCACCTCACGTAGACTAGAAGGTGAGAATAGGCACAAAATATCTCTTCTACTTATATCCTCTACCTGCGTCCGAATTTTCTACACCACCACATCCCATTACGACATATCTAGCGCTGGTACTGTCCTTCGCCATGCGCGCAACTACAGAAGGCGCCGCCAAAACCATCACCGCCCCAAAAGCTCTTCCACGTCTCTCGTAAGTGGGCCACAAACAATAATTAGCACAAGATAGCTGATTTCAAGCCAGTGCACCCGAAGTCAACTTCGCCACAATCATCGTCGGCAGCGACCAGAAACGCTTCGTTGTCCACCAAGGCCTTCTTACCCACTACTCCGAGTTCTTCCGAGCAGCTCTCACCGGACGTTTCAAGGAAGCCGAGGACAAGGTCGTCAAGCTGGAAGACCAGAGTCCCCGCATCTTTGAAGTCTTCGTTCACTGGCTATACTATCAGCGATTCCCTGACGCAGATCACAATGATGGCGCGGAAATCATCGAGCTCTTCCAAGACGAAGCATGCTTAGAGAAGCGGTACAACAGCGTCGGTACTCTAATTAAGCTGTACGTGTTCGCCGACCGACACGATGTCGAGAAGCTCAGGCTTGCTACGATCAACGAGCTGTTCCAACGTGTTTTGGAAACAGTCAATTGTCCGCATCCTACCGCGACGTCTATCGAGTTCGCCTTCGAGCACCTTGATGTTGGATCGCCTCTATGTCACTTTCTCGCCGATGTCACCTGTTATGTGGACATTCTCGACCCGCTCGATCCAGATGACGTCAACTCTTTGCCTTTCATGAAGATGCTCTGGCTGCGATACAAGGAGATGATTGGTAAGGCCTCCAGGAATGATGACGAACTTCAATTGTGCGATTACCACGAGCATGCGGATAAAGAAGAAAGGGAGGAATGCGAAGCGAAGCGAGAGAAGGAGTCGAGTGCGTAAAGAGTGGAATCCTAGACCATACAATGGTCACAGTCGAAGAGTACGAGTGCGCTCTGCAACAAGATCCAAAAGTTAAGTTCAGGTGTAGTACAACGGGCTAAGCAAGCTTGATAGGTGGCCATTGATAGCCCGTGAATTCACAACCTCTCACAGTCCTAGAGAGATCTGAAAAATACTCACCACTAGGTGCGGTATGCCTTGTTAGCTCTAACTTCAATTAAGCTTCCAATTGTGCATCTTTCGCTCTTGATATAATCTATTCTTGCATTTCAGCTTCCGCCCAACACCATGAATTCTCAAATCCCCGACTCCACACCCAACAAATCCTCCCAATGACACACGCCAAGCCCCCAACCCGCACCATCTCCGAACCGTTCACTCGGAAGGTCCCACAAAAGCCCACTATACATCCGTACGCTCGATACGCTCGGCTTTGCCACCGTCAATTCGCCCCTTCGGTGGAGATGCACCGAGGCTTGTTCGTACGAGCGCGAAGGAAGAACTATGATGTAGTGCAGAGGAAGATCGAATGGGGAGATTGTGAAGGTGAAGCAGAACCAGGTAGACAGAGAAAAAAGGAAATCATTCTGTGAGGGTTGAGTGATATATATGTACGTGATGAAGTGTATAGGCATTAATTCTTTGAAATCTTCCATTTCTCTACATCAGTCTCTCTCTCCCACCACCCTCACAACCTCTCCTCTCCCTCGATCGTCCAGCTAAAACCAGACTCTCCTCCCCACGTCTCCTCTTTCCCCCTAAACAGCAAAGAAAACTCGCGACAGCGAAAAACGACTCTGCGTGCCATACTTTTTTAGCCACTGTGCGCAACAGCAACGATTACTCTTGAGCCCTCTTCCCACTTCCTCCAAGGAACCCTCCACATCCGAAACCTGTACCACCTCTTATCCTTGATCCGAGAAAGCCGACGCAGGGTTCCTGCATCGTGCAACCTTTATGAGAAAAACGCCAAGACGAGATGGATATATGTATAGAGAAGGTGTGTCGGCAAGGTCAGAAAAGAAAAAAAGGAATGGTATGTGTCGCAATATACAATTAAGCTAAGTAAAAGTAGTTATAGCTCGTCTCAAATCCGTAGAGAGTTAAAGGTAATGTAAAGTGTGAAGGAGATGCAGTTTAGAAATTGGTGGCGACGCCGCTATTCCCTTGTGGGTACACAGAGGGGTTCTCGATCCTTGTGTTTCGTCGTGCTGAGACATCGCGTATCACTGGTTGTCCACCAGCACCGCCACCATATGGCCCGTCTTGGTAGCTGCCGTAGCCTTGCTCGTAGTACTCCTGCGGGTTGCCGTTGGACATGCCGGGATACTCGCCTGAGTTGTCGGAGTGGTTGGCTGCAGAGTAGGATGACGATGCATTTGATGGGCCACGGTGCACGCCTCCTTGTTGGTTGTTGGCAGAGGGTGCCGCACCGAGTGCAGCAATGCCGTCAGCGTCCAGTGTCTCGCGGCGGCCGTTGACGAGCGGGTCATTGGAGTTGACGTCAGAGTAGGCGTTGGTGGGCGAGTTGGGGCTGATGTAACCACCAGGGTTACTGTTGCTGTCTGAGTACGTCATGCCGCTGGTGAGGGTGGTGGAAGCCTTGCGGCCAGAGCTGGTCGCGGTGTTGCCCCATCCCCGGTAGCCGCTCGAGTCCTCAGCCATCTCAGCGCCGCCGACGCCGACAGCAGGCAGTGTTGGGTCGTGGTTGGGGTTGTATCCGTACTCCTCCACCTCTTTCCTTCGCTCGTCCTCGTTGTTCTTGCGTTGCTTGCGTCTCCGCCAGAACAGGATGGCAGCAATGGCAAGAAGTGCGACAGCGACGATGGGGATGACAACAGCGATGGCAGTCTTGCCGCCGGTGCTCAGTCCGTTGGAGCCATCTTTCTGGGCGCCTTGGAGTCCAGCGGCGTCACTGCTCGATGGGGTGCTGCTAGCGCCAGCAGTCTTGCCGCTTTGTGTCGGTGCGGCAGATGGAGTGATGGTAGAAATGACAGTGACGACGGATGGTGTCTCTCCGGCGGCGGTGGGCGTTTGGGTGATGAGGATCAGGGATGTCCGGACTTCAGTGGCCGAGGGTGGTGCCGAGGAGGCCGTCACGACAGACGTCGCAACGGGCGGTGGAGTGCTCGAAGGCGGTGCTGCTGCTGCTGACGATGCTGGTGGTGGTGCAGCACTGGAGGCTGGCGCTGCCGAGGACGCTGGCGGCGGGTTCGACGAGGCGGCTGGCGGTGGTGTGCTTACGGGTGCCGCCGACGAGGGAGCAGGTGCTTGCGAGGACGGCGGGTCCGCTGAAGACGGCGGGTTAGATTGGGCTGGCGACGAGGGTGCGGGTGCGGGTGTCGCTGAGGAGTCTGCGGGAGGTGTTACAGACGGCGCAGGAGGGGACGAAGCAGCGGCTTGTGAGGGCGGCGCCGACGACTGCGCGGGACTCGAGGGAGAGGACGCGACAAAAGAAGGAACTAACGTACTGGCAGTGCCATTGCTCGACATGTTGACGACAATTGGGATGCGCAATCACAAAGAGTGCAGAAAAAAACACCACGTAGGGCAGGCGACGAGGCAGTGTACGATGACAGCGGAAAAACCTCAGGGCCGCGCAGGCGACGGTTTCAGAGAGTGAGGATGTTAGTGTCGCGGAATGCGGCAGTCAGCGTCTTGGGAGCGGCGGTGGTAAGGAGGGAATCAAGAAAGAATGGGCGGTGATCTTGGTGCAGAAGCCGTCTCCGCCCGTGGATCCAGAGTGATGATGTATGGCCCGGAATGCAGCCCAGTAAGAAAAGAGGGCGCGAGCTGGGAAGCCAGTGGGTGAGGAGAGGAGGTGGTGCAGGAGACGAGTGGAGTCGCGGCTGGAGACGAAGGCGATCGTGCTGCGTTCAGCAGGTAGCCGGTGCCAGGGCCGCACCACGCGAATGCCGGCGGTTTGAACCTTGGGCTGACGGTCAATTACCCTGAGTTTGAACGCTGTGATTCGGGAGTGGCACTGCAATGATGATACGAATGGTGAGTCAGATCAGGGACCGATGATTGATGTGCAGAATTATGGATGTTGGGAGACTTGAACGCTTCATCAAACACTTCGCGGCTTCGCGTTCTCGACTGGCGGTACGCCTCCAAAAGAGAAAAGCGGAGCCTAACGCGCGCAAACACTAGCAGCACCACCCATTTTGGGAAGCTCGCGACATCAAATGGCGTGCGCTAGGCACAAACACAGCGTTTCGCGTGGCTGTGTGCGTCGTCGCATCTCCCTGCCATCTGTCCCTACCCGCGCAACACAGAGAGCCAGGTGCCGGAAAACCTCAATCCTCTGCGAAAACCCTGGAACAGGATGCCGGTTGCACAGACAACCTCTTGCTCAAGGCATTGCAATGCCATCATGTCATCTCCCAACCGCCCAACATCCCAGGATCCACCCCCAGTCCCAACATCATCATCGTTTGCGTTTGCCAGCTTCCTGATCCATTCCGGGGCCCGTGCGCCCGTGATTGGCTGGTACGCCACTCTAAATTAAGCTGCGCGGTCAGAGTCTGCTTGCTGTGTTGCAGCTCGTGTTTCTGCGACAGCGCGGAGCCAGTGGACAATTCGCGACAAATAGCTTCCTTTTTCTCATGCTATACCTGTGAATACGTGCGCTCGCGTCACATGTACTCGTGTTTTTCGTGATCGGCACTTTTCGATACGGCCGGCATTGCCAATTTCCACCACTATCGTTATCTACTGCAATGGCCGGCCCTACTTCTGCTTACACAGTGCAGCTCTACAGACGCGTCACAGTAGTGTTGAGCTTGCAAGAGGCTTGAAAGATGGGATGGTCCTCGCTCGCCGGCTTACTGTGCATTATGCTTAGTGTACCTTCGCCAACACTCACGCCACCATGCGCCTATCATACAAGATAGAACTTTGACAAGCATCTTCTACAACGCGAGTAGCGAAATGCGGAGGACCCGCCGGTAGACGCTGAGATCTTACAACAAGCCAGGAATGACTGCCTTCCGGCCCTCAAGCTTTTCCTTGCCAAACTTCTTCTCGTACCACCGCTTACCCTGCAGTGCGCGTGGTACCATTGTCGCGAGCTCGTTGATCAAGAAGTTCCGGCCTGGATGGAACGCCCATCCGCCAATCATCCACCAGCCTGCCCACTCGATCCATTCGCATAGGTAGTGCGCGTGGAGGACGTACTTGAACAGACCGTTCTTGGGCACCATGTAGATCTTGTCGATGCTCTCCACAGGCTTGCCAGACTCCTTTGCTTCCTTTATCTGCTTGCGGTTCGCAGACCTCCTGATCTCGCGCAGGTCGTCGTCGTGGAACATATTGCCCATGAGTCCCCAGCACCAAATAACCAGGCCGACAAACATGTATTCAGAGCGCATGGCCCAGTGGTACTGATCCGTCGGACCGTAGCCTGCGAGATACCCACCAATAGACAGACCATTCATGACCTGGAATCCAAACGCCATGATCCACACAAACGGGTGCATGGGCGACATGCTCGGGTTGAGAAACAAGGGCGACACAATCGCGCGGTAGATGTAATGAATAACCTACAACTTCTCATTAGCACAATCTCATCACTCCTCACTCCCACGCAAACTTACAAAACACCCCGCCATCGTCCAATTTCCCCACGGCAGTTCTTCAATCCCCAGCTCCTTGGGTAGCGCGTACATGATGTACAGCACCGTCAGGAACCCCGCTGACTCCATCGTCGCCCACCCAATCTTACCATCAATGTTCCACCGCGACTCTGTTGACGTCTTGCCCTGCGGGTACCAGTCCAACACCCATTGCGCCGTCGTGACCTGTGTCATAATACATCAGCAAGGATTCGTCGCGCGGCGCAGAAGTTACTTACAATGGGAAAGTACGCCCAGATGCGACAAATGAGTTCCCAGTTTTCGCGCGACGGCGGTAACCAGTTTTGCACAATGGCCATTGCTTGAGTATGTGGGGTTTATGCGCGCGTGTGGTGTTTTGTGAGCAATTGTCAGATTGATGTTTGTTGCGGAGAAAGCTGTGTCATGAGGTCATAGTGTCAACAGCTCCGCGCCGAGCCGAATGTGTGACTTTGGGAGTTTAGCCATCTCTCGCTAATGCATGTCTTCCCCGCCCACAGTGCGATATTACACCAAAGTCAGATTTGTTGAGTCCTGTGAGGATGTCTGGTGGCCGGCGTTTTTTTACTTTGAATATATTGTATTGAGCAAACCTTACTTTCATCAATCAACCAGTCTCCTTAGCTCAATTGGGAGAGCGCCAGACTGAAGTCTCAGTCACTAAATCTGGAGGTATCGTGTAAGTTACATCACCACTCGGTGTATAATCTGCAACGATCCTAATCATTCCCAAAGGTTCGATCCACGAAGGGGACAAAAGCCTCGTGCCTAGCTTGCTAGGATCACTCGAAAGATCTTTTTTTGCTGGTTTGGTGGGCTGAATGGGATGGGTTAGCGTATGTGGTGGAGATGCGGACCGAGGAAGTAACTTCCTGGAGGGTGATTTGCTGTGCATGACTTGAACGCTTCTTTTTGCTGATGGGCCGACTGTTATATGCTCTCTTATATTGCGTCCTGTGTAGATTTCAATGCTTATCTGTCCTAGAGAATGCACGCATGGCCAGCTAGCATTATATCTGTTCCTGTAGGTTTGTGGCAGATTTGTCAACGCTCTACGCAGATCAACCGACAGCGCATTCTCAAACTTAATGCCGCCTCTCTCTTGAACCGTTCGTTCCTTCATCAGTTTCAAAGCAACGTCTCTCACCTCCCCAACAATAAGTCGCGGTGAAGGTGAATTTCATCGACAACACAGCGTTTGCACGCTGAATACAGACTAGCGCCTTGGCGCCTCTGTTATCAACTTGTACTCAGAGCCTCAGCTCCGTCTTTCTCTCATCAACAAACTTCCAACACTCTTTTCTTGCTTTTTGTCTCTTTGGTGGCTGGCCCACCCAGGGCCGCCTGGCGCGGTGCCAACTGGCGTCTTCGCTCGAGGGACTTGTCCACCCTCACGATTTCGTATCGGGTAGCCCCCACATCTTCCAAAAATTATAAACAGACAAGCTTTCGGTCGCCACCATGCGTGCGATGCCCATTCAGAAGTGTTCATATTAACCTACTAAGGAAACCCGCCGCGTTCCTGGCACACGACCAAAGGAGGGGCACCACAACGTCCGATGGCAAGGCCACAGCGCTGCTGAGGGTTCTCTCGTACTCAAAGCACAACTGCGACAGGATGTCCCTGAGATCATGACAGCATGGGAAGTTCGCTCTGGGTAATACCAGCTGCGTTCCTATGCAACGTCCACTCATGGTACATCCTCCAGCACACGACAAGTTCTCTCGCCCCCCATGCCTGCGAAGCTCAAGAAGGAGCATCATACAACTTACCACCAACTCAATACTCTCCGATCGAGACACAAGCTGCGAACACCTCACTCAACACTGTCTGCGTATCACACCTGTAGGCATCACAGTCCGCGAATATGGTATTATGGACTCATTTGTCACTCACTTGCTCCGCCACGCGTAAGTGAGATCGATAACCACTCACACTCCGAACTACGACTTCGCACACCAGCACTATGCTGCGAGCTCGACAAACACATAGCTCCCCGTTTACAGGTGCCTTATACGACTTGTAATCATCCGATGCCGATGCGCGCTACAATGCTGCTGCTGGAAGCTCGTGAAGAAGGTGCGCATGACGTGCACGCGACCGAGATCCTGCGCTCCTTCCGGCACATCAACGAGCGACGCGCTTCGACTTCAACGCTCCTTCCTCTACTTCAGACTGCACAATGGCATCTTCTTCGGGCGTCACGATGGCCTCTCCAGTAATTCAGCACACTTGTCCTTCATCTTGCGACTTCACATCACGCACGCTATGGATACGACGTCACATGCTGCCTTACGCGGCAAAGGTAAGGTTTACCCTCATACCGTACATCACAGCTACTGATTTCTTCTAGTCTCAACCCTCGCCGGAGTTCCAGTACCGCTGGGCAAGATCCGGGCTGTGACGCTTGTGCGCAAGAGCGATTGGCAGCACGAGTCACTCGAACATTGGCACCTTCATCTCCAGCCTGTAGCTGAGGGTCTCTTGGAAGTGTGGAAACACCATTATCACGCTCCCCAACACGCGCTTTCGCACTGCAATTGCGTGATCGAACACCGTCAGATCACTCTGGTAGGGGTTTCGTCCAACGAGAACCTAGCAACCTTCAGAAACCATCAGGTCCAAGCATTGAGAGATGCACTCCAGGTCGATCATGAAGTTTGCTTGCTCACTAGGAACCATGACGGCGCGTTCACGAACATTCACGGCTACCTTCAATTCCTACGTGGCCTGAATACGACCTGTATTTACTCTCACATGATATGGTGGTCTGACACTGAGCATCGCATCTACGACCGCCATCAACTTGTCGACGTGTTCGAGCAGAACCAAAAACCCAACTCGGATCGGCTGCCAGAGATCGAAGCCCTCTTCGGTGTTGCTACCAAGGTCGCACTCAACAAGACAATCATATCGCTCGCTCTCGCGCAGAACCGGCAGATCATGGGTGCTCAGCGCAACATAAAGATCCCAGTTCCGAATTTTACTTCAGTCCAAACGCCGAGCATCAAGAGGAAGCAAGACCCTGTCAAACTGCCATGGGACGACACGACAAAGAAGCAACGCAAAAACGACGGGCATGCGCAACGACGTCGAGTCTATTTCCCACTCGTTGATCGCGATGAAGGTCTTGAGTGTCCTTGTTGCCAGGTCGTGTTCGCCGATCGAGAGTCAGTGATCGTTCATCTCGTAGCGAAGGGTCGCACATCCAAGCAATGTCCCCTTTGCCCGGCCACCAAAGAGATGGAATCCGCCAAGCAGCCATATTGGCGCAAACATATCAAAGGGCATATTGATGAGCGAGAGCAATGCGGAATCGATGGGTGCGATTTCACCCCCAGCAACAAGAACTGCATGAGAGAGCATCGTGCTTCGTGCCATCCGATTACCGCCAAGCCAAAGGTGGGCTTTCCGTGCGACCAGTGTGACTTGGTGTTAGCAAGCTCGAACTCGCTCGGTGTACACAAGAAATGGCACCAGAATCCTCATGTCAACTGCAATCACTGCAAGGCACTGGTGCCATTCCGCGATCTGAAAGGCCACAAGATGCGCGAATGCCCTTCCCTTCCAGACCGTATCGCCGTCTGCACGCAATGTCACCACGAGATGAGCCCTCACCACGTTGCCAGACACATGCGAACGTCACATGAGCGCGTCTACGAAGTCATGGAGTTCGCGCGTGAACACTATCCCGACTTCCTCGAGAATTACGAACAGATGATTGGCATGCTACAGGTTTGAGTAGGGAGAATTTGCCGGCATGGATAAGGAAGATATACCCAAAGATAGCATAATGATAACAGCTCACTTGATCAACGTGCAAGATGGCAATCTCTTGTGATGTGGTGTAACCAATACGATCTGTATTTGCGGACAATCCTCGTGCTCAGCTTGCTGGGACAATTCGAAATAATTTTTTTTGCCTTTGCAGCGATGTTCGGTAGCGGTGAGGGGGCAAGATGTTGAATTTTTGGGTAGACCGGGCTCAGCTGGGGCTAGCCGGGTTAGGTGAAGCACACAAAAACGCTTTCTAGATGTCGGCCGGGTCATGCTCTTCACTGACAGGCAATTGGCTCGAAGTTCTTAGAACATATTATATTCGATTTCGATATAGTAGCCTGGACGTATTCCTGGCTATGAAATTTTCCATCTTGGTCTGTAGAAGTTCTTGAAGGTGTACAGGTCACTTTACTAACCAATTTCATTGAGTACCTCAACGAAAATAATGTAAGCTCCTCGGCATTGTTCTTGTTAAGTGTCACCGATGGGTTCTTCATCTAAACAGAATGTTCAGAGATTGAAGAGCTGTGTAGCCTATAGCCTGGTGTAATACACAGGATCACTAGAATTCCTATGCGACAGCATATTCTGTGTATAGCTTCAGGCTACCGAATAGGTTGAGAAGCTTGCTTGCCTTGAATTTGAGATGGTGATTGTGATTCGTTCGTCTATCTCGTACGCAATGTGTCGAATCAGTATTTCCATGGTAGCGAGAGCGAGGATTTACATTGGTGCCAAGATCACTTCCACCACACACATATTGGAGGTAGAACTTAAACGACTTATCTCTTCTCAGCGCCTGGTCCTGTAGATTGCGGTGACATGTACGCATACACACTGAATATACATTCCACCCCGCAAATCAAAGCGCTATTGCGGGCAGTGCGTGTGCATGCGTGAGAAATGCACCACTCACATGGCTTGATATAAAGAAAGCAGTAGACTTCCTGAGATTCCGCGCGAGACGGTTGTACAGTTCGGATCTCAGGATAGTGATAGGTGTACGGTGGGAATTGACGAGGAAGGCGCGGATGAGGTGTTTGGTTTCCGCGCGAAAGAGTGGAACGGACTGGGGGGAGGGTTGGGGCTAGTTATTGGTATTAGAATCTTGGTGGTTCGGAGTTTTGGTCTGTCGGTGTAAGACTGGGTGGAGTGGAGGGGGCAGATGCAAAGGTGGGGGTTTGGAGCGGCATCCCCCTCGGTATGCTATGTAGGTGGGAGATGTGTTAGCGATGGCTAGGACTAGTTTTTTTGAATGTTTCGGTGTGAGTGTGGGCGGTGGGTAAAGTTGATCCATAGTTAGAAACTACTGCTCGTGGAGATGGGCTGCTGGTCTTATGCGCTGCTGGCAAGTTTGCGAGTGTCCCACGGCCAGTAATATTGTGATTGTGGTGAAATCAGCTGACGTGTGCAAGTGCTAGGAAGTTGTACAGAATTGTGCACATGCGACTGGAAGACTGAAATGGATGACCTAGTGCTCATAATACCTTTCCATGGTGGTTGGAGCGCTTCTAGCAAGCGATTTTAGCTTCCGTCCTTTTCACAGGCGCTAGGTCCGCACGAACAAGCCAGACCCTGGAAGATTCCGACGTTGAGCTTAGTATACACTACCAGCTCGCAATGCACCTTGGTTCTCTAAGGCTGCTAAACATATGGAACCATAATGCAAAAGCTGTATGGCTCCAGTCAGCAATATAAATTGAGCCTCGTCTCGTATCAAAGACCTCACCACCTTTCGCAAATATGATGAAACTCAAACTCCTAGTAATTCCTGCCTCATGGATTGCAGAAGACAATGCCGCAGTCCAAGCCAGTCAGGAGACTGCAAACCCACTATCGCGCTCTCAGCGCTTCAACACTAAGAAGCACACACAAGCTGAAATTGAAGAGGCGATTCCAGACTCAAACGTCCAACATGCCAATCCACCATGGATGCCATACAGTTACACCTTGTGGCATTCGCTGATCGCAAAGAGCCAAGGACTGGCAACCTCGCATGTCCTTAAGATGCCTTCAGTTCTTTGCGACGACCTGATGCTTCTCCACTGCTCTTGGTTGCGTTCGGGTCGCTTCCCCTCTTACCTACTGAATCCGCTTGTCGAGGACCTGAAGTCTTCCAGGACTGGACGAAAGCTCATGTCCCTTCTCGACGGCAAGCAACGCTGGTTTATCCGCTTGGACCAAATGTCCCCCAAGGACTCGCCCCTCGGTGGCGACCGACCATCAACAACGATCCAAGAGGTGATCACAAAGATCGCTTCCAGTATGCGCGCATATGGCAACTTGCAGTGGGCGACCCAAGCAGAGGAACGACCCTGGGGCGAGAATCGCGCCAATGTGCAACTCATTCTGAATCCCTGGAACGACAAGATGGATCCGGCAAGGGAATTTCGCGTCTTTGTGCCCCCCCCCCCCTTCGGCGCGCAAAGAAAACGATGGCGACTTCCGTATCAGTGCGATCAGTCAGTACCGTTGGCACAAGCGCCTGCAATTGCCGCCAGGGTTTACTATCGAGCGGCTCGTCGACTGTGTTACGATGGGCGCACGGAAAATCCTGAGTGAAATTGTCCAGCACCCACTACCGTCATTCCCCTCAGAAAATCAGCTAATGTTACTGAGGTACGGTTTCAGCTTCGATGTTGTGCTGCAAGACGACGGAAGTGTGCAGTTGGTGGAGCTCAATCCGTTTGGGGCGATGAGCGGGTGCGGCGCATGTCTCTTCAACTGGATCATCGATGCGAGAATGCTGTATGGTCTGGAGGATGCCGGGTTCGCAATAGTGCTGGACGAACCGATGTAAAGTCTGAGATAGTCCGAGCTGCGACATGACCACGACACAACCATACCTTGCATGGCGAATTAAAGAGGGCCAAATCGGTGGTAGGAGGATACAAGTCGCGTGGAGTGTGACCAATCGAACAAATCCAATGTTCAAGTTGCTCCCAGTCTCTCGTGTTGGGAAAATAATTAGGCGGCGACGCGCAGGGAAGAACCGTGGGTATCCGTGACTCTACGGCTTTACCTAGGCGCTGTGTGATTAATGGGAGGATTGCAGCGATGCTGAGAAAGTATTCATAATAGATATCACCCTCCGAGGAGCATCTAATTCCACGCGCTAACCGCCATTTCAAATGCTACTCCTCGGAGCTAAATAACACCTGTGGACCTGACTAAGCGATCGATCTCAGTATGCTCGCTAACTTTAAGCGTCGATGGACTACGTCATAGGTCTCGAACAATTCAGGGTTGCAATTTCTACATGCGATCTGAGATCTCACCCCTTCCTACGATCTGAACGTCTCGAGTTTGTGTGGCAATTAGTATACCCAAAATTCCGCCACAGGCTGTGTAATATGTAGCATTCAAGACACCTGCGCTCGTTCAACAAAAAGCCTTAATTTGCACTGCTTTCGCAAGTTCCAGTTGTCCCATCGCTCGCACTTACTCGCACTTAGCGATGGTTTCCCATGCTCATGGCCGCCGCAAGCCTATTTCAAGCGAGAAAAGAGAAAGGGATGTGTATCTACTCTATGGGGCTGCGCTTCGCAACATACCTCATCTGGACGACCTCGGTCCGGATCCAGAGACTTGCAGCCTGCCAGGTCACTACGTACCCCGACTTTCACAAGATTCTTCTCTGTCTGCGCTAGCCCAATTAGCAACAATCCGTCTTGGAGCGGGACGGGCCATGATCTCTCTGATCGACGAGCAGCGACAATACATACTGGCCGAAGCTACACCGAACATGTCTATTCATCCCAGAACGCCATCTGACACATCGAATCCACTGTGGTTGGGCAGCGTTAGCATACCAAGAACTTGGGCAAGTGTAGATGTTCGATCGACTTGAATTGCAATCTAACATGTATCAGGTACGTGAGCTTCCTCCCACCCAAGATTCTTGCTGTCCGAAAGGAACGTGGCTTCGTGTTTGCGCCTTCTGAGCACAGCTGCACCAATCCTTCGTTACTAAGCGTCATGTACTCACCACTACTAGGGCCTATGCGAACGGGTGTTGGCTATCGATCTTGAAGCATTTAGGCTCAATGAGTTGCCAACACTGGTGGTTCGAGATCTCACGCAAAGTGGAGAACACGCGAACCGAACATATGTCAAGGAAACTGAGCTCAAATTTTATGCGGGAGCTCCACTGCTTAGCCCCACAGGTGCCATCGTGGGATCTCTGTGCATCCTCGATGATACGCCGCGTCCTGGCGGACTGTCCGAGCAGCATCGTCATAGTTTATGGGATGTTGCTCAAAGTGTTATGGACTATTTGCACACCTGCAAGTACATCCGTCAAAACATACAGGTTATACATATGCTAATTCTATTGTTGACATGTAGACACGATCAGGGACCAACTCTCGCGTGGCGAACGCTTCACCCGTGGCCTAATCTCTTTCTCGGAAGGCGCGGAAAATTTAAAGCCATTTAAAAACGCCAGAGAAGGCGATTTAGAAAACCCAGAAAAGCATGGAACTTTGTCGCGGGCATTCAACACCCCTTTTGATGAGAAAAGTAACCCAATGGAATTCAAGCAAATCACTCCGCCTCCGGCGCCCAAAACGCCCCGTTCAAAGGAGTTTCAACAGCGATCTATCAAGAAACTTCAAGAAAGTGCCCTGCCTCTAGATGCAGGTTCAATGTTCTCTCGCGCAGCCAATGTCATGATGGCGTCCAGCGACTTAGACGGTGTTGTTATCCTAGATGCTTCGATCGCGGCGAACAAAAGTCGACAGAGGCGTTTACGTACACAAGTGGGTACTGGTACTGGAACTGGGACAGGGACCGAAGACACTGGAGATTCGAACCATACTGCAACTTCTTCAAGCGACGGGAGTGGCCGTAGTAGGACGGAGAATGTTGAGGGCTCATCGTCGAGATATGCTCAAGTGCTTGGGTCAGCCACAGAAATTTCCAATTCCGAAGAGGCAGCGTTTGGTTCACTCCTGGAGGCCGATTTATCTCGGATGTTACAAGATTTCCCCAACGGTAAGATAATCACGTTTGGTATGGACGGTCTTGCCCTTTCTTCAACCGAGGACTCTGGCACATCCAGTGGAGGGTCAGAAAAGACTTCTACGGACAGATCCCCGAAATCCAGAAATGCTGGCGGACGCGCAGGCAAGAGCTACACGTGCTATGCAGGCCATGCTTACGGGAGCTCGCAGCGTTGCATTCATACCCTTCTGGGATTACGAGCGATCACGATGGTTTGCGGGTTGCCTTTGTTGGACAATTAGACCGAAAAGACTATTGTCCGCATCAGTGGATCTTCCTTACTTCAAGGTCTTCAGTCATTCTGTCATGAGGGAGTTGTCACGACTGGACGCGTTAGCGTTGAACCAATCTAAGACGACCTTTGTGGCCTCTATAAGCCATGAGCTCAGAAGTCCGCTTCATGGAATTTTGGGGACTTTAGAGTTCATCAAAGACACACCCCTGGACTCCTTCCAGGTTAGTATGGTCAACTCTTTGAACGCGTGTGGCAATACTCTTCTGGACACGATTAATCATGTTATGGACTATGCGAAAATTGGCGAAGCTAGCAAAAACGTTTCATCAAGGCGAGTCAAGAGTACACACACAGTCAGGTTGTCCTCGAAGCCAATCAAGAGTCGACGATCCAGAGCCGAAGCATTTGATTTTGGTATCGCGACAGAAGAAGTGATAGAAGCGGTCTTCTCTGGGTCCACCTACGTTCCTGTTGCTAGAAGTCTCATGGATGCACCTTCGTCGCCGTCCGGTTCAGATTCAGAACAGACGATAAATCGCAAGATCTGCTATGTTGTGCTAGATGTAGCGCCATCAGAGGACTGGACCTACTGTTTCCCGGTTGGTTCATGGAGAAGGATTGTCATGAACATCTTCGGCAACGCAATAAAATATACGCATTCAGGTCACATTATTGTTTCTTTACGGGCCAGCGACTGGTCAAAAGCCACAGGCGCCCCAACGACAATCACACTCTGTGTCACGGACTCGGGCATAGGCATGAGTTCTAAATTCTTGGCTGACAAGGCTTTCCAACCATTCTCACAAGAAGACTCAGTACGTATAACAACCACGGCCCTTTACCGAGATATCATAGCTTATATTGTAATTCTAATTACAGTTCGCGTCTGGCACTGGGTTAGGACTGAGCATCGTTCGTCAAATCATCGAAACTAATGGCGGAAAGATTGAGGTCAACAGTGAGCCGTCCATTGGGACGAAGATCACAGTGAAGCTGGCTGTTTCTAGACCGGAAACATCTCCCGAAGCGGGCCTAAGGGAGACACCGTCTCAACGCAGTCGTTTTCTCTCCTACTTGTCGCGGCTCCGGGGTCGTAGCATCTGCATCCTCCAAAAACACTTAGAATATCCTGCTAATGATCCAGCCATGTCAAAAATTGTAGAAGGACTTGCCCGCTTCACCAACGTCCTTGCCAACACTTTAGAAAAGCATCTCAAGATGAATGTTGTTCGGACCACCGAGTGGACGGGCCATGGATCTGACATCGTCATTGTCCCAGAGTTGTCTTTTGACTATCTGACATCAATCCGACGCTCTAGGTCCAACGGCGATAAAGCTCCTGTGACAATATTTGTCGCAATGGATGCTCTGGAAGCAGCTACCTTGCGTTCAGACTGGAGAGTCAGAAGCAAAGAGAGTGTGGTGGAGATCATGACACAACCGTAAGTCAAAATAACTTGAATGTTAAATCGAATGGCCGCTGATGAATTAAAGTTGTGGGCCATACAAAGCAGCCTATATCCTCAACCAATGCCTCGACCGCCTTGATCACCCAGAAGAAAATCTACAGCACGAAAGCTCTGGCAGCGAGTTGACTCACGTCAGTTGGGCGGACAGCAGGGAGCTAAAATCTCCTGGTCCGAAATCGGATCAAGCTCAGTCCCCTGATCCACCTGCAACACGACTGAAGGACTATGCCACAACATTACATGCTACTTCTTCCACCAACGACGACCACGATACACCAAATTTAGCTCCGGAAGCATTGGATGCCCCAAAAGTGTTAATTGTCGACGACAATGCTATCAATCGAAATGTAGGTCTTGCATGGTAAAATACGGATATGACCTGCTCACATCATCCAGCTTCTTGCAGCCTTCATGAAGCGACGCAACTATTCATACCAGGAAGCCGAAAATGGCTTGGATGCCTTGGAAGCATACAAGAATATCGCAACCAAGTTTGAGACCATCCTCATGGACATGTCAATGCCGATCAGTGAGTTTATGCCTCACAGTTGTTTTTGAATATAGTCTAATTGTGTACATAGTGGATGGGATGACCAGCACGCAGGCTATTCGTGAGTACGAAAAGGCAAATAATCTTCCCAAGTGCCGCATTGTTGCACTTACAGGCCTCGCCTCAGCTAGTGCGAGACTGGAAGCACTGAGCTCAGGTGTCGATCACTTCATGACGAAACCGATGAATTTCCGGGCTCTGGAGACGCTGCTGAAAAGAGGGAGTGAAAGAACGCGAAAACACTCCGAATCAAAAACAGCCTTAAGATCAGCGAGAGAGGAAACCGCACATGATGCTGAGGACGCCAGACAGATGAAGCAACACGATCATGATGCCCTGCTAGAAGCCGCTACTTCTGAACACAGTACGGTCACTGAGCCTAACCCGCAAAGTAGTATGGAGAAGAAGGAATCATGAGGCGCAAAGCTGGGACCTCGAATCTTTCAAGAAAGTTCCGGTGGGAAGAGAAACAGCGTCTATTGCTAGGAAGCTCCTTTTAGCGCGCGCTTGTACACAATTCGTTAGAAGATCCGCAAACAGACATAGGGAATACGACGGGGCAGTCACATCAAAAGAAAAACTGTTCAAAAACCATAAAAGCGAAGCCTTGGGCTACTTGCCTGCAGCAGGAAAAAGAGCGCAGACTAATATTCATGACTACCGCCGGACGGTCTGTAGATTTCCCACCCTGTCTTACAAGGAACCGACTTCAGGCAAACTCGTTCTTCACAACGAGTCATGGATCTCCACTTCATCTGCAAAAATCCGCAAAAAACATACAACAGAGGAGATTCGCTAATGGTCACCCACTTAACTACTAACCCTCCGGTACGATGCTTAAATATGGCTGAGCGAACGGGAAGCCTTGTAGTCTCTTGTTCTGCTACCACAAAATCCGCTAATTTGCCTGTTTGCGGCAACAAGTAACACAAAAACAGGAAGGAGAGTGGACTTAATTGAATAACACATCAGTCGTATTAGGGCCGACTATCATCTAGTAGCCCGTGATGGCTAAGCGCTCTACCAACTTAGCAATGGAGCTAGGACACTAATCATTTCATCCACTGACACAGGCGTACCGCCACCAACATGATGGCCTGCATGATCAACTCAAGCTAGCAGCTGCAAACAGGATTGTGCTCCCCACTCGATTGCTCCTAGCTCCTAAGTCAACGGACTGCCCACAGCTTCTGTTAGGTAAGTGCCAGGTTACAGCACCTATCCATGATCGGATCGAACAGATCAGTATGTTCCGCAAGTCAGGATGAACCACAGGGTGCTTTCAACCTAGGTGGACAAGTTCGCGCACAGTTGACTATCAATGGATACATTTCAGTAATGACGGTGTAGAAGAGGCATGAAAAATTGACGAATTATCGTAACTTCTCGACGGGAACTTTCTCTAAAGTCCGAATTTCATCCAAGCTTGACGCCAATGCTCCCACCTTTCGAGTTCTTTGTAAAAACGACAGTGTTCTCCTTCATATTGGATTTTATCTGGCCCTCGTTCTGTAGCGTCTTTGCCTGTACGCCTACATGGTTTGTATGTCCATCATCCGTTACCTTGTTACCATCCATAGTCGAGTCGATTGAACCTTTTATCTCATCGATCTCTCTTTTAGCGGCGGCGAAGGTTTTCAGCTCAGTCGTTTCGGTACGTGTGCGGCTTGTTGTTTCAGATCTCGAAGTTCTTAATATACCTGGTGTATACGAGACTCCCTCTGATGTCAGATTCTCAGCTCTCATTAGCTGGTGGCCGTGTGTAGGTTCGCCCTCGAGCGAGTAATCGATATCCTTGGCGTTGGTGTCAGCCATGGCTTCAAGCTGTGCTACTCTTCTTTGTGTTTGTTTGACAAGCTCTAACTTTTTGTGCTTGGCGATAGGCTTCTTGAGCTGAAATTGACTACATTGTCCATTAGACTCCCTCACCTGCCAAATCATACAATGTCCACTCACAGGCTTGTAACTTCCAGCGTCAGTATCGTTCTGATCTTGGCAGTATTGATGTCAACTAAAACGTTCTGTGTGTCTTTCTTGTGAATCGCGTACTTGATTTTCGCGAAAAAGTCTATTTTCGGAGACGACATTAAGTTTGGAAGGTGTTTCTCAAGGGCTTCGCAGCTTAATGCGCACGCGATAAAAGCTTCCGGTACCCCAATACTTTTTACTGTGGTGTGAATTGCTGCATCTGCCCCTTCGAGGAATTTCAATCCTGCGAGAGAATTTCGGAGAATGTTGACTTCAGTTCTGAGTTTTTCGATCTAATTGGGCGCTCCCCTCTGGTTCTGCACTATATCGTAGATGGACGAGATGCTTCGGAAAGCCACGTCTGCAATCCCAAGAATGGCTGCAACTGTCTCAAGGCCCGACATAGAGAAGCGTAGAGGCCACAATGACTCTTGATAAAGCATCAAAGTTGCCATTTTTCCTGGTTCACGGGGCTCTGCGCCTGCTTAGTCTCAGTGGCTCCTGCTCCACGATAGCGTTTTCTTCCTCCCGCTTTAATCACCTCGCCTCCTGCTTCATAGTTTGTCTCGTGCGCTCTTCTGTTGTTATGAGATTAGGATAGAAGAGGAAGGCGGCCCTCCTTCATCTGCAAGTAGCTCGCGCTCCCGCCAAATCTTTCTAACGCTCGTTCTACTGCACACTCTTCTACTGCACAACTTGCTCACATTGGTGCCCGAAGCCATCTAATCTTCACTGCAGATTGCCTTCTCATTCATCGCTATCCTCATTATTCGCTTCCACTTCCGTCACTGCGTGCCCAACTTCCACCACACTTCCTCATCAGCCATAGACTCAACGACCACTGTGGACCTCAGCTAGTGCCGAATACTTCCAGGTATGACTTGCTCTTCCGTAGCGAAAGATGGAGTCTAACCCAAGAATGTAGGCATCATGTCATCACCGATCCTCGTCTCGATCCATACCTTCCTTCCTCGAAACGTCCCATACACAAGGAAGACAGCGTCCCCAAATACTCAACCTACGGCCTGTCTCCAGAATGGTGACAATGACTGTGGTTCGACTATCAGGATTGCGGTATGCCTGGTGTAAGGGATGTTCTGAGGCAAGGTAGGGACCCCCTGCTCAACCCCAGGGAAGAAGATTGTCATCCTTCCGACAGGAGTCCCTCGACAAGAGGGATATCATTTATGGAGATATATGTGCATCTAGAGGGGCACTGATGGGGGGTCGGGTCTTTTCTAGTTTTCCTCCGCACCCTGCTCAGTCTTTATGGCTGACAAAGAAAAACTACAGGGCGACTCAATCTTTGGATTGTTGAGACAATGGTTTGTTGGTCATCACTGCTAGTACCATGGTTGGAGTGAGTGGTTGCTGGGCTGTGCAGTCCCAGAGTTGCGGTCCCGCTGACGGGCTGAGGGGGCGCGCGTGCGAGCCTTGGTACGCTCGTCCATGAGATGGCCGAGGATTCAGATTTCGGTATTGCGGCCATGGTTAGAAGTTGGGTCAGATCCTCGCTGGTTGCTTGAATGGGTAATCTCCAGATTTGTCAAGTGCAGTGGGTGCATGGACCTTGCTAGCTTGCATACACTTGTCATAGCGAATTGATCCCGTGTTTGTATTCTCAATGCTGGATTAGATGACCGGAGAGCCGAGTTTAGCGTGGTTCGAGATATGACTCCCCTTTTGGCCATGGTACGTCGTTGTTGAGGTGAATCCCATTAATGAGCCGCACTTTGGCTAAGAGGAGAGCGGAGGTGCATGGTCTAGAGCCATGCGCTCATGTCGTTACTCATTTACATTACAACCCACGATTCGCATTGCAATATGTGTATGCCGCAGCCCTACACCATGAAGGGCCTAGTCCCGGCCCTGTACCGTGCCAACAGAGCAACTCAACAACACCAAAGCCATAACAAACGATGAGAGCAATTTTCCTAGCCATTTTGAGACCTTCTTTGAAAAGCGGGGAGGCAAGTACACCCTTCATCCAGCCGCTTATCGAGCAAAACCTAGCTCAGTACATCAGTCCCCGAGCCCAAAGATCTTGCGTTGTAGGGGAGCGCTAGGTGCTTACCAAAGACTATTGGTAACGTTGGAACGCGGGGCCAGGTGGGATACATAATATAAGCAGGTTTACGATAAGGGCAGCGTAGTTACTTAAGGGGTTGGCACGGGAGCGCGGCGAACGCCGACCATAGCTTGGCGGGCAGCGCAAACGCCCGCCGTGGAGACTTTCCTACAATACAGCTTGTTACCCACGCCACCCCGCTACCCACTGTGCCGAGCCCTTGATTCCTTCACTATGATTGTTGCTACAGTCTACTACCTGGTTTCAATCTCTATCTTTCGTGTAAGTTCTATATTTTTGTTATTATAACTGTTCAACGTCAGCACTAATAGCTTTATTCTCAGTGCATGATAGGATATAGCTACCGCGCCCTCCTTCATCCCCTCAGCAAGTACTCGGGGCCATATCTAGCGAACGTTTCGGACTGGTATGGCGCGATATACGCCCTGCTCAAAATTCTCCATGTCGCTTCATATTAAAATCATCAAAAATATGGTAAGTTTCTGAAATGCCTATGAACTGATGTCACTGTCTGAAGCTGGTTCAGAGAGCATCTTCAGATAAGGTCCTAATAGAATCGTCTTCAATTCGATCGCCGCAATTCGCGACATTTACCATAACGACTCAGAAACGTTTCTGAACAAGATGATCTTCGTGCTACACTGCTACTCCACTGAGCTGAATGTACAATCGCTCATAAAGACTTCTGATTCATTGAGCGCCTCACGTTTGGGATCGACATGATCACGAGCGACACAAGCACGAGCTGCTCAATATCAGACTTCACCTTGACACAGGCGACAATAGTATCGAACTGTCAGAGAGCAGGCTTTTTGGATGATTGGCTAGAGCGTGCCTTTTCTGTCGAGCCCACCCCGCAGATCTCTTGTAGCTGAACGAAATTGGAGCGCGCGAATCCGGGTCCGGCAACGGTGGAGACCGACCTGCTTCAAGAGTTACGCAAGCAAACACAAGAGAGGTGAAATAAGATGAGACACCTGAAAATGAAGCTTGAAGAGCGCTTCTAAAGAAACCAAGGAGCGGAGGCTCACTCCTATCTACCACTAAACAATGTTCTCTGCTGTCACGTCGGACAGGAAAGTGAACCTGGAACCTGTTTCGCGAAGCCCGCTGCTGTTGCCGGAAGTAGGCGTGCCAGGCTACCCGAAAGATGGCAGAGCGGACGAGTGAACTTGCTCTCATCGTCCTATGGTCGTATGTGGAGAGAATGTTTAAAAATGGGCAATATGTACTTGGAAAATACAAGTTCGGAATCCCGGAATTCCGCCAGCGCTGGCGGAAATTGGTGGAGAGATAGCACACAATTCTGGGCACCTAGAGAGCGAGACAATCTGATGAAATTTCTGTCATTGCTAGTTACCTGTTCTTCCTTGAGTCTCTGTGACGTGGACTTCAGTCACATGTTGGAGTACTTCAGGAAAAGCTTGAGACCATAAGAAATACCGCAGATCTGACCAATAGACCTTCTAAACATGGTATCATGATAAGTATTAATACAGAGAGACAATAAGTTTAATATTGTTCTAACACACTGAGATCGTGATGATTGAGATGACTTCGATGCCGTTGACGCTAAAGAACACTAGCGCGTGACACGACCCACTTGAAATCTTGGCGACAAGCTCCACCAAAAAGTTTCTTGTCGCATCGTAGAACTTCGCGCAGACGTATCAGCCCTTCACCATTGGCTACCCCAGACTGTGTACGACACAATAGCATGGCGCCGCCCTCATTCTCGCCCGACACGTCCATTTCTTCCCACACGCTCTCTCTTGAATCTGCACACCCGCCGCCAATGGACCTGCGCGCCGCCGACATGAACTCCTCGTCGAGTCTCGCGACCAACCCGCTCGCCTTCCTCCAGCCAACCGTACAACTCAATGCAGCCTTTCTCGCCGCCGCGAAACAATATCTAGACCCCGTTGCCGCCGGCATTAGCGAGGTACAGACACAGCGCCAGCAAGAGCTGCGCAAGAAGCGGAAGCGTGGCTATGGATACGACAATGATGTCAGCGTACTGCATCTGAAGAAGGTGCATCTCGAAGGGTTTGGTGTGAACCAGGTTTTCGAGCAGACACGCAAAATCGTCGAGGCCACCGCGGAAGAAATTGAGCTTTCGCTGCCCGAGAACGAGGATGTCGTAGCAGTACACGACGATGACGGTGGGGATGACGATGCGGAAGATGCTTCAGATGACCTGGAATCTAGTCTGGGTGAGGAGGGTGTTGATTGGGAGTACGACGGCGTGGACGACGACGAAGATGCTGAGCCTTTAGAAGATGATATCTCTGGCGAGGAAGATATCGATATGGACGGTGATGTGGATATGGAAGGCGCAGAGGGCGAATTGTTTTCTGAAGAGTCTGATGACGAACCCGCCGAAACGTACAAACCTGATCCCCATGGCCTCAATGATGGCTTCTTTTCCATCGACGATTTCAACAAGCAGTCCGACTTCCTAGAACAACAGGACCAACGAGGCGAAGCAGAAGCGGAAAGCGAAGACGAAGAGGTTGATTGGACTGCAGACCCTATGGCAGAAAAGTCAGGCACAGGCAAACGAGTGGGCGGCGAAGAAGACGTCTCCGATGATGAGTCGGAGGCAGGTGGTCCAACCTTCGGCAATGTGGACCTGAACGCACCAGAAGGTGACAGTGATGATGATGAATTTGAAGACGGCGATCTAGATGTGATGGACGACGGCACCAATGCCAACAACGTCATGTATAAAGACTTCTTCGCTCCACCCGCACGCAAAGTAGGCAAGAACAAGAAGAAGCGAGGTCGACCAAATCCCCACAACTTCCCTGAGAAGAAAGAGGGTGAAGAAGCAGAAGCCGAGGAGGGGCCAGATGTAGAGGGCACTATGGCTAGGGTACACCGCGACCTGTTTGAGGACGACGACGACATGGAGAGCAACAACGACTTGTCAGATGTTGATCCCTCAGATCCAAAGTCACGACGATCAACGCACGAAAGGAAGCAAGCCAAGATTGCAGAGGAGATCAGGAAGCTTGAAGCGGCCAACATTGCGAAACGCGAATGGCAATTATCTGGTGAGGCACGCGCTGCAGACCGCCCCCTCAACTCCCTACTAGAAGAAAACCTGGAGTTCGAACGAGCCGGAAAGCCAGTACCGATCGCTACAGCCGAAGTGTCTGAGGACATTGAAGCTCTAATCAAGAGGCGAATATTGGCTGGCGAGTTCGACGAGGTGCTGCGACGCCGGCCCGACGATCTCGCTACAGGTCCCAAAGTCCGAAGAGGTCAACTCGAACTCGATGACAGCAAATCCGGTAAAGGTCTCGCCGAGATCTACGAGGAAGAACATCTCCGTACCACAGACCCGAACTACGTAGACGCGAAAGACGAGAAGCTGAAGAAGGAGCACGACGAAATATCAGCAATGTGGAAGAAACTGTCGGCTAAGCTCGACTCCCTTAGCTCATCACACTTCAAGCCCAAGCCCGCTGCGCCCAACCTGGAAATTCGCGTCGATGCACCCGCTATTGAAATGGAGGACGCACGACCCACAGCTGGTGGCGAAGTCGCCGGCGCCAGCATGCTCGCGCCCCAAGAAGTATACAAGCCCGGAGATGAGGCGAACAAGTCTGAAGTTGTCACCAAGAGCGGCATGCCCATCTCCCGCGAGGAAATGTCTCGTGAAGAGAAGGCCGCGAGACGCCGTAGGGCCAAGGAGAAGAGCAAGAAGGAAGGTCTTAACAAGCCAAAGACCGTCTCCGTGGAGAAGGGAGGCAGAGTTGGCAGGAAGGGCGAGAAGCCTGGTAAGAAGCAACTCATTGGAGAGTTGAAGAAGGGTGGAGTGCAGATCATTGGTCGCAAGGGCGTACTTACGGACGTTGAAGGTAAAGAGGTGAAGGATGCTGCGAGGAAGGGAGCAGGAAGCTACAAGCTCTAAGCTGAGTATGACGATCTATAGATATATGTTCCATCACAGCTTCTGGGCTGGTGTACATGCACGATTCCTCATTGTCCGTCGCAGTCAACGGGTAGTAGTCCTTGTGAGTTGCTCCCTGCATGGGATTTACAGGCTGACTAGCATATAACATTTGATCAACCCTGTTCACGATCCCAGATCTCACCGATGTCGACGCGTACAGCACATCGATCTTACAGGAAACACCGAGATGAGCAGATTCTATCTGACATCTTCGGGTTGCACTCGTTGGCATTTTCCCGAAATACCTGACAACATCTTCGATCGCTCGGGCACATCCTCGGCACGGTGTACAGACGAGGAGACCATCCGCAGTACAGTGACATTCCGGATTGAGACGTCAGGATATCTTTTCGCGATTACAGTTGATCCTATTTTATGGAACTCCACCATTGATTACTTCATCTCCGTCTTGGAGTGCATTCGTCCAGCCGCACTCCACATTCAACACCCGTTGCGAATCGGAGCCCTGCCAAGTTATCGATATGCGCGTTCCCACGAAAATGGAAGGTGGCTTAGGTCCTTGCTAGGACCTTTGCGCTCGGTCAGCGCACGTGGTGGCTCGGCTGTAAGCTTTTGGCGCACTTGGAGACGGGAAAAGTTGTGCGGCTGCTTCTCCCGGTAGTAATTGACTGGTCGCCTTTCGAACAGAGAGGAAGCTGCTATATTGGATCGCACGTGCAACCATGTAATCACCGCGTCAGGACTACTTGTGCGCCGCTGCACCATATGGGAGCAAGTGTTTGGCTCTTCAATCGTCTCATCCTGAATTAACAGCACGCCACACAGCGCGTTGCAGTTGCACAAGATCCAAATTGGATTTCAGCCCGCGATTGGCGAATAGAAAATCTCCGCAGAAGCAGGATGCCAACGAACTGAAATGGCACGAGCGGCAACAAGCGTAAATCGTACCTTGGCGATGAATACGGGCACATTACGCCGAGCTGTAACGCAAGGATCATGCGTATACATCCCACGCCGAGTTTTTCGGTCACATTGCGCTTTCAAGACACTCTGTGACTACACGCATCACCCCCATGCATGTCACTACAATGAGAACACACTGATGCTCTACTCGAAGGTCCTTTCTCGGCAAGGGTTCTTCCGAAACACAAACGGTTCGAACCTGGTACCTCCCAAACCGTTCTGTCGGGTTGAAGCAAACTGTCTATGGCCCAATGACAGGCTGTCTGTAACATGCAAGCATGCGAAGCGACTTTAAGCAAGACGGTCAGTCTCTTCGACCTAGAGAGGAGACAGAAAAAGGAAAGGCTAGGTGCCTGCCTCCGTTGGCCGCGGAATAATGATCTCGCATGGCACAGAAACCGACAGGGAAGTTTCCGGCCCAGCGTGTTGGTCGTAGACATTGTCAGAAACTGGGAGCATAGATCGTTGCGTCAGGATTAGGATTGGCATTACAACACAGTAGATATATGTCAGACGGTGATCGCTCACTACGTTGGTCCCACATTGACTTCCTTTACACTTTTTGCGCCAGCAATACGCTACAGGTGCCGGCACGATGCAGCACAACTACAGTAAAGAAATGATGATCAGGTTGGCGGTCGCGTTCATGGTACTGCCCACTATATTCGTAGGTCTGCGTATTTGGGCGAAGATAATTTCGAAACGGTTGGCTTGGGATGACTACCTGACGGTTGCTGCTCTTGTGAATTGACCTGAGCTTGTATCATAGAATACGCTGACTGTTTTCAGGCTATTTCAATAACATGCTGTGCTCTACAATGGGCAAGTAAGTACGTCGCAACGCCTCTGCACTTCTGGCACTGACAGCAGCAGCGGCTGTACATGGCCATCTTGGTCAACATCAACCACTGGATGCGAACGGTCAACCGATCATGGATGATCCAGGCTTGATATTCTTCGAAGAGGTCAGCAAAGACTTGCCCATAATATGACATTGCGCTGACTCGTTCCCACCAGACCAAGTTCGCCATCAACATGATCTCGATCATCGGCCTTGGGCTTGTCAAATCTTCACTTCTGATAATGTGTATGTAAACGCAGTGTACAAAACATACGCAGGATGCACACTAATATACTGTCTCAATATCTAGACAAGAACATATTCGCGGTTCGAAAATTCCAGATAGTTGTGTATTGCGTGCTTGCTTTTGTCGTCGGCTGGTAAGTCGCAGGTGTGCGAGCTGTGCATGCGGGCCACTACTGACTTCGTACCTCCAGGACCATCAGCTTCTCGATATCACATCTTTTCACGTGTTACCCGATCACGGTTTTCATCGAGCCGTACTACAATAGTAGGTGCTGCTACATGGCTCGTGGGGGAGACTATGGCTAACTATGTGACTTGCGTATAATAGATAACTGCGTGCAGACAGTACCGATGTTCTTGTCTCTTCTGGTGAGTAGCATCACTCAGCTTTGTCACACTCCGTGGTTGCTCATCATGGCTAATAACACAATTAGTTCACCGGTGTTATTGCCGACGTAGCCATTCTTGTTCTCCCCATACCGATGGTTATGAGTATTAAGATGGAATTCAAGAAGAAGCTGGCAGTCATTCTCATGCTAGCTCTAGGCGCAGCGTAAGTACATTGCCTTGGACCACAGCCATCATACCGTCCTTCCGCTGACCATCCAGTGTATGCGCTGTAAGCATTACTCGCGTCGTTGCCATTTACTCTATTGCTCAGGAATACATCAAACACCCCGATGATGTTATCTATTACACAGCTGGCGTGTTCTTTTGGACCAACATCGAGCTATCGCTCGCGATAGTCTGCGCCTGCCTACCTACACTGCGACCAATTTGGTTCCACTTCCATCCAAGGGAGCCTACGTTGAAGACATCGTCGGCCTATGGATCTTCGAAACTTACTGGATCAAAGCCAAACAGTAGTTTTGGTGTCAAGTACAGCAGCTCTCGCAAACCGTACAGGGAGATTGACGAGTTGGAACTCACTCAGTACGACAATGAGCAGGCCTCATCCATCGAAACGGGCCCACGGCCAATATCAGATGAACCTGGTATTCGAAAGGCTGTCACGATCCATCAGACCCTGAATTAAAGTGGGGAAGAAAGAGCTGCGGATCGCGTACGGCCGAGTGTACAATACGTTTTGTGAGGATTAGCAGTCGGCATATACAAATCAACAAGGCTCTTCGGCATTATTCATTACCCCCCACGTTCGTTGGCCGGCACTCCTGAACCCAACATCTTACCAACATGATCTGAGGACATGAGCACCATCTTGGGCACACTGCCGAAAGATCAGCACCTGCGGCTCGATTCTCTCCTGACATGCCAAGCGCCAAGCAAATGCACAGTTGGGGCGTGGTCACTATGTCTAGGGTTTCTCACGCCTTCATCTCGCAATTGGCCGAACACAGCCTCCCCATTCGTCCGTGACACAAAATCCACCAGGGGTGGAACGGCCCGACCAAGCTATCGGGAACTGAATTTCATGAGACTACTGAACGGAGAGACTTCCGTATAAGCTTTGTAAGAGAATGGAGACCGCACTTATTGAGTTGCAGAGATGTAGTCGCCAATGCAGGCAACGGCGCTCGTACTTGAGTAGTCCACTCCGACAAAGCAAGGAAACAGAGACATCGTCTCAATTCCGGCTGAACGTTTCCCGCGTAGAGCATCTACTGCATGCGCGGCTACAACGACTTGTTCAGATCTGTTCTCCGAATATATGCCTTGCATCATCGCTAGGATACGTGCAATTGGGACTTAAGCGAGCTGCGAGACTCTCAATAAATATCACATCAACCCTTCCAAGACACATGGTGCTGCGGATGCGAAACGCTTCCACCAATTGTGCACCATGCGATTCCTCCTTCTCCAAAGCTTCGCTACGGCGATCGCTGCCCTTGCCGTCAAGCAGCCCTCCAAGATGACCCCAGGTGCTGTTTCTGCCGATCTGAGCCGTGTTATCTCAGCTGCATCGAAGGCAGGTGTTGAGCTTAGAGCAAGATGGAGTCTGGTTGGCGCACCGAGCCCGGCAGTCGTTGTGAGCGTCACAACTGAAAGTGATGTCGCTTCGGTGGTACGTTCTTGCGCTACACCAATAGCAATACGAATGATGTGCTCATTACTTCCAGGTCAAATACTGCACAGAGAAGCGCGTCCCGTTTGTCGCCCAGAATGGCGGTAATGGTTGGGCGACGACGTTCAATCTTGGGGAGACTGGAGTGCTCATCAACATGGCTGGCTTGAATGCCATCACGTTTAATCAGGACAAGACACAAGCAACAATTGGTGGTGGTGCCGTCATTGGCAATGTTATTCCTGCCGCAAATGCAGCTGGCGCTTTGGTCATTACTGGCAACTGCAATTGCGTTGGTGCAGTGTCGGCGATGTTAGGAGGCGGATATGGTACGTACCTGGGACGAATGTGAAAACACTGGCTCACTCTTAATAGGAAACATCATGGGCGAGGTTGGCTTCGGCGTCGACAACATCGTCTCCATGCGTGTCGTTCTTGCCAGCGGCGAGATCGTTACAGTCTCCCCAACATCGAACCCAGACCTCTTCTGGGCCATGCGTGGAGCCGGGCCAAACTTCGGCATCGTCATCTCAGTCACCATCAAATCGCAGCCAGCCACAGAACAAGACCGGACCGCTTACATCAACAACCTCTTCTTTAGCCCCGACCAAATCGAGACAGTCGCGCAAACCATGCAAGACCTCCCTCTCACCCCCGAACAACGCGTCTACCTCGTGCTCACCAGCTCCGGCCCACCTCTCAATGAGCCCTCAATCCTCATCACCGGCTTCCTGCGCAAAGGAACCGAAGAGGAAGGTCGCAAAGCTTTCGCTCCCTTCTACGAACTCGGCCCAGTATCTGCTTCCAGCGCAGTAACCCAATACCTAGACTGGAACGACTCCAACGACGGCTTCTGCGCCCGCGGCGACCGCAAGCCCGCATACAGCACCACCATCAACAACATGCAAGCGCAGAAGTGGCCTGAGATTTGGGAACTGTACAAGGGCTTCCAGGCTAAGGGACCGAACTCCGCAGTGCTGATCGAGCGGTACAATTTGACCAAGGCCAACGCTGCGCCTACCGGCTCCGCAGCCATGAACGAGAAACTGCGCACCGAGGCGTTCGCGCAGGCGATTGTTATTCCGTGGTATACAGATGCGGCGCTGGATGGTGAGGCGGAGACGTTTGCGAGTGAGGTAAGGGCGTTGTGGAGTTATAATGCTGATGCGAAGAAAAATCCTGCGTAAGTTTGATATTGCATGAAGTGTTGTGGAGAGGTTTGACTGACTAGGTATAGGTACATCAACTTTGCGCATGGCGATGAGACGCTGGAGGCGATATATGGATCGAGCTTGCCGAGGTTAAAGACGTTGAAGAAGCAGTATGACCCGACAGGTGCTTTTAATCAGTGGTTTACTATCGAGCCGTGAGGTAGTTAGGACGGTGTCGGCTCCAGACACAATTCATCATTAAAACGCCGTCAAGTTCATTCATTCTTTGCTGCGCTACCCTTCAGCCCCAGTTTGCCGTCAACGCAGTAACAAACCCCAACACCTCTCCCTCATTGACAAAAGACCCCTGAACATCCGAAACGATCCAGTACGCAGCTCCGGACCCCCTGTCGCTACCAGAGCAAGTGAAAGCAGTTGGTCTGCCATTTTCATCACGATCGAGAACAGTAGTGTCGTACTCGCCTGTCGGACCTCGCGCCTCCATCAGTAATTGAAGAGGAGGTCTTAGTGCGGAATCTTTGCTGAGAAAATAGGAATATGGTGTGCCTACGAGGTTGTCGACGCTGTCTGGCATGTAGTAATGATTGGTGTATCTTGCTTTCATGATGATGTGTATCTTTGGAGCTAGTAGGAACCTAGTCGTCATGTTGGCCATCGAGTCGTTAAAGCATGGCGCTGAGTGTGGCCCTACGATAAATAGTCGTAATGGAGGAGTCGCATTTGCTGCAGGCACACATGCTGATTGGGAGGATAATGTGACTTGCAACACGTGATTATAGCATACAAGGTTGAGCCTCTTGTAGCTATATGTGCGTGATTGCTTTCTGATTGTAGCTCTGAATAATAGCTTAATCTTCCAGCGGCAACGCCTGCACCTCGAATGTCTGCTCTCCGAACGCCTCTTTGAAAGCGGGTATATTCTTCTTCGTCATCCAGACTGTGAGTATCGGCGCCTTGATTGTCTGCTTCTGTTGTTGTTCTTGCTCCTGCTCTGGCGCATCTACATCCATCAATTCAAAGGCTTCCTCCTCTTCCTCTTCGTCTTCATCCGCGGTAGATTTCGGCTTCTCGGCTTGCCCATTGCTGTCACTGCCATCTGACATTGCCTTGGCCCGTTTCTCCACCTCGATATTAGCAAGAGATGTGTACATGTACCATGTCTCGACATTGCCGGCACTCAACTTGCTCTTGGAGGTTGGCGCAACCACCCGTCTGACCAAGTCTATAATGCTGACTAGTTTGGCAGTTCCCTCACCCTGCGCGGACACTGCAATGACCACATCCGCCTCTTTCAAAGCTTCGGGCATGTCCATGGGTTGGTTCTTATTCTTGTATGCTCCCAGGTAGGTCTTCAAGCGATTGATGCCTCCTTTGATATTTTGGTTCCTGGTGTAAGCGATTGGCACAACATTTTTTGTACCTCTCAACCGATCTTGCGGAATCTTAAGCAATTCTGCGGGGAGAAGTGTCCATGGTTGGTAGAGTGATGGATCAAAGCTCGGGACAGGCTGTGCATCGGCCTTGATATGTATTTCCGATCCATTCTCTTCCGTTTTTCTTTTCTTACGGCTGCCTTTGGCCGCTTGGTTGCTTTCTGGCCCGACTGTATGTTCGCCATCTGCATCTGCACCACCAATTATGGGCAGCGTTGGACCCTCGCTTGAATATGGCGTAGCGGGTGCGGTAACTGCGCTGGAGTCCTTCTCAGCGGATGATGCGAAAATATCGCTCATACGCTTGGGCTTCGCCATACTTGAGTGCTTGAGTGTGTACAGGTGTATATCGTTTGTTGAAGCAGCGCAGGTGTTCATTGCTTCACGCGTCAAGATCGAAAATCGCGTCGGAGATAGGAGCACGCTAACGTTAGTTAACGCCGATTCACTGTGGCTGCCATCTCCGATTGGTCCTGTACCACCGACTACCCACAGTCGTCCTGCTACCTCTGGCAGGCAGTTTACTACACCTCGTGTTCGTGCTCGATCTCCTATTACGGGTCTTTGAAGGTGCTCGCTCGTGGCAAAGAAGTTTCCTTGTACACGCACGCTTGTACATATGAGTACCACGAGACAGCCCTGGAGCAATTTGTTCCGCATTATCAACGACACGCAGCTTAACGAGGGCGATGGCAGAGAAAGCCGCGCATCAGGTTCCAGCAGATCACACGTGAGTATGCTTCGCCATTTTTACTTGATCTCTTGTTAACAGTCTGAAGCTAACACAAGGATGAAGATCGGCCACCTTATCTCCGCCTACCGGGCTAGTTGCGTAACAGCATGTATGAGCTCGTCTTCCTAGGAGCCGAAGTTTGTCCTCCCGAACCACGTCAACCCCGCAGACCCAACAATGCGTTACATGAACCAAGATACCGAGGCGCCCTTGCGCTCGTCTGCACTTGCCAGCAGATCTATCCTGAAGCAGTTGCATATCCTGCGAAGCTCTCGACCTACGACTTCCGCAACTTTCAACGTGTCGAGAACGCGAGATTCATGGTGTTTGGGAAATGTCAAAAATCCTGGTGATTAAAGTATTTGTTCAGCAACTGCTTCCCGCACTTTTCAGCTATCGGTGGCATCTCGCAATTCCTGAGACTAGCGCTACACTGAATAGTTAGAATGTAACGCGGCTATTTCCATCGCTTGCAGGAGTCAAAATACAACGCTTGAGTGCAGATTTTCCGTCCAGCCTCATGGCATCGCGCACAGTTTTGCGCTACTACTTCTACACACCAGATCTCGAAGTTGAGTTTACATGATGGCGGCAGGCGTGTAAGACAGGCTGACAGCCACGGGCTTCTTCCCGGGCGGCCAAGGCATACCGAGCCATATGATCGACGTTACACAAGATTCAAATTGTAGCAGTCAGCACACATTCGTTATCCATGAGTAAGTCATTCTCTCGTGAATGACCTAGCATCCCGAACTCTCGCACGGTCGCTTGAAACTCTCCCAGGTCAGCCGGGGAAATTAATCCTTTTTGATGAGTCACAAAAATCCCGCGTAAAGTGGAGGGCAAATGACCGAGTGCAATACATTTCAAGCTTCTGATACGGATGTAAGGAGGAAGAACGGATTGATGATGTTGATCCGACCCCTGAAGCCACATGTTTCCGAGATCACGTGTGCAGGCTTAAATTAGAAATAGGACTAGTCCAGTTCTAGCTTCCGTCCTTAGCACTGAGGCACAGCCCTCGCTGCACTGCTATTCCAATCCTTCGACACCTGCTGGGTCGGGCAAAATGTTAAGCTTTTTTGACAGTTCTGTCTGCATCCCTTGAGCATCAATGCCTTTACCAAAGTCGCTATTGCGTCGCCCTGTTCGTCGCACCTCCACGTCATCTTCGACAGGAAAACCGCAGCGAAAGCGATGTCGCACCTGTAACAACCTCGATCCAAGAGACCACTCGAGCTCAATCTACCCAGACGAAGATGAGAAAGATTCAAAGGCGCGCTTAACCTTAACAGTTGACGCTTTGGCGTTATCAAAGACGAAAAGCGTAGCTCAAGCGGGGTGTCGATTTTGCAATGCCATCATGCAAGCTTTAGATGCGTTCTTTGAAGAATGGAGAGGCACGAGAGACAAAATCTGCATAGAATTACGAGAAAAAGGAACGATCAAGGTGAGCATCGATAGTAAACGCCGGAGAGAGGAGATTGTCGAGCTTTACGCTGGATCCGGTAGGCCAAGATTCCCCTTTTCACATGCTTTGGTTTTGTTTTCATGCATTAGTTGGCGGCTTGAAGTCACAAGTATCACTACATAATCTTTCTGTTCCGGGACCAGGAAGCCAATTGGTCAAAATACACCTGACATGCTGCAGCATCACGAGCGCCGTGGCCTACACTTGGAACTGCACATCATATTCCTGTCAACTCTGGTTCGGACGAGACCTTCAACTTCATTCGGCGATGCATTCAGGGTTGCGTGGCGAACCCGAAGCACACAGCATGTAGATTTTCCTGCAAGTCATCGATATCTGCTCCAAAACGACTCTTGGACGTTGGCCGTGCCACGTCTCCTATTCGTCTTATTGACACTCAGGGAAAAACCTTTCAATATGCGGCTCTGAGCCACTGCTGGGGCTCTGGTCCAAGGCTGACTACTACCAAGTCCAATTGGGCAAAGCTAGCGGTAAATATTTCATTCGATACTCTGCCCCCCTTATTCCGGGACGCCATTGTTATTACTCGGCAGCTCGGCTTACGCTACATCTGGATAGACTCACTTTGTATCATACAGGATAGTTTGCGCGATTGGGAGACAGAGTCTTCAAAGATGGGTAGCATCTACCAGAATAGCTACATCACCATAGCCGCAACCAATTCTGGGGATGGCAGCGCAAGATGCCTAGCTGAAAGGAGAAAGCCCGTCAAGATTCCGTATGAGAATACGGTCAAGAAGGAGTTCGCGCTACGCGCAAGAAGAGTGTTGGATCACCATCCCAACACAGATCCAAAAGGTGGACCGGCGAGACCAATAGGACCACTAAGCTATCGAGCGTGGTAAGTGAAGGACAATAGGAACCCTGCGTTGTAATTTGGCTAAGATTGTTCTTGTAGGGCACTGCAGGAACATGTCCTTAGTACCAGAGTATTACACTACACGGAGACTGAACTAATCTTCGAGTGTAAAACGTCATATCGCTGCGAGTGCATGCCCGATCGCAAAGCGTATCCAACAACGCCCGCACTGATTCCAAAAGCCGTAGCTAGTAAGAGGAATGGTGCTGTGTATGAAGCATGGCAGCAAATTGTCGAAAAGTACTCGGCAAGAGACCTCACTGTCCCTGGCGACAAATTTCCAGCAATCTCTGGTATTGCAAGCAAGATTCGAAAAGCTACGCACTCGGAGTATTTGGCAGGATTGTGGAAGGGGAACATCGCATCAGACTTGCTGTGGAGCGCGTCTTCTCAAATATCAACTGCTCCTGATCGCTTTGCACTCGAAACCTGGCGTGCACCATCGTACTCATGGGCTAGTATCGACACTGCTGTTACGTACACACACCTGGACGACGAAGAACGAGAAGCTTTCACTCCCGCAACCTTGCTGACAGCATCAAAAACCATACCGAAAGGCTTGAACCCGCTTGGCACGCTTGCCGACGCATCCATCACGGTGCGCGGACCTACCATGGAAGCTACCCTATGTTCGGAGCAGAATCGCGGAATCTGGGAGTACATGCTTCTGGTCAAGGGAACCAGCTCGATATCATGCACACCTGATTGTCTGCTGGTTGACGCGCTGATCAAGACTGAGTCCAATGGAGAAGAGCAAAGGACAACTCGACGCGCGAAAAACAATGACTCTCTCGGGAACTTTAAATCGCCTGTTTTGTGTCTAAGCGTTGCTAGACACGACAACCTCATATTTGGCTTGGTCCTTGGTGTCTCCGAGCGACTGCCCAATGCTTGGGAAAGACTTGGCACATTCGCTGCCGGTACTGAAGCCATGCAGAACGCCAATGAGCAAGAAATTATGCTCGTATGACCTGTCATGAACCTGAGTTCTAGACGTCTTGGGGGTGGGTCGTGTCACGTGCGTTCGCGACTAGCGAGTCGGCGGTCGAAACATATTGAAACATCCCTAATGTCGCTAACCACTCAACGGTCCGGCCCCTAAATGATCGACCACTCAGCACTGGAGGTGGCTTCCGCGCGATCTCTCCACGAGTGCGCGCACAGCAAGTCTCCGAGAAGGTTGGCGTTTGTTTCCTTTGGCCAACGGGCGTTCAGTCCTGGTGTAAATGGCATGTTTCATGGTCAATCTTGCTTATATGCCTGAGGGTATCCGATGATGTAGGCGTTCTGGCTACCTCACGATATCCTTAGGATTTCTTACATTCTTTTGTCGCCTTGCCCACAGTGCTTGATCGCTGGTCGTTGTTTTTATTTCTATTGTTAATCTGTAGATCAGTCATTCTTTAAGCAACATGTTGCACTCCACACTCCTTCTTTCAGTCCTCGCGAGCGCGTTGGCAGCGCAAGCCTCACCGCTGCTTGCAGATTCATTGCTTCCCAGTTTCGCACTTGTGACACCGGGTGCGACCATCGAACCTCCTAGTTCGACTGCACCAAAGATTACACCTACTTCGAGCCCGGTAGACAATGACCAGCCGGATCCATACAACTCCTCCATCCAGCTCCCGGCAACTCTATCGTTCAATCCCAGTCAAGCACCTGCTTTCACCGCGGAACCAGGCGAGCCCGACCCTTCCTCCAACGTAGCGTACCCGAGCACGCCATGCTCTACTCTGGCCACTGTCACACCTGCCCCTATCCCAATCGATGACGACCAGCCCGATGCCTCCAACTCGTCCGTCCAACTCCCGGCATCCGAATCCTTCAACCCCAGCAACGCACCCGCATTCACCGCAACCTCCGGCGGCGTTGATCCCTCATCCAACCCAGTATACGCCAGCAGCACACCCTGCTCGTCCAAAGTAGCATCCACTGCAGCTCCCAGCATCGCCACACCAATCGAAACAATGACTACAAAGACTCCTTCAAACGGCAAAGCCACTCTCTCTTCATCTTCAGCAGCTGCACCAACACCAGCACTCAAAGACGACAAAACACCCTCCGACGCCACAAAGCCTACGCCATCCAAGCCCACACGCTCTCCCGTCCCAACTAGCAATCGCCCATCCTACCCGATCGGCGGCTCAGGCCCCGCTGGCATCGATCATCCTAACAAGCGTCCCGCGTTCGGTTGGGGTCGTCCGCGTCCCGCTGGTGCATGGCCCGGTCGCGTTGCGGGATGGCCAGTTCGTGGGTCTGGGAATCGTGCGAAGCCGACTCCTGTGAGGCCGGTTGCTGGGAAAGGAAAGGGAGAGGGAAAGCCGACGAGCACGCCGTGCAGTACGCTTCAGACGAGGGTTAGGGCTACGCCTACGGGAATGTAGGGTAGTTTAGAGAAGGAAGAGGATGTATTGGCATTTGCCGTTTCTTTGATTTGATATCCCATTTTGCATCTACTTCTTTTGCCCTTGTATTACGCGCATTACTTTTGAGAAGGGATGGACCGTTCATAATTTATTTTTACCGTGACGTGTCTGGTTTTCTAGCTTAAGAGATATCTGAAATACAAGACAGCTAACTGTACGACTAATTTGCGAATCTCGGTACATTGAATCCTCTTACTTTGACTTCAGAATCTAACTTGTTCTTTCTGCTGGTTGGTGTCTTTTGGTCTGCAGACGGTGCTGCTTCCGTCGACGTTGGGTTTGCTTCACAAGCAATCCGAAACGTTTACAATCCATCATCGGTCTCGTCATGACTCGGCTGACTCGCTTCCTCATCTGAGTCTCCGTCGTCTTCCACTACACCTCCATCTTCCTCATCAGTTGTGTACCACCCGTCTCCTTCGCTTTCGTAATCATCCGGCCAATCTGAATCGCTCTCAGAATCGAGTTCGGACTCTGATCCAGACTCCGAATCGCGATCATCGGCCTCCTCTTCGCCTGCCTGCTTCAACCTCACACCAATTCTCTGTAACTCTGCCTCGTAGATATCCTTTTCGACTCGTCGCTCCGCGCGAACGGCTCTCATCCGCGGTTTCCAAACTCGGTTCATGAAGGTTACGAACGGCTTGGTGTATGTGGCCCATTTGAGTTCAAAGTCCGTGGTCAGATTTTCGAGAAGTTCGATGTCTTCTCGCTCAAGATCATATATGACTTGTGCTTCTTCTGATGTCGGACGGTAGGATTTATCTCTAATTTCCTCTCGTACTCGATAGCAGCAGGTGTGCGTGAGTGATAACGCGTCAAATGTCAAGACGCGAAGTATGGCTGAGCTCATCCAGGTTGCAGTAAGATTTTTCTGGGCGAGACGGAAGATATGAGGCTGTATTGCTCGATGAATTCTTTTGCGTGTTTGCCTTAGGCAGGACCGGATGGACCCTGAAGACTCCCAGTGCTTTGCTAAAGCGCCTCCAATAACACGGCAGCCTTCTTTTGAACAGTAACAAACACAACTATCCGGATGTCCGAGAAGCAGAAGGTCACTCACCTTTTCTAAGAGCCCAGTGGACTCATATAGGGCAGCTGAACGAACGAATTTTCGTACATATACGTGGATTGGTGTAGTAAGGAAGATCGGATGGATCCAAAATGCTCGGGCACCGTGTTCCAACAGCCATCTGAAGATGGATAGCTGTGGTAAATATTGAGGACCGGGCCCTGACCAGTATGCATTACACCATAATGGAGTGCCGTAGTGCCGGACGATGTTGCATCCGTCATGATGGAAAATACATCCCATAGAATTCAAGTTGCGATGGCCAAACTTCCAGAGGCTTTCTGCGCCAGGAAGGCTAAGGTAGCCATGGTACAAGTACATCTCACTCTCTCCGGCATTGCTCGATCCAGGGTCTTGAAATGCGGCCAACGAGTCGTTAGGGGGAGATAGAAAACATACTAAATCATCGAACACTTTGGGCCATTGAGTTCTTTCCAATCCTCTCCATTCACTCGAAAACCAGCTTTGGTTGGTCTGTATCCAATCTTCTTCGGTGACTTGTAGGTTTAGTGTTAGTAACACTACCATTGACCGCATGGCCTTCATGTGAAGAGCAGCCCTCCATAAGATTGTGGCAAGACTACTGTCATCATCTGCCAGACCTTTCGAAATCAAGGCCTCGATGCCCTGCGACCATGCTGCTAGAGCAAACAAGTTCTTAACCTCTGCAAGCCTGTGTGTTACATCTTCTCTAATGTGCGATGTAATGAAGTTGCAAAATTCGACTTCTGATCGACGCACAATCGCCAGGTACAGATCGTCATCTTCGTCAAGGGCTGGAGCAGGTTAGACAAAACACACATGAAATCCAGTAAATAAGTCTGTAGACTCACCAGAGGTAAGCTCTTCAGATTTCAGAAGCTCTGATAATGAATCGTACAGTTGTGAGTTCGCGTGGGGGTCATTGTTTTTGGGAGTATATAGTGACCAGTCGCCAGTTCGTCGTGCTAGATGACGCAAAGTTTCATATTCAGCTCTCCCAGATGAATTAATTGAAACATTCCACTGAAAACTCACGATGGGTGTACTGTATTTGTTAGCCTTGTGTGGGACAGGGTGAGAAGCTTACAAGCCCCATGCGTTTGGCTGATTGAATGGAACGCTTCCCGTCAAACAAATGTCTAATAGACTTTGTACTCCATCGATGAGATCAGTCTGGGGACAAGAACGAATAATTGATACGTAAATAAGAGTTAAGACAGCCTGCTTTGATTAGGAGTGTCTTGCTGAATTTCGCGAAGGAATTCACATGTAGAATGCTGTTGCCATGTTCGTCGATGTCCAAAGGACTGAAGTCTTTACCCAGGGTAGCTTGAAGCGCCATGGCTGTTTCTGATAGGATTTGTGTCATTCTCTCTCCGTCCTTTGGCTCCCTGAAACGTAATGCAAGGAGGGACCTTTCCGCATCATTAAAGATCTTGAAGGCACCCGTGTCCTGCGAAACAACAGCAGTATATCTCAGCATGGGAGCTATGGTATTCCAGCCTTTCGTTCTTGAGCTTTCCCATCCCACCTGGATGCAAGCTTGTAGAACCTTGTTGTATACCATGAATTGGGCCGCAACCGATCGCATGTGGTCCGAAGCTGCAAATTGGGTACATTCTGTATCATGCTGATATGATCCCACCGAGAGTATAGACATCCAGCGGCGGCGTTGAAACGATTGCTTTTTCTTTGTACGGCATCGACACAGTGGAAGCAGACTGTCGTTTGCACCAGCCCTTTCTAACTCGAGACTGTGGGAGTTATAGCTTTCCAAGGACGACTGGACGTGGTGTTGAACGTTCCCAAGAGTTTCGATAGCATCGGCAAGGATCAAAGGGGCTACGAGAGCTGGATCGTGAAGAGATGAGACGCTGCGTGCCTGTTGGACATTCAGTATTCGTAACCATGAATTCTGAGTCAACATGAGCACTTACGACAAGTTCCAGCTTGCTTCCAACAATTTTTGTGCAGGCAGATATGTGATCTCGCAAGTCCACCATTTCGCGGGATAATGCAAAGTCGTGTTGGCGCTGCGCTTGAGAAACATCGTTCACGCCTCGATGTATCACTTTCAGGACGCTCGCTTGGCTGATCAGGCTCTGCTCCATGCTTGTCGCCTGGTGCGAAATGGCATTCAGTCTTGGAAGTTGGTCATCCAGTCTCCGTGCGATGCCATCGAAGCCAGCACACTGTAGCGCCAGGCTGAGATTGTCTTGGAACCTACTCAAGGTCGCTTGCATATCGGCGAGTGTCTCCTTCCGGTATGGCCAGATGAGTCTCTTCTTGACATCTCGCAAGCGGGATTGGATGCTTTCTGTCTGTTTCGTGGTGTTGCACCTGTCTGCCATCGCCTTCAGCCTCGCCAAAGCGTCCTCACAAGCTTTTAGCGCTATATGCAGCTGCGACGACGGCACATTGTTGTCGATTTCGAAGCGATCCTTCACCTGTCGCAGGCTTTCGAGGATGCTCTGTAGGCCTTCGACTTCCTGTAATACGCTGTCAATGTCATCGTGGTAGCCTTTGTACTTCGAGTAATAGTTGTAGAGGATTTGGCAAGTCTGTATCCCGAGTGATGTGATGCCCACAGCTGTCCCAGCGACCGAGAAAGGGTCGGCCATGGTCTGTCGAGGAAGGTAGTTTTGACGGTAGGCTAAAGAGCGGGGCTTCCAAGCAGGATATATGAAGGTGCGGCACGAGGCTGAAAAGACCAGGAGTAACGTGCATCCTGCATGGCTTTGTGGCTGTGTGGTAAGCGACAAGGTTGACTGATAGGCTGAACTCTGTTAGGTTTCAGACTTGTTGACGCAGCTTTTGTCTAAAGAGGCAGCGACGACATCTGGAAATCCAGATGTCTACACCTCGCCAGCCTTGGAGGTGGGCACACCTCGGGCCTGCACGCGGCCTGATTACGTGCTCTACATACAACACATCACACCACGGATAAATAAACACCCACTCTCAACGAAGACACTGCGATGATTCCAATTTCCTATCCTGCTCCCAAATACTCATAACGCCTCACATCGCTTTCGCGGATCCCTAAACACCATGCTAGCCATGCAATATACCTCTAATAATGCTACTTGCCAGTCCAGTTCCCAACCACCCAAGGAAACGCCCTGACGCAATGCAAGATAAAACATAGGAAATAAATAAAATATACGCCGATTACACACCAGTCCAGCCCCGCCGCCTCCTGACAGTCGCTACGTAGCCGTTTGCCTTGTCGCTTTCGGCGGCAGGATCCTACTCCTTGCGGCCGGCTGTACTAAGCTCGCCACCGCTTGTCTCTCTGCGCCTGCGGACAATTTGCAGGCGTGGAAGAGGAGGGGCGTTGGCGACGGGGGCGTCGTTCTCGCCGCTGACGTTGACGTTGCTTTGACGGCGGCGAGAGACTGCTTCGCTGAGTCGACCTTGGCGGGCTTTGGGGAGGCGGGAAGAGCTCGTCGGAGGACGGTTGCTCGCATCAATACGCGCAAGAGACGATGCTGCGTCGCGAGATGGCGGGCGCGAAGATTGACGAGTTGATGTCGGTGTACCTGATGGACCTAGCGCGGCGAAGGAAGTCGAGGAGCGGGCAAGGACTGGTGGTTGTTTTGTGCGGCCAGATGATGCTGGCGCGGTTGGGTCCTCGGCGAGATCCCACATTGTTGCGGATTGGCTTCGTGCGATGCGATCTCTACCGCTGCCTGCATGCGTAGGCGTTCCCGACATGATCGGGATAGTGAAGGAGCCCTTCAGGCTGTTGGGTGTTGGGGGCGTTAGACCCATGACTGAGCTCACGAGAGTCGATCCTGAACTTGAGCCAGAGCCATCCCGACGGCCCGCAGATGAGGCAGGTCGCCTGAGATTCATACCGACGCCCGAAGCACGGGATAAGCTGCGCTTACCGGTTGAGCCGGTACCGATGCTGTTGAGATCGACTTCATCACAAGCACGCACAAGCTCTTCTGCCATTTGCCGTACTAGGACGGCACCATCGTGCTCCACGAGCCAATTAATACGCTCGTAGCAGCCGAAGGCCCGAATGAGCCAGCACCCTTCATCCTTCGCATCGCAAATGGTGCGCAGGATACGGAGGAGATTCAGACGTGTAACAGCGTCCTTATGACCAAGCCTTTGCTCGGTCCGTTGGAATATTTCCGGTGCTGCAAGTGACGCAGCGATCGGCGGAGATAGACGAACCAGCTTTTGAAGTGGTTCGAGCATGTTCTCAAATGTTGATTGAGAAAGCTCCGCCGAAGTGTAAGCGGAGATGATTGCGGTCGTGAAGTTGGTTTGTGATGAGAGAAGGTATTGCTCAACACGGGCGGTCTCTTCCTGGAGCCTGCGTGTTATGTTAGCTTCACGAAGTATGTAGAAAATGGGATGTAGTCAGTACGTACCATACAAAGATAGCATCCAGGGCCGTCACCGCCCAATTGCGGTCATGCAACAACGACACATAGAATGCAAGACCTTTAGCGTCCCACAGCATCTTACGAGCAACCTTGCCCGAATTGACCATCTCAAGCAGTACTGGTAGAGCGAACTCCTTCAATGGACCGCCTTCACGCACCACATCCTTCAATAAGGGTATGATGTCTGAAAGTGCCGCCTCTTCCTGTCTGCTCTTGTTGTGGCGGCACAGATTGTACATGGTGTTGAGGATCTGGTTCGATATTTCACGATGGAAAGGTGGTAGTCGTGCAGGGTCGGATGCGGATCGGTTCATGTTGCGGGTCATTGCGTCCTTCTGGCGTGTGGACTTTAGTAGTTCGATTAGGATGTCAATGGCGTTGGAGTTCTGGAGCGCTTCGTGGGTCGAGGAAAGCGAGCTTAGGTTTTTGATGAATTTGAGCATGGTTATCTGATGGGGCGGAGACATCTTTCGAAGATCTTTGAGAACACCTGTTTTCGTTAATGAAATGTTGTTCGGGAACAGCAAGAAGGAATGCGTTAGCACTTACGTTTCAGAATCATACGATCCGCCACAAGGTCCTTCACGTGGCTTTCTGCCTGTGAGAATGTGAGGAATATGTGCACGATGCGTCCAACAATGAGCTTCGCAACCTCTCCGTCTTCCTCCACCATTCTGTTAAGGACCAAACTGAGTGGATACAAAACACTCGATCTCGAGAAGATGCGACAAAAGTCGTTCTTGGGTGTTGGTCCTTGTAGCTCGAACACACCATATACACCATTGACCCCGATAAGAACGAGGTCGCGTTCAGCATCAATGTCTTCTTCAAGAAACTCCACCAGAACATCGATTCCACCACAGCCGATGAACATCTGTAGTGTGAGTGTGCTTGTTTGGTACATCTGCCGTACGAAAGCGGCAGCCTCCTTGCGGATGTCGCTGGGGTACTTCTTGTAGGCAAAAGCAGAAATAGTTGATATACCTCCCAGAAACGACAAGCTTTCTTGTGCTTCTGAGTCTTCAAGAATGATGAGGTTGATAATTTTGAGTAGAGGTAATACGACGTCGTTCGGTGGTTTAGTTCCTAGGATCTCAAGAATTGGCAACATACCATGGCTGCGTAATATGACTGAACGCTTGTCCGGTGACTCGTACAGTACTTGTAGTAGCTGATCGGCAATATCTAGAAGTACATCGTCCGGCTGGCTGGTCTTTAAGCACCCGACAAGGTTCTCGGTCATCTTTGTCAGTCGATCATCGCGGTCTCGAGCAACATTGTTCTCCAAATTAAGGTTATCCAAGCCTTCATCAAGGTTGGCGAACGGGTCCATGTCATCTTCATCCGCAATGACAAATGAGCTGGCCATCTTCGATGTGATCATGGCAAGGCTGCTATGTTCACTACCACTATCGCTCTCGGCTCGACTAGTGACAACGTGGGGATGTCTGATGTCACCGAAAACATCTGAGAAATCGTCGCCCTCGTCCTCGGCGTACTTTTGAATCTCGATTTCCGATTGCGTCCTCTGCAATTTACGAGTCGAGGTCGAACTCGCTGAGCGTTGTCGGACGTTACCGCTCGACCTGGCATCGCGCGTTGCCTTCGGCGGCGCTTTCAAATCACTCGGATGGAACAGGCGGGGTGAAAACGACTCTGACGGAGAACCAGAAGCTGCTCTCGAGAGTTGTTGGGACTGTGCCAGCGCTGGTTGTGTATACTGCATTGCAGCGAGTCTCCGCTCGAATGCATCCTCGTCTGTTGGCATCAAATCCGAATAGTCTTCGATAGAGTCTTCGCGGAACAGCTGACTAGGTCGGGCCAGAGCAGCCACTTTTGTCTTGGGAATTTGCGCTGCTTTGGGAATGCCACGGAGATACGCTGTCTTTGGTTGAATGTCTTGTCTTTCTTCGATTTCCGAGGCATTTGATGTGGATCTTGAAGGAAGGACTGTCGCCCGTGCCTTGGCGTCATTGGCTTTTGCACTTCCCGACGCTTTCGTTGCAAAGCCTTGTGGTGTTTTCTGGAAGTGCTGCAAATTCAGTGGGCTCTTCACCGTGGCTTCACCGTCTCCATACTCTGCCTGTTCTGCAACACTTTCAAAACTCGCGAAAGCCTTCAACCTGTCGCTTGAAAACAAGCCACCAAAGTTGTCATGAGGCTTTAGGTGCGGCATCTGAAGTGCGCGAGGAGAGATGCTTTCAGCAAAGTCGTCATCCCAATTGTCGTCGTGATCAAGCTCAGGCGAACGAAACGATTCGGCGGTGGGTCTGTGTTTGGGGATATTAAGATTGACGTTGACAGGGTTTTTGCGAGGTGCCGCTGCAGGGCCGTTTGCCGGGGTGGGACTATTTTTCGGTGCACCCGCTGCCACGCGAGAACTCCGCCGAAGTGAATTAGGGGACCTGAGAGCCTCATTCCACTCCTGCACGGACTTCACAGCTTCCTGATATTCGGTGGGCTTGGTGGGGACTGCGGGAACGGTCCGCTTGGCGCTCATGATCCAGGGGTGCTTGAGCAGACGTTTGGCGGATATGCGAAGCGTAGGGTTCTTCTGGAAGCATTCCATGAGGAACTCGCGCAGGAGCTATTACTGTCAGTGTGCTGCTATAGACAAGGTAGGATAGATCTTACCGGAGATGCACTACCCGGGATTGGTGGGTGTTCGTCATTGACAATCCTAAACAGCGCTTGCATGGGCTGCAGCTTGTGATATGGCGGCTTTCCTTCGATCAGTTCGATGACAGTACAGCCCAAACTCCAGATGTCCGAGGACGTGGTAGCTCCAGATAGCTCAATGACCTCCGGAGCCATCCAATACGGTGTTCCAACGACGCTCGATTGGTCCAGACCTGACTGCTTCGTAGCAACACCAAAGTCTGCCAGCTTGACGAGTCCCTCCTTTGTAGTCAAGATATTTGCGCCCTTGATATCCCTGTGTATTACACCTTGCTCGTGGAGGTAGAGAAGACCATGAAGGGCCTGGGACATGTAGAGAGCGACGAGGTTTTCCGGGAACTTGCCGAAGTTCTTGCAAATGCTGTGCAACGACCCGTTTTCGCAGTATCTGCAAACATTAGCCCCTTGCTCGACGAGATGCTTGCAACAAAGATGCAATTGGGCAGTGCTTACTCCAGTATGATGTACAGGCTCTCTGAGCTCCTCACAAAGCCGTTGTACTTGACAATGTTTGGGTGGTTCAGGTTCTTGAGCAGGTCAATCTCCATCTCCATGTTCTTGAGGTCCGCTGCGCCCAAGTTTTCCAGGCGGACCTGCTTGATGGCGACCGTCTCTCCCGTGCCCCAATTCAGCGCCCGGTACACGCTGCCAAAGGCGCCCTTGCCCAGACAGTCTCCCAGCTGAAAGTCCTTGAGACCGGCCACGTCCTGGGCGGCCTTCTGGGCGGTGCCTTCCCGACTCGGGCGCTGTTCGCGTTCACGTGGCTGGCCATTGTGGTTGGAGGAGCTCGACGACTTCTTTGCGTGGCCCGGCGTGTTGGACTGCGACGTGGATGCTTGCGATGAGCGCGAGTTCGAGGCGGCGTGTGAGACTTTGTTAGGCGCATGTGACACCATCTTCACTCTTTGTCTTGGGCCAAGACCGGCTGCAACTATTTTCCGCCCCTAAGCCGGGTCGTGATGCTGCCTGTGGTGTGGGCTGTTGGCGGTGTAGGAAGCTTCGCGGAGGCGCCTCGCAGTGTGCCCGGTGCATGTCCCTCGTCCAATGCCCGCCAAAAAGCTGCCAAAGAATGGACGTTAATGCTCCCGGTGTTGATGTTTGCCCATGCGCGAGGGTGCTATGGGCATTGGCGGGGTCCGTCTCACGCCTGGTCGGTAGTGGCAGCTGCTATGGATTGGGGATCCTGGCCTCGAAACCGCACGTCCAAAGTGCCAGCGAATCCTACGATGCCGTGCCGCCTGTTCAATACGCCCGCGGATTCAGCAGCTGTCGCGTCCTCCAGGTGAGCAGCTGCGCATTCTCACGTGCGGCGTCCGGCTGTGAGTTGCGTGTCGAGCGAAGTGAATTCGGGCGAAAAGGGTGTGAAGCTGTCGTTACCCAAATCTCCGCAATAGCTTCCGGCCCACACAGCGACCGTTGCACATCTCGCTTGGCTTGCAACTAACAACGCCTCCATCTTGACGTTTTTTTCCTTTCGTTTGAGTGCCTTAGACATCACGGTCTGAACATGGCACGAGCTTTTCAAAATATTTCCAACGCGTCTAAGATGAGGCGGGACGACTTGCGTTAATTGTCTTACTCTCATAGGGCCGATGGGCGCGCTCTCACGTGTTGCTGCACACTTCCACGATCATCACCCGCGTCCTGCATGTTCAGCTACACCTAGTCCTTGCCCCGCGGCTGCAAATCGCCAACTATGGCGCAGAAATCACATGCAAGCAAGGGCACATCACATCCACCTGAATCCTAGATGAGCATCCGTATTGGTGGGGCAACAATGCGGGGACGGCACGCGAGCTGTGCCATTCGCCTAGGAGGCTAGCTAACGGACCAAGACATCACTCGTGCGGGATTGCATGCTCAACTGGTTCATTCGCCAGTCATTCAGTTTTCCTGTGCATCCATCTATGCATTCGCCATAACTCCATTGCTCCATGCTCGCATCCTTACTGGATCGACCTTAACGGCCAGCAACCACGTTCAGAACACCGCCATCGACAGCAATGATCTCGCCATTGACGTATGTGTTCTTTGTTAGGAACAGCACCGCCTGTGCCATCTCCTCGTCCTGGCCTGCCCGCTGCTGAGGAACGTGGCCCTTCCCCTGGATCTTCTCGTCCGGCACGCTACTCTTCTGGTTCTCGTCGCTCTCCTTTGCTGTCATTTCGGATGGGAAATAGCCTGGCGCGATCGAGTTGACGCGTACACGTATCTTCTGAAACTCGGCCGACATGAGCTTGGTGAGGTGGACCGTTCCACCCTTTGCGGCGTTGTAGCTGAAGTGGCCTTGGGCGTGGCGCATGATACCCGACATGGAGGAGATGACAATGACAGAGGCCGAGAGATGACCGTGAGACTCGGTGCCAGCTTGAAGGAGCGGCAGAAGCGCTACAGTGGTGAAGTATACTGATGTGACATCGGTGTTGTACGTCTCATTCCAGCCCTCGAAGGTCTCGTTGTTCCATAGCTTCTCTTTCAGATCCGTTGCATTCTCCTGGTCTGGCTCGGCCTTCTCGCCGCTGATACCGGCTGATGCAACCAGCAAGTTGATATACTTCTCCTTGGACGCCAGCTCCTGGTACATATGCTCGAGGTCATCTTTCTTGGTGACGTCGCACGGTCCCAGTGGGATGATCTGTCCCCCTCCGTTGGGGCTGTGTGTCTTTGTGGCATTCTCGAGAACTTCCTTGCGACGTCCTGTGATGTACACTTTGGCGCCGTTGGCCGAGAGAGCTTGCGCAGCCATGAGTCCGATGCCACTGCCGCCGCCGGTTACTACACAAACATAGTCTTTGACTGAGAAAAGCTTCTCTGCTCGAAGGTCGCTTGTGTTTGCCATGGTTGTTATTCGCGGCTTTCTGATTCAATCAATGGAGTTCAGAGATTACAGAAATATAATCAGAAACGTCAGGGGGGAGGGTGGGAGATATCAATTGCTGTAAAACCACGACTATGTCATGCTCTGGAAAATTAAAGCTGTTGACCGTTTATGACGTACCCGTTGTACCTTACGCTAAGACCCGGATAGGTTAGATCAAAACACTCATTCTGGACTAGTATACCTTCCCGATGCGCGCAACTCTCAGCCTTAGCTGGAAACTCCACTGCTTCACCTGTTCAATTTTCCACCCGGTTGAAGGAGTGCAGCACGCGAGATAGTCAGGGATCTATCGCGCGCGTTTTGGTTGCCCGACGTCGCGCATCGATTCAGCTCACGCTAACTAGCACGCGTCTGCCTGCGCAACCGGTCAGCTTAATCGGAAGGCGCACGCCGCCTAACCAGAGCAACCACGTGAGCAATCTGCTCACACTGGTTTCAACCTCGTTCGTTCTAATAAAATATCTTCCGTTATTACAAAGAACCGCTTCCTAGGAAGTGCAACACGACTTTGAATATGACCGATATGATCGTCCTACCATCGGCAGGCCAAGCATTGCCTGGGACAACTAGTCCAGAGTCCTCAACTATCGTCACATCCCCAGGAATATGGCCTGAGCCACTCGATACTCCAGGAATAGTTCCCCGCCACCTCAAACGATCGGCAACTACGTCTTTTCCTATCCTTGAAGTCATCCAGCGTATACTATCGCGACTTCGCCCACAAGGCACTTCGAGCGATATTGAGAAGGTCCTCGCTGTTATAGGACTGTATCAGGCAGTGCAACCTGTGTATGGGTTGCTCCGAGACTTCTTCTTCTGGGCATTTACGGTAGAGATCACTGTCGCGGAAAGCGACCCAGTTGCTAAGGAGATCATGGCTTGGATGGGTGCTCAAGTTATACGCACCACTCACGCTCGAAGTGCCATGTTAGTCACAGGTGGCTTGGAGAACACCAATCTCGCTCCTTTCACTCATCCAATGAGATTCTCGCATCCACCTATGGGTGGTGAGGGTGTTGACGCAGAAGTCGCGTGCCTACCATCCATTGGCACTCGCATATTCTGGTAAGTCTTCCGACATGTTAACGATTATTAATAGCCCCTGACATATTCAGGGTTGGGTTTCGGCCATTCTTATTCGCTAGATCTGGTGGTCAGAGCCAACATCGACACATGATCTCCAATAACCCTCTCAACGACCGAGGGCAGCTCCAAAACGCGCTGATGATCTCGACACTCGGCTGGAGTTTGACGCCTTTGCGGAAGTTCACTGATCTCTGCCACGAGTTCAAGCTCAGGAACTTGACGGGAACGACTACAGTCTATTTTGCTGGTGGTAGTTCAGATCCTTATGGCGATGGCTGGCAATCCGTATCAAAGGCTGTGCGCAAGCTTGATACGATTGATATGGACGAACAGGTCAAATCGGATCTCATCAAAGACGCTGAGAACTACTACAGCGAGCAATCGTGAGTAATTCTTGGCTAGTTTCAGCGTGTTATTGGATTTTGAAGGCTGCACCAAACGGACGCGAATGTCTTCAGACACTACAACGAGTGATCACTGACCATATGCAGACGCGGCTTTTTTGCGGATTGCGGTATTCCCTACCGACGTGGTTATCTATTCCATGGCCCTCCTGGCACGGGCAAATCGAGCTTCTCCGCCGCGCTAGCTGGCCACCTGCGATGCGACATATACCACGTAAGCTCTTCTCAGATTGTGAGTACGACCCAGTTGCTAACAACATGCTTAGATCAATCTCGCCTCAGGCGACTTCAGCGATGGTAGCCTCCACCGCTTGTTCCTTGGCCTTCCCCGAAAGTGCGTGGTCGTTATTGAGGACATCGACTCCGCTGGTATTGGCCGCGAACAGGGGCCAAAGAAGAAGCCGCAGCCCGTAGATCTTGACATGTTCGGAGATCTCACATCTATGCCTAGTTACCCCTCTATGCCCGGATTTCCAAAGCCCCCTTCCAATGCCTTCGGACGATGATGCGTACAAGCGGACCAAGCGTAACACTGTGACACTCAGCGGGCTTCTGAACGCCATTGACGGTAACGCGTCTCGTGAAGGACGTCTGCTCATCATGACTTCGAACAACCCGGGACGCCGCTCGACGCCGCACTCATCAGGCCTGGCCGTATCGACAAGAAAGTATACTTTGGGAACATGAGCAAGAGTGCCGGCAAAAGCATATATATGCGCCTCATCGGACGCTCAGCCCTCGCCCACGATGCAGCTTTCACCATGGCCGAAATCGAACAATACGCCACCGAGTTCGCCGACAAAATCCCCGCGAACACTTTCACACCAGCTCAGGTTCAAAACTTCTTGCAGGACTGTCGAGCCGATCCGCTGAAAGCGTTGCGCGAAGTTGACGCGTGGGTAGCCGAGAATCGAGAGAAGTCAGGGGCCATGAGTGCTACAGGTAGCAGCGACATGTCTGCTAGCATCATTTCGCATGTTACGCAGACACCTCCTACGGCGGAAAATGGCAAAGAAGAATTGGCTTCTGAGATCGTTGATTAGAGCTGGATTCACACACAGCACTTTCGTTCCATGATTGTTCTGGCGTAAGGCGTTGAAGATATCCAGGTAGCATAGTCCGCATTGTGCATTCTTGAACTAGCCAAAAAGATGTTTTGGTATACAGTGGATCCGACATAACGGTAGGAATGATAGACGATAGTATATATCAAATGTGCGATGCCTTTTTAAGCAGGTCAGAGGTCCTGGAGATATACGAAGCATAATTGACATATCAGCGAACGTAGTTTGAAGATGGAAGTGACCCAAGAGCCGCCCAAAGATTGCAGTTTGAAAGAGTTTGTCATGATCAAGTGCATGAAGAAACAAGGAAGGGGTCAGAAGTCATCATATCTTCTTGGCGTTGGGAACGTCAACTCGTGCTCTCCTTGTCTGACATCTTACCAAAACGTACTGCATTAGAGAATGAACCACCAAATCAATCGAGCTGGTATGAAACCAGCCATCGTGGTATCTGCTATCGACCGACGGACAGGCGCGAGGCTTGGTCGGCCATCAGTCCAGGCCTGACCACATCATTCACTTCTAAGTTTGTTTCGACATGCCTGATACAAATACCATACGTACTGAGCTCTTGATGATCGCTAGCAAGGTTTTTTTCTTTTATGTGTTCTCGATAATGACACTTTTTCTCTCCATCCTCATTCATTGCACCAATGCCTTTCTTTCGCCCAGTAAAATTTACCCTCCTTGACAAATTTACCCTGCCTCACAATGATTCATGGACTCTGCACATTCAATTCTGCGCCTATCCTGTTTCACCTATCCGGAACATTTGATATTTGCGCGATGTGCACCATTCACTTACAGCTCACCTCCACAGCTTAGCGCGACGGCTCTCTCTGCGATACCGTAGACGATGTAACGCCACCATTACTACTGGAACCTCGCTGCAAAATGCGCCAATCAAGCTTCGTTCCGCAAACACTTCCCGCTTTTGCTGCCACGGTCTGGCTAGTATTCACTGCGTGCTACGCGAACTGATCCGCGTACCGAGCCATCCCGCTATATCCACGAGAGCTCTGAGCTGCGTTCGAAACAACTGTTGCCAAATTCGCGGCTCATCTTTCCCCTTCGTTTAACTTCCGCTAGTTGTATATCCGCTCTCTTAAACTCCTCTACTTGACCACAACCGATCGCGTCAACGTTTTGTTGTAGAGACACAGCTTCTTTTGGGATTGTATCAGAGGCCGAGAAACTTCAAAGCCGATACCATTCTAACATTGTGTCTCTTCATACCGGTTTCGTACTTCTACACTCACTTTCGTTCAAAAGCTCACAACAGTTCCTCTTTGTAAAAGCTTCTACACCTCCACGGATTTCCTACACACAACCATAGCACGGTATGCCACGGAAGACACGTTTCGTCGCGTTCGACTGGTCTTCTCCTGCCAGCAATGCCCCTGACCGTATAGGATTTGATACGCCGCATACATCGCAGACGGGCGCGAACTCCTACGCGCAATCTCCGGATATGCCAAACTCAACTGGCGCACCGAAAGTACCGCTGAAAGAAACCAGAGGCTCAGATGGTTCTCTTTCGGGCTCTCTATTGGACGATACACAAGCTATGCTGGACCTACGACCGCTGGTGAACCCGTTGTCGCTGTCGAGAAGCTCACTGACATCGTTGCAACTTATGAACAATCCACAACCCGGCTCTGGGAAGCTCACCATATCGTCAGATCGTAGTGTATATCCTGGGTCCGCCGAAGCACATTCGCCTATGCATCGCGGATTGAGTGAGGACAATTCCCTAGTCACTCTTTCAAGTGCACGCCTACATCAATCGCCACACCTGGGGCCTTATGCCAGCCCATCTCGTCCTCAGGATAGATTCATGGCTCGCCCAGCCTCATCGTCGGCCCTGCCAGTACGCTCTACCCACATGGACAAGCTCTGGCCGCGTAAACCCATCCAAGAAGTCCCCGTGCCAGGAAAAATCTACTTCGTCCCAGACGGACGCTACTTCCCCTCCTCCATCATCTACGCCCAAAAGCAACAAGTCGGCTTCTTCCGGCACCCTATCCTGATCCTCGACGTCGACTCTACCATCGCCAACTTCTACGCCATGACCAAAGAGCCCCCCGCCGCCATCCGCGACCTAAACATGGCCATGCGGCTCGGTACCAGCGCCGCAGACGAAGGCCCAGCCGTCCTCCGCCTCGCCCCCGGCTCAGACATCATGCTGCAAGAAACCTGGATCAACCTCGAACAGCGCTTCTTCATCGAATGGCGCAACCTCGACGAATGGGCCGTAAACGTCCAAGTCGACGCCGCCGACTTTTCGAAAATCGCAAGCCGCGTGGCAGAGCTTGAAGCTCAGCAGAACCGCTTCATATACAAACCGCTCCTGCGCGCGATGAATGGTATCCAACCGGGTATGGTCATCATGCTGCCCAACCACCCCGGCTCCGCGACTTTCGGCGCTCCGATCATTGTTGTGGAGAATGATTATCCGGACTTCAAGTACTTGCGTGTCAAGCGCTTTGAGGATAACATCAATTTCAATCCGGCTGCTAAGCGCACAAAGGGCAGTGAGCGCCGCATGAGTCTGGCGATAACCAAGACGCTGCGACTGGGACACGACGGCACGCCTGTGATGCTTCTCGAGCCGGAGTCGCCGGCCATGCGGGAGGAGTCGTACGTGGAAGTCCACGCACATCCGCAAGTAGGCCGGCTCGACACATGTAGGACGTGGTGTTGGCCGCCGGTGTGTGTTAATCAGATGAGCATGGTTATTCTGGGGAATTATATGGCAGATGCTGCGGCGGAGTGTCATGGCTATGGCTATACTGGGCCGGTGCGTCCTCGTGGATATCATCAGCCGACCCAGCACGCACACTGGAATCATCATACTGCCATGCAGCAGCCTGGGTACGGCATGCGGGCGGCGATGTTGATGCCAGCATACCCGGCTGGCAACTACATGTATGGGTCATCGAACGTCTTCCAGCATCATGGGGGTTCCGGGAGCGGATATAATAGTATGTGAGCATCTCCTAGAGCTGTGGATTTTACTGACGGGCGATAGCTTAATGCGTACTACTTGACAATATTGGGATTTCCTTTTGCGATGTTTTACTTGTCATCTCCCACGAGATGGAATTGCCGATTTTGGATACGAAATGCATAGCGATAGGTAGTCTGCCTCAGCGTACGGAGCAACATTTTAAGCAGCAACGTACATACCTTGGCAGTAGGCTTTGAGAGAAGAGTTCGAGACCGTGCATAAGTCGTACTCCTGAATAGAGCAGTTCTTTCAAGAGCAAGAAGATTAACCATGACGCGCATACTCCTCGAAATGTAAGGCTCTTCTTGACATTGACAAAGTGAAAAGGCGTTCAAGGCGTTCAAGGCGTTCAAGGCGTGCAAGGCGTTCCGGGAGAAGCGAAGGCTCCCCAACCTTTGCAGGGCTGTTACATGTGAGGCAGAGGCAGGTTCCAGTAGTCATGTCTGTGGAGTTCGGCTTTGGATACGGTGCTTCAAAAGGGCCGAGGGCAGTGCATCTCGACCTCACGACTTTGCCGTCTCTGTACATGAAGTGCGTTGTCTGTATCAAGCCCGGCGCCTCCGGTGCGATGTGATACCATCAAGTCGGCGAATGTACACCGTCGAGTGCGACTCTGCCGCACATGCGCATACATTTAAGCAGCTGACCGCAGATGCTTAAGAAACTGTTAAGACGATATCGAGGCGGTGCAGTGTCACCAGATGCCTTCGCCGCATGCGCCGCATGTGCTGGTACGATAGATGCTGCTGTACGAAGTAGATCAAACTGTGGGTTTTCAGGCGCGTGGTTCTCGAGCATGTCTCATTGGCCAAACGACGATCTTGAGACTGGACAGGCGACCGGTGAAACAAGTGCCTTATGCGCTGCAGGGCTCGGTCAACCTGGAAGGTTAGGCAGAAGATCTGGGGTCCGAATTGTCGAAGTAGCGCGACGCCGCGACGAGGGGAGGGGCACAGCCAGAAGCTTGGCTTCAAGATGGAGACTTGGTGACTTGGCTTGGTGGCGTATTTGCACATGTTCGATGTTGAGAACGTTGGTTCTGACAGACGGACAGTAATAATGTTGTTCCGACGCGACGCTGGACCCTTCAACCTCATTAAACACCGGACCCGGGCCCCGAACTTATGCACACACAAACGACACGCCTTCGATCGGTCGGTCTCGCTCACCCTGAGCCGGCCAAGAGCCAAGATCGACAGGTCCGTCCGCCGGTTGGCACAGCATCATGTCTGCCGATCCACTGTGATCTCGCGACTCGGCAACATCACCCACAGGACAGGCGCCAGCGTCCACTTTCCTGTTTGCCGTCACAACCGGTGCCGTTTACGAGGATGGGGGCTGTGCGCTGCGAAAGACCCTCAAAGGGCTCCGCTTGCACAGGATCGATGGTTACGTTTCGGCTTCATCATTGGAGGGTGCGACGCTTCAGCCTCACGCCTAATGGAGCTTGTTTAGCGGACAGGCCCAGTGATCCCGCGCCTTGGACGCCTGTTACGGCACAGCAGGGCCTGAAGCTAGGCCTAGCATAGGAAAGGCCATTGTCATTGATCCTTTCAGCTATTGTTATATTAGGGAGCGTCGTTTGTTGCGGCGACGGGAGTTCAACCCCAAGCTTTTGGGCTTCGCGACATACACGTCGCCTACCAATCGGTTTCTTCTCTCATTATTGTTGATTGGTTCCAATTGATTCGCTTTTCGTTTTTTGGGGGTTTCTTGCATTGCCGTACCTGCAGGAAGCGGTGTTACATACTTTTTTTCTAGCTTGCGCTCAGGGTCTAATTCACGATGTTCAAGGCCGCGTATTTTCTCGCCTCGGCTGCGCTGGCTGTCGCGCAATCACAAACACAGCAGCCATGCGCACTTGTCGCTTCTCGAATCACACAATCGTCAGCGAGAGATCCTGGCGTTCCTGCACAGGCCGCATTCAGACTGCTTAGACTCAGTCCCGGTCGACACCTCAGGGAATGAAAAGCTCATAGAAGAGTTGAAGACTGTTTGGCAATTCCAATCCGAATTGGTGTGGTTCAAGAATCCCGGAGACGGCTGGGAATACGGTCCATTGGATATCATACAAGAGTTGGACAACGTGAAGAATAGCCTGAGCTCGTTTAAGAGCGAATACGCCGTGCAACTCGCTATACAAAATATTACCGTCCGCACAGGAAACTTCCATTTCAACTACGACCCCGACATCCTTCAGGTATTCCGATTTTCACGGCCCTTGAACGTCGCATCGATTTCATCAGACGGCAAAGCGCTGCCAAAATTGTACGTCCATGATGACGTTCAGGAGTTGGCTGCAGGGCTCAAGACTGTGTCCGAAATTCAGCAAATCAACGGGCAAAATCCATACGACTTCTTGAAGTCAACGTTTTTCTCCCAGTATATTGATTCCGACGGTCGGATGAATAACATGTTCTCCAAGGGCGATACGAACAACCAGGGTGCATTTTCCTCTCAAGACAAGTATGACGGCAATGTCACGGAGATCAAATGGGCAAACGGTTCGACATCATCCATTCCCAACATCGCCACATCGCAATATAGCTTCACAGGTGTAAAGGACGGAAAGAGCTTTTTCGAGAAGTTTTGCACGGGTGCTATAGCCGGCGCAACAACTTTTACAGCCGATGCGGATACGAAAGAGAAGGATATCGGTGCCGTCTCACCCAGCATTCGCGGTCCTGTGCCCATAATTCCTCATGGCAATTACCACACTCGTAATAAGCGCCAGGTCGTGCCCACTGCCACCTACCCGGAAGCTGTGGCTGAGGCAAGCAGTGGTGTTGTGGCTGGCTACTTTCTGAACGGCCAAGGCTACCAGGACGTTGCCGTGCTCAAGATCATTTCTTTCAGCAACCCGAGCGCGAGCGGTGAAACGAATTTCAACAACGATTTCCAGGCCACAATCAAGAAATTTTTGGCTCAGTGCCAGAGCCAAAGCAAAACGAAACTGATCATCGACTTGAGAGAAAACGGTGGAGGAAACACGAACCTTCTGCTCGATGCCTTCATGCAGCTCTTCCCTCAATTGGAGCCGTTCTCTGGTCAACGTTACCGTGCGCACGACGCATGGCTGAAGATTGGCGAGGCTGTCAACGAGATCCGAAGTGACAATTCCATTGCGCGCAGCTACAGGTCGCTCATGAGGGAGACTATCGAGAACACCAACGTTTTCCGATTCTGGGCGTACTGGCATTTCAGGAGGGCCGATGGCACAAATTTTGAAAGCTGGGACGAGTTCAATGGTCCGGTCCAACTGAACTCTGACGAGTTGACGGTCACTATGCGCTACAACGTAAGTTGTCAAGATCCGCACTCACACTCATGACTAGCACTAACAACATACAGTACTCCAGCGCAGACCGCATCTCCATCGTCCCCACAGGCTTCAACTTCGTCAACGGCACCCGCCCATCCATTTTTGATGCTAAGAACGTAGTCATGTTTACGGACGCACTTTGCGGCTCAAGCTGCGCCTCATTCCACGAAGAACTCAAGAACATCGCCGGCGTCCGAGCTGTCACCGTCGGCGGTCTTCCAGAAAACAAGCCCATCCAAACCGTCACCGGCTCCAAAGGCGGAGAAGTCGTTCCAATGTTCACTTTCCCCCAATACGCAAGTGACCTCCTCAACCTCTCATCCGAGATCGGTATCTCTAGCGTCAAAAGCGACGACGCAACTCTCTCCGCACTCGCCAACGTCCCGCGCATCGCCACGCGCGCTGGCGACAGTCAATCCCGCGTGCAATCGCAGGACCAGATCCGCAAGGGCGATTCGAGTGCTACTCCACTGCAGTTCATCTACGAAGCAGCAGATTGCAAAATCTTCTATACGCCCAAGACCTACTCGGACCCCGATCTAGCGTGGAAGCAGGCCTGGGATGCATTCGTCAACGACACGAATTGCGTACCCGGCTCGACGAAACACAACAGCTCGATAAGTGGAGGGTTCAAGCCGTTTGGCGCCGCAGGGCTCACGGCGAACGATCAGCCAGATGCTCCGGCGAGCAATAGTGGCGGGCCAGGCCAGAATGGCGCAGCCGCTAGTGTGAGGGTGAGCGGTGCGCTTGTTGCGTTTGTGGGTGCGTTGATGGCTGCGGTCATGATGTAACACGGACCTCTTGGTTTCCGATGTGATTTATCTGCATAGCGTATTGGTGCATACTGGGATACATACTTTGCTAATTGTTGGCTTCTTTGGATCTATACATGATACCCCCCATTTTAGCAGTAGCAAGATGTCGAATGCATTAGATTTTGAATGCTATATGGTTTGCATTGCAACATCAAATTGTGGTTTTATGTTTTGTACATCATCTACGGCAATTCGAGGTCGTTCGATGTTTGAGACCATCCAAGGTTTTTGCAAGGATTAATGAGGCTGACGCCATCACGTCGTGTCAGGACCATCCAAACGTCCATCGTCTCTTTTGGTGCTTCCAATTGAAGAAGATACTGATATTACCATACGGACTTATCGTGACTGTGCAGCATATGCGCCGTCCGAGGAACCTTATACACTCGTCCGTCTTGTCTCCGGCGTTCCGCCGCTGCATTCGAGCGGGGCGACGTCATCGGCTGCCTAGGTCGACATCGCAATGCCTTCACCGCGGGGTTTACGGGATTAACAACACCCAACATTTGGTAGGCGTTACGTAGAAGTGATGGTATAAAGCTATCGCAGGGCTACATTTTTTCAATAGTATCCAAGAGTGAAAACTCAACACCATCTCGATCAGTACACACATATCTATCTACTCCTTCTCACAATGACCATCCCCAAAGCCCCCCTCGGCGCCAACGGCCCCCAGGTAACCCGTCTAGGCTTCGGCCTCATGGGCCTTTCTGTCTTCTACGGCGCCGCAAAGCCAGACAGCGAGCGTCTCGCCCTGCTCGACCAGGCGCACGCACTCGGCGAACTCTTCTGGGACTCGTCCGACATGTACGGCGACAACGAGGACCTGCTGGGAAAATGGTTCGCCGCCAACCCATCGAAGCGGACTGACATCTTCCTCGCGACGAAGTTCGCGGTCAAGGAGGGCCATGTGATTGACAGCTCGCCCGAGTACGTCAAGGTGGCGTGCGCGCAGAGTCTCAAGAGACTGGGCGTCGACGTGATCGACCTGTACTATTGCCACCGCGTGGATCAGAAGACGCCGATTGAAAAGACAGTGGCTGCGATGAAGGAACTCAAGGACGAGGGCAAAATCAAGTACCTGGGTCTGAGCGAAGTGTCCTCCGCTACGCTGCGGCGCGCACACAAAATCCACCCCATCTCCGCCGTCCAGGTCGAGTACTCGCCGTTCGCACTCGACATCGAGAGCAAGCAGATCGACCTGCTGCGCACGTGTCGCGAGCTGGGCGTCGCAGTCGTCGCATACTCGCCTTTGAACCGCGGCATGTTGGCAGGCGCGCTCAAGGGGCCCGAGGATTTCGAAGAGGGGGACTTCCGCGCCTTCGCGCCGCGATTCAGCAAGGAGAATTTCCCGAAGAACCTCAAGTTGGTGGACCAGTTGAGTGCGATTGCGGCGAAGAAGAATGCTACGCCGTCGCAGTTGACGCTGGCGTGGTTGATGGCGCAGGGAGAGGATATCTTCCCGATTCCCGGCACGACCAAGTTGGAGCGGTTGAAGGAGAATTTGGGCTCGTTCGATGTCAAGCTTAGCGCGCAGGAGGAGAAGGAGATTAGGAAGGCGGTCGAGGAGGCAGAGGTCGGTGGTGAGAGATATCCTGAGAGCTTCATGAAGATGTGTTATGCGGATACGCCGCCCCTGAACGAGTAGGGCACAAGCTCCGGATTGGAACAGACTACAGATGTCTTTGGAGGTTCGTAGAAGGTTTACCAAAATATCCAAAGGTATCATATTGAGGGATCATATTGCATTAATAAATCAAGTGACGCCGGTTATGCAACACTACGTTCAGGGCACCCAGGAATCATCTACACCCATTTAGTCTTAATAATCAGGCCTGAGAATCACATCCTTCAGGCAGACAACGACGTTCTTGAAGAACCGCCGCCACTCTAGCGGATCACCGCTCGCCTTCACGAATCTAACCTCATTGTACTCCGCATTCTCGTACACGGCCCTCTCAACAAGTATATGTCCATTGAGCCCCTGTCGTCGCCCGTCCGCCATCTTCACCCGGATGCTCGCGCAACCGTTCTCTTCGGCCTGACCTATATCATGACTCGTGAACGAAGGCGCCGGTACACCGAGTCTGTGCAGAGCTTCGAGGAGGAGCGGAATGAGCAGCGACATAGTACGAGGTGAGATGAAACGCGCGAGCGAATGGGAAGGCATAACGTCTGCAAAATTCCGTGCAGCTTGTGTAAGTGTCATGGGAATACCCTGCGTCTGAGAAAACTGCGTCATGCTCGGATCCTGCGAAAGCATGTCTTGTGTCGAAGGGGGTAGCTGGGACATAACTGGAGCCTGAGCGTGATATGTTTGTTGTTGGCGATCAGATACAGGTTGTGAGGCTGAGATACCGTCGTGAGAAGCGAGCCGTGCAGGACGTTCCCAGTCAAAAGGTGTGTCTGCTATTGGCGTTTCGGGCTGTGTGGAAGAAAGTAGGTTGATGGCGCTCGATCGTCGAGGATCAGAGTCAACTTCCATGGCATCAGGGTCCTGCGAGAAGCCGCGCTGTGACTGAGCTGGCTCGCGTGTGAAGTCGATGCGCAGTTGCGATAACATTTGTGTGGCCAGACCGACTGGATTCGTGCTTCGCCCAGATGAAGAAAGGTATGGATTCTTCCGCGTGAACCACGGATGTGTCCGGATCTCGTCGAGGGTAAAGCGCTCGGCTGGGTCGATTTTAAGCATTCCTCGTAGCAGCGACACTATGTCTGCCGGAAGCTGTTCCCACAGCTCGTCTGTCGTATGCCCTCCAGTCTCAACATACTCCTTGAACTCTTCGCTGCGCATCGTTGGCTCGTCCCAGGGAGTGTTGCCAACCAGAAGCACGAAGAGCACGACACCGCAGCTCCAGATGTCGCAGATGTTCGGCATGTATCCCACGTCTAGCACGTCCGCCCTCTTACTTCGACGTCCACTGACAATTTCGGGTGCGATGTACGGTGGCGATCCACACACTGTGTTGCAGACGCGAAGTTGCCCGTCCTTCTTGAACAGCGCCGCAAGTCCAAAGTCGCTCAACTTTAGATCACCCTCGGCACTCAACAACACATTCTCGGGCTTGATGTCCCGATGCGCAACGCCCATCGAGTGCATGTATCCAACCGCACTAACCAACTGGGAGAAGTAGAAATGCGCAATGTCGACTCCAACACCCTCGTCTGCCTCGATCTTGTCAAACAAGTCTCCTCCCTCGGCGAGTTCCATGGCTATCCAAGTCCATAGTGTGTCTTCGCCAGAGCCCAGACAGTGTATGATATGCGGGTGCTTCTTCAGGTGTGAATGTAGTATGATCTCCATCTTGATCATCTTGGGCGTGAGCCGGCCGGTCTTAAAGGCATGTTCTTTGTTGATGAATTTGATAGCGATGACTGGCTTTGGTGCGTTGACGGGTACGGCTCTGCGGATGGAAGCGTATGCGCCTTGGCCGATGGTTTTGCTGACGAGACGGAAGGGGAGGTTTGTAGGGAGAGGCGCAACCTGACTCTGTGCGGCTGTTAGCGGAATTCTTAAATTCTTTGAGTGTATACGGTCATCGTCTCGTCGTCGCACGACTCTTGCGCGCCGTGCGCTCGCGACAACTTACTCCAGGCGGCGCGGGCGCCATTTTTCTTGTCGATTGAGCTGAGCGCACTCTTGCGGGGTAATGATCGATAGCACAACTCTTTGCGGTAACAGTGTTTCCAAGATTCGAATTGTGATAAGTTCGATTGCTGCCTAGTCACATCATCGTCCGAGTCACCTCGAGCGCGTCGTTCCAAAAACACGCGCTCGGACCAATGTTCCACGCGACTTCCTGCAGCAACCTAACGCCTGCTCACGTGCCATCCCGTCCCACCTCAGATCCATCATCTAGAGATGTCACCACCACACAGCTTTCTCGATCAACGTTCGTAAATAGCCTACGAGCAGCAATGGCATTCACGATGAAAGCATACAAAGGTAAGGGAAACTGTGACTCTCATTGCCTCAGCTAGGTACACAAACCAAATAATACCCTTTGAAAGTCTGCCTGCCCAAGCAGCACACTAGGCCCGACAACTCACACCGTATTCATCACACCGTATTCATCACCGTGTTCATCACACCACCTGCACATTGTCGAACTCCGGACATTAGACTTCCAAGGTTCAATGTAGTCTCATATCCCAACTAGGCCACCATAAAAAGTGTCGAGGTAAGATCTTCCTAGTGCACTTCATGTCTCGCATGATCCTTGCGTATCCCTACGCCGGTATTTCTAGACACGGACATGAATTGATGCGCTGCCCGGTGCCGAGTCTACGCGTAAACCTTTTTATCAGATCATGACAACGGATGTCCTGTCCAAGTGCTGCACCAATCACGTGCAATCCTCCACACTCCAAAGCGCCTCTTCACAACCTTAATCCAACAACATCTTGCCTTACCTGCCTGCGATGCATGCGGTGTACGCTACGTACGTGATTCTTGACGTTACGGACGAAAGCTGTTTCCCGAGTCATGTTAATATGTAGAGTGACATGCAGCTAGCCTATAACAGCGGTGAAGCCGGAATGGGACGATGGGATCACGGCACTGCATTTGGGTAGATCTCGCAAGCATGAACCCTACCGCTGCACACAACGTGTCGATCACGCTTGGCGGAGCGACGAGACAACCTCATCTCAAACACCAAACCAGACAAGCTTGGAAGACATGTAATCAACATCATCCATCTTTCGTACTCCGCCATCTGTCAACCCAACACCTACTGTATCCCCAACACCCGCCCTCCGCCAAAAACACGATCCGTTTCACGCCTCTCTCATCGGACCGTCACCGCGGACCTTTGTTGGCACGCCCACGTCCCCGGGTCCAGCAACGGCGCCGAACCACACCAGCATGAACCCTCGGGCACCCATCGATCTCGCCATGAAGATCGCACAACGGGCGCCCCGAAAACCCGCGGATACGAGCGCGTCGCTGTTCACCGAGAGCGATGGAAACTCTACTCTCTAGTGTGGAGAAAGTAGTCGTGATCCCACGCGACGTTCGGCAACGGAACCTTATTTTCGCTGCGCGGAGAGAGAGAGAGAGACAAGCGTGCCTGCGTGGAGGTAAGGCGTGTGAAATGCAAGCCAAGTCAGTGTACATGGAAACACGACTGCGGCATGGATCTGGCCAAACCACACTTCTTCTCAAACACAAACTACAACCATACATCCCTCCCACATCATCTACCCAACTCCTCTCAAACCCACTCCAGCCTTGTACACCCTACCCCACCCTTCTTTCGCCTCATCATCAATCCTCATCCCATCCCATCCCATCCCACCCCAAACACCCAATCCGGCCTTCTCGCCGTCCCGCCGATCCCCAATCCCTTCCACCTCCGCCCCAATCCGCTTCGCGCGGAGTATACTCCCCCCCTATCGCACCATCACTAAACACGAGAAAAGACTGCTTCTCTTACTGCTACCTGGACTCCACCGCGCGCAACGTCAGGGCGTGACAGCTTGGCGTTGGCGTGGGCGGTTATTTCTTTGCTTTGCTTTGCGAGTCGGGCCGAGTGAACGAAGGGGGGGCGAAAGGTATACAGTGGGCTTTGTTGGTTTTAGAGGACAAGGTTTCGGACGGCGGGTTGTGCGAGTGGGTAGGGTAAGGACAGAAAAAGTAAGGTTTGGGAAGCAGTTTTGCAGCGCACGTGTTTGGCGCTGCGATTGGGTTTGAGAGTGGAGGCGTGGCTTGGGTGGGATCGCGATGGGCGAGAGCAGCGTCTTTGTACGTTTTGTACCTAGGCAACTGTAGTGTATGTGCATGTGCACGTGAAGGGAGACAAGACGATTGTTATGCATGGTATTCATGTCGTGAATTTCTCTATGTAGAAGAGGATGGGTGTGGCGGGATGGAGCGTGTGATAGTTGCTGTTTCCCATGATTATAATGCCAGTGTCGCGCTCCTACACCGACAGGTCTCCGTAATCGTTCATGCTGCGCGACCCTTCAGAAGCGAGTATCCAATCCGACCAACGATCCCAATCCAACATCTTATATTCTCCTGAGACACTGAGCCCCGTCGAGCCAAAAAGAAACGAATAATGTGAAGTGAAAAAGAATAAGTTATCCAGGAGGCCACTTTACTATCCAGACAGAAGAGTTCAAGCAAGAAAGAAGAGAGCAGAGAAAGATTAGCAAAGCAAGAGTTCCACCCTGATGCTAATGTTTTGTGCCGGGTACAAACGCCAATCTCTAGGATGATGCAGTTGGAGAGGTGAAAGTTTGAAAACGGGGTATGATGCATTCGTTCGGTATCGGGAAACGCATCCGAAATGGTGAAGCAATCGTCATCAAGTGATGGAGGAGATTCGGAGAGACATTTGCTGATTCATAATGTCATGTGTGGTGATGCTTGGACAATCACTCAGTCGTTGTCGGCCAGGGTCAAGAATGCGCAGCGCTGGGTCATCATGTTCATGACCGAGATGTGGTGGTAGGAGCAACATATGCGGATGCAGCGGCTTGGTCGAGACCCTTGAGCTGGGGTGCGTATCTAGGGTGCTTGATGAACTTGGGTACGGAATCCTGGTATACGATTAGCACAGGTTAAGTGTAAAAGAGTGACATGAACATACACTTGACATAAGCTTGAAAATGGAAGTCTGGGCCTTCTCGAAGAGGGATGCAACTTCGTTCAAGCTCTGCAGCATAGCCGCGTCGTCGCCAACAGCGCGCGTCATACGGGTAGCCAGCTGAGTGCGCAACGCGTGGTCGATGTTGAGTTCGTTAGGTGAGCCAGGGGCCAGGAATGCGTTGTACAAACCATAAGCAGCAGCCAATGTCTCACGAATCGTCTCGACCTTGTTTTCGCCCTTTTCGCTAATGGCGGCCCTATACTGACGCTCGAATTCTTGGACCTCGAGGTAGAAGGACAAGTTCTCTTCGCACATGGTTTCCTTCAAGAACTCGCGGTAGAGGAGACGCCACGAGGGGTTGCGGATGATGACATTTGTACGGTTGCTGTTGGAATCACGGGCATGGCCTTCCCGCGACTTTGATGGGAGGGCATCTCCGCCTGTTGGAGCAAGATCTGCGGTCCAACCAGCAACATGTTCGCCATGGTCGGTGATATAGTAGATTACGTGCTTGACAGCCTGGAAGTTGTTCTCTGAGTTGCGCGGGTCGACAGGCGCGATCAGCTTCAGCTGAAGGAAGAGTGAGCCTATTTCAATGGCCTCACTAGGATCAACAAGCGAGGAGCAGTCCATGAGCCACTGCGCCGCGTTGCGCCCGTTGAAGGAGTACTCCCAAGGGCGGGAAGCGGACTTGCGGTTCTTTGCCATCTTGACACCTACGTGGCAGGTGGAGAATTCGTGAACAGAGTCGGAATCTGAATGTGTCTCGTTCGCGGTCACCCCAACGAATCGGCGGAAGATAATCTGGATCGTCTGCTCATCGTGATGCAGCGAGTCAGTTTCAGAGTTGCGCTCGAGAATGACGAGTTGATGTGGGTTGCGGTTAGAGTCGATCACAGCCTTGACGTGTGCTGATTGAATGCCATTGCGGGTGCAGAAACGCTCGAGGATGTGGATGCCCTTTGGTGTGAGTTGCCAAACCGAGCTCTTGTTTGTGAAATCCGTCTTTCCTTCGACTGACTCGACGAATTTGGCTTCAAGGAACTTTTGACACACAGAACGGGCCATTTCCTTGGCCATGGAGAAAGTGGTCGTGGTAGTCGTGGTTACAACGCGGGATGAGTCCTTGGGATCTGGCATGCGATTTGACTGGGAGAACTTGAGCGAGCCCAGGTTCGTGACGGCCTCGTCGCTTGTGAAGGTGAATTCGATCATGCGGAAACGGACGCGGTGCGGGGTGAGCGGCAGAGAGACCATGAGGGTGGCGAACAGGTCCTTGAAGTCCTGCGGTTGGAGTTAGCATGAGATGGCTGATGTCCAGCTGCGATGGGCGTTCTGGGGTTTGGCCCAGTGGCAATTGCTGGCCAGAGTTCGAGATGTGAGGGCTGAATGGCAAACTTGACGGGTTTCACCGTTTGCCCTCGATTCTCTGATCTACCTGCATCCCGCAGCCGAGAGTCGGGAATGACATACCCTGGTATATGGCCGCTCATCGTCGGTCATGCGCAGTAACCGCGAGCTGGTCTGGTGCATTTTGTCTGATTTCGTTTTCCTTGGTGCGGGCGCCGCGCTGGTGCTATTGTCCACCTCTTCGGCGGCGAGTGCCTCGTGGCCGTCAATGGGAGACTTGGAAATGGGCGAGGAGCCACGCAGCGTAGTGATGGAGGCGCGGGGCGTGAGAGACGAGGGCAGGAACGACTGTGGCAGCGATGGTGAGGGGCTGGTGGTGGTGCCCTTGGAGTAGGAGGGGGCGCGGCCGAGCTCTCTGCTGCCTTTTCTAAGCAGCGGGAAGCGTGAGAAGGTCAAACGGCGGCTGTGGACGCTGGGTCGGGCAGCGAGAGCAGGCGCTGGGGTCAGGACCGGCGTGCTGGTAGACAGAGGGTCCGAAGCGGTGGAGGCAGCGGGCGTGGAGGCGAAGGGCTCCGTCTGCTCTTGCTCGTGCGTGTGCTGGTGCTGCTCGTGGGCGGTGCCGGTGCTGCGCGGGCGGGCTTCAGCAAAGACGGCAGTGGGCGGAGGCGTGGGTGAAGACGAGGCAGGTGCAGAGGCAGAGGCAGAGGCAGAGACTGGACTTGTCGTAGTATTCAAGGGCATGGCCGTTCAAGGCATGGATGATCACGGAGAATGGCTGCCAGGATTGGCCGTCCGGTCTGCTACTTTGTCTTGCTGGGGTCCTTCTGCCGCCCAAACCACACCGCCAAAGAAAGCAGCTGGACCATGACAAAGCTGCTAACCGCAAGGGCCCAAGTCGACACATGGGCGGCATGCACTGACGCCGTCGTTGGAATAAACCGCTTGGCTTCCACGGCGCCCACGAGGCATCCCTGCGTCTCGCGCCATGGCCCACAGCCCATGGCCCATGGCCCATGGCCCATGCCTGTCCCCCCTGCGCCCTGGTCACGCCCTAGCAGCAGTGCCGACCTACGCCGCAGACGATCTTCGGCGGCAGTCTCAGCATCGAAATGTGCATCAGGAGGCAGGAGGCAGGAGGCAGCACTCGGGACTCCACGACCAGTGTGCTCAGAGCTCGCCTGCGGATACGGATACGGATACATGCAGAGACACGGCGCGAGCAGCAACAGCAACAGTATCGTGTGCAGCGTCCACATTCCTGCGTGCCCGTGTCTGCACTCGCGGTTTCGCAGCAGCACGCGGAGACAAAGGCGCCCACAGCCTCTTTGTCTCTGTGCCTCGCGCACTGTGCCTCTTGCATGACGCAGACAGCTGTCCCGTCTGCATTGCGCTCCCAAAGCGTCGACGCGGTATCACCACAGCACCGCGGACAGGCCAAGCACCCTCGCCCTCCTCCTTGCACCAGCGACACAGCTAGATCGCCCACGCTGCGCCGCCGTTAGGTCTGCTCAACCATGGACGAAGCCGTTCTCGTGGCACCCTTGCACTGGCAGTGACACCATCAGCAGTGCACGAACTGGTTGGACGATGTTGCTGTGCCACGACGCCGCTGCTTGCCAATCGCGACCCTCCCTTTCTGTGGAACGCCGCGACCGTGAGGATGCGGGACGCTGCTCAGATTCCGGGCAACGTGGAATGCACGTGTGCACCCTTGCCTCAGGTGCAAATCAAATCGCCGTCAGCAAGGACGCATCTATCCATCTGCCCATCTGCCCATCTCCTCCGACGTGCAGCCCATGACAAACGTCGCCGCACGCAATGCTGAGCTTTGCACCATCCTGCTCCGGAACATGGCAGCCCTCACTAGAACCGTCCCGCCCGTCATCATGTCAAATCACGCCAGTTCCCTCTTCGGCTGATCTGCACCAAGAGCAGATCGATGCTTGAACTGTGTGAGCTCAAGGCGTCGTGTGGAGATTTGGTCTTTCTGGAGAGGGTGCGTGCTGCCATTCCACGTGTTACGACCCCACTCCGAAACCAACTTTGGCGCTGAGCATTCCTGCGAGACCAATGTTCAGGCATCAGGCTTCAGGGCTCCCTCCAAGCCCTGCCTGCGTTCCGCCAGTATGGTCATTCAAGCCTCTGTCTTTTCCCATCACTGCTCGATCTGGCAGCCCGCCGAGTTATAGCCGCGAGTCACCGCGTATCAGGGGCCGCTCACAAAAACTTTGTCCGGTCAGATCGACAGCCGTACAATGCCATCTTGCCTCCATAGTCCAAGTCTCTCGTGAGAAGATCCTCAGTTGAAGCCCGGGACGACATTCCCGCCCTATATTGCACTAGGGTTCGAACATTGAAATCTCCGCCCGTGCGGCACGTGCCATAGCTGCGAAAGAAAAGCAAAGCACGCCTCTTGTTTCAGCGTGCCGGGTTGTTGCTTGTCGGGACGTCTTCGAATCATGGCAACTGACCGATCATGGAAAAAGTCATGGATTGCAGTGGCCCTAGCGAGGCTGTCAATTTGCGCACGAGGACACGTCTTGGTTCCCCTTCCCGTGTGAACTCATTGTGTAGCCCTGCGGAGCATGTCTCTCGTGTATTCGCCAAGTACAGCGGAAAGGAGTGATGACAGTGACTTCAGAGGAGCTCCGGAGGTGGGTCCTGCGCATCTCGCCCCTCAACTTTTCTGGAACGTCGGCGCCGTCGCAACGATGCTAGACTAAATATTTCTAAGCTGCCGCCTGCTGCAATGCCGCCGCTGCAAGCATCACGCCATGCTTTCAGCGACGGGTGCAAGGCCGCTCCAGGCACTGGACATCACGTTATCTGCCTGACCAGAGCCCTATCGCATACGGCAAAACGCGAAGATCCTCCGTCACCGGCGGCGGTGAAATTCCGTCCATTCGCGTCCTGAGTCATGTTTCAATGTCGCTGAGATGCTGCCGTCGTGGCCCCCCTGGCGCACACGTGGCAACCGATTCCATTGCCTAGCGGCCGCGCTGGCGTGAACGATGCGTGCGACGGCGCTGCTCCTCGTGGCGCCGAAGCGTGCAATTGGTGAAGTTTGCACGCATGCGTCGCGTCGCCTACCCGGCTGTGACCTTCTTCTCATAAACTTCCCTCAGCACTACTGCACTTGCAGCAAGGGTACTTGCTCAGCGTGCAGCAAAAATTGATGGCGCTCGATATGATGCCCACATCAGCGTGGCTCCTGAAACGCATGCGGCGACCCTGAGCTGCCATTTTATCTGTGGGCGTTTCGACCGGGTGTGGCCTGTCGCCATGTGCTGCGCTACTTCTATGTAGTGCGCCTGTCGTTGCTCACTTTTTCGCACGATTCTCCTCGTCTCCACCTATATTGCCTTCTGTTATAATGCAACGCGATACGCACCCGTGAGTGGGCCGGTTGCAGGACTCAATATTCCTTATCAAAAAATGTCGGTGAGGCCATTGGTGCCCAGCAGCAAATAAGACGGGACGCGTTGCAAGGTTCCAAAAGATCCTCTGGCAAGTCACAAGCCCGGTCAGGCTCTTCTCCGCGGAACGCTCTTTCGTTGCGGCGTCGTGGACTCGAGGTGGGCCTAAGTGTAAGGTTTTGGGCGCCCTCGACGGAGCGCAACGAAAGTTACTCCGGCAAGCCTAGTCCTGCACGAGGCGGTTATCGTGGACTACTCAACGAGGAACGACCGCGGCGAGACTCGGCTCAGTGTTCTCGAACGCGTCCGGCTTGAGATCCGGAAGACCGACATGAAGTGTCGCAAGAATGCATGGTGGCGGCGACTTGTGGCTCTCGATAACGTTTTCCACGAGGTTAAGAGCCACGAACAGTCGTCGACTTGACTCGAGCTCGGAATCGATGCCGGAGAACCTCGCTCGGCGTGGTCTTACTCCACCTCTTATGTTTGTATATGTCGAAGCGACGTCTCGCTCTTGTCTCCAGTACTGTAATTGCGTCGTATTGTTCAAGCGTGCAACCCAGGCCCTTCGAGAAGGACCCCTACGTGGCGCGTCGATAGCGTCATAGTTGAGTTGAGCTTCGCGTACGCGAATATAGTACAAAGCTTAAACTCTATCCCAACCGATCAAGAGCTTGGAAGGAAACCGCTCTACATCGATTTTCCCCGCTGTCATCTACTCAAGCTGCCATAATGCCCAAGGTTTTCGGTCAAGTCGATTTGGAAGTCCTCAGGGGTCTTTTTCAGCCCAAGTCGTACGACTTGTCCACGTCGGCGCAGGGCTGCGCGTTAGGAAGAGAACAGCGTAGCGGATCTAGCGAAAAGGGAAAGTAATACGATTCAAGTATTTAATGGATCACTATCCGGATTGCGTTGGGGATTATGCAAGGTAAAGCTACCAGCGGTAAACACAACTCCGTCAGGGGCATCACGGAAGTCGACCGCTGCTCGCCCCCTGATGATTCACAGCCAGGCACACGCTCGCGGAGCCAGCGCATCTTGGACTACAATTTGACATACGCTAGAATGCTAACACTCCTGCGACGATATACCCAAGGCAAAGCAGACACTCGCCTCCTACCTCCCGCGTGATCGGGAGGCCGTACATCTCCACCAACATTTCGACCTCGCCCACATGGCTACACCAGCACTCACCAAAGCCCAACAATTCATCCCCCAATACCCTCCCTGTCCGCCGTTTTAACATGCCCCAGCATGTCAACGGCGCCGCGAAACAGCACAGGCCCGGTAATCACCTCCCCCGGTCACTCCCATGTCGCGCGGAGCGGCACGACCGGCACACGCCCTGCCCGAATGCTTGATACCCAATACAAATCCCAGGGTTTTGACGACGGGGCTCTGGCTGGATGGAGCGGCATTGCGGCGCGGAGCGGCGGGAAGTGACTGTGCCGCAGAGGGCGCGGGGAGATGCAGAGAGTGTTATTGTGCACTGTATAGGATGTTCGAAGTTGGACGCGAAGATGGAGTTGTAGGGGATAACATGTATATTTGGTTTGTCTTTTACCATCATTATTATTCCTGCATTGTTGTGTAGCGTTGGGATATGTAGATCGTCAGTGCGTTTATATCAAGATGCTAGATACGCTAGGTAGCATGACAGCTACGGGAGAACTATATGTGTCTTGTGCGTCACACAGCAGTCTTTACAAGGTACTGAAATCTGAAATGTTTGGGCCATCGTTTGCCGTTGTTCTCGCGCCGATGTGGTAACTGACGTCTCTTCACACGGGTGAAGTCCAAGGGGCCCCGTACTCAACGATCCACAATGACCGCGCGCATTGCGGCAAACCAGACTGTCGAAGAGGCGATAAAATACCATATAACACCCAAGGTATGATTGGAAGTGGAATCAGCTATTCTAACGAGCTGCAATTCCAGTTCGTCGTCTGTTCCTACATCTGTCAGAAGCGCTTCGTATCCGATTCTGCTACAAGAGGCGATATGCCGCTGAGGACTTCTCGCAAGAATAACATTGCCATACTGGCATCGAAGGTGGTGGCTACTGGCTGAATAGTCAAGCTGTGCTGCGAACATTTGGGCTGCATGCGACTCCGTATTCTCCACGCAGCGAACATGACACTGTCCAAGTGGCTGAGATATCTCTACCCTCTAGCACTTCTCGGGAACGCGGTCGAGGCTCAAAAACTGTGGTCGGGATGGCAATTGTGTGCCGTCAGTTCTCAAACATGACTTCCAAGCGCATCGCTAAATTCTCCCAAGCCGATTGCCTTGAATCCAGCATTCGGCGGTAGTCATTATGCTCAGTGCACGATCTGACCTGCTTGTGTAAAGGATCCATCGAGCTATCGACAGCAGTGACGAGTTGCGTATACGTCGCGTGTAGCATCAAGAAGATGGTAAAGGCGCAGAACGCTACTGCAGAGATGTGCAATTGGCCAGTGCGAGAAAAGATGTATGTGACGACGAGGGTTGCAAGCACCACGGGTTCGCGTTCAGTTTTCGCTGTCCTGCTGCGCATGATTGATGCTTTATTGTACGGCCACTTTGGTTGGCATGATGCTTGTGCTTTGGGAGCTGGTACATGGGCGATACCTATGAATACCGTTCAGCTTCTTGTCAGTCCTGCAGGGTTCGGCCGCGATATTTGGACGGTGTCATTCGACAACTTGGTCCTAATTCAGAAAGCGAGCCCTGCATTATAGTGCTACAGAGTGTCACTTACCTGTTTGAGATGGTTTGGCTGACTTAGATCTTCTACTGGCCGATGACTACGCTCGTGATGAGCTTCCTTCTCCTCTATCTCAAAGTCTTCGCACAGGAGAAGCTTCGAAAATACATACACGTAACAATGGTTCTGACTCTTGCTAACTGGGCGTTTCTTCAGTTCAGCAATATCTTCTACTCCCGTTCCTTATCCAAGGTATGGGACTGGGCCCACAAACGCCCAGTTCATTGCTGGAATGTCAATCAGTTGCTGTTGGCAGGTGGTGGTATGACCGTAATTATGGACATTGTAATCATCGTTCTTCCAATTCGAGAGATAATGCGATCGCGGTTCAGTCCTAAGAAGAGGTTGGAGATTACCCCGATATTCGTGGTGGACATCATGTAGATCTCCGGCGATGTTTCGGGCGCAAAAAGCACGACTAATCAAAACGTCCAGTACGCTCATTATTTCCGCTATTTGAGTTTGGAAAATTTACGACTATGCGAATTGGCATAACCCGACGTGGGACAACGTGCCTGGTGATCACTGGAGTGTACTGAAGGCCAACATTAGTGTGTTTTGTGTTTGCATGGCCAGTTCTCCTGCTCCAAGCAATTTCAGAAAGCTCACAGAGCTACAGCCAGCGATGCGTCGCTTCGTCGTGCGATATATGCCTAGATGGCAAGGTCTGATGGTCCACATTCAACAGAGTCTTTGACAGACAGGAACGCTACTAAGGAGACGCGGAACGCGAACGATGGCGGAGAGATTCTACTGAGGGATGTGATCCAGAAATTGATAAGTTGGGATCACACGCAGAATTGGAGTTTCCAGATTTTGATGACGGTGATGGATGACGATGTGCAACCCGATAATGGAAGGTACGGGTCGTAAACAAATATCGTCGCATACCACATAGCGTTCGCAGCCTGATTACAGGAATAGTTTCGTTGAAGTGATCGTCTCCTGATATGCAATGAGTGCGTGTGTTACGGAAGAGCTGGTGGTGATGGACAGTTCAAAGGTTGGAAATGACGCTTACCCTTTTCGGAGAAAGCCGGAGCGCGTCGCTGAACCTCAGATTCGATGCCTACAACTCGAGGAGCTCAACACCCGACCACACCACCTCACCGTATTCTATATAGTCCTGTGACTGTCTCCAAACCTCTCTCAAAGGTTTGCGATTAGCGCTGGTCTGCCATTGGTCGAAACCAACGCCCTGGGGAACCACACCCGATAGCACATTTGCGACACATTCTGCTATTCCACCATGGGCTTCACGACAGGCTTCGTAAGCACTACGTCTTTTCAGCGCTCTGTAAAACTCTAACGCGAATCTAGCTCGGAGGCTTGACGCTCACCTCGGGGGTGTTGTACCTCACAATCGCAATGCACACCCAAAACCGCACCCACCAAGCCGCACTCCTACGACAACAACGCCTGGTCCTCAGCGAATTTTACGAACCCAAGAAACCCGAGCCTGAGCCCTCGCCTCGGGTAGTCCCGGTTGGTCTGGTGGAGATGGCAAAGGATAGGTGGAACCGGAGTTTGGAAGAGGGCATCCGGAGAATATACACTACCGACTGGAGGAAGGTGCGGGAAGAAGCTGAGGACAGGGCGACCGCGCTTGCAGAAAGGATCAAGCAGCAGAGCAAGTGAAAAATAATGGGCTCTTCAAGAATTCATAATGGGTGAGATGAGGGAGCGGGCGAATGCGACGATACCCTTCGTACGGCGATTTGTGCTTGGAGATGTGATATAAGATATGTGTAGATACTACGGTCAAGCCGCCATATGGCACTCCTGCGCCGCCGCACTCTAGAATGTTGCGCGCGAGGTTTGCACGTGCCGATCTCGTTTGTCGAAACATTCTCTCACCCACTTCGTTGCCTGCCCAGTTTCACCGCCACCGCGTACCGTTGTTATTATGCGTCTATCGTTGCCCAGTAACGCGTTTGCTTGACCTCTCCAGGCACCTCTTCAACTCTCAACCAGCCTGCCTTAACTTGTCACCCACCCTCTTCGCGACGACAACGCTCACTGCACATCGCGATGTCGACTTTTGGCTTCGTGCCTGATCTTTTAGATGAGCGCTACCTCGGACGAGTGCGAGATGTGGTTGGCAATGTCGAGCCTATGCCGAAGCTTGTCCCTTACGACGAGTACAAGCAGGCCGTCATCGTCTACCGCATGGACAGCGAACACGACAAGTTTTTGTTCCAAATTCAAGAGTATACAAAACTCATGTCGGAGCTGTTAGGCAAAGAGCTGTGGACGTATTATGTGCAGTGGGAGGTCGACAACAGCAACAGCGTTCCCATACCCACGCCAAAGAAGCCTCGACTACAAATCCCCCAGCACGAACCTCCTGCCCCCGAAGACCAGACGCCAAGGCGCAAGCCTATAATCGATCAAGTCGACCGAGCCATCATCGACCCGGAACTGATACAAGAAGAGGAAATGCTGAGAGTCCTCATCAACATTGTGCAGGTTGAGAGTAGCATGGTGCCCAATGTTGTAGAATGGCTTTACCGCTGGATCGACTATCTGGAGGGAGACGGGAAGGCTCTGAAAGCAGCGCTGAAGTGGGAGATCCCGAGCTTGTGGGACTTCGACCATCACCCGCTTGTGGTCTCCGGCGAGATGAAACGGAGGCTAGAGGCAATGAACACGGAGATGAGCCAAGAGAAAGACGCGATCAAAGCGAATGTTAAAGATGGAAACGGTACGGCGCTCAACAAGGCTCGGGAACTGATGCAAGGATCGCCGACGAAGAAGATGCGCGAAAAGCCGAGCCTTGGCAGCGTTGGAACAAAAGATCGAAGACAACGAGCGTCTGAAGTACCGCGAAGTGAGATATGGTATTCGACTACCAAAGGATGAACAGCCGCTTCCACCTCTCTTCAACATCCCCCTAGACGAAGACAAGCGCAAGAAGTACTACGACGCCTGCTACCGATCACGCCACCGCGCTCTCGTTCTCCTTCTCGAAGCCGGCATCAGCTTGCAGCAAATCAGTAGTTACGTGAAGAAACAAGGTGTCCATCCACGCGATACACCAATAAACGAAACAGACAAGGAACTGATGGGTTTGAAGCATTATCGCAAGGACGCAGAGGCCGGCCAAGACTATTTCAAGCTCAGAGCGACGCAGCAGATACGGACGCTGAAGCAGACTGAGATCGCCATGAGCGACGAACTGGCTCTTGAGGGACAACAAGCCACCAGAGCTAGTGTCGCTCCACCCCGGTCGTATGTGACCGATGTCCCACATGCGCCCGTATACGTTCCCCAAAATGTTGTTGCTGAGAGCCTATGGAGCAAGATACAGGCGGCGAAAGCAAAGAACGTTGATATAACCAACTACGTTCCAACGCCGCTTGTTGGAGGGATGAGAAGCGCGTACCTGGAGCTTGCCCGAGACAGACGAGAGATGAAAACTCCGGTCATGTCGGACTATCGATCGAGAGGTCCACAGCCAGACCTTAATTACGTCCCACACTACACGTCAGACCCCGAGGGAGACTCTGAGGAGGACGACATCGATGCTGATGAGAGTGAGGAAGGAGGAGACGATAACGGCGATGACGATGATGAGATGGATGACGGAAGCGGCGATAATCTCATACCATCATCAACACATTCTGCGAGCGCTCCAACATTGAACCACCCATCCGCACCGCCCAGCGCTACTCTATCCAGCGTACAATCACCTGTCCTCAGATTCGGGGGACCGCCACCTACGGGCCCTAGGCCAGTACAGTTTCCGCCGTTCCCAGCTCCGGTAGGGCAGACGCATCCAAATGAACCGCTGACAGATGAGCGAAGGGAGGAACTGAGGCATATGCTTGCAATCATAACGGCACCTACTCAAGCACCAGCGGCCAGTCATTCGACTTCTAGACCGTCAAATCAGGCATATTCGAGCATGGCGCCAGCGAACGTGAATCAGACAAATTACTTCGTACCATCTCAGCAAACGCCAAGGCCTGCGACCACAAGCATGCATGCTGGAGGAGCAGGTTCACCACAGGCTCCTAGGACCTCAATGACTTTTCAGCCCCCAGTGTTAACTAGACCAACATTGAGGCCCATCGTCCCGGAACCCCAACGACCGACTCTGCCTGGACAGTCTCCTCATGCCCAACCGCTAGACTCTATTGCGCCTCCAGCTTCAGGGCCAGGAAGATGGACTATGGAGCACTTTCAAATCAATTCTAGGGCTCGGCCTCCACCACATCCAGCTCCTTTTAACCCGCCACCTGGGTTCGCTTCAAGTGAAGTGAGGTATCACAATTCGAATTACCCTAATACCAACCCTCAGCCTCCTCAGATCTCACGGCCTTCACAAGCTATGATGTCAAAGCCACCCGTGCTTGGGTTTCCTCCGTTACCCGGCAGGTCGAATGCATATCCTCCGGTAAATATGAACAGTATAAACGATCCACAAGCTGCTCAGCAACGTCGTTCAACCCCAGTACAGGTCCCGAACCAGTACGCTCCTCCAGTCATGCAGCCTCCGCGACTACAAACCCCTGTAATACAGTCACAGGGACGGCAACCTCCTACAACGCAACCACCGAGACAACAGTTCCCAGGCATGCAGCCACCAAGACTACAATTTCCAAACACGCAAAACACTTCCCAGAATGTACACCCAGCACCGTCTTGGCCCGCAGCTCCATCAAATACAGTGCCTACAATGGCCATGACCACTCCATCTTCTACACCACCACAGCAACCTAATCAGCAACACCCAAACGCTCAGGTCAGTCGTGCGCGAGCCATGCTCCAGGCGGCCACCAGACCAACAATCCCAGTACCTATGCCGCACTCAATGCCACACTCAAACACTGGAAGAGTACCGTACTTCCCAGATCCACGAGCAATGAACCAAGTCACTACACCAGGAATCCAGCGTAACGCCCCAGCACCTCTGACTCTACAACCCTCAACCCCCACCCCCACCCCCGGCCCCCTAACATCACTCGCCGAAAGCATACTCGCCACAACCCCCTTCCGCTCCACTGCCCGCGGCACCCCGATACAAATTTACTTCCCCAAAATCGTCGTCCCAGGAAACGGCATCGGGCCCGGCGGCACCAAGCTCGGCGACGACTACCACATCGAAACCGACGCCCTAATGCTCGGCCACACGATCCCCGGCAGCGGAGAAATCACACTCGAGCGCGCGCTCTTCATGCCGCTAGGCTGCTGGACAAACACCATTAAGCGCGTGCGTGCTGGCCACGCCGACGTGCTCGAATCATATCCCTCCTCTTTCGGATACAATGATATTAAGCTTGGCGAGCCGAAACCCTGCCATCTCGCGGCTTACGCCAAACTCTCAAAAGCACTCTCATTCATGGTGAGCGCCCCGAAGGCGCGCGAGGAATTGTTGACGAAGCGCTGGCGCGTGACTCCTGGCCCGCTGACGCAGATTGATCGGGGCGCGGTGTGGGAGGGGTGGGGTGTTAGTATTGATCGGCCAATTGGAATGACGAGGGCGGAGAGGGAGGGTGTGATGAGGATGAGGTGGGTTATTGATGATGGAAGTGAGAGGGTGAGGAGTGTGGAGGAAGAGGAGAAATGGAAGGAGATGGAGGATTTTATGGAGGAGGAAGGGGAAGGTTGGGATTTTGAGGATGATGATGAAATGGAGGAGTAGGCATATGGGTTTACGGTGACACGGTGGATAGTTTAAGAGTAAATGCGTAGTTTCGGATTGGACAGGTTACGCCTTACATCGCCAAGACGCCACATCCTTGATTGACCATGCGGTATGAGCCAGGAATCCTACTGCCGGGTTTATGGCGAGGTCGCTATGTAAATTACCAATCATGTCAGAGCCAACATTTCCAGTGCGGCACAGTCGCAACCACGCTTACACTTCGTTACGTTGGATACTCCGTCGGCGTCGGTATAATAAGCAGCACCGTCCCTACCTCACATAAGAACACTTCATTACAAGTTGGTCAACTGTGCAGCCGCTGCAATGGATCCTCGCATCTCCAATTTAATTTCCTCGCTCGCAGTTCCCACTGCACAAGCTGAAGCGATCGCAAATATCTTCAGTGACGACCTCAACCTCGCTGCATTCTTGCATGGAAGATCTTGGGATACTTCGTCACTCACAAATACAGCCTGTGCAGTACTGAAGCTCATCCTAGGAGAAACTAAAGTAGTCACAGATTCTGCCCACTCCTCCGAGAACTGGTCAGTTCATAGTCTCCTTGGACTTTCAAATCCCTTGATACTTACCCGGTGCTTAAAGGTCCCAAACATGCTGGAACTCACCCACCTGCACAATCTTAGCCGAGAGCAAGAACGACGTCTCTATCGCCCTCAAGACGATTAAATTCTTCGGACTGAAGTTTGCAGTCCGTAGCGGAGGACATTCGCCCAACCCCGGATGGTCGTCGATCGGTGAGGCCGGCATCCTCATCGATCTTCAGAAATTGAACGCGATCAGTTTGAGTGCAGACAAGAAATTTGCTACTATAGGACCTGGAAAACGGTGGGGAGAGGTTTACGAAGCCCTGGACCCTCATGAGCTGAGTGTAGTCGGCGGCCGTATTCCTCAGGTCGGCGTGGGTGGCCTGATTCTTGGAGGCGGGTTCTTTCATTTCTCGGGGAAGTATGGGCTTGCGGCGGATAATGTGAAGAACTTCGAAGGTCGTGCTCGCTAATGGAGAAGTCGTGGACGCCAACGCTCAATCGAATAGTGATCTGTTTTGGGCGCTGAAAGGCGGAGGGCCAAACTTTGGTCCGTCGTTGGGTCTGCATGTATATTTGCTTTGCTGATGATCAACTAGGCATTGTTACGGCATTCGACATGTACACTGTTCCGATACATAAGATATGGTACACAGTGTCTGTTTATAGCGCCAACGATGCCGAAGCCTGCATCGAAGCCTTCGCAGACTGGCAGAAATCCGCATCTTCCGACCCCAAAGCCACTGTGGCCATGATCATCCGTCTCGACATCATCACCCTAGGCTTTCTCTACGCCGAGCCCACAACTCCTCCAAACCTCTTCACAGCTTTCGAAAATCTCCCTGCTCCTCTCGCCGTTGCTGTTCCTCCAACCACCGGCTCAGTAAATTCTCTCTCGCAGATCCTAGCATCGACATCTTCCCCAGAACCCATGCGGTGAGCTTCTCGTTAACCAGAACATCCACGCTACTCCGCTGACCAAACCCCAGCCACGACTACCGGGGCGTCAGCTCCGCCGTCGACACCGAACTCTACAAGGACGTCTACGCCGTCTGGAAAGAAAAAGCCACCGCCATAAACGCCAGCACAGGCGCAAACATGACTTTCGTACTTCAGCCTATCATTCCGGACATGACCGCAGCCAGCAACGCCGCTGGCGGGAATCCCATGGGTATTCCGGCGACGACGCATCAATGTACGTTACTTCTACACATATCATCTACCATGGTCTGATGTGGGATTAGGGTGGACAACGCTAGTGGATTGGACCGATCCCGCCGACGACAACGCAGTACGCGCTGTACCAATTGCTGTCACTGAGGCGTGGGAGCGGCTGAGCAAGCAGCGCGGTTTGGACGTGCCTTTTATCTTTGCGAATGATTCGTCGCGCGATCAAAATCCGATTGCGTCGTATGGTGAGGGGAATGTGAGAAAGTTGAAGGAAATTGCGGAGAAGTATGATCCGGGGAGGGTTTTTCAGGAGCAGCAATGTGGAGGTTTCTTGCTTAAGGACTTGTAGGGGTGGTGGGATGTTGGACGTTAGTGATCACATTTGGTGTTTGTTTATGTATTTATACAACCAAGCCAGGCTAACTAAATGTATTGAGCATGACCATGAGACAGCATGCATCATACACCTCCCAGATTCATAGGTTCGCTACCCCATACATTGGCGTCACATAACACAGTAATCGTTGAGATATGAAAATTTCTTCTTGTGTCATGAATTTGTGATGATACATAGAACTTCTCCGCACAGCAAGCTATGGAATGAATAAAATAAAATAAGAGTAACAGAATACCTGGCGCCACTTCGTTTTATGCACATAGGTATCTCTTCCATAATAGTCATAAGCTCTAGGCCTAATGCTAATCCAGGGGATATGCTTCACTGTCCTTGATTCTCATTTTACCAGCAATCCAGCACGTCAATATCGTGCCTACAATATCGCTCATGAGGGGAAGTACGATGATCAAGACGACTAGCGCGATAAAGAAAGACGTGTCGTTGCGCTCAAATAAAAGTATAATCGTCTCCCCATAGAAGTATTGTAAAGCAAAGCATATAGGAAAGATAATACTCATCATCTAGAAAAGTTAATGTCTTCTAATCAAGTTGGTACGATGAAGTTAGGACCTCACCTGATCATTCGCTCTTCTTGAGCGACGTGATTCTTGCAGTGCTAGTGAAATTCCTTTTGCGGCATTATTCAACCTCTTCTCCAGCTCTTGGATTTCTCGACTGATGACATTTGTTTGAAGGTTTCTACCATGTCCTCGAATGTACGAATCTTGGTCATTGTAATCATCTGGCAGTATCGTATCGACAGGAAGCCAAAGTGATAATCGAGCTTGAAGCGGCGTATATATTTTCGGCCAACTCACGGTAAAGTATGATCCCGATGGTTGTTTTCCACGTGCGATACGATACCACAAGGAGGATAAGTCGCAGAAGTGCAGTGCTGTTATTACGATTATGACGCCAATCGCTGCAATCCTTTCGAGATTTGACCTCGTTGGAAAGCTGGACAGTAGTTTCCCCCAGGCGTTATCACTCGCAAAGATCCAAGGTGTGGCCATAGCCCTTTTCGCTGGTGGACGACTAATTGAGCATTGAGACGCTGTGGTTCCGTTCTAGTCGTATACACACATTAGTGTTGTTCATCATGGCCACGATCACAAGGTACCTGCCTCGAAGTTCTTCTGGAATTCGCAATAATCCTTCTTGGCAGTCCAACTAGCGAGGCTATGGGTGTGGACTGTGTAGTACATGGTCGCACACGCCATTACTGTTGCGAAAGTGTGCCATGGCTTTGAAAATAGCCGCAACTTTGTGGACCACCCTTTCGGATTCGTGGCAGGGGTGATTGGCTGCGCGCTACTCGTTGGGGCCGTGGTGGTAGGTGGGATATTTGCGTTGGTAGATGAAGTGCTTGCGGGTGCGATGGGTGTTGAGGAACGCGTCGCAGATAGTATGGGTGAGGAGGTTGCAGTCGTGAAGGGCGAAGACGGCGCGCTTGTGATGGGAGTATGTGAGCAAGATGAAGAGGAAGGCGCAAGCGTCGTCAATAGTGTCGCAAGAGCTAGTGGCTGTGCGGATACGCTCGAAGATAGGGAAGACGGTGTAGAAGAACGAGAAGGCCTTTGTGGCATGTTGCTCATGGTGTTGCCCGACATCACGCGCAGAAGTGAATGAGGGGGAAAGCCCTCGCGAACAGGATGGAGCAGGGAATTGGTGGCGATGCTCAGCCCTTCTAGTCGTTGTCGTACTGTTGTTCTATTGGAGTGTCGCGCAGACACTGCGCCTCCATATTTACCCCACCATTCAGGCGGGAACAGGACCCAAGAGCAATTTTGGACCGCGTGAGAACTTGAGGTAAGGAGTTGTATACTGTAGGTTGAAGCCTTGACCAAAGGGCTACCGTATTGAACTCGCATCTGAAATATTCAAGAGATTTCGGTTGCCAGAGAAGTCGTCTTCATGCGCGGGTACAGTATGATGTACTGCGCAAAGCTTCTCGCCTGGCTGGAGATGGTCTATGCAACAAATTCCAGGAATTACGTAGGAGACGCGTCGCGGGTGCTTTACTTCATCAAAACCATACGATTCAGGCACAGGCATAGCAACATCGGGTTAGCACAAGCATTAATCTGGAGCAAGGACAGCCTTGCGACTAATCTCAGGGACAAGATCTACGGCATAGGAGGCTTGGTGAGCCGCGGACTCGGTGTAGAGATAGAGATAGACTACACGAAGCCGCTTTGTGCTGTGTACTGTACCGCGACTTGTACCACATTGGAGAACTGGTGTTCCAGAGGTATAGCCAATCTCTCGATCGCCGCGGAGATCGTGGATAGTATCAGTAATCTGCTACTTCCCTCTAAGTCGACACAAGCATATCGCACATACTGTGAGCATGCGATCCAACTTCGTCAGGGGCTTCGTCCAATCGGCGCTTCCGTGCTGTCTTTCTCCAGATCTGAAAACATCTGCGATGGCGAGAGCTCCGGTCTGAGAACTCATTGATTCGGGCTGCGAATTTGGTAAAAATGTACGTGTACCACTGAGTCGCTTATTACTAGGCGGATTCATTATATACATCTCCCTCCACCGACCTCCGGATTGATTCTTATAACGAACACAGCCGTCGAAGCTTCAGGGCGATCGTCCTATTGCATACCATTTTTTGAATAGCTTACGTACATCTATGTATTTGCTTATTTCATCACTAGTGTCATAGACTCTCTAATAAGATTTTAGTTTTGACTGTTTGCTGAAGTTTAGAATCATAATTAATATATTGACGTGAGGAAAGATAAATAATGATACTACTACAAGCTTAAAAAAATATGGATAGATAATAAGACTATGACTAATAGAGGAACTAGTACTCGAAGAAGTATCAATGAGCCCTACTAAACTTGTCCCACTTGCTCGATGCTCTCCACAATCGCGTCTTTGTACGCTACCATACCCGGACTTCTCGGATGAAAGGTTTTAACCTGCCGTGTTGGTGTGAACCATCCAATGTGCTGACTCGTCACATTTTTACTCTCGATCTGTGCATTTGCTTCGGCAAGATATGTCGCTTCTGTTCCGTTGCTGCTTTCTGCCACAGCCTCGGCGTAATAGCACAACGAACGTAGGTAGGGATCCGCGTCTGAGTCTAGAGTTTTCCTGCAATCGGCATCTGGAAGAGGTATGCGCCCTGCATCGATAATTTGCTTGATTTCAGCCGTCTCAATGGCTGCGGTGTTTACGCTGGACCCTTCAATCGAGACATCAGGCCAGCCACTGAGAAAGAGCCATGTGCTGTCGACTTCTGGCGCGGGCTCGTGCCAGTCGCCTTGCTCGCACCAGCGATGTGCGTTGAAGCGGGCGTTGACGTCGACGAAATTGATCTGGTAACCACCGTGTTCCTTGTTTGCTTCCGTGACTGCTGATTCGATGACTTTGTTGAGATCCTTTACTAGATCATCAATCTCAACACGCAGATCTTGCTTGAGGTAGACAATGCGGTTGAAGAACGGGTCTGAGGATGGATTGTAGCCAGCCCACCAGTAGTGGAATGTTGATTTGTCACAGTCAGTTGTAGCAGTGTTGAAAAATTCAACGTAGCTTGTGACGTAGAGTCGGAAGTCCTGTGTTTATGTAAGTATATGATTGAATACAAGGCCATGGTATGTCGACTCACTGATCTACCAGACTTCTTCAGGATCCTTCGATAGGCGGCTTTTAGCTTGGACTTCATCCCATCCGATCCCTGATCGCTCATCATGTCTCGAGCTTTTTTCTCAACATCTGTACAGAGCGCTCGCATCGTCGAGCCCCAGCGTGCTGTATTGGGGGTAATTATGCAATCGTAAACCAGATCGCTAAACCCAACGTCGTTACCGCCGATGGAGACAGTGCCAACGTTGGTTCCATTTGAGTCTACCCATTCGTCAATTTGGCGATTCAGTCCCTTGATAGTGTCACCGGAGCACACTTTTCGCTCATAAGGAATGCCTTTATCATTCCATGACTTGTAAAGCAAATCCCCGAAGTTGTTTTCGCCTACTCTGCAAGCGTCTCCGCTGGTGGTTCCAGTACCCATACCAGCACCATAAGAATCACCAAAGTGAACGTACCCTACAATCTCCTGCCTAGGATCGTCAAATATGGTGTCATCGTAGATTGGACAATCAGCCCTGGCATACGGAGCTTCAATTTGGTCACGGCGTCGCAAAACCTCTGGAATAGGAGTGCCTGAAACAACTGATGTTCCCTCGCTTGCAGCGGGAGTGGCTGGAGGTAGCGTTGGGGTCGGTTCAAATGTGAAGAGTGGTCCCGGGAGCGGTGGTAATGGTATCGCCTTGTTGCACTTATCACTGAAGTAGATGCCAGCAGCAGTGAGCGCATAAGAATCGGCGTTAGTGCCTGACCTCTTCTCGTCGCATAGACCGTCCTTTCCTTCGGTGTTACCGCAGAGTGGATTCTTATCATTCTTGTACACGGTACAACCACGATCAAAGAGACCGCGAGCCAGCTGGTAACATGCAGCAAAGCCATACGCGTAGTCGAGACTTCTGGCATATTTGTCAGTGCTGTAGAGTAAGTATCTTGTATTGGCACTTACGGGTCCTCGTAGAGCATGGCATATCGAGTATGTGTCGTTTCGTGAACAAGAAGGGCTGCTTTGGATCGGTGAGCTTCCCTGAGAGTCATCGAATCACACTCCTTTGCTCTGTCGTTAGTTGCTTTGATATCACCATCCGTAGCAAAAAAACGGTCGCAAAAGTTCATTGTCCTCCTATCGTCGCCCATGTGTGCATAGTAACTCTGTTTCCTGCAAAATTTCGTGTCGTTGTCGCAGGTAACAGCAAAGATGTACAGCTCTTCGGTTCCAGACATCATCTGTGTAATCTTCCCGAAAACTTGCGAGGTTTCATCTCGGAAGGCTGGCGCATCTCGAAGACTTTGTGCGAAGAAGTTCTTGAAGTAATCACCTTTCTCAACGTCCTTGCTTGCTGTTGTGGCCATGTCTGAGGCTAATTGCATTTCTTCTTCGATAACAGCTTTGTGGTTATCACAAGTGTTGTCTACATAATGCACTGTCAACGCCTCTGCACAACCAATTGCCAAGAGGGAGTAAATGATGTGTGTAAACATGACTGGGAAGAAGGAATGGTAAATTTTGTGATGTGTAGTGATTTTACTGTGACATAGTATATGGTTTGCTTCTTATGTAATTTTCTCATGAGCTATAGCCATCCTGATGGCAAGCACATTGGCCTCCACGGTAAACATGGACCTGCAAATTTAAATCTTACGGAGTATGTGTGGAGGCGGAAGCCGCACAGGCCTTGGGCGTTCGAACAATCATGAAACCGAACGATGGGGGCTGAGGTTATTTGTAAGATAGCTAAACTTACGTGCGAATCCATGTTCCGCCCTGTATGGGGTGTTGCGATAGGTCCTTGGGTTTGGATACAAGAGCCCCGATGCGAACCTGCCCGCGACTTCACATCTTGCTCGTGAGGAAGAGAATGAATCGAAGTCTTCTCTGCATGTGATTTTAGAATCGTGTGGATATTCAAAGCGATATGCTTTGTTGCTTGCCTCGGCTCAACCGACTGCGCTAACCACATGGGAACACCTAGAGTGAACGCCACCTGGGCATCACACGGCTTAACTCTTCCCCTGTAACTCGTAAGTCGGCCTGATATTGAGGGCGAAACTCATTCGCACGTTTCGCAAAATAGCAAAGAAGGCGCGAACTGCGCCTCGGATAGCGGCTAGGTAGGGACCATCTACACCCCCGTCAGCAACAGCCCGCTTCGGCGCTTAAGACCATCCTTCTTAACACGCACAGCACCAGTAGACGGACGATAATACATACCGCTTCGCGAACTGTCGCTTCTCACATCATTCATCACAAGCTGAAACATGGATGAGGAATTGGCTTCTCACGTGAAGCTGTCAGGAAAGACGGCGCGGTAAGCATTCTGCTTGGAAAATACGTCCAATGTAAGCTCATAATGAAGCAGCCCACATATACCTCAGCTCCGTCTCGAGTTGAGCGCAAGCAAGAGACTGTCCTTGACGGTCCCATATCATATTTCCTTCACCTTCGAGCATGAAAGTGGTCACGAGGGCATGCCGCTCATCCTCGAGTGGAGTACTGTGACACACGGGTTCAAGATGCCAGGACTCGTGCTTCTCCGTCATACGACCGTCGGACTCGAATCAATAGCTGTTGATCATTCAGAGCGACTAGATGTAAGCCGACACGGACCGATAGTAGTCAATGGGTGGAACGAAAATCTGTGGGAGTTGGACCCTAAAGGATCATTCACACTCATGAGCACATTGCCTGGTAGATATCAAAAGCTACTCGAAACCGATGAAACATACACATTACTGTGGCCAGGCGCCAAGATTGCATTGTGGGAATACGGCACGGTGCGCGAACACATGGGCCAAGAGCTCGACGACAAGGACCAGCCTCTGCTCTTACCTGGTGGACCTCACATCACCTTCTCGACTCACACTGAAAATGAGCCTTGGCCTGACCGGGCTGCTACAGAAGCTCGAATCGGGTTTGAACGAGCCAATTTCGCAGAAGAGACTTGGCGACATGAACAAGCAAGAGCGAAAGATACATTTCCGCGTGCGAGTATCGTCGAACGCGGTACTAATGCTCCGGTACTTACTCTGACACTTGAGTGTCCTTCAAAAATTTGTCACGGGGAGACCGTTGAGGCCGTGGTAAGAGTCACGTATGAAGCTGAGGCAAGCGCACGACCCGTAACATTTCATACCAATGTGTTCCAGGACAACAATAGCTACCAGACTGGAAGACTTAAAGACGGTAACTGGGTAAATTATGACGATGACAGCGGATGCGGATACCGGATTATGGACGACCCCGACGTGCTTGTTGCTGTAGGTCAAAGCGAGCATTTTGTCAGTTTAGAGCCGGGCGAATCGTGGACGACATCGCAACGTCTAGGAATTGACTGGTACGGAGTTCCAGATGATGCCAAATACGGCGAAGTTTTCCGTTACGTCTTCTGTGGTGAGACGTTGGACTGGTGGAATTGGGGGTCCAAGGCTGAGCATGAAAAAACAGTTGTCAAGCTACCCTGTTTTATCGATGGACCTGTGACTGATCCGAAAGACAACGATGGAAGGCCAGCATTCATTGTGCCAATATCCAATGTGGTCGAGTATACATACACAAAATAGACACAGATTTCTTTTAGACAAAGACCAATGTAAAACAATCGGCTTTGAACCATTTCCACGTCTGTGTGCAATCTGCAAGGCTGGCCCCCAAACGTCAGATTAGAAACTTAAGCCTTTGTCTATCTTAGTCTAGGCACGTTTCACCGCACGATTGGGGCCGAATGATTTTAAAAATGCGCAGCAAATCACCGCTCATCCGACAGTCTTGTGATGTTGATGACTGCGCCGCGGGGTCAGCATCCGGATTTAGGCAACCTTATCATGCACGCACTATAATAGTATACCCCATGACAGCAAGAACAGGTTCTGGGGCATATCTTGTGTGCTGCAAACCTCACATTTCATCATTCTACAATTCTCGCCTAGGTAACCATGGCTATCCTCGATGTACCCAACTGGGTCCGCATGTTCGTCGACCACCACAAATTGTGTTCCCTTAATACTAATGCTGCATAGACTTTTACTCATTACTAGTGCAATTTCTTTCATCCCCCAACTGCTTCGCACCATCTCAAGGAAAAATAGCACTGGCATATCGTCATTCTATGTGCTCTTCAACCTCATCTCCACCACTGAACAGTTCGCTTTGACGTTCTTTTTCATCGTGAACTACCCCAAAGATTCCGACTTCTTCGTCCACAATCCGAAAAACGCTGGTGATTGGATCAACTTCGCGCAGATGAGTGTGATCGTTGTCTTGTGGTTGACATAGTAAGTTAACGTGATCTTACTTCTCACCTAAACTACGGTAATCTGATCTATACACCTAGCTTTGTCGTATGCTTGTACTTGCCATCTGATCATCGCGATTGTAGCGTCAAAGTCGCAATTGGGACGTACATCACCTTCTTGCTCGTCTCCGTCATCCCAGTTTTTAGCGACGCCGCTTTCGCGAGCAGGGGACCGGACCGCAGAATGGAAATGGATATATTCTTCGGTGTCCATTCGCAGTTCCTAAGCTGGATTATCACCAGCTTCAACGTCGTGGCTGTCTACTTCCAACTCAAGGAGACACGGTTACGCCCACAAGAACGGGCTTTGTCTGGCCTGGGATTGGCGGTACAAGCAGTGATCTTTACAGTAGTGGCATTTTCGTGGGTTGGACGAATCAAGTTTCCATATCCTGACGGCGAAATTCCGTGGACATTCCTCTCGACTTGGTACCAACTAGTTGGCTGGGCGACTGTTAACAATGGCATCTTTGCGCTGGGTCAAGCGATCTTGCTTTGGATCATAGCAGGTCACCGTCTTGACGAACAAGTTTACGGCGAAACTGAGCCACTATTGCGTGCATGATAGATGTCGGTAGTTGGAAACTGGTCGTATGGCGTTGGGTAGGCTGCGCATTTGCCGGTGCCTACTACCTAGGTACACAGCCTCGCATGCTGCGCCTTCACAGTTTCCAGCTACCCCGCTCCGCTAGCAGGCTACAACCAAACCTACACATCCACTTAAATACAAATGCAATCGCTCTGTACGTCAGTTAATCTGCCAAGATTTCTACATAGACTTGCGTCTACTACGTTGTAAGCTCAAAACGCGTTCCAGATACCGTCATGGATGAGTCGATGTCCAACAACCCGACCTATTTCTACAGCGCATTGGAGGGACCACGCTCCTTTAGACTGCTTAGACTAGCTCAAGATACGAATTGTTTACAATGCATGAGCTACACGATTGAAGAGTTCGAAAGAGGAAGCGGCCATTGCCCTTCTTACACCGCTCTCTCCTATGCTTGGGGAAACGTAAATACCACGGCATCAATTACACTGAACGGCTATCATGCATCCATCACGAAAAATTTACATGAAGCCCTACTACACATTCGACGCATACGGCCGTACTCACTGCTCTGGGTGGACGCCCTCTGTATTGATCAGAGCAACTCGAACGAGCGTGGCCACCAAGTTTCTCAAATGCGAGCCATCTACAGCGATGCCAGCAACGTCATATCATGGCTTGGTCCAGGCGCAGAAGGAACTGACCGGCTCTTTGTCTTTCTGAGAAGTCATCACGACTCTTGCACTACAAAAGGTGGAAATGATGGGAACTGTGGCTTCATTGCTGATCGCGAGCTCGCCGACGCACTACAATATCTTGAGGAACGACCTTACTGGCACCGCATCTGGGTGATACAGGAGATCGTAGTGGCTACGAGTCTTGAAGTCATGTGTGGTGATGAGTCGGTGATGTGGTCGGTTTTCATCAAGTTTTGGTCTTTAGTCTGTAGAGACCATTTCAAGAAGATCCCGGGGATGAATCGCCGCTTGGCGCCATTTGGCCACTCCTCAGCCATAATACCACTGATAGCATGGCGTAAGACCAATATTGATCTGGCACATGCCTTAGAGCTGACTGGCTTGAGCCGCGCAACTGATGAACGCGATAAGGTCTATGCGTTACTTGGTTTGGTTGACTGTGGAGCTGGCCGTCATATTGTCGTCGACTATACGATCTCCGCGTGCAGGATATTCTTAACGGCGACACACGCCATCATGGATGACTGGAATGAGAACGACACGGACATATCGAAGAAATTGAAGCTCGAAAACTTGCTTTCCAGAATCAACACTGAGTCAAGCTCACGCCAACAGCTTCCAAAGTTCCGTGCTAGATCAACAGCCAGCCAAATACCAGAGTGCAATACCATCGCCCATTTACGTCAACGAGTTCGCTTCTTGTTACGCTATACTGCGCGGTTGAAGTTCGTTGTGCCAAACGATGGCGGGAACTGTGACGGCGAGACATGCGGATCGTGGGCGGCCATGTACAAAGCCGCAACGATCCAAAAATACCCCAAACCCAAGTATCAAATGTTCGGCTCATATGGACACGCAAACCAGGACCATGCTGCTGTCAACAGCTCTGTCACATCGGAACGGCAGCCAAAATCTCGACGTGAAGCTTCGCGAACAGTCAGATCCAATATAAGGCGACCAGACCGAAAAAAAAGGCCTGCGATTCCCGATAAGGTCTCAGATGATGCGGTCCAAGGCTGGATACAGTATTACCAGCAGGTCAATAGTCTGCATTGATGCATCACAAGACTAGGGATAAGAAATGAAGTCACAAAATCGCATAACCAGCGTAGACAGACTTGTGTAAATCGCTGGAAAAACCCATCTCGGTTCAAGCATCATACGAACACGCGCATGCGGGCTTTCATCAGTACCTAACAGTCCTTTTCACGCAATGACAGGCTCTTCTGGTAGTAAGGCCACTTACTAACAAACAATCCTCAGTCTAAACTACATTTGCTGATTTAATAAACCAAGATATGCTGTATCATTTTCCCCGCCCTAGGAACTGAAGAGCCGCCTATGATGGCTTAGACTCCCGAAAGTGAACAAGACTTTCTGACTACGGTTTATTGTGCTGGTAGTGTACCCTTGAAGTGTGTCATAACACGCCTTGCGGAAGGGTACCTGCATAGAAAAACACGCCTAGCGTATCATTGATCAGATCAACCATAAAGCTCATAGAGCATCTAGCGCTCTGTAGCTAGCTCCAGTAATCTATCGAGTAACTAAGTATCGAAGGGTGTGACAGGTCGTGAAACCGCCGAGGTGTAAACTTGTGGGGACAGTGTTTCGTGTCATCTGGCAGTCTGAGGTAAAATCACAACCATGAGATCGAGATCTGCACGACCTGTCCGCTGGTAATTTTCAGGAAGATCTATCGCAAGTCACAGGGTTGGCCTAGTACATGCCGTTGTATGCTCAGAGCCATCGTCAGCTGACTTAGTAGAGAATACGCCCGACCAGGCTAGGCATTTCACGATTTATCAACAACTACCAGGCGGATTATCGTGGCGCATGGCAACATGAATTGCCTTTTCCAAAGCTCGTATTGCAATGAAGTTGGTCTAACCGGTCGAACGCAGGAATGCTTACCTCTTCCAGGGCTTTTGTTGTACGGTGGTGAGACTTTTGGACACTGCGCACTGTCATGTCCAGTCTCCCTTGAAAATGACCGACTAGAAAGAATCGATGGGATAAGACCCACTCAAAAACGTATGCCGAGGTCGTTGTAGCGGGCGCTACCTAGGTATATGAGTTGTGGCTTGTCGGTTGTTTATTCCGAACCGCCAAGCCCTCCAGTGTTTCTTTTACCTCTCCTCCTCAGGAACCTGTCAAGCACATCCCAGAGAACCATCAAAAAGCTCACGTATCGCATATCTTCTTCGAATTTGCGAGCCGAGGCATGCCAAATAGCGTGGTACAACGTCATTCAGATGTGGGAATTGGACGGCTGGCGTTGGCATTGATGGGTTTCACGGTTGGAAATGATGTGTAGCTGTCAATCAAAGCAAGAGGATATATAACATGAAATTGCGCTCAAAAATTTCATAGGTACCAGCAGAGATCATTTCAAGATAATCACTCATTTGCAGTCAGACTCTGGCATCCTTCCTTAACAGTCATTCTTGATATCTATTCCCACTTCATCGCTATTTTCATTCTCTCATATAGAGCCACCATGAAGGTCTCATCAGTTCTCAGCTTCTCTTCCATCTTTGCGTCAGCCTTGGCCTTCCCTACCTATGGCAATGTTAACGCCCGCCAAACCTGGCAGCCTAGGAACTGGACGGCTCCAGGCCCGAATGATGGTTAGTAGAGATGTCTAGCACATTTTCAGTCGTGATAAGAGCATCCCACTGATCAGTGACTCAATAGCACGTGGACCATGCCCTGGCATGAACACTCTCGCCAACCACGGGTATTTACCGCATAACGGGCGGAAGATCACACGCGATATCCTCGCCGATGCAATGCTCTCGGGCTTCAACATCGCCAAGAGCGACGCCATTATCCTCTTTTCGCAGGCCGTACGCACCAACCCGGAGCCGTTCGCACGTACGTTCGACCTGGACACGTTGGGCCGTGAGGGCGTACTGGAGCATGATTTCAGCCTGAGGTAAATACATCATTCGTCGATCGCCTAGCATATTTCGCACGCTGACGTATCGACCACCTACAGTCGATCTGACCGCTTCTTCGCCAACCCTCTCCCATTCAACGAAACCGTCTGGGCAGAGACAGCCTCCTTCTTCAAGACACCAGAGATCACCATACAACAGCTGGCCGACGCCCGCATGGCACGGCTCGAAACATCGAAGCGCACCAACCCACAGCACAAGACATCGGCGCTGGCTGATGGCTTCAGTTGGGGGGAATGCGCTTCTTTCTTTGAGATAATGGCTGATGGCACCACGGGCACGGTGAGGAAAGACTTTATTGAGTACTGGTTGCGTAAGTTTCAAAATCCATTCAGCGGATGGATAGAGACTGGTTGCTGACGCATATCTGCTGTAGGAAACGAGCGCATGCCTACTGAGATTGGCTGGACTCGCCGTCCGACTGTCATGGAGACTAGCGAGCGTACCAAGTTCACGCGTGCTTTGATGGATGCTGCTGGCCAGGGTACTGGCCTTTCCTTGTCTTCGTGAGCGACTTTGGCAGGTTGTAGCTGTTTCTCACTTGCTGGAAGCTGAAAAAGAAAGGAATGAGTACAGTGTACAAGCTGAATGTGCTCGAAGAATTTCATTGTGTATATATTATGGGCTATAGGCGTACAGGTCCTATCGTTATCCAATTAAACAGGTTGCTTTTGCTGAACAGCTCGGCCAGTCAAAGTCTGCCGATTGAATAAAACAAGTGTTTTTATTCAATATTCGCGTCTCAGAAATCCAAGCGCCGCCAGGGCATGTACCTGAGCCACCTGTACCAACTCCTCAACCGCACAATACTCATCCGGGCCGCCCATATTGAAAGGTGTCAGGCCAAGCACAACCGTGGGAATTCCCTTTTGCCGGAAAAGTCTCGCGTCAGAAGCTCCGACGCGCATATTTACCACGGCCTTGGAACTAATCATATCTTGCGCTGCACTGAGCGTATACTTGACTATTTCTTCTGAAGCGGACGTCCAGGTTGGATCATAGCGCTGTAAGACGCCGAATGAGATTCCCTCGAGAGGATCAAGGTGCTCGTGAATGTACGTGAGCACTTCATCCGTGGAGATTCCATACGGCAGACGGATATCCGTCTTTGCACTTGCAAAATCAGGCACGAGATTCATGCTCGAACCTCCCTCTATCGTGCCCAAATTCACCGTGATGCGTCTCAGCACATCAGCTTCACCCGCGCCAGCCAGGTCCTCTGAAACCGGTTTCGCCGACTCAATCGCCTTCCCGACTTCCTCCACTCCTCGTACTTCCAGCTTTTCCAAGTCCTTGATCCTCTGGATAGCGCTGATGAGTGTATCAATCGCGTTCCGTCCGCGGTGCACATGCGCCCCATGCGCCGCCTTGCCCGTCGCACAGATTTCCACCCACGCCAGGCCTTTCTCCCCGACGCGGACTACGAGCGGAGAGCCAGCGTCGCCGACGATCACGGCATCAGCGTGTTTGACGACATCGACGTGATCCAGCATCCACTTGGTACCCAGATGGCCCATGGTTTCCTCATCGCCAGCCAGCGCGAGGACAATTTTCCCATGCCACTTATCTTTCATCTGAGCGAGCGCACGCATCGCGATGATACTCGCCGCAATCCCGCCCTTCATATCCGCACTGCCTCTTCCATAAAGCCGTAACTTGTCGTCTGACAAACACCCTTCGAGAGCAGGAACTGTCCACTGCGCGGTGTCGCCAATGGGATAGGTATCTAAATGCCCGCTAAAGAGTAATGTTTTGCCAGGCCGAGACGCATGGATGGTGGCGACGACGTTCACGATGCCCGGCGCCGTCTCGTGCAGGGATACATCTGCATTGGGGATGTGTTCTCTGATCAAGGCAACCGCCGCGGCTGCTGCGGAGGAGACGTCGCCGGGCGGATTGGGTGACGCGGCTTGGATGAGGGTTTGAGATCTTTGGATGAGGAGAGGAAGACTGGAGGAGATGGATGTACGGAGGAAAGTCTTCGCGGTGTCGAATTGTGCCATGGGGAGAATTGGAATGAGTGGTTGAGAGACGGCAGTTTGGTATATGGATTCAAGCTTCTTTCATTTCTTTTTTGCCGCAGTCTCTTGATTGTACTCGGGGAGCAAGACGAGTTTTTCGGCGATCAATTTCTTGTTGAAGATAGGTGTGTGTACTTCCAGCTCTCTTCTCACAATCGTGTGTGGCGACTTGTTGATGTGCAAAGTTGGTAGAGTGAATGTTCGTCCGTGCGCATGCGTGGAGTGATGGGAAGACGTGTGCCAGGCTTTCCTGCAATTTGCTGACGAGGCGGGGTAGCCAGATCTATGGTGGAACAGGAGACGCTCGACAGCTAATCAAGAGTGTCAGTGCAGACAAAGTCTAGTTTGCACACATTTAGGAATTCAGGTTGCAAACGCTCATCGTCAAGATATCAGAGAAAACAGTGATGTGAAGAAATGAATACCTCAGCCTACAAAAATATACAAGATAGCGTTGCGAGTGTGCAAAAATGCATGGTATCCCAACAGCTACAACATCAACAACAGCATTCCAACACCTTCAAATCTATACAACGAAGAGCTCTATAGCCAACAACTTATTTGTTGGCCTCGCTTTCCCTCCCCACCACAGGGTTATGTCCCTTCGGATACTTTGAATCGCTCTCGAGCGTCTCCTCAGGCTTATCTACACCACGATTCAGCGCAATTCCCAACTCGAACAATTGTCCACACGCCTCATCGCCATCAAGAACAGGGGCTGGGTTCGACTTACCATGTCTAGCGTACAAATGGTACTCTTCATCTGTGTACTTGCCCACACGTCCACTCTCCACGTCCTTGCGTGTGAGGCTGAGTTTGTTCTTGGGCAGGCCCATGGAGCCGAGGAAGTGCACAGAGTTCTTCCACTCGTTTTCCTTGCGCGTGGAGCTCCAGTTGAGCTCTTCGGCCATGATGTCGATGACGCGCGGGAGGGCTTCGAGGGAGGCTTGCGCGTTGAGGAAGGCGAGACGCATGCGGCGCGCGATCACGTCGACGGCGGTTTGCGCGTACTCGTGGCGCACGCAGTAGCGGACTTCGCCATCGATGTATGGGTAGAGGCTAGAGATTCTGGTGCCGCGAACAGGGAAGCGTTGCTCAGTGGGCGCGGAAAGGGCAGCGACAGTCCAGGCGCGGTCACCATAGGCCTGGCAGAGGTACTTGGCGACATCAGTCTCAATGCCGTAGTGCTGGATTAGGTTGATGAAAAGGGTCTTGGAGTAGCCATGGGCACCGACGAGACGGACGCGGTGAGTCTGGCAGGTACCGTCAAGAGGAGCTTCGTCCTTGACTTCGGTACCACTGATCAAGGTAGCGTCGGTTAGCGGGCTGGTCTTCAGACCAAATTCCTTAATCGCCTCATCGACAGTCTCCTCGGCCATTTGACGGTATGTAGTCCACTTGCCACCGGAGCAAGTGAGCAGACCAGAGGGAGAGGTTGTGACAAGATGGTTACGGACGAGACCCTCAGTCTTGGGCGCGTTGGGGTCCTTGACGAGAGGGCGGATACCAGACCACGCGGCAAGGACATCTCCTCGCCTGACGTTGATCTCGGGCTGCAGGTAGCGCTTGACTTCCTTGAGAATCCAGTCGATCTCGTCTTCACCGGCAACGGGGTTCGGCGTGATTTCACAAGCAGTATCCGTGGTACCGGCGATTGTGTTTCCTTGCCACGGCAGGAAGAAGATGACACGTCCGTCCGAAGTGTTGGGGTCAATGAGACCCATGTTCGCGGGGCTGTAGAATCCAGGAAGAATGACGTGAACACCAGAGCTAGGTGCGACAATCTCTTCGATTGTCTGGTCGTCCATCTTTCGGATAGAGTCGGTGAAAGGTCCAGTAGCGTTGATAACACCCTTGGCCTTGATGGTGAACTCTTCAGCCTTTTTGCCATCGGTTTCGACAACACAGTCCTTTGCCTTTGCTCCACAAAGGCGACCGTTAGCATCCTTCTCGAGGCTTGTGACCTCGAGATGGTTAACGACTGTTGCGCCGTAAAGCGCAGCGGTCATAGCGAGAGAGACGTTCATGCGGGAGTCATTGTGTGCACCATCTGTCATTGTCAGCCAAATTTCCAAACGTCTCATCGCCAATCATACCGTAGTAGACCAACGCTCCAACCAAGCCCTCCTTCTTCAGCATAGGGAATGCATCCAAAGCCTTGCTCTTGGTCATAAAGTACGAGCTCTCAATGTTCTCTGAGCCAGCGAGGAAATCGTAGAACTTGGTACCAGCCCAGAAGTACGGAGCTTGCCACCACTTCTGGAGCGGAATCATGATGGGTAGCCATTGCGACAGATGGGGAGCAGTATCCAAAAAGTAGCGACGTTCGCGGAGAGCTTCGACGACGAGGGCGTATCTATACCGAGTTAGCTCTATCCAGTTCAGAAGTTGAATACGGCTTACTGGTTGTAGTCCAAATTCCACACAGCCTTTTCCAAGTATCGTACACCACCGTGTACCAACTTCGTACTCTTACTGCTCGTCCCGCTGCTAAAATCATCCCGCTCAACAAGCGCGACCTTCAATCCTCTAGTAACGGCATCAAGCGCAATTCCCGCGCCCGTTGCTCCACCACCAATAATCAAAAGATCATACGGCTCTTCTCCCGCATTCTCCTCTGACGCCGGAGCAGCCCCTTTGCCAAACAGGCTCCTCGCCTTATCCTTGACACTCGCAACGACGCCGCCGCTGCGCTTCAATTCCGCAATCTGATCCTCCCTGCTCTTAGCATGGGGGAACTGTGGCGGGCGAAACACGCCACCCTCACCGTACGTAGGCGGCGGGACGACAGCAGCTTCAGTCCCCGGGATATCACGCGGGCGCCATGCGAGGTAGAGAGCTGTGCTGCCGAGGGCGCCAGCTCCGGCTGTGTAGAGCAACGGCTTAAGTACGCGACTTCCTCTTAATCGAGCCGCCATGGTAAATTCTGCGCTCTTGCTTTCCTTCTAATGTGTATGTATGTATGCGTGTGGTGTAATTATCGTCTTTGTATCGTATTGTATCGAATCAACAATCCCAGAGGCTCTGCCTTCACATGCGCGGTCCAAGTCAGCGGCCGCGCTCCGGAGCCCAATCCCTACGCGCGAAGAAAACATACCTCACAAAGCGACAATCTTACGACGACATGGCGAGCGTTTGCGGCGCTCGCAAGTATACCAATTTTTATCCGGGGGAAGGCGGTTTAGGGGAGGAGTTGTAGGAACAATGTTGAGGCCAGCAGGTGTGGAGCTCAAAAGTTTGAACAGACAGCTGCGCTATGCGATGACGACTGGTGGCCGAATATACTCCACCTCGGTGGACCGGCCTAATCTCCCCCGATGTTTTGGGGCTCCCACGCGGGCATCAGCATGGACATTGGGTTTGGGGGTGATTAATCTCGCAAATGGAGAGCCCGACAACATTTGTTTACAATCTCTTTATTTAATGATTTTGTCTTCAATGCTCGTGAAGACTTGGGCAGGCTGTTGCGATTGACAGTCGTAAATGGTGCCGTAGCCGGTCGATCAGTGGGATCCGATAACCCCACATTGACACTGCCAAGGAAACAGAGCCTCATCAAAGATGGAGCCCCATCCTTTTTACGTCGTGGTGACATATGCCATTTTGAGCATGGGATTGTGAAGTACTACTCCGCTCTTGATCCGCAAACCCCATGTTTGACCTTGGGTTCAAAAATCGTGTTGTTCAATACTGCAGAACAAGAGAAATCGCTTCTGGCACTTTTGACGGGATACCCAAAACTGCAAGCCGGGCGCTCAGATGTCGCCTCGTGGCACGGTGTATCCGTTGGGCTGGTTGAAGGGGCATGTACCACGTCGCCATGAACATCTATACTCGAAATGGAAGTATTTCAGAAGTTATGATGCATAAGATGTGCAGCTTACAAGGACGAGCGGTCAACAATCCAGCTTTCACCACCCACCATCCACACCCAAAATCAAGTCAAAAAGAAGACAGTAATCCTTTCTGTATAAACTGTTTTTGTGTAATTTTTGCACAGCCTGTATGGCGTCTCTTATTAATACATCCAACGTCCCACATCCAGTCCGTAACCCAACATAAACCCATCCCAAATCTCACTCATAGAAACAAAAGAAAATAAATCCAACACGCTCAAATCCGAAGCACCCAACTCAAAAGCACAACATCGAGCGCCACTATAGCCGCTGCAACACACCCCACGGCGCCCTGATGCACCCACCCGAGTCTCTCTCTTCTCGTCTTCATACTAATAAGCGCCACCAACACTAGCACCATGGTACATATCGTTCCAAAAAGCACGCCGACGTCCACCGCACCGCGCTCCTTTTTACGACTTGTCATCGTCATAAGACCGAGTATGACATCGATGACGATGGCTGTGGCCAGACAGGTAAGGTAGAAGCGCAATTTGGTCATTTCGGTCTTGTGCTGGCGGACCTCGAGCTCGGTGAGGAGCGACCTACGCTCCTGCAGAGCTTGGGCGTCGCGCTGAGGGTCACGGAGAGTGCGGAAGAGGCTGCTGAAGTAGCCTTCTTGTGAGGACTTGGCATTCAGGGTGGGCATGGTGCCGTAGCCTGCGGATTGAGTGATGGGTGAACTGTCCAGTGTACCGTCGTCGCTTGTGTCGGAGCCGGGAGATTGAAGGAGTGACTCTTCGTCAGGTTGCTTTTTGCGACCGAACCACTGTTTGGTCTTTCTTGATATAGCCTCGAAGAGCTCTTGACCAGGAAATTTCACGGGCGCGTCTGGGTCTACATAGATGTAGTAGCCGCCCGTGTCTTCATCTTCAGGGTGATCGTATTCATTCCAGTATCGCTGCGGTTCTGGCTCATGTTCCGCTGAGCTTATTGGGGGCGGGTACTCCGCAAATGGTTTTCTGTGCTTCTTGCGGAAAGCCTGTAGTGACGGCGCATCAACAAGTTCTGAAGTGACAGACGAGTCGCCAGTGTGATATGCGAGTGGGCTTGTTTGCCCGTCGTATGACGTGTTGGAGGTAGAAGTCATTGGTGGGGAGCTCTGTGACATTGTCTCGGTGCTGCTGCTCTTGATGGCCTTTCGACTTCTCCTCTTGACCAATTCTGGTAATTTACGGATATCTTGATCCAATAGAGGTATCTGGGGAACGTTAGTGGATTTTCAGGGATATGCTGGCGACAGAAACGATGCTCAATCACAAGTCGACAGAAGAGTACTTACCCAAAAGGGCGAGGTCATAGAGGCAGGCTTGCAGCAGGTCCAGACAGCATGAGATTCGATAGAAAACCCTCGAACGCGCTCAACCTATGCTTGTTAGTTGGTGAGCCTGTAAGTACAAGAGTAGGGCAACATACCAAATGGCTGCGATCAAGAGTCTGAATGAGCGATGCCGCATGAGCACCCTCCCTACGGACCTCAAGTATAGCATGTGGGAATTTGATAGCGTTTGAGCGAGCAGCAGATGGCCAATCGGCATTGGCAAGGTCCTGGCTCATGGAACCTTTCATGTAGACTTCCTTATCTAAGGTCGCCCAAAGACCGGCTCCAGAATTGTTTTGAAGGCCTACAAAGCGAGTGCGCTTCGACCCAACGCCTGCAATCGGCTTTACTTCTTTGTGTTCTGTGAGCCACTGGCGAACAGCTGCGAGTTCGTTGTTGCTGCGACTGGCTTGGTCTTCCTGTGTGCCACTAGCCTGCGTCTGTTCACTCCAGAGCCCTGGTAGAGTCTTCAAGCTGGTTCTAGCTGTCTTCACTTCACTTTCTGTTTGCTTTTGATCATTGGTATCGATGCGAACAACCACTGCAGCGTCACCCGACGAGATACAATGCACATTACCAGCAGCTTTGAAGATGGCATTGCCTTTCGTGGCCTCAGTCGAGCTTATCGTGCTCGCGTTCTGCTTGAAAGCAAACGCTTCGGCGTGGTCCAAGACAAGAAGGCCCACTTCGTCTCCGTTTCCAAAATACTTATCTGTGTTTGCTGCAGACGATTTCCGGCGGGTTGGCGACGGGCGTGCAGACTGGTTGCGCGACGAAGATCTGGTGCTACCAGTATAAAGCCGCATGTGTTGAAGAAGCAATACTTGGGTTTCCACAAAGTGGTCGGGATGTATCCAGTAGGTTGCTCTGGTGCCATTGGACCCGAGAGGAACGGTAGTTAATGCCGTATCAAAGTCCAGGTCGTCACCTCGTTGCAGAGCCCTCGCGATGCTGGCTGCCGCCGATTGTGTATTATCATGTTTCGTTTCGGCCGCCGTATTGCCATCGCCATCGAAGACTGCGCGAAGAGCGTCTAAAACGTCCTGGTATTGCTCAAGTAGATAGCCCAGTCTAAGCTTGAACAAGCTGTCGGGTCGGTTCTTGATCTGCTCTGTGAAAGCTTGAGCCATTTCCCTATCACCTGTCCAGCGCTTGTACTTCTTCAAGATCTTGGTGAAGCCAGTTTCCTGAGCGACTTGAAATCGAGACAGCGAGCGGATCTCCTCTCCAGTCCTGTGTGGTGTCAGTTGACCATGTCCGGATGTAAGTACCGGAGCACTCCACGTACCGATTGACGTCCGCATCTATCTTCGCATATTTCTCCACCGTTCTGGCCGGCAAGCGGGCACCATTTGGGCCTGCGCGCTGCTTCTGCCGCAGCTGCTCTAAACTCTTCTCGATGTGTTCCAGCCTTCGCTCAATCTCGCCACTCTTGCTGCGTACGAACAGGTTGATCCGGTCATGCTGGGCTTGGAGAACTTGGAGAAATGTCTCGCCGAATGCTCGCTCGCTGCTCTCGCCCTGACCGGGGATCGATACGGCTTTGTTCGTGCCGGGCGTCGTCTGGTGCTTGATCAGGTCTTTAAGGTAATCATAGTCGATGTTGTCTGGCGCACGATTAGCCTAAGGACTTTGGGCAGAAACAAGGCTAGCACATACAATGTCCCCATTCTGGAATCGACCGCAAGCGAAGGGTGTCGCCGAACTTCATCTGCGATTGCGATAAGGGGAAGAGAAGATGCGCTCCGGTTCGGGCAGAGGCTCCACGCGGCTATTGATGTTTGGTGATACAGCGAACGAGCGAACTGCACGACAGTCAGTCAGAGAGCACCGGGCATGGCGTGCTTCATAAGAATGGCGGCGTGAGTGTCAACGGTCGCAAAACAGCCGCAGTTGCAGCGAGCCAGTGAAGCGAACAAGTAGTGCTGATCGCGGAGGACTTACCGATATGCTCCAATTGGAGAGGCTGATTAGACAATAACACTGCGACTGAGGGTACCGCTGCTAAGGAGGAGAGTTTGGTGCTTGGGAGAGTGACGTAGGGCCGATTCGGGAGTGGCTGTGGAAAAGCGCGGACGGCTGCTGAAAGGAAGCGACAAGACGGCACCTGGGGATCCCAGATGGATATACTGGCGATCGAAGCGCCAGGTACTGCCGACCGGAAATCACAGCCATGGCCGTTGTGCTCGAAGTCGCGAATGCAGCCAGTGTTCGCGCTACAGACGATCCTGTTTCCCTGGCCGGCCATGCCACCTATTCCGTGTCGCCGCTGGGTCAGAGCACCGATGGCCCATGTCGCACCAGATACCGGGGAGCCGCTAGCCTCAACGCTCTCATCGTAGGCTCGGTTAATGAACTGATGTTGCTAACGGCTGCGAAGGAACTGCTGCCGCCCCGCCACAGACACGCATCGTGGGCGCATTGTCGCTGGGGATTGGCCTGCGTCGATGAAAATTTCTGGCAGAATTCCACCTATGCGCCATCACCCTGTGCCAGGAGGGCCAGGAGGCAAGCGATCGAGGTCGCCGTGCTGCAAGCCGGTCCACATAGCCACTAGGACTGTTGAACTTGCAGTCTTGTCGTCCCAATGCGGCAACAGAGCACGCTTCCCTTTGCCTATACCAGCCTCCGCCTAAGACACAGCTTACAGGGTTCCGGCAGCTGCATATAGCGACGGCATTGTTGTTGCGTCGATCAAATCGGCCCGTACTAGTCACAGATATCCTCGCACTTGCAGAATCTCCCCAGCGACTTCCGCGCGTGCATCCATCGAAACACCATTGCGGCTCGTCATGAATCGCAAACCGCTGCATCTCCACCTCCACCGTCCCGCGGAAGAGGGTCGCACGGCGAGAGTGGGATTACAGTGGGCCAATAGCTGAAGACCCATAGAGCTACGGAGCAGCTTGACTTGCACTCTAGCATGGCCTGGACTCAGTTGACTCGAGTGGTTTGAAAGCATTATTTCAAACATCGATCCATGATGTTTGCCAGAGCCAACATCCAATGCAGTCACGCATTCTGTGGGTTTGGCCCAGTCACGCGCCCCCGATACAACCGCATTGTGCAGATCCTTGCTGGCGATACAGGAAAACTTTCTTGAAGGAGCGATGCGCATATTCGAGACTGCACACTGCCTGCGCAATCATGGAGTTTCTGGACAGGGTCTTTTGCTCTTGGCTGCAGATGCATCTCATCGAATCGAGCCGAGGCATCACTCACTTGTCCCGCACTCTCGTTTCGAACCTCACGGTCTGAAGTTGTGACACATCCGCGGCCTGCAAACGATGAATGTAACCGGTCACGGGCGCTAACATCAGAACACGCCGAAGACTAGCTTTGAAGAGAATGGCGATTTCTTCGTCCTAAGGCATCAAATTGCCCGAGAAGAAACGCCAAATTAACCAGATTATAATAAATCGACATGTCGAACAAGGTTCCAAACTAGAGTTGATTTTGACCGCCGCCAACATACAAGCATATCCCAGCTAGCCTGGTGGAAGCAAGCTGCTGTCCACAATGTCCTCCGCTTCCTTAGTCTCGATGTCGTCGGTTCCGTGCAGCGGTGAGCGCGGCAGCGCCATAAGACCTGGAAATTATTAGCAAAAGCTTTACGGGAGGTTATGGAAGTGCTGACCTGTCCGCGCAGACTCAAGGATGCCAAAGGGCGCAATCAGCTTCATGTAAGAGTCGATCCTGGTAGGCTTTGCAGAAATCTCAACAATGCAGTTGTTGGTGCTGATGTCCAAGACCTTTCCGCCGAACTGGTGGGTCATGAAGGTGATAGCTCGGAGATGTTCGTGCTTGTGTCGGAGCGCTTGACTGACTGCCAGGTTCGACGGGTGGAAATCCCTCCTCAAAGACTCGCGAGCGGCCTCTTGCGCCAAAGCATCACGGTCTCCCTCCGACAGCTCCTCCTCGGGCTCTGGCATCTGGGCCATTTCTCGGTGGTGAGCAAGCAGCTCCTCGAAGTACTCGGGGCCGAGAATGGAGATCTTGGCGAGGAGCAGTTCGCGCTGAACTAGTGGTGACTCAGTGTAGTCCAACACGGCCCACACCGGCACCAAGGTCCTCAAGCTGGCGGCGTGCCTGCTCTACTACGCCATCTTGACCTTGCAGCACAATAAGTCATGCGAGAGAGATCGTCCACCTCGGTATTGCATACCACCAAGCTGTCAATGTTGAAGCCGCGGGCAGCCAGAATTCCAGAGACGCGAGAAAGCACACCAGGCTCGTTCTGCACCAAGCAGTTGAGGATATGACGCTTCGGGGGGATCTGGGATGGCACAGGCGTCTCGTAGAGGATGTTGCTGACGGCAGCCGGCGCGGACCAGGCGGGAGGACGCTCTTCGGTAGGCAAAGGGGCGATTCGGCGGTGCAGAGCTTTGTAGGCGAGTGCTTGTGTTGAGGATGAGCTCGATGCTCGCTGTTGCTGGCGCACAGCACCTGCGCATTGCCGGTTCAGCAGGCTGCGCAGGGGCAGAATAGCTCGTCGAGATGCCATGGTATGTCGCCTGGTCCACGATGAGGCAATTGAAATGCGAGTGGCCTCTCAATGCTGCGCTGACGCTGGCGGTAACGAACACGATTTAATCACAGATGTGGAATGAAATTCCCCAGTCAGCGCGCTGCGAAGTCGGCAATCCGAAAACGGCAGGATCTACCGAGGTTCTAGCGGCAGTTCGCCAAGACCTTCGTGCAGCCTCGAGACTCGCTAATAATCTTCAAACTCTCCCTCGACTCCAACACACCATCTCTCGCACCCAAGCCTGCGCAACATGTCCGAGGAACGAGCCCCGCGCTCCCGCTTTGACAGCGACGACGCTGACCGCCCCGTCCGCTCGCGCTTCGATACCGACCGCCGCTCACGCTCGCCTTCGCGACGCGAGTCCGAGTCGCATCGCGCGCGCAGCCCAGTCACTCGTGAAGCTTCAGACAGCCCCGCCGCCGGTGGCATCAAGAACAAGGCAGCAGCAGCAGCGGCTGCGGCGGCTGCGAGGATCAACGCGCAGATCCAAGCGAAGAAGGGCATCCAGCATGTCGACGTGCCACCTATTCGCTCTGTATGTGCCAGCTTTGTGCCGCTTCACATGTGCAACACTAACGCATCTCAGGTGCCTACTCCTCCAGTCGTCAAGTCGCCCTCTGCTGGCCCCGGCCAGGCTGTCTCCAGCGACATCTATCAGCAGGACGGGGACTTTATCAAGGACATTGAGATCAACGATCTGCGTAACCGTTACACACTGACTAAAGGAGCTGTACAAAAAAGGGTAAATAACTTTTGTCGTCTGCCACTGATTCTCCAGGATCATGCTTTCCTTGCAGTCTCTGCGTCATCTGCCCAGTGCGGAACCGTCGAGCTGCAAGCTTGCTTCGTGTTTGCAATCTCTCCTTGTGGGAGTAGAGCTTACTTGATCTTTTAGACACCCCAACCCGTCTTTCAAATGCTGACCTCATGTGACATCTAGATCAAAGACGAAACTGGCGCTGGTACGCAACCCCGAACACATTACTTCACGATTGTAGAACAACCTGCTTATACATGCCCAAGATGTTACAACCCGAGGAGAATACTATCCTGACAAGAACATGGCTACAGCTGCTGTAGGTGGACTGGGTACTCGCACCAGAACTCAAACTAACGTCATCAGAACCCCCCACTTTACCTTCGCGTCACTAGCACGTCCAAGGAAGGTCTGGACAAAGCCACCAAGATGATCGAGGAGATGATGAAAGAAGATCTGCCTAACCTTGTAGATGAGCGCCGTTTCCGTCGCCGCGAACCAGACAACGTTGAGCGCGACGAGTATGGCCGAGTACGCTTCTCTACCACATGGACAGACATGATGCTAATTTTGTACAGCGCAAATGGCCTGAAGAGAAGATCTTTGTAGGTCTTGAGCCCATCAGTGGCTTTAACCTGCGAGCACAGGTAGTTGGTCGTGGTGGCGACAACGTCAAGTACATCCAGCAAGAAACCACCTGCAAGGTCCAGATCAAGGGTCGCGGCTCCGGCTTCATGGAGCCACAGTCCGGAACGGAGAGCGACGAGCCCATGTATCTGCATATTGCCGGACCTCGTCCCGAAGGTGTAGCCCGTGCCAAGGAGCTTTGCGATGAGCTTCTCGAGAAGGTAAAAGCCGACTACCAAGCTTTCAAGGATCGACCACCGCAAAGCCGCAACTATGGTGACAGAGAGGGCTACGGAAATGGACGCCCGTCATATGGTGATCGAGGCGACCGCGGTGACCGTGATCGGAGCCAAAGCTACGGCGGCTATGGCGGAGGCCAGAGTGCTTATGGTGGACATGGAGCTTATGGAGCCTCTAACGACGCCAGATCACCTTCTGCTGCTACTCCTGCTGATCAGAACGCCCAAGCCGTCGACTACAACGCTCAGTACGCCCAATGGGCCGCTTACTATGCTCAGAACCCTGCCGAGGATCCCTATGCAGCCTACGGTGGCTTCGCGGCTGTCATGGCTCAGTACTCACAAGCAGGTGCTGCCCAGCCTACTGCCGCAGCAGGCTACGGTGCGTACTATGGTCAAGCTTACGGTCAGACACAGTCGCCTGCTCCTGGTGCTGGTGCTGGAGTACCACCACCACCTCCTCCATCCGACAACACGGGCTATGGAGCACCACCGCCACCACCGCCTCCCGCTGCTTCGCCTCCAGGTGGCTACGGCGCGGTATGTATAGCTCAGACCACCACTTCGACTCCAGCTAATCTCAACAGGTTCCTCCACCTCCCGGTCTGTAAGTCTGTCAAACGACTCACTCGAGTCGAGCACTTACGACAGCATCTACGCCTCAGCTGCGTTTCTTTGCCTTTGCTCTAGTTACGATCTTAAAACTCTATTGGGTTAGGGTCGAACATGATTGCGATGGCGTTGGCTTGCAGCTTTTCTTGCCGTTCAGTAGAGAACTGGAATATCATCAATATGAACAAAATTATATCAAAAAGCCAATCATGTGTCATTGCGAACTATATATACAGTGTAGCAATATGTCTTTGTGCCACATACCCCCGTAACGCCATGACATAAGGAAACAACCGTTGCAAAATCCCAGACTCGAGCTATCCAGCCACTCAAAGCCTATTGTACACCAACATCTGTGCGCCCGCCACACCATCCCAAACCCTACCTCCCTTCCCAACTCACAACCTAACATGCGCCCCAATCTTCCCGCCCGCAAACCAAATCTTCTCATTCCACTCGCCAATCCTGAAATTCACATTCGCAAACGCACTCAACTTGAGCGTGCCGCCGAGGGCATTGCGAATCGCATCGTACCCGATGCCGCCAAAGCTCCAGTCCACAGGGATTCTCGGACTCTCGCTGACGCCCGGGGGCACGGCGAAGGGCAGGTCGTACAGGATGACGCCGGCGGGGTGGCCCTCGTAGTACGCGGTGGCGTTCATGTGTGTGATGAACATGGTGGTGCGCTGGAAGGGGGAGTTGAGGACGAAGGTTGCGGTGGAGGAGATGAGGTGCATGGTTGTGGATTGGATGAAGTGGTCTTTTTGAGGTTCGTCATCGTCATCGTCGCCGTCGTTGGGGTCCTTGGGATGGCGGAGGTGCGGGGCGGGGAGGGTGATGGGGTATTTAGATAAGAGGTGGCTGAGGCCTGGGAGCGCGGGGATCGTGGCGTTGTGGGCTTGCAGCGTGACGCTGGTGTTGAAGCCGGAGATGTACTGCGAGAGCATTTCGGAGCCGACTTCGCGGCCTTTCGCACCGGCTGTTGGTGAACGGGTCCCAGAGGGCGGTGGCGATGAGGTTGGTGTTGTTGCCGGGTTTGACTTGCATGTCGTTGATTAGGGCTTGACCGAGGACGGTGCCGTTGACGAGGATGTTGATGCTGAAGTAGGGGATGGTCGCGGAGTAGTTGGACGGATTCGTAACGTTCACGTGGACTTGCATGGTCATCGAAGTCGGTGTGGTCTTGATGATGGACAGATTGCCAACCGCGAGGTTCAGGGCAGCGAAACGAGATTTGAGATCGTTGCCGCCATCGTGGTGAGGTGCTGGAGCGTAGACGTTAGCCTTTGGAGGACCACGGATGAACTGGACCACGAACTGGATTACGAACGTTTGACTGGTACGGATCCCTCTGATGGGATGCCGCGGATCGCGAACTTGCCCATGGGGGTGTCTACTCCAATGCTGACCATGGCTTTCATGTCTAGAATGATGGGCTTGCCATCGCCGAAAAGGAGTGCCTGGACGACTTCGCTGAACAAATCATTGTCGAGAATCTCAATGGGCGCATTCTTGATTTCGGATTGCACGAGCAGAGAGGGACCTTCCTTTCCATGACCATCGACCCGGGTGGAGTTGGCCTTCTGCCACTTGTGCATGTTCAACTTTCCAAGCTTCTTGTTCTTGTAGTAAATATCGGCATCCGCCTTGATCTGATTGACGTCGAGCGGAAAGTTCATCTCGTTAGGAATTCCAACATCGACAATGACAACAGCAGAAATCTTAGGTGAGCCCTCCGGGGTTCCGGGCTCAGCGAAGGGATCCGGCAGGGAGAAGTGCATGTCGGCCATGCTGAAGTTTTTGACAAGGTTGCCCATGCCCTTGCCAGTGAAAGGCACCGGTACCGTAATATCCTTCAACAAGTCGCGCGCCCATTCTGGGGTGTTGGGGTCGGGGAAGTTGCAGCAGTTGATGTAGATGGTAGCCTCAGTTCCCTTCATATAGTCACCAATGAAAGCATCAAGTGGTGATTTGGCTGACTTTGGGCACACCTCAGTCAGAGCCTCGGACAAGTGCTCGACGTTGCCGTTGACGTTGACCTCGATGTCGGTGTTGGGCTTCACGTGGAGTTCTGAGCTCTGCGCCGTGCCGACGAAAACCTGCTTGTCGGACGAGCAGCCGTCAATGGACACATCAACGCCCACTGCAGGAAGCGTGATGTCGACAGGGAAGTCGTTTGCAACGATGATGGAAGCATCGGCGCCCATACCCTTGCGGCCATGCTTGGCCTCGTGGATGTTGAGCTTCGTGATGTTGTAGTGCGGCAGCGCAGGGATATCGCCTCCTTTGAAGACCATGGAGTGTTCGACGAATTGCTTGCCGACGTTGATCAAGCCAGACTTGACGGGTACTTCGGCCTTGCCCTTGACTCTGATCTGACCCAGGCGTCCGTCAATGTAGTCGTTTGCGACATTTCGGATGCCGTCTGGAGATCCAGGTTGAACGCTCGTCACGAAAGAGATATGCGTAGTGTGTCCGTTGCGGATGCTAACCTTGATGCTGGGGATCTTGGCCGTGCCGAGCAAGACGTTCCCATATTCGGGCAGGTAGACTTGCGCGTCAAAAGGACCAGTCTCGGCTTCCTTTGCGATCCAGGTGCCGAATCGTCCAATGTTGCGCACACTCTGCTTCCTCACTTTTGATGCATCCATGGTGAAGTCGCCCTCTATCCGCACCTGGGCGCCTTGATCGGCCAGGCCGTCCAGCGATAGCTTAGTCGGCTTGAAGTCTGCTGCCTGCATGGCGTACTCCTCGATGCCTTCGGACGCGAGGAATCCGAGCATAATGCATACTACGGAAATGCTCAGAATCACCAGCGCAAGTATGCTGGGCCATCGCTTCTTCCAGAGAGGTGTTTTGCCGCTCGCACTCGAGCCGCTCAGCGTCCGCAGCAGCGAAGCCGAGGCTGGTGTGCGCGGCGCCTCTTCCCGCTCATCGTCGCTTCTGTCTTCGCGCGCAAGCAGCGGCGTTTGCTCCGTGGTCCGACTCGACTTGTGCGATCGGGTGGATCGTGTCGAGCGGGTCGACTTCTGGGAGGCGGGTCGCGAACCTGGTGTCCGGGTGGAGCCCCACTGCGCCTCGGGCGACTCCATGGCTGGTGAGATGGAAGGAAATGAGCAGCCGGGCTCTTAAGGTGTCATGCGTCGCGGAGTGGTGATGGTGAGGGTGAAGGTGTTGGCGTTGGTGTAGGAGTGGGCGTGACAAGACGCGCAGCTTGGTTGAGGCCCTGTCTTCGTCATGACCTCAGCCACCATGGATCGCTATCCGGCTCTAACGGCCCGCGCTAGTGCACGTTCCTGGCCTGTCATCCTTCCCCACTCAGGACGCGCTCGAAGGCGGTCAACAAAAGTTCTGCCGTGTGACGATATCGCTGTGACTCTAAAGTTTGACTCTTACAGTCAATTGGCACAATTTAAAAGCTTCAATTCGTCCCAAGAAACTTCTCAATTCACATCAGCCATCATGCCTGCCCTCCGACCAGCGATTGCGGCTCTCCGAAGCTTGCAGCGCACTCAATGCCGCCGATATTCGCTCGCAGCGTCGCCAGCTACTCCCCAAACTTCTCCATTTGCGCCTCGACACTTGATGTCAATCGCAGATCTCACACCCGCTGAGCTCACCACACTCGTCCGGAATGCCGAAAACCACAAGACTTCAATCAAGTCAGGGACCGGCGAGATTCCACTTTCGATGCGCGGGGCATTGGCGGGGAGGACAGTGGCCATGACATTCAGCAAGAGGAGCACCCGCACACGAGTATCAACAGAAGGCGCAATTGCAGCATTCGGAGGCTCTCCCATGTTCTTGGGCAAGGACGACATCCAATTGGGCGTGAATGAATCGCTCTACGACACATCTCTCGTGCTCTCTAGCATGACAGCTGCCATTGTCGCCCGTGTCGGTCCCCACTCGGACGTCGCAGACCTCGCCAAACACTCTTCAGTGCCCGTCATCAACGCCCTGTCCGACCTCTACCACCCTCTCCAAACCATCGCCGACTTCCAAACAATCTCCGAGATCCACCCGTCCACCTCTACGACATCACTGGGTCTCGAGGGTCTCAAGATTGCATGGGTAGGCGATGCAAACAATGTGCTGTACGATCTTGCCATTGGTGCTATGAAGCTGGGAGTTGACATCTCCGTTGCCACACCCGCGGGTTACGAGATCCCCAAGGAGATGAAGACAGTGATTGAGCATGCTGCAAGCACCTCACCTCGCGCCGGAAAGTTCATCGAGACCAGGGTACCAGAAGACGCCATCAAAAACGCAGACATCCTCGTCACAGACACCTGGGTATCTATGGGCCAAGAAGAGGAAACTGCGAAGAGGTTAAAGGCATTTGAGGGCTTCCAGATCACATCCGAGCTTGCGAAGCGTGGAGGTGCAAAGGAGAGCTGGTCATTTATGCACTGCTTGCCTCGTCACCCAGAAGAGGTCAGTGATGAGGTATTCTACGGCCCCAGGTCCGTCGTCTTCCAGGAGGCAGAGAACAGGCTGTGGGCAGCCATCTCAGCGCTAGAAGCGTTTGTTGTGAACAAGGGCAAGATCGTGAGTTAATCTACTATAATCGTTTCCCACAAGCTAAATGCATTTCAGCAATGACTTGATCCGTGGTTTGAGTGACGGCGAAAAATAATGTATGAATGCAATTGCACTGCTGCGTATTGAGCGAGACTAGGGCTATCAGATATCAAAAGTTTCAGTCAGGCCATATTCCAAAAGCCCAACGTCCGCAATGAGAAAATTTAAGTGGCACTGCATTTCCCCTCCTCGTTTCTACATTTGAAGCCTTGGTTGAAAGCGGGCACGTCATGAAAGTCTGTCATCCATCCACATTGTCATCTCGCCCTCCACTCTCCCCAAATCCTACTCCTTAATCCGCCCATCCAGCACCATCTGCCGAATCGTCTCAATGCTCTTCTCCACCGCCATCTTACTCGTCTGCAGTCACACATTAGCATCCCATCCCCAACCCCCAGATCATTCCACTTACACCCTTGAGTTTCTCCCTCTGTGCCTCCGCCTCCGCACTCCCCTCCCTTAAATCCGGAAACCTGAATTCAAATGCATACGTCATGTACAGCGCCCCATCCGCGCCGTCCGAAATAACATTCTTGACCACGCTGCCGTCTTCTTGCTCGAAATCGACCTAATCACATCATCACACACGATTAGCCATGATCTTCTCCTTTCCCTTTCCCCTCCCCTTACACAATCAAACTCACCCAACTCGTCCCAAACCCCCTAACTACCTCTCGCGCTTTCTCCTTCGGCCCCACGCCCGGCTTGAACACCACGTCTCGAGTCACTACGCCGTCTTCTTCAGAGAGCACGGAGCACGACGCGATGACGGGTACGAATTCCTGCGCGAATCGGATTTTGCGCTGCAGCCCGGCCCAGACTTGTGCGTGGGTGAGGACGGGGGTGGTGGAGAGGGGGTTGATGGGCGCGGTGTAGGCGAGGTGGAGGGTAACCATTTTGCGGGCTGATTTGGAAATGGGGTTTAAACTTGGGGAGATGGGGAAGTGGTGACGTGAGTGGTGGGGTAACTTGAACCTCAGTGTGAGGAAGGATAAGAGGGTATATAAATTGAATTGATGGCGAGAAGTAATTGTTCAGGAGTATTGTTTAGCGTTCTAGTAAAGGTGCGGCTCAAAGACACCTTTATACCAAGGTTTTCTCACTCAAGTGTTGGCGCTGTTGTCGGCCGCGAGTTAAGCTAGTCTGGGGCGTTGATTGTGTAAGGTGACTTGTTCGGCTCCACGCAAGTCCGACATTGGGATGCTTACACAAGCCTCCTTTTCGCAAACAGCGCGAAGCACCGAGACGTAAGGGTCAGCGATATTGCAATTTTCACGGAGTTAGATGACTGAGCTTGGGTGCGTTTAATACGAGATGTCATGACACAATCAACACAGGTCAAAGATAGCAAGAGTATGCCAGTAATCTCATGTAATTCACCAGCAGTGCCGATATGGTAGGAGTATCAACAATATGCACACTCCATAGTCTGGTTATGATAACAAATTTGACGCAGTGGAAGCAATTTTTGGGTGCGCCAGACAGATGATGGTATCCTTCAATGCGGGAATAGACAAAAGGAAAGTGGAGTAATGATTTATCCGCTGTCGTCGCTGCTATTGCGGTGTAGTGTGATCCAACGTCGAGCCTGTTGTTGCGTTTTCCGCGCTTCTCAAGACGAGTCGCTCTCGAATAGATAGCCGTCGCTGGAATCTTCTGCTGCAATGGTGGCTGGCTAGGCACCACTGGCCACACCTCTAATGTTTATTCCGCCTCCTGAAGAGCCGTTGCCAGCGCCTTTGATGTTGATGCCCTCCTGACTGCGCCCGCGGATATTAATGTCAGTGTCGCGACTGATACGGTCGACCAGGTTGCGTCGAGGTTTGGGCTCAGAGAAGTCGTTGAACGCGGGTTCTCTGTCGTCACCCTTGAGACGGCCATATGAGTGATCGTCGTCGTCATCGTCCCGTGTGATGCGGTCGGCTAGCGATCGTGTCTGCGGCACGACCGGACGTCCATCCTTTGTCATACGTGACAACAGAGATGCACCCTTGCCCGTCGAATCCATTGCATCTGAGCGGCGGTGGTTGCCCATCGGCGAGCTGTCGATGAAGGAATCTGTTTGCCAGCGCCCTCCTGAAGTGCCGTAGTTTGCACGATCATGGGTCCACCGGTCAGCGCTCGGCTCTCGTCTTCTCCGAGGGTTGCGGCTGCGGCTCCGGCTGCGGTAGCGAGTGCGCAGGTTCGAATTGTCTTCGGCGAAACCAAATCTACCGTCGCCGTCGTTCGAAGTTGGTGAGGCACTGCGACCCCGTAGGCGGCCGAAATGCGTCTCGCGGGGACTGAAAACTGTTAGCTTTGATGCGTTGTCACTGGTGGCTTTAACGTACCTCCTGGATCCTGGGCGGTAGGAGTCGACATCTGCACCAAGCCTGCCAGATTCTCTATCATCCCTCAGCCGTCCAGAGTTCCTGTCATCTCTGCCTCTGTCGTTCCGGCGGCCGCCCCGACCTCGCGTGTCCCGGTTGTCTCGGTCGTTTCGGCGGAATGTGTTGTTCCTTCGTCTCTCGACGCCAGAGTCCTCGTCCATCGACTCATCGCCGCTGCTGCTTCGAGTTAGCACGTCCCTGTAGAAATTGTACATGTAAAACCCACTTTCTCCTCCTTCGGGGTCTTGAGTCTCGCGAGCCACTGTCCTCCTCGCCATAATCTAAGAAATCCCTCTGCGGTGGCTGTCGCTTCCGCGGTTCCCTCTCGCGATTGCCGCGTACATCAGGGTTCCGTTGGTAGTAGGTGCTGCGGTTTGCCGCGCCCTTGGGCTTCTGGTCTCCATCGTTCGCCTCGCGTAATCTCAGGATGCTGTTCGGCTTCTTCGTGTATGTCTTGGCTCGGCGGCTGTCTTGTAGAGCGTACGAGTTGGGGTCGCCGGCCTCTTCATGGGTGAGCAGTGCCAGTGCCGCGGCTGCGTCTTCTGAGCTGTAGAACTCCAGGTTGACAGAAGAGTCGCTGACCCATCGCAGCTGCTTCACACGTGGCTCGGAACCAATCGCCTCCATAGCATAATACAGAGGGTCATTGGGGTCGAAGTCCTCAACACCTTGTAGATTCAGACACTCGGGCCAGGCTTTGTGAGGTTGTGTGTCGAGGTTCTCGTAGTAGGCAGCAGGCATGCTGTTCTCGTCCTTGGAGGCTGGGGTTTGCTATGCGGCGCGTCAGTCAGGCCTGAGAGCAGCCTTGCGCATGCTTTACCTCAATAATTTGTTGAGGCTGTTGCGCCGGCGCAGCGACAGGGGCTCCGACATCGATGTCGATGTCGTAGCCGGCGTCTGTCATATCGGTATCCATGGCGGCGGTCGTGTGAGTGGTATGCGTCGTGTTGGTGATGTGCACAGCAAATGCGCGGGGTGGTGAGGTAGGGAAGCTTGCTCGGCTGGGGTGCAGCTTCGCGACCGAGCACGCTAACGCAATCTTGGCGGACCAGGGGTGGTGAGCGGTGAACGATGAGGCGGTGCTTCCTCTCACAGATACGAGGCCAAACTCAAAATGTCGTGCAGATGCAAGGTACTGCAATCCCAAATGCCTTTCGCTTCCTTTCTATACCTGAGAAGCACGGACACACGGTCTTGCTCACTGTTCCAGATGCAGATCAAACAACGAAAGGTCTCGCATTACGAAGTACTGTCAAGACAACTACAAAGAGCTATGCTCCGATAGCAAACATCGACCGCCACACAGCTTACGATTGACCCTCCAGCGTGAAAGTTCCGGTCTTTGTGATGAGATATTCGTTCACCGCCACACAGCTTACGATTGATCCTCCAGCGTGAACGTTCCGGTCTTTGTAATGAGATATTCGTTCACCGCCACGTCCTTACCTGACTCCTTTCCATAACCGCTCTGCTTGATACCACCAAATGGTGATTCGGCAGCCGATGAGTTACCTACAAACACGTCAGTGGGAAATCACACAAGTTCAGGTTTTGACTCACCGGTATTGAGACCAATCATGCCCGCCTCAAGATTCTCAAATAGTCTCCACAGACGGTCGACGTTCTTGGTGAACAAATACGATGCAAGACCCATGCTGGTGTCGTTCGCCGCCTTGACAACCTCATCTTCAGTCTCAAACTTGATGAAAGTGCTGATGGGTGAGAAAACTTCCTCTTGTGCGATGTCCATGTCAGGAGTCACGCCTGTGATGACTGTCGGCTCGAAGAAGTATCCGCCATTCTTCTCGACCTTGTTGCCACCAGTATGGATCTTTGCTCCCTTCTTCCTCGCGTCTTCTACTAGAGCCAACGCTTTGTCCACTGCGCGAGGTGTGGTCACTGGTCCCATAGTGGTCTTCTCGTCCGCGCCATGGCCAACAACTATTTTTTGAGCTTCTGCATTCCAGCGCTCCAGGAACTTGTCAAAAATGCCCGACTGCACGTAGATCCGATTTGCAGTGATGCAAGCTTGGCCAGCATGGCGGAATTTCAGTGCAAAAACTTGTGCGATCGCCTGCTCAATGTTTGCATCATCAAAAATGAGGACCGGACAGTTGCCTCCCAGCTCGAGCGTGACCTTCTTCAAATTGTCCGAGCAGATCTTGGCCACCAGCTTTCCGACTCTGGTCGAGCCCGTAAAGGTCACCTTGTTGACAAGAGGGTGTCGGCAAAGCGCCTCACTGAGTTCCGGTGTCTTGTCGAGATCGGTCGTCAGCACATTGAGCGCACCTTTCGGGAAACCAGCCTTGTCTGCGAGATATGCTAGGGCCAGAATAGTGACAGGAGTCTCGGGGCTAGGCTTCACGATCATGGTACAGCCAGCAGCGAGCGCCGCACCCGCCTTTCTCAAAACCATGGCAATCGGAAAGTTCCATGGCACCAATGCTGCTGCAACACCCAGTGGCTGCTTGATGGTGAAGATGCGACGATTGGGCAGCGCCGGAGTGAAGACAGATCCCTGGATACGTTCGGCCTCGCCCGCAAACCACCAGGTAAATCCAGTCGAGTAGTCGATCTCGCCGTATGCCTCAGATCTCGGCTTTCCCGTCTCATACACAAGAATGGTTGCGATATCTTCCCTATTCTCCTTGATCAAGGCATCCCACTTGTAAAGCATCTGAGCTCGTTGACGAGGGCTGATCTTCTTGTATTCAAGAAAGCATTCATGCGAACTTTTGACTGCGGCATCAACATCCGAGGCATCGTTCGTCGGACATTCTACCCAAGTCTTGCCGGTACCGGGGTCTGAACACTGATAAGTTGCCTGCAAGATAAGAAGCATGCGAGAAGCATACCTGCGACTTCAAAAGTCTTGCCCGACTTCGACTTGACCCATTCCCCGTGGATGAAAGACTCATTATGGAGCAGGTCCGGGTTTTTGAGCTGTTGATTGTTTAGGAAAAGTGACAGTTGTTCCAGCTTCGAAGTGTACCTTGAAGGGAAGCTCGTATTTTCCTGATAAACCCATGGCGTTGGAATGTTACTCTGCTTCAAAAAGTCGTGATGCAAATGATCTTCGGTTAGGGGGATATTCTATAGCCACGCAAAGAGTTGTTCTGTGGCAACAGTCGTCAATTAAACACCAGATCTGATTTGGAAGAGGTAAACCGACCGGCCCGGTCCAAAGAACTCCCTCAAAACCAGATGAAATCGACCGTCAGACGCGCGACACGCTCACTGAGAGCACCGATATCTATTCAATAACCCCACCTCTCGCTTCCGAACAATCTCCAGACCTAGCAAGCAGCCGATGCTAGAAGTGGTGAACCGGACAGGAGAGGTCGGCGGGAATGGAAGCCAATTGGTCGGTTCCTCGCTTCTCCGGACTACGTCACCCCTCATGCTCTCCACTCGACAGCTTACCCCTCACCACGTACTCCGAACAGCGGCTTTGGTCGGTAGAAACATGTTTGGGAAACGACGCACATGATGGAGTGATGGAAGCGGCGGAGAGAACGCCGTGCTTGCATTCCCTGACTTTGACCTCAATTGTGCCTTAGTCCTTACTTCGTCATTCGTGCTCCAGACACTAGCCATTCAGCAATTGCACAACCCGTGTCTCATATCAAACTCGGAGCTTGACTGCTGTGATCAACCCGCAACACCATGGGTCGACTCGATGGCAAAGTCGCAATCGTGACAGGTGCCCACATCCCCATCCCACCCCAACCCCCAACCCCCAACCCCCAAACTAACACACCCCTAGGTGGCGGCTCAGGTTTCGGCGCCGGCATCTCCAAAGCCTTCGCCGCAGAGGGCGCCAAAGTGCTTGTCGGCGACATCAACCAAGCCGGCGGCGAAGCCACCGTAGCCACCAACCCGTCCTCCCTGGCCTTCCACAAGATGGACGTTACTAAATCTGCAGACTGGAAAGCCACTGTATCAGCCTGCATTGAGAAGTTTGGCCGCTGCGATATTCTGGTTAATAATGCGGGATGGAGTTATACCAACAAACCCACCACAGACGTCACGGAAGAAGAGTTTGAAAGGACGTTTGACATCAACGTCAAGGGCGTGTATTTAGGCTGTAACGCGTGGATCCAACAAGCTATCGATCGGAAAGAAGGAGGCGTGATTATCAACATCGCCAGCGTTGGCGCCACTAGACCGCGCCCAGGACTCGTATGGTACAATGCCAGCAAAGGCGCGATATGGAATGCCACAAAGGGGCTGGCGGCTGAGTATGGACCGCATCAAATTCGCGTTGTCTCAATTTGTCCACTGGTGACTGCGACGGGGCTGTTCAGCGCGTTTACGGGCATGGAGGACACGCCGGAGAATAGGACGAAGTTCACGAGTAATGTGCCGATGGGGAGGATTGGGGAGGTGGATGATGTTACGAATGCGTGTGTTTTCATGGCGAGTAAAGAGGCGGGGTTCATTACGGGGGTCAACTTGGAGGTTGATGGGGGGAGGTGTATATAATGATCTCGTATAGTCTTAAACTACTTATTCAAAAGCCATAACTGTATTGTAGCCTGTAGTATTTCCCTAGGAGGCATGAGTGGAAATGACAGCAGGCAAGCAACCAATCGTAGAGAGCGGACATTGTGAGATAAGAGTTTGCTACGAAGAGTATGAGGGTATCACCAGCCTTAGAGAAGCTGCATGCAACCATATACCTTTCTAAGTTGTTCCCAAGTAATATCCTCCCCGTACATGAGTTTAGCAACCCTTTTTGCAGCCCAAAGGCTTCCCTTGGGTGAAGCCATGTACTGGTGATGCATGAGTTCGGCACTTTCAGAGGCCATGTAGGTGGAAAGTGGTGTAAGGTGCTGACTCCGCTTCGTGTTCCCCTGCTGCTGATCCAAGGGCGGCGTCTTCCCTTCCCTCTTCTCTTCCTCTATCGCTTTCTCGTTCTCATTCTCCATTTCTTTTACAAACTGTATAACGAGCTTCTTGAACTCCACAATCGGTCGATTCTTCTCCTCAGATAGCCCAGGGAAAATCACCAGTTCTGGACAGACAGACAATTGTTCGATTGGGGCCGCCTGCGCGTTGCTCCAATCAATTACTCCGGTCAGATTGTATTCATCATCGAAAAGAAGGTTACCGAAATGGAGGTCAAGATGACACAGTGGAAATGGGCCTCGGACTCTATCTTCAATGATGATGTGGGTTAGAGCTGTTTTCAGCACCCAACACGCCGTAAGCCAGTCTGCATTGTTCGGGTGCAAGGCGACGATTTCTCGGTTTTCCCCTTGTCGTTGGTTGTAAAGATATTCTAGCGACGTTTCCAAAGGGCCGGGCGAATGATGCCACGCCATGGGAATGATTTCGACAGGCCGATCCGCGGTCTCTCCACACCAAAGTCGTCCAATGCGGCTAAAAGTCAGGGTTTGAAGTTCCGCAAACACATGTGCAAGCTGTTTGGCTACCTTGGTATGATACTGTCGAGGTATCGATGTCGCCAACCCATCATCGAGTTTACGGCCACCCAAGTACTCCATCAAAACATACGGGTATCCGAATGGCCCCTCTATGGACATCTCAAATTCGAAAATACGAGGTATGGGGATACTTGTACGTTGGCGGACGATGTTCATGGTGGCTATCTCGCTCAGCAACGAGGTCTTGGTGTTGTCATCGATGGTGCGATACGGAATCCGAGCAATCCAATAGATGTTGTCAGAAAATGCGAGTTCAAGAACTAGGTTGTTGAAACCCGTTGCAAATTGGGTTAAGTTTATGCTGCAGTCAGTATCGGGAGGTAGGTCCATTTGATGTCTGCGCCTCGAGTCTATTGCGCACTTCTTCAGATGCTTAAAGTTTGCTGAAGACAGTACAAGCTTGATTCGCTTATATTTGTCTGACTCTGGACTTAGGCCAGCAAAACCTGACCAATATTCACTTGGTCTTGCCATTGTGCTCGATGTTGGCAGCATTCAAATAGAAGCTGGCGCTCGGAAAAGAACCCTCGGATGGGCAGAACGAAGAGCGGCGAGGGAAGCGGTGTTGAAGGGAAACTAAACAAAGCGGTCGCGACAGCGGGCCGTCCCAGCAGCAGGCGGACTAGAACCACAGGCATCAGCTGAGGAAGGCCAGGTAGATAACAGCAGGCTAGGCGCGTCAGGCCGGTTTGCAGCATGGGTGAGGTGGACGCGGGAGAAGTGTGGGGTTTATCTACTTGTGGTTACGAAGAAGCTCGTATTTTCTGAACTTTACGGCCTAGGCACCATCTATATAATACGCGCAGGCTTGCAACACAACAACACTTTAAGATAATTCTCTATAAATTTTATATCTAAGTGTGCTTATGCTTAAGTTCCTAAATTCTTAATATTAGAGATAGATCTTGCGTTGTTAGGTTATAGTTTTGCGCGGAGTTAAGGCTTAGTTGCAGGGGTAAAACACAGAAAAAACGAGCTTCTTCGTACAGGCAAAAGTATTGTACACGGTCCCTGCAAGGCAGCCTGCAAGGCAGGGATCTTAGCCGCCGCTGAAAAATCAACTTTCACGTACCACGGCCATTTGAATTGGAATATCCTTAGTGCCCAAAGTAGAGCCTCTGAAGAGAGCTGATTTTATGGCATATTTCAAAAATAATAATTCTACGGTATCGTGCTGGCTCGCGGCTACCTAGTAGCAATCCCTGCCGTGTAGGGTTCAAAGGGCCAAGCCGTCTGAGCTCGCTGCGACAAAGACTAACGTTAGTCAGGATCAATCAATCCCACTTGCACAACCTCGACACATAGCCGGTCTTGAATCAGCCCTCCTACTTGCAATTAAAGCCACTCTTCCATGCCTCTTGATTCAGATACACCGACACCGTCTCCGTTACTTAGCTCGCACAACACACTATGTCACTCCTCCAACTTCCTCCCGAAACCCTAATTCAAATTTTCGATCATGTCGGCTCATCCTATTTCCGCTCGGATCTGTCACGCCTCACAGTCTGTAAGCAGTGGAGCAAATTTGCCTATACCGCGTGCTTCCAGGATTTTTACGTTACTCAGAAGACACTACGACGCTTGCTGTCTTCTCCGTACGTGGAATCAAGTCTACCTCTAGTCAAAGACAGCGTGGAAACCCTGGACCTGGACTTGAAGGGCTTTAAAGACTGGGACTCTATTCTGCTGTCTCGACACGATTCGCAGGCCGTAAATGTCCCAAATGTGTCAACTTGGAATGGCGCTCATGGAAGCGCAGTGCGCGCAGCCTGGACAACAGAAACTGGACAACGATCTCCTCAATCTTGCCACCATCATTAAACAATCAA